ACATCCGCCTCGGCTATTTGTGCTGTATCTCGCATCCGCGCCAAGAATCCCGCGTAAAATTTCCCCGGCAACCTACGGGCAGTTTCCGCGCCAGACAATTCAGAAAGATCTGGCTGTAAAAGGACAATCGGACAATGAGGCCATCATGAACATGACTGACGCGAAATACACGTTCGTGGTCGAGCACCTTGATCCAGAGCTGGGCCCTTGGTCCGCGCTGGAGTACGAGACTATCGCCAAGGAATCACAGCAGACCGCCTGCCATTTCATTCTTTCTTCGTTGCCTCAGTCTCTGCTCGAGACGCAGACTTTGAAGAACCTCGCCGAGTCGGGAGCACAGGCACGGACCGATAGTATCGAAACCTATTTTGCAAACAAGAAAGAAAGGATCTGTCTGCTTGACCCTGCGGCAAAGCAGGAGTTGGGGCCTGCCGATGCCGAGGACTTCGATGTCTTCCTGTTTGGTGGTATACTAGGTGAGTAGCGACAAAAGCATACGTTGTAAGTGTGCGCCCCTGACAAACACTGCAGGCGATGATCCACCTAGAGGTACTTGAATTTCATCCTGGATCTCATCAGTCGTTGACGTGACTAGATCGCACGAGCGAGCTCCGCAAGAAAGGCTTCAACGGTCGCCGCCTGGGCCCAGTTCAGATGACGACAGACACAGCCGTCAGGGTGACGCGGAAGGTCGTGCTTGAGCACAGTAAGGCGAGCAGCTGCAGTGGTTAGAGGGGAGACTCACAGCTGGGCAGTTCCCCTCGACAAAATCCAGTATGTCGACTTCCCAGAATTGAAGCTGGATGAGCACGAATCTACCCAGATGCCATTCCGATATGTCGCAGATGATTCTGGACAGCCTGTCATGCCCACGGTACAAAGCTCTCTCCTTCCCATAGCCTTGGCTTTGATGTTTGACTGAGATCTTGGCCAGGGAATGATCGACCTTATCAAGGCTGACGCTGAAAAGGCGTTTGATGACCTCGAGTTTGTCGACGAGGTCGAAGGTGTCAGCAATATGGGCGTTACTACATCTTGAGCAGCGACGTCGAGGCCCCTCGATGCGCGAAAACTTTCAAGTACCTCCGAAAATATTCGCAGCACACTATTGACATAGCGGTGTGGTTGCTACAAGGTTGAGTCAACGCCAGCGTAAGGAGCGATCAGAATATCGCAGTCCTCATCTTCTAGGACGGGCCTGCGCGGTGACGCGCAGGTCACTATTTCAGAACAGCAGTGTGGACGCACGGCATTGGACTTGAGACCCGAAGCTGGAAGCACCCAGCTGCACCGCTATTGCATGATCTGGGTGTCGCGTCGGCCGGTCCAGACGAAGAAGATCTATTGTCTAAGACGCCAAGGCCAGGGCAGGAAGCTGCATGCGGCACAACTGGAATCCCAAAAATCCCGTGCGATACGGAACAGGATTTTCCGCTCGACTGACGACGTCGAAGAAAGCTGCTGCGGTTTGATTGCCCCGCTTCCAGCTCCTGGCACTCATTGACACCACCGGTCAGTCCAGGCGGAGGAGAAAACAAGAATGGCAGACGAACAAGTAGGGGTCTCCTGGAGGGTTTAAGCAAGAGGTTATGGCTTTCCCTACTCAGTGTTGAAATAGCGGACTCAAAGCTATAACATGCAGAGCAGGAATATTAGCCTAGTGCTACTCAAACATGGCAGCTACTTCGTCGTAGTCCCCGTACCCAACACGTCGAGCCAGGGCCCCCAAACCGTGCGTAAGACTATCTTGTATCCACCTCATAAGCACTGTATAATGAGTGCCCGAACATGTGGCTGAATGCGGGACGCCACAGTCGTCTCTCCTGAGGATGGTCCCAGAGTCGAGGCGATCGGCTGCCTCAGCCTCTTCCAGCCCTGCCCAGCTTCTCGGATCCCAGCGTGCAGAGTGAGAATCGTCCGCGTACGAATATTTGCCGGAAGTCTGAAGATGAGAAAGATGATGGCGTTTTTCGGAAGCCAACGGAGCTTGTTGATGCGCCGAGGCTGTGCACCGCTATCGGTATGCGTATAGCCCATACAGGACATTCCCATGCTCTTTCTTCGAATCCGATCAGGAAACGTTATATGCTCAGATCGACTTCTTCCGACACATAGGCGCCATTTTTCATGGGTGGCGGGGTCTTACTGTACCTAATCCGGATGTCGTCGTTGTGGCGGAGCATCGCGAGAGTGATCCTCGTGGAGCGCAGCAGTGATGGGTTCCATATTCTGACAAACCATGAGACAAGATGATCCATGCCACGAACCAGATCTCTCAAATCGCGTGGGTTCTACCACTCGCCTTCGGAATTGGAAAGGGACGACATACCGACCATACGCGGCTGAAGACCAATCGAGGTCCAGCTCCTTGTGCATCGTTGCCCACGGTCTTTTCATCGACTACAAATCGCGCGACAAACTCCTCTTGTACTGATCTTCCATTCCTCAGGCCCATTTCGACGCGGCCAATGACTAGCAGGTCAAGACCTCGTGGATCATGGGCGTACACCCTCAGGACCTCATGCCTCCTCGATACGTAGTCGACCCATGCTTTTTGGCGGCTCAAGCGGATTTCGGCTGAGCAGATTCGCACGAGGTTAGCGCAGCTCTGTCTAGGACTAAGGAAGGTCGACAGTAAAAAGCGAGTGGCGGAGGACCTCAGAGAGCCTTTCTGGCGTGACGATTTCCCGCCCACTGACCTTCACCGCGAAACCCAGGGCCCATTCCAAACATGGTTGCGTCATTTGTGAAAACTTCTTCAGCAAAGCGATGACCGACATTAGGGTCTGCGATGTCAAGGAGGAAATAGAAACGTTCCAGAAGGCGCTGTACCTCCGGGCGGACCGGGACTGCAGTTGGCCATTCTGTATTTTCAGTCACGTAAGACGAGGACATGAGGCGTTCGCTCTGAATGAAGGTCGTAAGTCAGAGGGGAGAGATGGCAGTGGACGAGGTCTCGTTTCTTGAGGAGCGGAACTCTACGCCCCTGCCTTACTTCACACTCGCCTCAATCTCTGCTATGGTGCGGTCTGAGGTGGGAGGAAGGACGTTGTGAATGATGACCGGTAGAGGCGCCGTGGAGCCTGCATGAATTGACGGATATGGCTGTAATGCTCCACCGTAATTCGAGCCAGGTCCTTCGGTGGAGCATTTGGCCCCTGATGTCATTGCGGGGACGTGACTCAACTGGTGAAGAGCGAAACTTTTTCATGGCCGAGTGCCTCCCGCCGCCGCCTCGTCTGTGCATGATGGGCTGTCTGAAAATGTGACCTTGACTGTTCCCAAATCTTCCCTCTCCTCTCACGATAGACGTCCTTCTTCTGTAGATCCTGCTCAGTTACGACTGCCAAGATGGTGCAAAAAGTCTACGTGACGTACAATGAGGTCGGTCTCAAAACTCTCAATCGGGTGGTCGCATGCGCCCTGCTCACGCCAACGCCCTACCGAGTGGTGAACTTACCAATTGTCGCTAGATCCACAAGTTGTGCCAGCAGTCGGCCCCGAAGATCCTCGATGACTTCCAGCCAAATCTTATGATTGCCATTGGTGGCGGTGGTTACGTGCCCGCCCGCATCCTGAGGTAGGCAAGGTTGCGGAATGAAAGGCGTTCACGAGCAAGAGTTGATGTCCATGCACGTACAGATCGTTCCTCAAGAAGACTGGCGCCCCCAACATTCCCATCCAGGCAATCGGCCTCTCCCTGTACGAGCAGCTCTCCGGTTCCGATCCCGTCGAAGCACCCGGTACCAAAGTCACGCGAACACAATGGCTCGATCTCTCGTCACTTGAGATGAGCAACCTGATCGGAAAGAACGTCTTGATCGTCGATGAAGTGGATGACACACGCACCACACTTGAATATGCTGTTAAGGAATTGGAAAAAGACGTGGAGACCGCCAGACAACAACTAGGCAGAACCGAAAAGACCAAGTTCTCCATCTTCGTACTGCACAACAAGGACAAGGAGAAAAAGGGGAAGCTCCCGGAAGACATGGTCAATGAGAATCGATATCTGGCAGCAGTCACTGTGCCCGATGTTTGGATTTGCTACCCCTGGGAAGCGACCGATATTGATGAGCACGACAGACTCGCTCGAACCAATGGCGTCCAGTAGTTTAGAGGCCGAGGCGTTGGACTCCCCTGGCGTGATAAAATAGACGGCAAAAGTCTCCCAGCGCTGGAAGCGCAGGATGAGACATATCTGATATGGAGACTTCGGTGCAATTTAGTCCCACCGGACTTTTCTGTTATCCAAGCTTTTCCGCGCAGCGCCCAGTTGTGCCGTGAGCTCTTTGTAGGCTTCCTCCGTGTCGTTGAATCGTATAACTCCAAGACCCAGCCGTCCCAGAAGATAGGCACCCAGGCTCACAATAGCCCACAAGGGCAGAACTGGGATGATCTCCACTTGAAGTTTGGTGGGCAGTATTGAGGGTATTGGCGAATCATTTGTCAACAATGGTAGGGCGAGGAGGAGGTAGGCCTGCCCATGTATCAACATCGGTCCAACGGCCACGGGTTGATGCGGGAGAGGGGACACTTACGGATGAGACAAGTAACGCAAACGAAATGGTCTGCCGAGCGCGTGTCATGGCTGCGTAGGTCGCTATTCTGAGATAAAGAGTTGTCGGGTAGCGTTGCAAACTCTATGGGACTCAGCGCCGATGCTTTGGAACAAGGAAACCTGCGGAGTGGACAGTGATTAAGTCCAAGGCCAACAGTTAGGGGTACTCGTACTGAGCGTATCACAGTAAATCGGTGTCGCGTCTCACCGAATGCTTCGCCGTAGATGCTTGGCATGCAGCCTTGCATATCAGCCTCGCCGTTCGGTCGCTTTCAGTTACCTTCAGCCTCTTCGAAACGTCCACTTACCCTGTGTGACGGATCCGGTCAGACATGAGCTTCGGAATGAGCTTATAGATTTGTCGTGCCTGCTGCAAGACAAGTGGCCGATACGTTCTGCGGGGGATACACTTTGGGTTCAAAGTAGACTCCAGGGGGTCATGGCGTCCGTGGAAGCCCATGACGCGTACTGTCGTCTCGCTGATGACCTAGAGCAATACTGGTCAGCAGATGAAGACCTGAATCGCACGCACGCAGCCATAATATCAAGCTTGAAGTCAGCCAGTGATCATCCGAATGTTGGTAGGCAACAAATCATGGCACTCATGCCTCCATTCGCACGGCATGTGGGAGTTATAGTCCAGAAAGGACGGCCGGAAGATTTCCAAAGTGCGATCCTCGGTACCCTGGCAGATGCGACCCGCGAAGTACCAATCTGGCGACCTCTGTTTGGCCTGGCAGAGAGGCCTGATCGCGCCATGAACCTGAAGCAGATGAACAGAGACACTCCACCGGACTCTATCCTCGAAGTGGCCAGACGAATCGTTGCGCGAACAATCCATGTCTCGTCAAGTGAAGAAATAAGGTCCGCCCTTCGGATAATAGCCAACAGCTGTGCAGACAACAACGTCAACCGGAGCAGCTTCATTGGCCGAGATGGAATAGAAGCACTACTCGAACTTCTCAGACTCAGAAAAGACTGCGACCTTGTGATACCGGTGCTCTACAACGTCTGCGTCGATTTTGATGAACCGGCAATGGATGTGCACGGCAAACCCTGGGCCCCCCTTCCGCAGATGCGAGCAGCCAGCGGCGAGATCTCCACTCCTTCAACACTGAGTATGGCAGAGCAGAGACTGGGAACGTACCGGTTCCCACACGAGAACAAGACATCGTTCCAGATCCTCCTGGAGGCCAGAGAGCAGGCAGAGGATTGTGCTGAGACGCTCGCAGACCTGATCGAGATGGCCAGCCGCGTTGCGTTGTATGGCACGCGGTGCTTTGCTCAAGAGCACGACGGGAATGAGCCAGGCGATATCATCGAGGTGGACACGACGGTTGATATAGTCCGCTTACTCCTGTCACAAGGTGCCGATCTCGCAGAAGGGAACATTGAGTGCCGCGTCTCTATATGTCAGGCGGTTCTCAACCTTCTTTCTCAACAAGATACCCACACTACAGTGATCAACAGCGACAACGCCATACGCAAGTTAATCTACCTACCTTACCCACCCACACACGTACAAGGTACTTTGAAGCCAGAGGAAGATGATGAGGAGGAAGAAAATGCGCTCTCACCCTATCAGAAAGAAATCTTGAAGCTGACCTACACCATCTCGGCAACAGAGGCTTATGCGGAGACATTTGACATAGGTTCACGTCTGATCCAAAGCTGCATACTGGATCTGGACAGATTTCTAGACGACCAATCTACACCCACTTCACCGCCTGCTTCTGTTCCTCTGGCTAGCATCTGTGTCTTGCTAGCCAATTGCATCAACACAACCGACCGGGCCAAGAAGCTGCTTCGTGATGGCCCCGACATTGCGCTCGTCCTGCAATCACTCTTCATCAAAATCTCCGACCCAGAGATTCTCCTTCCCGCTGTCGATCTCGCGGCCCGGTTGGCTCTGTGTCCTGAAGGCCAAGACGCATTCTGCAAGGGTCAGATTAGCATTTTTCTTGCGATTGCGCAAATACTTCACAACGGGGCCAGCGAAGTCGACACCATAGGACTCGAAGTACAGCGCAATGCCGTAGCACTCGCAAGACTCCTTGTTAAGGGCCAGAGCGAAGACGTCTTGTCGAAATTCAGCATAGGTTCGAGACATGCTCACCATGCGGGTGATCTGTTCACCGCCACCAGTCTGACCTCGGAGGTATACAGCCTTTGGGACCGGACCACTGACGCCCAAACAAAGATCGAGATAGGAAGGTTGTTCATCGAGATCCTACGCACGATACATGGCCCCAAAAGAAACCCAGCTGTGCGGATTGCCACAACGGTCGCCGAGCATAAGACAGCGCATGCACCAACTCAGCCACCCACTTTCTCGCTTACAGACGAATTCAATGGTCTCGATGTCTCATCCGCTACACCTATGGCCGGAATCTTCGAGGATAAAGTGGCGGAGATGATAACCTACACGCTCGCTCAGCCTCAAGGCCAACTTCAATCTCAACCTCAACCTCAGCCTTCCCCACTGGCATCAATGCAGACACAGCAACACGACAATAACGCCCAAGCTCAGGCTCAAGCTCAAGCTCAGGCCGAAGCCGAAGCCTGGTTCGGCCTCGCCCTCCTCTCCACCATGACCTCCGCTCGACCTTCCATCAGAGCGACCCTCGCCCGCAACGACTTCAACATCCTGAAACAGCTCCGGCAGATCGTCGCCTCAAACGCTTCGCCCGTGATGAAAGAAGATGGTACCAAACCCCCAAACCCGGCCGACCAAACTGTTGGGCAGCAGAGGCAGAGGCAAGCGCGACAAGTCATTGCAGACCCACGGTACGAGAACATCAAGGTCCTCGTTGTGAAGATGCTGCAAACGGAACAGCAGCAACAACAGCAACTGCCGTCGCCATCGCCGTCGTGGAAGCAGACGCCAGCGCCAGGTCTACAACGCCATTTGAGCAGAGAGGATGAGCTCGTGCAAGAGGGCCTCGAAGCTGCGGCCACAGAGATGGGTCTAGACTGGGTTGTTGTCTAAGAGCAGGGCAGTGCAAGCAGGGCAGATCCAAACGCGCGAACAGGAATCCAGACTCGTTGTCCGTAAAACCGGTCGCGGTGCCCAAGTATACGACTGAAGCATTTTGGATTGTAAATGGGAAATGTAATCGTCCTCACGCTACGCGGACGCTGCTGCGATTTCAAACCAGTAGTCGCAATACCACGGGTAATGCATGATGTACTGACGCTTGAAAATGTAAGGTACTCTACGCTAATCACTGTACTGGACCGCACTGAACTGAACTGAACTGTGTCGTGTCATACAGTAGTAAGTTCAGAACTCAGAACTCGGATTCCAGAAGCCGGTATTCAGAAGCCAGTACGCAGTTACGCCGCAGCCCGCGTGTATATGTACGTATGCACTGTACGTGAGTCAGCTACATCCGTACAGCAGCTGGCTGGTGGCTCACGGGCTGATGGCTGGTGGCTGGGTCGTCCAGCGTCGTCCAATCTACAGTCCTTCACTGGCCAACTGATATACCACAGTCCTCGATACTGCATAAGCCGCAACACCGTAAAAGCACATGTTGCACCAGCGATGTCATACCTCTTTATCGACCGTTCATGTCCCTTGGATATCGATCGTTATACCGGGCCTTCCACCGGATTCGCCTGATACGTCGCCGGGTCTTGCTTTCCTGTTGACCCACATGGACAGTACATCATGCTAGACTGATGATCTGATGCGTCGGATTTAAAAGTGAATATGTCCTTGGATCCCTTGATTTTTCTAAATCTCGACTTGAATCTTCTGCTCGCATGAAAGCCACGTCGTCCATGTACATGTATTGTATGAGTTATTCTCCACGGACATGGATGATGTCTGGACGACTCTTGGAGACCTCGGATGGGTGTTGGCGTTGCTGGCGCTCAGCTTCGAGCCACGGTCTTATACAAGTGTCCGTGATAATCCCAAGTGGCCCATTCAAACCCCGGCTGGATATCTCTCTTGAATGGCTGTTGAGCCACGGAAATCCGGGATCGACCTGTGAAAAGGCTGGTCGGGCAGTTGAGATGGAGTCGGGTCAAGCGGCGCACGCAAGGTCTGCTGTTCTACCCATCTCCGGTCGCGCGCTCGCTGGCAGTACTTGTCTTGGTGCCTATTTTTGATAGTACGACATGGCATGTTAGAACGGCAAAGGAGAAATCAAACATGGCAAAAGCAGCTAAGCCAGACAACGGGCAGAAGGAAGCCTTAGCTCGGGTCACTAGGTCTGGAGGTATAGCTTACCTGTCCCGCAAGTCCAGCCGGTTGAATGACCTGCCACAGTCACTGCAGTTGAAAGTGTACCTCGCGTCATGCTATCGTGGGAGAAGGATGAAGTTAGTCCTCGGTCGTCATAACACGCGTATTTTTTTCGAGAACCAAGGTAGGAAAAAACACAGACAGTACGTACTGTCTTGAGATGCCGATTCAGACAGCCTTGATGGGCGTACTCCTTCCCACACCCCTTCTGTGGACACTTGACTCGCGGCCGGGTTTCGTCGTGGGACCTGAGGTGTGATCGGTAACTTGTCCTTTTGGTGAACACCTTGAAACACTTGTCGCACGTCTGGGGCGCTGCTTTATGCATCTTTCGGTGGACTGCAAGGTTGCCTGCTTCGGCGAACGTCTGCCCGCATGTCTCGCACTTGTATTGATCACCATGCTCACGCATATGCTCTCGCAGCAGGTACGGCTTTTCGAAGCTCACGTCGCAGCGAGAGCAGTTCACGGGGCCTCTGATTCTTCTCTTCTTCGTCGGGCGCTTTGCTTGCGGCGACAGGGCTTGTGTCCTTACAGTAAGGCTCTGATTCAGTGGCGGAGATGTGCCTGGCAGCCGTCACGGTTAGCTTGCAAGACCCATGTCGCAATCTTGCTTTGGACGATACAACAGCAGACTCACCTGAACCTAGTGCAGTATAGCCAGAGGTTTCCAAGCTGCGCCAGGTCCTTGACGGACCGTCGTGGGAACTTGAAGTGTAATGGCTCGATATACTCATTCGAGACGCCTCGAAAGGGGGATGGGGACAGCTGGCTGTCGCTGATTGTGCAAACGTGTTGTCCACGACCGAGTCCAGTGTAGGTTTGGGGTACGTTTGCGGTGGTTGAGTGCAATAATCGCTATTAGTCCAGCTCGGGAACCACGGGTCTTCGCAAGCACTATGGCCATATTGGGGCGTGGGTAGGGAGTGCTGCTCGGAAGGGACATTGAATGAGTTGGGATAAGAAGAAGGAAACTGTGAACACCAATACAGGGAATCATTTCCGCAAGGGCGTGCACAGACTGATTCCAAATATGAGCGAACGTCGTCCGAGCCATCCGAGAAAGCAAAGTTTTGGTTGAGCATAGGGAAGTCGGAGCAAGCGATCGATGCGTAAGAAAAATCCATTGTGGATATAGTGAGGTACTTCTCGCACTGGGCGTCGATGAGAAAACTCTGCTCTGTATACCAGCGGAAACGATAAAGATTATAGCTTGCTTTGAAAGCTGCCTCGAGTGACTGATCACATTCAGCCGACCTGAATGTCATGCAGACCTGTGCTGATCCGTAACATGGCCACTTCGCCCTTGTGTATGCCGACCAGCTTTCCAGTCCACCTTCAGCGATGCGGCCCAAAGTCAACCGCTCAGGTTTGCTCCGAGTTGGGCAATCACTCTTCACTGCCGGAGAAATGCATTTGCAGCAAGTGCAACGGCAACACGTGCACGAGAGAGGGTCCTTCAGTAAGGTAATCGGGGTAGAAAGAGCATTGCCTGACTATTGGCGGCCGCCCCCAATAGCAGATAGAGATGCCCGACCGGGCGTCCGCTCAGAAGCCGTGAACGAGAGAGGACTCCGTCTGTGAGGGCCCCGTTCAGAGACGGGTGGAGGTAGCTTTTGGCTGGGTCCCGGAAATATTGGCTCGCCAGTCAGCGATGGCCGTGCTGCCCGCCCGTATTGAAGTGAGCCTCTCCATTCGTGGGCTCTCCCGGAAAAGAAAGTGCAGGTGACCTCAAGGCAGTCTAGTCGGAAGATATTGATCACCATGCAGGGATGCCTTCTAGCCGGCGAACCATTCTGTTGAGGATTTGGCGAGGGCTCAATCCTTGCTCTGGCCAGCGACCATTGCAGTCAATCCATCAACCTGAGCACTCAATTTCTGGATGAGGGCGATCAAGTCTGCGCTCTCGGCACTGCCCAAGGCAGATTTGGTGGTCGAAGCGGTCATTTCTGCTGTAGCAGACGGCGACGTCTCGTTAAGCGCTCGCCGCGTAGTGGGGGACTTGACAAACTCCCTAGGCCCGTCGTAACTGAACTGCCCTGCACTCAATGGCCGGCTGGTCAAATGTGGAGCCTTAGATAGCGTTGGATGTGGACGAGTGATGATGGTTCTAGAGTTCTCGTAGGCCCAGATCAGTGCCACGAACGGGACGTGGGTGGCTTTAAGCACGAAAATCCGTATCCGACGCACTTCCTCGGACGGGAGAAACAGCCGCAGAGGCCGCAGTACGATCAGAGGGAACAAGTTGAGTGGAGGCATGAAATAGGTCAGTCGTCGTGAGGTGCTGCTCTCCAGCACATAGATCGAGTATTGGAACAGGTACTCCTCGCGGGCATGGGCCATGACCTAGCCTCCAATCAGCGGACGAAATCAGGTGTTTCCCCGGGCGGCTACTTTAGGAGGGTCGCGTCTACGCGGCCATGATCGGACATCACGAACGCTAGGGCACTTACCTCGGTCAATGAATTTGATACTAGTGAAACGAGCGATGTGATGAGGAGAATGTTCGTCAAACATACAAAGACGAGCCTGTAGGATCCAGAAGTTAGCCTTGGATCTCGTTAAGCGCTGAGGTTGACTCCTTCTCCGCAACAGGAAGGTCCACGGTCGACGTTTCGAGAATTAAGCGCCGGTGTAGTAACTCAAGGCTGTGCAGCCCCAGAGGCCGCGTTGGTGGTTGACAAGAGGCAGTGTGTGCATACATCAATGTATATCCAAATAGTGGCGATATCTGGAGCAGTCAAGTTACTGGGGGCTGCTTCACTTTGCTTCGAGGGGGCATACCTTGACGGCCATGTCGAAGCCGAGATAACTCGACCTGCGTCACTAGTCAGCTGGATCGACCATGACGGTGGTTCTGAATGTACCCAAAGAAGACTTTGATCAAGAGCCAGGACATATCATTCAGTGTCATGCGATCCCTGGCCAACATGGTGAAAGTGGTCAAGAACCCCAAGTACAACACCACGATAACCGGAAGGAACTTGCAGAAAGCCTTGGTCTGGCTCGCCATCAGCACACATTCCGACAGGTCTGCAGATACAACATACCATTTCCTTCAGCACCGGTATCTTTGCCGCAAACTGTCAGTGGCTACTTCCCATCTCTCGCTTCGGATGACATACCAAGCTCCCAAAGTAAGGATTCAGACTCATCACAGAGAATATCCTGCTGCAGTCAGTGTCTGTACTGCACAGACTCGGTGGGTAATATACCTAGGCACCAGGAACAGCGCTACCATGGACAAAATATCAAAGGCAACATCGATGATATAGTCGCTGTCTTTGATAAGGCCGACAATCCCTAGAGTACGTCAGTTCCACGAATAGCATCTCGGAGGCCAGGCCACGGACGCGTCACCACGAAAGCGGCACTAACACCAATAATCTTGCCGCCCCATAAGTTAGCACAATCAGTTAACATGGATCCAAGAGAGCAGTCTCTTCTCGCGGTCTCACAATGCGATCGAGATTGGAGTCGTCGCTACGCCTCCCGGAGGTGGAGAGACCTACCGCAATATCCCACAAGCTCCAAAAGTCAGTCTGGTAGAACATGATGCCCGCATCTTTGATCTCTCCAAACTCGTCGTATGCAAATGCCGCGATGAAGACATACAACACCGCTTCCGTAGGTGTGATATGCCCGGGATTGCGCTCCACCAACACGGCATAATAGAGTACCAGGAAGGCCAGAAAGAAGCTGATCTGGAATGCCTTCTGGTACTTTGGCACCCTGAGCCGGGTGAATGGATCCGCGACTCGCTTGTTATACGCGCGTGGCTTCTTGACAGCATGGACCGAAAGGCTTTCCCAGAAGATGACATCGCCATTCCAGATATCCTCAACAATCTTCTGCACGGGGCTTTGCGAGATGAATTTCTTGGCGTCACCGATGGCGGCAATCTCGAGCGCGTTCATACCAGCCATGGATTCGTCGAGGTCCGCCCGCCGGGAGGCATCGTCTTCGTCACCTCCAAAGGTGCTTGTTGTAGCACCGCTGGTGAAGCGGTCTGTGTGTTGCGTGGACGCACGCCTCGGCGGGCGGAGGAAGTTGCCGTGATCGGAAGATCGTGATCGAAGAAGAGGCGAGGACTCGTTAGAGCTGCCGTCATCGTTTTGATTAGTTGCGTGCCGGCTGTTTGTATAAGTCTCTGAAGGGGAAACGTGCGTGTTGTCCTCTGAGACCTCGGGGAGTTCGTAGAGAAGATAGTCAATGAGCTCCTTCTCCGACAGGAAGGTCAGAAACTGCCATGCAACGAGCTCGCAGGCAAGAGCTCGGGACTCATTCAGCCCAGCATCGACGTCGCCTTGGTCGTTGATGAACAGATATCTGGCTGCCAATAACGCAGCAACGACTGCTGGATGGTGGCATTCTTCGCTCAAATTCGAGACCAGCGGTCTCAATGACTGGCCAGCGACGGTGGTGCGAAGTTGTTCATATGTGAAGGGAGTATCGATGGCCTTGGCAATGTAGGATGATAACTTGAAGACAACGTCAGAGAAAGATTCTCGTGAGTCAATGATGGGCACGTCGTCCTCCATCCGGAGCTGAAACTTGGTCGAGCGCGGCGTTTGAGGGTTTGTTGTGGCGGCCATGGCCGCGTCTGTGTAGCTTTTGAGGTCGAATCCAAGACCCCGGTTGCGCATGAGGTGCTGTGTCTTCAAGCGATCTCCCTGAATCACTCAAACATGGCGCCGCAACGAGAAGCTTTGAAGGTTTAGAAGTGGTACAGCTGGTCGTCATATGCATTCCGTGGTTGGATTCAACTTTTGATACGGTGGTCGAGAGCCGCCGTCCACTGCATAAATTAGGGTGGAGTATCTATTCCAGATGCGTTATGCACTTAGTGCGTAACCGTAGAGACACTACGGTCAACTATTGACGTCAGAGATGCATAGTGGTGCTGCTCACTCCCACTGTCCAGACTGTGCTCCGTATTTTGCCCTGCAAGTTTGATCTTGACTCCCAGATCCCCGTGCCCCAGCATTCACATAACCGTCACAGCTAGACAGAAGGCACCAAAGCACTTCATCGAGTGCCAGCCATTCCGCACTACCACCCGAGACACGCAAACACTTTGGGGAAGCCCTCGCCTCAGTCACGGAGATCAACGACCAGTATCGCCAAATCGACATCACGCCTTGCCCTACCCTACACTGAGATACTGTAGGAGATCAATCTTCTGCCTCATGTTCTAACTTCCACTTACCCTTCTTCAAACCATCCATCTCGTCACATATTCGCTTTATCAAAATGCCTCCCCCACCCAGCCCCTATGCCCTCAATGCCACGCACACGATCCCAGCGCGCTCCTCCGTCGCCATCCCCATGTCTAAGTCCCAGAAACTCACCGTGATCAACACCCACGGCACCCAAGTCGTTGATTTCTGGGCTTTCAAACTCCATGCGCCTGAATCATCGACCCTGCCACCCTCCTCGAGCCAGCAGGTAGAGTTGACAACCTGCCTTTCAATGTCCCATACCCGGGCAGCCCTTCTTGGCCTCTCCCCCCTGGCGCCATGCACACTGTATACCAGCCAACGCACACCGATGCTGAAGTTCGTCTCGGACACCTCCGGAGGCATCCACGACACGCTAATAGCGGCGTGCGACATCCATCGCTACCGCCAGCTCGGCGTTCCGGAGGGCCAATACCACGAGAACTGCGCCGACAACCTCCGCCTGGCGCTCCAGCGGGACGTACCGGGATATGTGCTCCCCGCGCCGTTCAACACTCCCGAATCCACGGTGCCGGACCCGTTGAATCTATTCATGAACATACCGGTTGCGCCGCTAGCACCCGCATTGCACGAAAGCAACTTTACCGCGGGCGGGAAACTCAGCTTCGAACCCACCATTTCGCCCAAGGGCGGCAGCGTCGTCTTTGAGGCGCTCGTGGATTGTATTGTCGTCATGAGTTGTTGTCCGCAGGATCTGGTGCCGATCAACCACGGCGGGCCCACGGAATGTCAATTCATCGTGAAAGCCTGAAAGCTAGAGGGGCGGTTACAGGTATGCGCAGTGGGAGCGTTTGATACAGTAATGCAGGTGCGTGCGTCGATCAGTGCCGGAAAGCAGGGAATTTCCCCTTGTATTGAAAATGATCGTTACTCGTACTACATCAGACAGGCCTCCTTCTCTGAAGAATGCAATTCACTACCTCCGATTCGGATCTTCTTGCCCTTTTGGACTGCTGCCGTACTCCCCTGGCCTGCTTTGGGTGATTCGACGGAGATGGGCGGAGCTGCCCGTTCCTTGCCCTTGCCGCTGTCGTCGGTGCCTGTTTTCTGCGTGGGAGCCCGGGACAGAGAAGTGGCCGGAACAAGTGAAGCAGGAAGATAGGCATACACATCGACAAGCCATTCGTACCAGACCTTGCGGTCGTCGGTCTTGCGCCACATGGTCAATTCCAATTCGGAGTTGTCAGGGAGGTAGAGGGGGCTCTGTGGTGTCAATCACAGATTAGCATGGAGACCACTACCGGAGTATATACGTTTTAAATAACCAAGGCACTGACTGAAGAGATTCATACCTTCAAGGGGAAATAGATCGGAAACCAACTGATCATGCCTTCGCTCTTGTGATCCATCGTGTTCGGGTTCGTCGACAGTTCAACACCACGGTAGAGCACAGACTCGAAGTAACCCGCTAGCCCGTGGCATGTCCCACGGTACGGGATAGGGTACGTCAGTGTGCACACGCGGGCGTTATGAGCGTTGGATAGCGATGGCTCCGTAATTACGGATGGTCCCACCGTTGAGGGAGAGAGTAATGGTAAGCTCGAATTCGGGTGATAGAAGGCCCATGTCTGGTGGATTACTGGGGTTGAAGTCGGTGGCTGAGGACTCTGGGCTGGAGCGGGAGATGCAGTTTGAGAGGATCGCGTATGGGCTTTCGAGTACGGTGTCCCGATTGTTCCGGTCGGCGAGACCGGGCTTGAGGCTTGAGTGTGTGGTGGTTGTGAATCTGCTACCTGCCCATCTTTCTCCGTTGTTGCCGTGCTGAGGTAGTCAATGGCATTTAGCATGACCACATACGGTGTTTCGGTTGCACTTGGATTCGATGGGCTCATGCCGTGCTTGATGTCTGCGTACAACTTGGGCGCGGCAATGGGTGTAATGTGAGCCGTATACGATGCTGGAATGGAGATACCGTGCCCCGGGTTCAGAAGGTGCTGCACGCCGTCAAGGCACTCTGGAGAGAGCTCGTTGTCACCGAACGAGCCAAGGAGTTCGCTTATCAGGATATCGATCTTGTAAGGCGTAGGGGTTGTGGTTTCAGGTGCCGTACCGAGAAGGTCGATTGTGTTGAGGGTTGTGGAACCTGTAGATGATGGCTGAGTCAAGCTGATGTCTGGTTTGACCCCCTTATTGTCGGTGTCATCTTCTGGCACTGTGTTGTAGATTCGATTAGGTGCACTTTTCGTTGCTGGTCGAATCGGGCCTCTCCACGTCCTCATGTCAGACTTCACCAAGTTCACACGGCCTTTCCACGTCGTCTCGTTATGCCGCTGAAGAAGCACAAAAGCATTTGGGTTCTTTTCTAGGACCCACATGTCAATCTCGACTCCAACGTCTTCGCTTGCTTTCAGAGCACGAGTGACTAGCGGGCCTCGACCTGCACCCACCACGGCGACCACCACCCGTCCATCAGGATTCGAGGTGGGTTTGGCTTGTTCAATCCAGTCGTGCAGAGCCCGGGCAACGGCGCGTTCGTACCACGCATACTTGATTGGATCTTTCTCAAACGCTTCATAGGTGATGCTCTCAAGATTAACGCTCAATGGCTGGAGAGGCGCCTGCAGGTAGTCTTGGTATCCCGCGCCGAAGCGGTCAAGGGCTGTTTGTATAGGCTGTTTGGTCTGCAGATTCCGCATGTACGAGAGATGCGGAGCTGCGTCTTTAAGGCCATTTGATTCTGCTGCTTGGGCGAGGGTGGGAAAGGCTTTGTTGGCAGTCGAGGCATCCACGACTGATCCATTCGTGATGCTGCTCGCCAATGACCCAACGTCACAAAGAAGGAACCATGGTGCTGTGCGGAGTCGAGCAAATCTCAAGATGAATGCTTGGTGAGAGCGTGTCAGCACAGGGTAACCTTTGGCATTCGTGGAGAAAACGTGCTTGTCGAGGGTGATGAGCCGAACGGGTTCTGAGTACCATCGAGACTGGATTGGCACGGGTGGGAGGAGTTTTGGTACTGATAATGCTGGACAGGCATTAGCGAAGGTCACCGTTGGCCAGGGAGATTTCGAAGGAATGTATTATGCTTACCTACACATAACCTAGAAGGATAATTACATATCGATCTAATCATGTCCCAAGCTTCCCAGGTTCCGAATAAATCCAATCTCTTGCTTTCGGCCTCATCTTGATCCAAATATTGCTGACGGGCAAATGGAGCAAGGTCACCCATCTGCTCCGCTTGTTCCTTTGAGTTGTCGATCATAGGAAACCATATATAGAGCTGCATGTAGGGCGCTTGTGCTAGCGCATCCACGAGTGCTCTCGCATACTGGGCGATTCCACTATCACATGCACCGTGGCCACGGAGACGGGGCCCAGGTATCAAGGCATAGATGACTCCGCAAAAAGCAGCATATGCTAGTTCCAGTTGCAGGACCTGTCGAGACACGTCTGCAATGATGGGGTCGGGTGATCCCAGGTCGATCCAAGAACTGGTGATTCCAATGATCTGACTGATAGACTCATCGGGAGTCAATGGAGTATCAGCTGGATTCAGAGGCGTCACAACGACAGGCGAGGCATTCCTGTTCTTAGTGAAGCCCCCTCCTGCATGGGACGAAAGAGACGAGGACAGCAGTGTCAAGACTCGAGAATGAAAGTGAGGTGTTGTGATAGGGCTCGTCACCATGTCATACTTGTCGAGGATCAGCGACATGCCGCAAGCCAGGACAATTGCGCCTTACATTTGCAGCATGGGCATCCTGTATAGTTGCCGCAGTGACCGGGATAGGCCTCTTCGAGTCATGATGCCCGACAATGAACCTGGGAGACTCCTCCATATCGGTGCTGTGATCTCGCGAGTTGTGCGAGTCGCGGCTGAGAAAAAACAAGATTGTCCTTGGCTAGAATTCGTCGCTTCCACAGTGCTTGCGCCCCACGCCGTTCGAGGATGTTGAGATCAGAGAGGAGAGACCATGAGAAGCCAGAGTCATCAAGCCATATTCACACATTCCCTCAGCGATAACTGTAAGATAATTTAGAAACCAAGACTCGAGGACAATGCCGGGCGCTGGCGAGGCACAAATTGTGGATTGTGGCTTGGAAAGAATGTGAAGCCACCAGCTCGATTTCCAAAAGGGACTAGCGTCAATTTTATTTCGGGAGACTTTCGCTGCGCTCGACCATCGCTTCATGCTTCTTCGCTCCTTCACCGCGACCTCACAAGCTGCACACGTCTCTGTCTTGCAGTCGTTAGGCTGCATTGGCGCCATGAGTGCCGCGAGATCTTCAGAGTGCGTCTTCTGCCTCTTCACGCGGACCTCTCGCCCGAAACCTCTCCCTCGCCGCCAGTTCCATACCTCTCCTGTCGCTCAGAAACGGAAACCCAAATTTCCAAGTGTCAAAGCAGATTTCAACCAGGTGGACCTCAACGAAAGAGCAAAGGAGTTCCCATCTGCACAAGATGCTCCGGCCCACTACTCCCCCGAGCAACGTGCAGCCATCCAAGCTGCTCAGAAGCTCATCGACTTCGAAAAGCTGCAGAAGCAGACGGGCATGCGGACAGACCCATGGAAACTGAAATACTACGACGAATTGACCAAGATTGATCCTGTGGTCGACAAGCCTGTTCGCGCACCTATGACCAACATCGACGACAACGCAAGGCTCAAGACCGATGAGGAAATCGAAGCCGACTTTGTCAAGTTCATGAACGAAATCCCAGACCCCGAACACGAGAACGACTATGATCAGGATTTGTGGGACAAGTTCGACAAGAACTTGCGCCTGACTGTGGGACGCGAAGAGGCAGAAAGAAACCCACCGACGGCTCTGGCTCCCGACCTGCCGAAAGTTGCGGAGCCCAAGCCACCGCAGCGAAAAAAATCCAAGGATGGGGAGGGGGAGACCGAGAGAAATGACCAACGGGTCGTCTCCCCTGCTCTGCTACAACTAATGCAGATGACTGGATACAGCCAGAAAGAAATAGCTCGGCTGCGGGTCAAGACTGTTGTCAGCCATCGAGTGGTAAACCAGACTAGACTGGGCAAAATTCAGAAGATATACTGTCTGAGCGTGGCCGGGAATGGCCAAGGCTTGATTGGCATTGGAGAGGGGAAATCCGCCGAAGACGCCCAAGCTATTCTTCAGAGTCAGTATCGCGCCATCCGAAATATGACGCCCATTCTACGATACGAAGATCGGACCATTTATGGTGATCTGAGTGCCAAAGTCAGCGCCACGGAGCTGGAGCTGTATGCGAGACCCCCAGGTAAGTCAGATGTGGCAACGTCCCTCGGACCTGCTTTTGATGCTAACTGAGCTCCTGTCAGGCTTCGGGCTCCGATGTCAACAATACATCTGGGAGATTTGCAGATGCGCGGGCATACACGATCTCGCTGCTCGAGTGACCCGATCTCGAAATCCCATGAACACGGTGAAAGCAACCGTGCAGGCTCTGCTAAGCCAAAAGCATCCAGAGGAAATTGCGAGTGCAAGGGGCAAGAAGTTGGTTGACGTTCGAAAGGTGTACTATGCGGGACAAACGTGAGAGCATCTCTGTACCTCAGGTATTGTGGGCACTGTCTGCTTCAACCTGACTAGTAAGCTGTACAAAAATAGTGAGGCTTCCAGGGCCTCAGGAGAGAGTCGTGGTCGCGTTGGTCGTCATCGCGTCATGACCTTGTAATTCATCACCACAACCTTCTATGGTACCGGCCTGTACTGCCAATCTCAACCCTGCCCATGGTCTGGTCCACCATGGTCGTTGCTGTCCAGACCCCCTTCCTCTGCTCCTTCCATTTGCCCCTGCTGCAGCACGATACTGTAGACACTGGCTTTCATAAGGGTGTAGACACTGGCGACCTTGCGCTCAAGCAGCCGAAGCCCTTCGGCTATCTCCAGTGTTACAGGCCCATTAGAGAGGTCTGCCAGGGTTGACGAGAGCTGGTTCGAACAATCAGCCCCGTCTTCCTTCTCTGTGAATTATATCACACCCTTCACCCTCAATGTGTCGAAGGCTTACCTCTTTCATGTTATTTGCCAATTTCTCGTACTCATCCAGGACTTCCTGCTCCAAAGGCGAAACTCCCGAGGAAGATTGGCCCGCCAAGTTCAGGATCGAATTTTGCGTATTGTTGTACATTGTGCTGTCGTCCATCTTGGCACGATTCTTTCTCGAACAGAACTGATCGCAGGACTACCCCGTTGTAGCTTTGGTCGCTGCAAGAGTCTCATGGATTTGGTATCGGCTTTTTCAATGTGTGCTAGGGACGGGGTCTGTGTTCGTTTTCAGCCAGACGCGCCAGAGGCACTTGACGCGCTCGGGCTGCGCGACAGGTCGGATGTGCCGCCGTATATTATGCTATACAGGAACGAATGCTTCACCGGTCCAGCCACCTTGCTGCTGTCATGGTTTTTTCATCGCTTCCTCACTTGCCAGACAATCACCAGCCTCAGGCTGCGCTGTGTGGCTAGCTGCTGGAGGATAGCACGCCGATTCCCTCATCCATGAGCAAGGAGGCCCTGTGGTCTCCTGGATAGACCAGGCACAGTAGCAGCTCGATTGTCCACACGAATTGCTCCCCGCACGATTCTCCGCGTGTGAAAGCCAGGTACGGAGTAATATGTGGGAGGGAAATTGACCAAGGTACGGAGTACCTCGTACGAGCTACGAGGTACACAGTGCTCATCCGCTAGTTCGGCTATACTCTCGATGACCCTGTCTCCACATGTTCACATCCGAGGCTCGCCTGAACACGGCCATGGATATTGTCCCAGTGCTGTAGTGCACTTACTTCCACCTTCATGATTCCTCTCTACGCATACCTCTTTCTGAACCGTTGAGGAAGCAATGGCGCTGTTGGCTGCTGGCGCTGCGGCAGCCGCAACAAGTATTGGCATGTACCTTGATGCCAAATACTCGATCCGGAGCGACATCGCTCAGCTTCGTGGGGCGAAAAAACTGCAGAAGCACGTTGAGGACATGTACAAAGAGCACGGCGAAGATGACTGGTCGTTTTACCATGTCCTTCACTCGACACACGCAGAAAATCACCATACCGACAAGGAGGCTTTTGTTTTCGAGGACCGCTCCTGGACCTACCGTCAGCTCCGGGAAGAGATTGGTCGACTCGCTGAAGCGTTCGAAAGCCTGGGCATCCGAAACAGAACCGTTGTCGGTATGTTTGTCAACAACTCACCTGAGTTTCTGATGGCGTGGTGGGCGCTGTATAAGATTGGAGCCATCAGTGCGCCTATCAATACAGCAATCACGGGCACGCATATCAAACACTGTTTGAAGATCAGCGAAGCCGAGTTCTGCATCACCACACACGAATTGTCTGGAACGCTGCTCAAAGCGTTGCTGCAACATCCAGACCAGGGCCTTGAGGCTGCACAAGAGTTGCCCCATCTGCGCGATGTGTTATTGTACGATTACAATACCTACCCAGCACCCAGAGACACTTCTCAAGGAGCAGTGCTCCTGAAGCATGATGATCTGCCTGCGGTAACGGCAGAGATGGCGGATTTTCCAAAGTCAAAGCGACCGAAAGTTGGTCCAACTGATGCTGCCCAGTACCTCTTTACGTCTGGGACTACCGGAATGCCAAAGGGATTGATTTGGCCGTTAGGTTACAACCACCTCTCTGCTTGCTCGAAGAGATGGCCCGGAATGCAGGGAAAACATAGGCGGTGGTATATCTGCCTACCCATGTTTCATGGCACAGCCTCATTCGCGGCTCTTCCAGGAGCAATGTCCGCTTCAGGCACCGTCATCCTTGCACGGCGCTTCTCGCGGCGTGAGTTTTGGGCGGACATTCGGCGATCGCAGGCGAATGCGATCTTGTATATTGGAGAGATGTTCCGGTATCTTGTACAGGCTCCTCCCGATCCCCGGTTCCCCGATGAGAAGAATCACGCCGTCGACCTTGCGTTTGGGCTTGGCCTGGCTCCCGGTGTATGGCGTGCAGTGAGAGAGAGATTTGGCATTCCCTGGATTGTCGAATACTACTCCGCGAGCGAGGCTACCATATCCCTCGTGAACTCGAACAAGAACGATCTCGGCGTGGGAAAGGTTGCGCGCTACGGCGCCATCATGAGAAGCAAGTGGTTCGGCCAAAGTACTTTCGCAATTGTCAGGGCCGATTTCGAGACCGGAGAGGTAGTGAGAGATCCGCGGACAGGGTTTTGTATAAAGACCAACCCAGGAGAAGTGGGCGAGGCGATCTGTAAAATTGCGCCTCCGATCCAGAGAAAGCACGATTACATCGGAGTAGGAGGAGAAGAGGCCACAGACAAGAAAACACTGAGAGACGTCTTTGAGAAGGGCGATGAGTATACAAGGATTGGGGATGCTTTGGTGATCGTGAGTACTGTCTTTCCGTCTCTGCGTTGACTTGCTAAGATCCATGGCTGCTAAAGGATGAAGACGGGTTTATCTCCTTCCGAGATCGTCTCGGGGACACTTACCGGGCCAAAGGACACAATATTTCCACGACCGAGGTGGAGGCGTGGCTCAGTCGTCATCCACAAATTGCCTCGGTCAACGTGTATGCTATCCCGATGAACCGGTACGGGTACGATGGGCAGTTGGGCTGCGCAGCGATTACCTTGCAAAATGTGTCCGCTGACCAGCTCGACCGAGCATACCGCGACACCATATCACAGTTGGAGGAGTGGCTCCAGACATCAGAAAGCGCTCTGCCCCGATATGCGGTGCCGCGGTTCGTGAGGGTCCTTGTCAACGATGGTGCTGCGCCAGACTCCGGAGCTATGAGCGGTGACAGTGGTAGTGAGAGGGTGTCGGCCATCATGAAGAAGCTGAAGACGGGTCTCCGCAAAGACGGTGTGTTTGCCCACCTCTCAAACTCTACCCGTCCAGCGGTCTTGACTAACGAGAGTGACCAGGTTTTCTGATCCCAGAAGGCAACCCAGACCGGATGTTTTGGATCGAGAGGGAAGGAGAGGGATACATACCTCTCACACCAGAGGCCGTCCAACGGCTTCTTTCTGGCAAGGCTCGATTATGAGGTCCCCCTGAGCTCGGATACCGTCGACAATAAGCCACTGTCGGTCTGGCCGAATCCTTCTGGCGACTATTGTGGCAGCTAGTGTGGACCCCAGCAGGTTAAGCAGCGGATGATGCCGATCCCCTGTCGTTCGACTGCCCGATTCGCGACAGCGAACCACGTGTTCGAGCCGTGCGGCCGGGAGACGCGCCACGATCGTTCAGTAATTCGCCGGCACGGCAGGGACACAGTACGGAGTACTCTGTACGCTATCGGTACTTAGTTAACATTCGGTGAAGGTGATTGGGTGATGCTCGACTGCTCTCCTCTCCATATCGTCAGGTATTTTTTGATCAAATGTGCGCCAAAGTGTACAACCCGGCCCTGGCTGTAGTATTGCGACAGGGGCTGTGTGTGGTAAACCCGAGTTAGCACGTCGCTTCACGCTTGCACGTGGAGGTTCAAAAACTTGGAGAACATCAACAAGGTAGGCGAGTGGTTGAACAAGCACCCGTATTATCTATGGGCGGGGCAAGGATGAAGGATGGTGACTCGTGCGGCGACGATAGTCTTCACGTCAACAGCAATCTTGATTTCGCGCAGTGCCAAAGCACCGGAAATGCGCTACACGGAGTGGGAATCACGCTTGCAGATTCGTGTTTCCGGGGGGAAAGGTGTGGGGGGCCGCAGTCTAGACACATCTACACCCACTCTTCCCACGGGACTATGAGGCGACGGTCTGCTTCTTCAGCTCGAACGCCGCAAGCCTCCTTTTGCGCCATTCAACAGCACAGCTTTCAGTGCCCAAGGCTTGTCTCTGCAGGCCAAGGTCGTCAGCAACGACGTTTTCGCGGCCCACCAATCAACCGGCATCCCCGTTCGTGTTGAATCGGACATTCTCATTGTCCGGCCTCTGCAGCAATTGCAGCGATTGGACGGTAGTTGCCTGAAGCGGTACGAAAAGACGCCCTGGCAATTGTTCAGCCATGGGTCCCCCTTCCTGCGTGTACGGAGTATTTGCAAGCATTATCTGCCTCCGCAGCGCTGGCCCCCTGAAGAGCAGAATCAGCCGGAGGGGAAGCGGTCAAATGGCGCCTCCGTGCTCTGCTTGCTAGTTGCCTCGATTTGACTCGAGCGCTGGACTCTTATCTGGTCCGAAGCCACGCCCACTCGGCAGGCTCTCATCGCCATGTGTCTGTCCGCTGTGGGCGTCCATAAACATTGGTCCCAACCATCCACCAATGTTCTGGCCTTGTGAAACTCTAGCAGCACTTTGGGCCTCGCTTGCATGACCCTTTCGGCGGCGGCCCATCAACACGAGTCAACTCTGTCCACCTAGACGGGCGCGCAGGTTGTAACGAAAAGGCTGCGTTACGAGCCTGTCTGTGGGACTTTCGCACGACATTACCTGTGCACCTATAGCCTGATCAGCCTCAGCTCAAGTACCAGGCCTTCTCCCACTTTTCGATTTCTCCTGTTTGTCGCTCCTTGTCTCCCTAGCTAAGGTCATTTCCGTCCTCGGCTAGATTCCAGGATTGTCACGAAAAGAGCCAACGGCGTCTCGATGAGGTAATACAGACTACCTCTGCTCCTCTCACACCTCGCTATACACCCTGGAACCGGACTACGCGCAACGCAAAGACCACCGCAATGGATGTTATGTCGGTCGAGTTATGTGTTCAAGCAGGTAAGCTCGATCTCGTTTCGTCCCCAACATCCTCCACACCATGCCGTCACTGTTGATGAACGGTCATGGTGCACGACTGGACACGGGCTTTTCATTTCATCTTCATACGACGAGCGTCCTGCCTAAACGGGCCAAATGTCCGAGTTGATGCCTCTGGTTGGTACAGGCTGGTGCTCGGTCGTGCAACAGGGTGCAGTCTCGATCTGGCTACGGGGGCTCTGTTCTGAGATGGTTCTGTACGACGGTGTTGAACCCTATACCATGCCGACGGTCTGCATGGTTGCGCAGTTGTGACAGGCGTCACTTGTGTCGGAACCATGATGTATTTGTTCATTTACGCCGATGGAAGCCGACAGCCACTGACACCTTGTCGGCCACAGTCACGGACGCTTATCGGGACGCGGCAAAGCTGGTACAGCGACTTAGAGACAAGTCACAGAGGTCGGAGGAGTTCATCCTGCCGGAGCAGCTGACGAAAGACTTCGAAGACTCGCTCGCGCTAGGCTCTGGCGCCGTGCGGAGTCAATACGATCGCGATGTCCGTCGCTTTGGCGAGACATATGCTCGAGGCGACGCTATTGCCCGGGAACAGATGAAGGACATTCTCATTCACCTTCAGCAAGACGTCATCTCACACCTGCGAGAAGTGTTCATGGACGAAGCGGCTCTAGACCTCCACATGCTGAAGGAGACGTCGGACGACTGCCAAGTCAATGCGACGGTATGCTTGGGTCAGCTCTATCAGCGCATGTCTACGGCTACGGCGGTAATGAAACAAATGGCGCGTCCGTATATCGACGAGCCAGACAAGGTCCAACTCCCGGGTTCGCTGGCCTATTCAAGCAGCCGCAGCACGCACTCCTCGTTTGGCGGACGACCCTATGATCTTCAGTCGACTGGATCGTATACGACCTATAGCTCACGAACGGCTATAGGCCATGACCACAAGGTATCCGGCGGCTTGACGCCCCAACGCAGGATCTCTATGAACTCGACACACTCTTATTCAAGCGAACCTCCGAAGATCCGTACGCCAGGTGAAGACAACGTGCCGGCTCTCCCTTTTGCTGCGCAGCGACAGCCCAGCCAGGGTGCTGTGCACACCATCTCCGATCCTTTGAGACAATATTACCGACCAGAAGAGCGCGTGCCTTCACCCAATGCTGGGCCTCCACCTTACCAGCAGGATCTACTGAGACCCGTCTACGCCACTGACGACAAGGGACAAAGGTTTCCTCCCGACTCAAGCTTTTATCAACCGCCACCAGTAGATGTGCACAAGCACGTGCCACAAAGTCCTCCACAACAGCCCAGCCCACGGCTAGTCGCCGAGATGAATCAGTCAGGCGCAACAACCCCAGCACGATCGCATGAGCTAGATACTGGGCCACCAGCCGACCGACAAGCCGAAGAAGAGAAGGAGGCGACAACACCGAGCTTCCCTCCTCAAAGTCCTCCGTTGAGTCAACGCCAGGCTGTCCCCGTGAATCCAGACTACCCCACGCTGGAGTTTGTTGCAACAACAAACTCTCGGGGGCGACCACCTCCCCCCTCAATACCCACCATACCGGAGAACCAATATCAGCAGTTCTTGCACCAACTACCTCCGCAACTGCAGCAACAAGTTCAGCAATCCATGCCGGTCTCATATCAACATCAACAGCAGGCAGTGGCAAGGCAGCCGATCCTAAACTCTCCCATCTCGCGACCGCAGACCAGCAACACAGAGGCAGAAGCCCTGCCCGCGCCGACGGACCCTCTCTTTCACCAAAGGGTGGGTGTGTTATCAGCTTGTCCATTGGTAACACTGCTGACATCCCAGGTTCCTCCGATCCCTTCGGTTCCCCGGCCACTCTCGATACGATCGACGAGCTCGACCGGGTCCAAAATTGCATCATTTGCAATCCGGAAAGGGCTCCCGCCTGGGATCGCCGACGCGATACACAAACCTTCCCCAGGAGCGCTCGATGCCCAGTTCAACGGCCAGCCTCGCTATGTCAGACCGAAGCCGCTCGAGTTCAGCAACAGTAGGGAAGGATCGCAGGTGGTTAGCCCGACTTCTCCGATAGCGCAACAAATAGATAGCATGCTAGAGGGCATGACGACGAAATCGGCATCAGCGTCGGTATCGACCGCAGACAATGGATCCTTGGAAGCAAAGATGCGAGTTTCCGGAGTACCGATCATCTCGCCAGAGCTGCAAATATCTCGATCACAGCTCAACATACCAAGCGAGTCGAACCTAGCAGGGTTCTGCAAAGGCGCAGTGCGACAACAACTCGGGGCCCGGAAGAAGGGCTTTACCCTCGAACACAAGAGAGGCCTCAAGGGACACGAGTATTTCTGGCGGTGCAGCAAATGCAACTTTGAAGGGCCGGCGGCCGTGTCCAAAGCACTGCCCAGCGGCGGCCGGGGCTCAGCCAAGGTGGAGAAGACATTGGATACGACAGTCCGGGGCTCGGCAGGCGGCGTCAGGTACCGGTGGAACCTCCTTGCGAAGAGTCACGTGTCCAAGAAATTGACGATCGGCGATGCGCTCAACAGCGGCGACATCTTCGCGTGCTATTTCTGTTGCGCCGAGGGAGCGGCCAAGGGCTGGCTCGACAATGGTGTGACGACCCAGCTCGCCAACCTGGGCGTTTTCGGCGAGAAGAAAGCGACGGCGGTCAACGTAACGCCCACGTTCTATGGGCTGGACGCATTCTTGGCACATCTGGAAACACATCGACTGCCGCATCGCACGCCGGGCTTGATTGTGGCGAATGAAATGAACTGCATCATCGGGAGAATTGCGCTTGACCACGAGGATTTCGATCTCAATCTGCCGCCGTGAGGGGATCGAAAGCCGAAAGACAGGAGCACCGGAATCAGACTTTGCTGGGCAGAAAGACTTTGTTTGCGAAAGCAGCAGCAGAGAATAATGTGGGTCTATAGAGAAAGTGTCTACTGTGGTAGATGAAGGTTAGGTACGATGATGCAACGATGGGGACGCTGTCCGGAGATATCACACAGTATGCATATGAAGGCGAGCTAGAAAAGCCGATGCCGAATTTCGACCATTCTAGACAGGGAAGTCCCTCACGGTGGTATCCGGTCGTCAGAGACCGGCCAGGCGAGAGCGGATGCGCATGCGTGTACTGGGTACCTCAGAGCTATGATCGTGTGAGATATCGGCTGACTCTAGGTACACAGTATCGTCGTAGTCAGCCAAGCGAGCGTGGCGGGATGCTGTCAGCAAGTACGAGTCCATCCTGTGTACTCCGTACTCCGTACTCTGTACCGATTACAAAGTCACGAGTACTGGGTACTCCTCCTTCACCGTACGAGTAGCCGAGGAGCCAGCGCGGGATGACGAGCGACATCATCATGCATTATTATTTTCGCTGGGTCAGCAAAAGGTCAGTTGGTGGTCGGCTGCGAAATTTCAGCCGCATCTTCCGGCGCAAGACGCTGGGCATTTGGGCGTCGGCCAATTATGGCTCAACCTTGGGCTCTCCACGATCCGACGATGCCGGCTTTGCACTCATACTGGGTAGAGTCGCAAGTAACTCGACGGCGTGGACGAGCGGCGCGAGTCGATCGATGATTGAGTCCATTTCGTTCTTCACGCACGCTCTGCCTCCCGCGAGCCACGACACATTATTAACGCTCTGCCAGCCCTCACGCCGCGACATCCATCAGCACGTCAGACAGCAGCCTCCGGTCCTCACTACTCGAGCCTGTGGCCTGTGCAGCCTCGTACGAGTATCTCGCGGGAATCATCGCATCGCCTCCACTCTGGACTTGTCTTCGTAGCGGGGCTCCTTCATATCCGCTCTCGGCCGGGAAGGCTCTGGCAAATCCCGCGAGGCTGGTGAACCGAATTCAGGCCCCGGGTCTCCTAAGACGTTTACCTCTTCTGGCACTCTCGCTGCCTATCTGGTCTGCAGAGGCATTCCGCCCTCGAGCCAAAGCCCTCAAGCTTGCTAGCATCACCGTATCTGGTACTAAAACAGAGGCGCATCCTCCCCTCGCATTTTGCATTTGATGCCGCACGCGCCCTCACCATGGCCTCCGACTTCCACAACTCCCTCGAGCCATTCCCGCTGTTCATCGACTCGGCGCCTCCCAACTCGGCCAACTACTTCTCCTCCCCAATGGCCATGGCCGCGATTCAACTGCTTGCGACCTCCAGCTCACACCAGTCTCACGACCCTTATCTCCGGAAACCCCGGGTTTCCATGCCCGCCAAAGTGTCGAATTACCTCCGACTGCGCTACTATCAGTATGAAGTGACCTTTGGGCTGTATGTTATGACGCCTACCGAGAAAGTCGTCTTCAACTCGATCATCCTCTTCGTCTTCTGCGCCCTCCTCTACGCCCTCTTCTACGGCTTCGAGCCCTTTATCGTCAACAGCCTTTGCCGAGTGCTATACTACGTCACGGGCTCCATGTCTGGTGCGCCACAGCTCTGTTCATGACAGCTCGTGGCCGTGGAAGAGCATTCCGTACCGTGGGGAATGTTGCCGTGCGACGAACAGCCTCGAGTCAAGTGCAAGAGAAGATTATTGCGCCGGATAGCCAGGAAGGACGTCAGAGGCGGATTCAGTCTATACGACACAAATGTCTACACCCAATTCTGATGGCCGTCGAGCGAGAAACCCACCTTGGATAGGGTATCGACGAACGGACAAAGATACTCGTCCTGAGACGCGCCCACCAGGAAGCCGAGCGCAAGAGACCCCACCAATACGCTACTTTCCGAACTCCTCCCTATCATTAGGAAGGACAGATTGCTCGATCAAGGGACAATCTTCGTTCCCCTCGACAGAGACATCACACATTCGTTACTCCAACCCCGAATCTGTGACGTTCTCGCACCACTCAGACTTCTGGTTCTGGTGACTGTCGGCAGAGGGTTGGCAACCAAGAATCCGGTTCGTCCTTGCTCACCCTGTGTATCTGTTACACCTCCTCCTGTGCCACGCCGAACTTCACATGAGTCGCCAAACCCGTCGCTGGCTATGCTGGATGCATTGATGGTTCCCCATGAACGATGCTTGAGAAGTTGCCTGATTGCACGCCGTCATGGAGATTAACGAGCCCTATGAGGAAAATGAGGTACCACTATGATTATATAGACAAATGTACGAGGTAATACTCCACCAGAGAGATAACCGCGTCGATCTTTGCGTCTGAGGACGACTGCACGTGGATGTGAGTTGTAAAGTTATTTAAGGGTCTAAGGACCACGAGTCCGTACTCCATACACGGTAGGTAAAGCGGAGCAAAGGTGGGGTGATTTCTGAAACGCGGCCGCAGATCTGGGCAGGACGACGGCGTGCAGCCCATGTGACTGGTCCCGGCGGCCTAGGCGGCCCCGGGAAAGCTGGCTAGGCCTGTTCCTGAACCTGAGACAGCGCTCTAAGCCCTTCTCCGCCTAGACGCTAGACCCTTAGAGCCACGACGCGCATTCTTCAGCCGAGACACTGCCACGAACCTCGACTTCAAACCTCAAACCTCGCTCAGCGGCCTTTCATTGTTGACTCTCACCATTCTTTGACTGCCATCACACTCCTTTGACGATTCGAGACTGTTACGTTCGCTGAGTGCCTCGTTTTCTCCCTCTTTACCTGACTCGAACGCTCCCTCAATCTCTCACTGGCGCTTCCGCATGACATTGCCATCTAATCACTCGCCCCTTTGCCAGCTGTCAAACAAAGTTCGTGGAACTGGCAACGGACGCGGCTGCCGGTCCCGCTCACCGACCGTCTCTGGAATTGATTTCCTTCTCGCCGGCATCCGTGGCGCTTGGACATGGTAGTCTGCGTCTAGCCTCTCAACCTCGCCCTTGACGGCGCCCTCAATTCACTCTCTGATGAAGTGAACCCACGTTCGTTTGTGCTCAAGTCGACGTCTGTCCACCGTCTATTCTGGTCCCTTTTCCTCACCATGGCCGCCAACGACTACTATCAACCATCCTACGCGGATCCTCAACCGCCTCGACCAGTCTCTCACATCGCCTTCGCCTATAATCCTAATCAGAGTACTTCCACGCCTGACCAGCCTCGCCTCTCCAAAGCCTCCACCGCTAGGCCAATGTCTAATTTCTACGAACCTCATGACCCTTCCAGATACTCAATACACTCAGATTCGATCCCGCTCAAGCAGAAGACGCAGATAAATACCGGTGCAGAGGTGGACGATTGGCGGAATCGACCGACGCAGTACCCTCCGTCCCCCGAATTGCACTCGCCCCACCCGCAACTATTGCCGGACTCAAAGGGCAGGAAGAAAATGGAAGGCTCATTTGGAAATTACTTCAAGGGAAAGATTCCGTGGGTGGTTTATACCTTGAGTTTGATACAGCTCACGGTGTTCATTGTCGAGATAATCAAAAACTGTGAGTACGAGATGGCCCCAGACCAGGCCGGTTGATGCTGACGGGCGAGTAGCGATCATTACGGGCTCACCCATCATGATACACCCCCAGTTTAATCCTATGATCGGCCCTTCCACCTACGTACAGATCAACATGGGCGCTCGATTTGTCCCATGTATGCGCGTCACCCCGGGTGTCCAAGACAGTCCGGACCCTCCCACCTGGCCATGCCCGAACACGACGACGTCGGATCCAAATTCGCCGAGCAATCACTGCGATCTCAAAGAATTGTGCGGCTTTTCCGGCTTCAGCAACGAGGATCCAAATCAGTGGTTCCGATTCATCATCCCCATGTTCTTACATGCCGGGCTCATTCACATCGCCTTCAACCTGCTTTTGCAGCTCACCATGGGTCGAGAGATGGAAAAGGCCATCGGTAGTATTCGCTTTGCCATCGTCTATTTCAGCTCGGGCATTTTCGGCTTCGTCCTGGGCGGCAACTTTGCGGCCACGGCGATCGCGTCAACGGGTGCATCAGGTTGTCTCTTTGGCATCCTCGCGCTGGTCCTCCTGGATCTCATCTATGGCTGGAATGAACGACGCCACCCAGTCAAAGACCTGATGTGGATCATTGTAGACATCGTCATATCCTTCGTCCTGGGACTGTTGCCCGGTCTGGACAATTTCTCCCACATCGGGGGCTTTCTCATGGGCCTCGCCGCCGGCATCTGCCTGCTCCACTCACCCAACATTCTCCGCCAACGCATCGGGGATTCAGGCACCAATGCGCTCAGTAAAGCCCCGTACCGGAACGTGGGCTCGGAAGCAGAACTCAGCATGAATCCCAAGGATCCCATGCTCCCCCGGTCTGCCGGAGCCTCCAAATCCGCCCCAACGACGACCGCGTCCCCCGCCAACATATCGTCTTTTGCCAAACAACCCGTCGGCTTCTTCAAGGGCCGCAAGCCCCTCTGGTGGGCATGGTGGTTATTCCGCCTGGGCGCCCTCATCGGCGCGCTCGTCGTCTTTATCATCCTTTTGAACAACTTCTACAAGTACCACGACACGTGCTCGTGGTGCAAGTACCTCAGCTGTCTCCCGATCAACAATTGGTGCGAGATTGGAAATTTGCAGCTGAGTAATTCGACGGGTGTCAATTCGACGGATCTGGGGAAGAGAGCAGTTGATCTGTTCTTGCCCCACGCGGCAGACAGGCTCTTGGATATGTTGTAACAGGCGTAAAGGTGCCATGAGTCTGTTTACAAGTGGTATGAATACGAGCACAGCGATAGCGTTTAGCCATAGATATAATACGCACACCCTTTCAGTGCAGACAGAAGCAAGAGTAAACACAGACACAGACACCCAACACAAACGCGCGCGCAAATCATTGAGCGTTGGTGCAGACTATACAGTACAATGTTGTAAACTGGACTGTGAATTGAACTGTGGACTGTGGAATGCAAAGCCGTCGAATACCATAGAATGCCGTCACATGGCATGTACCCATGGGTATAGTGAACTGTAGACTACCGGGTATAGGTACGAGTACCATGGAAGATGAGAATGCCGTTCACATGGTACTGTATGTATGGACGGAGTACCTCTGGGTGGGGTATATTGAACTGTGGACGGAATACCATAGAATTGCCATGTAGGTGTCATGCCATGCCGTGATATGGTACCATCGTACGGCACGTACACGGTGTGAAGCTTTATCTACCTAGATAATGTAGGTAAGATTGATGTGATGCCCTGCTCTGCTCTGCTCTACTCTACCCTACCCTATATATCCATGTATTTTTGTTTCATATATTTTACTCTTCCGCTTTTGTCTAGCTTGAGGAATACTCCGTGCGGTATCGTATAGTATAGTATGCATACATGCGAATCGCGTCGAGTCGAGTCCAGTAGACAAGAATAGGCATAGGGATACTGATACAGGGAGAGAGGTAGTGATAATCGATATCGATACTCAGGATACTGTCCAAACCATCCCGCCTTTGCTTTTCATTCCGAATTTTATGTCTTTGCAAATGTATCCGCCCGCCCGTCCGTCTGTCTTTCAACCAAACCTTGGATTCCGGCAAGTGTCGAGGAACTCAGATACTCCGACTCCATATGTACTAATACTAGTAATGACGAGGCCTTGGCTAGACTCTCTAGCCCCTGCACAGTCGATGCATGCACACGCTGCCTCCATATCCATGTCCGTTTCCATTTTCTATCAGACGCTCCCATTCCCGTCGTCATTGCCATTGACCAGCGTTTCGGCCTTCAACCCGACTTGCTTCACCGAGTGGACAGCATCGGGAATCTTCAACGTCTCCATGTCGTTGAGCAGCTTCTTCTCCAGTGCGCCGTCCGCCGTGTCTCCGTTCAGGCTATCTTCCTTGTCCCCTGCCTTGGCACTGCCGGGACTAGTCATGGTCCCAGTCCCAGGCCCGTTCCCATTCACCCTGGCCGCATCCTCGGTCAGGCCTCTCCGGATGGCAAGCACGTTATCAACGATGACAGCGTCAATCCCCTGTCTGACCTGTCTTCTCACCATCTTGTTGTCGTTGTTGAGCACGCCATAGCTGACGCACACGAGACCACTTTCTTTGACCACCCGCACCAGCCGTGGTGCTGCGACGAGCGGTTCCGCCGCGGAGACAATGCCCAGTAGATTCCACCGCGAGGCGAAGCGAATGGCTTCTTGTAGCGAAGTGGCTCGGATGTCGCCTGCAGGTGATGTCCCCGAGTCGGTGAGAAACAGAACCGGTATGGACGGCTGTTTGAACGACAACATGAGGCAAATGTCCGGGTTGAAGCTCGAGAAGATGATGTTCCTCCCTTTACCCAAGTCGTAGACCTTCGTGAGCACCGTGTCCACAAAAGAGTTGAGTTCGACGGCATACGTGTCCATTTCCTCATCTTCACTCTCAAAGAGCATGGGGTATTTCATTTCGATGTTGAAGCCGACTTCTTGCGGGATCTTTTTGAACATCTCCTCCAGTGTGGCGAACGGAGCTTGTATGTGGTTTCCTCGACTATTACCCTTGAATCCTTTCTTTTTGAAGTCACGAGTGTGTTTCATACGTTCGTCCATTTCGAGCGACTCGTTGTTATCAGCTCCGCTCATGGACATGGATCGCAACCGGGACGCTCGGGGATCGCGATTGCCATTCCGGGGGTTTTCCTTTCTGTTCAGAATCTCGAATGCCACGGGCGATGCCGGCCTTGATGGACGCGGGGTCCGAACATCATTCACATGCAGGAATTGTTCAAGGGTGAGAGTATGAACCGGTGCATCGATGCCAGTCTCGCTGACAAGGAAGTCGTGGTAGATCACCGGCACATGGTCCTTGGTGAGTTGAACATCAAACTCGACATAGGAAGCTCCCAAGTTTGCAGCTGCAATGAAGGATTGGATCGTGTTCTCGCCTAGCTGCAGCGAGCGTCTGCCCGCGGCAAAGTTCTTGCCCAGCCCGCGGTGGCCGATCAGCATGGTGTTGGAGGCCATACTCTTCCAGTAAGTCTGGTTTTCTGTGACGGACATGTTTGGGTGGCTGAAGGGTGTAACCACCAGGAAGTTGAAGGTGACGGAACCGATCACCTCAAGGTCGCTCGCCGCAACGATCGGAACCGTCACGTCGCCCTGAAGTGACATCCTCTTCCTCCCCACGTCCGACTTTACAGAGGACAACAAAGCAACACCACGGCCAACCACACGGTTCTGGGAGCCGGCATAAGTTGGGACCAGGTCGAAGTATATCTTGACCTTGGACGGGTCTGTCGCATGAAAGACAATGGGCTCCGTCGAGATGTTGTCTTGAACAGGCAGGTCGATAACCTCAGCCTCCCCCTCTGCGGCTTTGGCAGATACCACAACTGACAATGCGGTATCGAGCTGTGTGGAATGAGCATTCGACAGTGGAATCTTGTCAAGGTTAACAGCCTTGACAGCCTTTCGCGTGTCCATAGTCCCCAGGCTGACCAGAACCATGCTCTTGTCGGTCAAGTAGCGATGTCCAAAAGTTTTAACCGGTTCTGTGGTCTTCACATTTTGCCCATTTGATCCCAGCCCATTGGATTTCCGCTCCGTCAGCGCTGCGGACAGCGAAGAGGACACAGGTGGCGACGTTCCCGTCATAGATACGTCCGCTTCTGGTTCTGGCTGTGGCATAACACTGTCGAGTTTCTGTGCAATGTTGACATGTCCTCGAAGTGCGGCGTGCTCTTTGGCATTCCAACCTGAGGAGTCAAGTCGTTCGAGATCTGCTCCATGTTCGATCAGTAATTCCACGATGGGGGCTTGGCCATCGACACAAGCGATGAATAGAGGTGTCCAACCGTAGGTGTGCTCAGCCACTTCGACATCGGCTTTCTGGTTGTCTGTCCCTTCCAAGAGCAATTTGGCGCACTCAACGTGGCCAAATCTAGCGGCGACGTGAAGTGCTGTATCACCTTGCTCGTCTTGGTGATTAATGTTAACACCGGCATTGATGAGCAGACGGACGATCTCGACGTAATTTGCTTTGGTCGCCAGTGCAAGGACGGCTGATGACTTTGAGGGTCGCTGCTTGATCCGCACTCCCATAGCCTTCTCAGCGTCGAGCAGTGCCTTGGTTGTTAGTGGATGACCACCCACTGCACTCAGATGCAAAGGGGCCCAGCCCTCTTGATCCTGCCATCGAGCGCCATCAATGCCCTCCGAGACATCAAACAGCTTCCAGACGTTCAGATGCTCGATGATGACCTCACACATGACCTTGACGCCGTATTCGGCCGCGAAGTGTAGGGGCGTCTTACCTGCACTATCCCTTGCCAGGAGTGACGGTCGCTGGGACGGGCGTAAGTTGTCGAGCAAGAATTGCAGAAACGAGATGCTCTCATCGTCGCGGGTTGTCAGTTGTACTCTCTGGTCTTCTTGTAAGATCGACCGCTTCAACGCAGGCGAAGGATGGTCAGCGGGGGTGATGAAGCTGTACAATGCCGTCTCCGCGTCGGGAGGCGTTTCTGCAGCGGGATCTTGATCGGCGTTGTTTTGTTTTCGGCCGATCGAGATGACAAGTCGGTGAATGCAATTGCGTCTGTTAATGTCATCTTGTGCATCGAGGAAGACGATTTCCCGGAGGAGAGATGCGGTGCATGCCCGACTCCGGGACGAAATTGCCCGCTGAAGCAGCGTGTTCAGAAGCAATTGTATGGCTGCTTCGGGGTTCTCAGAAGCTTGTTTAATGTCCTTGACCCACTCGTCGAGGCTGGTCGCATCGTCCTGACGGATGATGGCTTCGATCTTTGCCAGCTGTTCAGCCGATATATGTAAGGATGGCCGCGACGTAGTGCGCATCAACGAGCCTGACGAAATCGAGGCCACGTCATCGGTTTTACTGGTGGAAGACGAGGCGGCCTCGCCCAGTACAGAAATGCCATCGTTGATCTTGCTCAGTGAAGCAAACAGCTGGGCGTTGGTCGCGAACGCCAAAGGATCGACCTTCAGCTCAAGGTACTTCTTCTGCGCATGCGCTTGCGGGATCCTCTTATCCAACTTCTTTGTGATTTTGATGAAGCCTCGTCTGTTCACCTCGCCGTACCACCGCAGGTTTCTCAGCTGTCCTCTCAGTTCGAGCAGCGCTGCAAGAAGGTCTTCGCGTTCGTCGGCGTCGAGTTGCGCCACGGCTTGAGGAGACACCCCATATCTGTCTTCCAGGAGTTTCAGCCGGCGCGAAAAGTCCTGGTATTTCTTATTGTAGAAGTGGTCCACGTCTTCGAGGTTACGATCCAAGGTGTAAAAGAATCCTAAAACGAACTTATGAGTATTCACCGCAGGACCACGTCAATCTCAACCCGCTATCCTACCAGCAAGATCAGGACCATCTCCTTCCTGCTTCTCCTCACTTCCTCCTTTTGCGGCCGCCTTGATGAGCTTCTTGAGCCCCTTGTAGTTGATGTAAGCCGTTGCCCATTCTGGGACTTGGTTTCGAGGGAGATTCCGCCCGAATTTCATGATGTCTGGGTGCTGTCGCTCGACCTTGTCGATAATGCGATCTAGGTCCCAGCGCCAAACCGGCCTCGGGCACGGCAGGGTGAAGAGGTACAAAGTCAAGTGACGATAGGACAGAATGCCATGTGAGAATACGGGGAATGCCAACTAGAGTCAAACAAGCGCTCTGATTCGCACACGAAGGACAGGAATGAAGGGCAGGAAGCGTGAGGGCTCGGCCATGCTGTGTCACGCAGACTGCGGACAGGAGGGGCATGTGGAGGAAGATGCAACCGAGAACATATTGATTACACTCGGCCCTTTGTTTCGCCAGGTGCTGTTCTCACTGCCGAGCGGAGGACCGGCCATCCTTTGTGAAGGAGATGACGGCAAAGCGGATGAGCTTTGTGAGACAGCTTGAGTGAAGGGAATTGAGCTGCGTGTCACAATTTTTCGCGGCGATTGGCTTCTCCAGATCGGTTCCAACGTCGACTCTGATTGGCGCTGCTAGACCGCCTTCCCGGGCGGGTTTCCAGAATGTATTTGGTCGCCCCCGCCGCCACTGCATCCTGTTGCCTCCCGTTGCCCCTGTTGTCTCGACAGGCACGCCATGACCACGTTGAGTGGAGATGAGGCTTGGATAGCGATCCTGGTGACCTTGGAGGCCTCTCCAGACGCGACCAAGAGCCGTGGTCGTGCAGTGACCCAAATCACACGAAGCATCAGAGGTACGAATAGAGCTCAAACGGGGTCCCGAAAAATATTTCCAGCTCGTACGTAGAGAGACCCAGCAACACTCCCGACTCTGGCCAGCTGTATATCTGTACACGCAGCTCTTTTGGAATAACTCGAACGCCAACATCAAGCTCGAGACCTGTGGCCCACGGAGTCCTTGGTGATCGGCACAAGCCAGAATGCCGCTTCGCCTGCTGTCTCGCCTCTTCTTGTTGTTCTACACACCGAAACGCCGATGCCAGCAAAGATGATGGACCTGTGGGCAGGCCGTACAATTCATGGGATCTCATTTCAACGAAAAGGTCATCACCGCCCATTTGGTGCGTGTCCGCCGCCGTCTTGCATCATAACCACTTCGTCATCATCATGGTGCAATGTCACGCTGTTGAACTCCAAGAACGGGTCGGCAATCTCGGCCCCCGGTGTTGCCATGCCCGAATCCAACGGCACCCCCTTTAGACGGCTGGCCGGGCCGCCGATGTCGACGCTGCCACTGTCCTTGACCGTCCTGAAGTTCACTGTGTCGAGTGCCCGACCTTGGTGGGGGATCATGGGAGGTTTCATGTGTCGAAGGAGGGCCCATGTTATAGGTCGGAAGAATGGATGATTCTTGACATCCGAGGCTCCTGCACGAGAACCCAGGCGTTTGACCTCATCTTTGATGAGGAGCTTCCGGATGAGTGACTTGCAAAGGCTGGTTGGTGTCAGCCAACGATCAAAATACACACGTAAACAGGTGTACTTACTTGCTGACCTGCGTTGCGTGCGAGTGTTCCGGGAAAGGCACTTCGTCTCGGAGGATGTTCGCAAAGGTCGCATTTCGATTTTTGCCCTTGAACGGCGTTGTTCCGAAAAGCATTTCATAAATCAGAATGCCCAAAGTCCACCAATCGACAGCACTTGTGTGCCCGTTGCCCTTAATCACTTCGGGAGCAATGTACTCTTCCGTGCCGACAAAGGAATTGGTGCGGAAATCGGCGATGCAGGACTTTGTGTCAACCAAAGGATAGCCGGTTGGGTTTGACGCGTTGCGGGTCCCCAGGATCATGGTAGGAGCTCCGCCGGAATCAGACTGCTTGGACAAATCGAAGTCGGATAACATGATGTGTCCGGATTGGTGAAGCAGGATGTCTAGAGGAATCAGCACGCACACGAGGAGAGGAGAAGTTTGCCTCACTTTCTGGCTTCAAATCGCGGTAGATGAAGCCCATTAGGTGCAGGTATTCCAGCGCCGCTGTGACTTCTGCCGCGTAGAATCGAGCATCTTCTTCCCCGACACATTTGTTGGGGCGAGTCTGCAATGCTCTGAAGAACTCACCACCACTGCAATACTCCATGCAAAGGTAGAGATGGTCTTCTGACTGGAAAGAGTGGTATAGAGTAACAATGAAGGGGTGGTTGCTGGTTGCCAGAATCTCTTGTTCGGCCAGCGCGCGCTTGATCTTGTTCCGCTTGATCATTTCCTTCTTGCTGAGGACTGCTCGAAATCAGCATAGGAAGCGTGGTAGGTTCGCCCACACCTACCTTTCATGGCATAGAGCCGGTTGGACTTCTTCTCACGGACCAGGTAGACCTTTCCAACGTCGCCTTTGCCGATCAACTTGATTTTGTCGAAGCTTTGTGGGCCAACCTCGACGTTGCGCACCTTTATCGAATTGGAACTGTAGGTCCTGCGGAATGCGGCCGACTGCCGAATTTGCCCTGGCAAGGGAATCTTACCTTTGGCCGGCACGCTCTGGGTGCTGGAGTCATCCTGAGGGACCATGCCCAGTTCCGGCGAGGTACCATTGACCACAGCAAGCGGCTCTTTTCCGAGTTCTGCGGTCGAGGGCCGATCCGATGGGCTCTTGTTCCCCTTGAAGAAACCGTGAGTATTTGGGGCGGATGCGACTCTCCTCAATTTCCGTGCAAGCTCCTCTTTGCCTGCGGTGACCGGCTTCTCCTCCACCGCAGTGCCATTGACCTGAACTTTTGGGGTGTCGGGAGGGGACGGGGGTACACTGCCCTCATTGTGATGTCGCAAAGCCGGAGGACCCTGGTGAACAAAGTAAGGGTTGGCCTGGGCTGTAGGAGACGCAATAGCATCGTCCAGAGGATGACCTTCACTTGCAACCGTGGTCGACCTATTCCTGTTCAGCCCCGGTAGAAATCTAGACTGTTTGACAGGTTTCGACTCGGTCTTTGGAGTGGGCAGGCCATCTGAACCTATCGAAGTCTGGCTTCCACCACTGTTTATACGGAAAAAGTTCTTCAGCTTCGTCGTGGTAGGGGTATGTGTGCCCGATGCCGGCTCGCCATTGAAGTGCTTCTTTGAGAATGAGAGGGAGGAGAAATTGCGTTTCTCGGTAGCGGCGGCCATGATGCTGCAGGGTGCCAACTGAATGGATCCGCAGAATCGAGATTGAAGAGAAAACTGCGAGGTTCTGTTCAGCCGGCGGACTGTCCGTCCAAGAGAGGGATGAATGGGGCCGAACGAGCAGCTGGCCTGGGGCTGTCCTCAGGCGAAGTCGAGTTGGGGATGATACGGAGTGCGGACGACGGAAGGGACAAGGGTAAGGTCGGCTGCCAGCGCTATCTGCGGTGCGCCATTTCAGACTCTTCTTTCCTGGACTCGATCCTCGGACGACGCTTGCCCAGGCAATGGCTGGATGCGATGCCCAATGTTACCCAGCTTGACGCACCGAATTGTAAGTGGAAAGTGAGGGAAGCAAGAACCGGGAAGAATGTGAGGAGTTGATACGATGGGGAGTGGAGGAAGCAGCAGCCGCAAGAGAGGGAAAGACCTTTGTTGGAAGGTCGTGTTACCCGCAATTGCCTGCGTTTGGTGGGGATGGAGGCTCCTTAGGCTCCTTAGGCGTCGGCAGCAGCTGCACGGGCACCGCTAAAACTGAATTCCAAGGGGGGATCTGACTTCTTTGCCACCAAGCCGAATCGGAAAACGGGCCAGACAAACGACGGCCGAACCAGTCCAGGAACTTGACCATTTATGTAACAGGCTGGGCTTAACGCACTGCATCTTTGTCCTCTCCTCTTCAAGAATGCCAAGTTTAAGACCTCGATTCTTCAATAATAGTCAAGAGCCCACCATCGAGGCCAGTTCTTGGTCGGAGCGATCTGCTCTCTCGAAGGCCTAGACACTGGCGACCGCGAGAAAAGCCTTTTCCCTTTGTACTCAGACATCCTCCCTTATGTGCAGGTGTCTTTTCCTAGTACTCGTACGAGTAGCTTAGCTATGGCTCTGCAGTGCCTCTACCATCCTATCTCGAACGGGAAGTCATCAACGGTAAAAGTCGTCACTGCGCATAAGCATGTCAATTCTCCTTCCTCTCCAATGCTTGATTTCTCAGCAACTTTCGTCTCGCCACTAACACTCACCTTGAAATCAATTGGTTGTCTCATATTCGTGCTGTTGCATTGGGAGATGAATCGATCGTCTCCGCAGTGAACGCCCCGACGCTGTCCTGCGCCGTTAGGAATGCCGTCCGAATTACATATTATTCAGCCCTATCTGTGCGAAGTACTTGCAGATAACCTGCCTGCACTATCTGTCTCTGTTCTGTGCTTGCCTTTCAGTGCCACTCCTTGCAGACCTGGTACATGCTGAACTGCTTCAACCTTTGTGCGCCGCCCGGATCGAGGCGTCTTAGTATGATTCTTTCCACAATGTTGCTTTGATGATAGCCAGTTCGAGCCCAACGACAACTTTCTCTTGCTTCTCTGCAATATTCTGTGACACGATACAACCAACCGTTATTAGGTGCCAAGCGATGTCATCCAATAGACATGTCCAAGTCTTGTGTATGAATGCGCGTCTGAAATGAGGTAACTCTGTATTCAATCGGAAACCTGTCGGCCAATGTGCGGCAGGGGACTCTTTGGCAGTGCACAACTCTTACATGCTCTCTTCTTGACGCATTCGGGTTCGAAAGACGTCGTCGCTTACGACTGAGACACCACGATCCTCCTGACCGTATGATCCATAGACGCTTTCCGAAGATGGAACCGATCGTGGCGCCGGCTGGGGACTGACAGCTTTGTTGGCCGCAGCAAGCATTGACACTGCCGACACCCTCTGCCCGTCGCTCGGACCATCCACATGTGGAAGCCGGCCCATTGCGTGGAATTTCTGGACCGAGACCGAGGAGATGCCTTTGCTGCTATGGGTTTCCGATCCGGTCAGACGGCCGCTTCTCGGATGCTCGTTTGCGAACCAGCCAACCTTGTCATCCGCCCGCGACCATATCGGCGGTGAAGACGCAGAGGACAGTTTCAAGGATGACAATCTTGGTCCAGAGCCATTTGACTTTTCGATCGTGGAGCTATACCCACGGCCGCTAATCTCGCGCAGCATGTCTTGAGCACTGTGGTCTGTCAGCTTTAAGTCCATGTACGTAGCAGGACCCTCACTTGGTCAAATCCTTCGTCGCATGCATGGATTCGCTGCTTTGTTTGTCTGAGGTGTCGGATTTGCCCATGTGGACGCTGCTGCTGGCACCTCTTAGCATAAGCCTTCGACGCTGAGCGCGAAATCATGGTAGCATACCTTTCCAAGCCCATGAACTCACAATAAGTAGCGATGTCGGCGGGAGCATCATTGCCACCATCAGCACGCACTTCGACAAAGTTCTCAAACATCTCTTTGGTCACCTTTGGCTTGGTGGTCCAGTAGCGCTGTTCGAACTCGTCCATCTCGAAGGATGGTGGGCGCTTCAAGCCACAACCACGCACTTCGATGATAGTCCCGTCAGGCAGTCGAACTTTTGTGACCACACCGATGGGAAGTCGCATCGCGTCAAGCTGGACCTCATAGCATGCTTCCACAGTCGGCGGAGCACGGCCTGGATTGGTGGGCAACCAGTCGCTCGTCCCGGAATCAGTGTTCGTCCTGGCCTCTTTGGTCTCGTGAGGTTGTATCGTGGGAGTGATCACATGAGAGCCTTGGGGAGTGAACACGATCGCATTTTCACTCGAGCCCAGAGGGGAGATGCTGGCTTGACGGACGATTTCCCTCAACATCTCGTTCTGCTGGCGTTGGATCTCAGGTGGCGCTGGACCAACACGGACACCCCATTCGTCAACCTCAACCGATTCGCTCTTCGAACCACCGTCTCTGCCATCTCCCTGCACAGTTGACAGTTTCTCTGGAGGAGGCACGATTGGGATCGGGCGACGAGTGCTGTCGACCACGAAATCAGGCTTTGCGTGCCCTTGGCTAATGCCCTTGGGTTTCAAGCTGCTTCCACGGGTGTCGGGCAATGTCTCCGCAGCCTGATCAACCCGTAGTGGAACGTACGAAGTAGCCTGCACATTTAGCTTGCCATTCGGAGCACCGCTTGAGTTCTTTGGCATGGCATGAGGGTCTTGTCCCAGTTTTTCTGACCAGTAGGTGATCTGGTTTTTGGCTTCGGCACGCAGCTGAACAATGGCCTTCCGCTGATCTACAACGTAGGGATCCCGATCGTTCATAGCCCGATGACGGTCAAGGGCCTTGAGCTGTTCTCCGAGGTTTTGAAAAAGCTCAATTGATTCGTTGAGCATGTGCTCATCAAAGGAACCACTTGGAAGTTGAGGAACGGTAGGAGTAGTCGTGATGCCGCAGGAAGGCGGAAAGCCCATCACCTGAGGGTTTGGGATAAAAGGCATAGAGAAAGTCGGACCGACGCCACCGTTGAAGCCAGCGAATGGTACCGCACTCCCTGGATACATTTGAGAAGGCACCGGCATCAAGCTGTACGGATCTCCAGGCATGCCCGCATAGAAGGGAGAAGCAGTCACGGCTTGTAAATAATTTGGCTGCACGCGAATAGCATCAAAACCGAGAGGGATGGTTGAAGCAACCACGGTGGGTTCGGTGCCGGCGGCGAACGTGGCGGCGTCCATGACCCCATTGCTGACCGGCATGAACGGCTGAGGCTGGGGTTGTAGGATGCTATTGCCTGGTACACCTGGTTTTGCTTGATCGAGGCCCGCAGCTGTTGGCTTTGTAGTGGCTTTGGCTTCCTCATGTACGCTCTTCTTCTGGTCCTCTGGGTCTTGGCTTGGATGTTGCAGAGAGAAGAATGGAGGACGCTGTTCCATGGGCACGATACGGCCACCAGTAGTGACACGTTGGTGCGTAGGAGAAGAGTGTTTCTTGAGGAATCGCGCAAATCCTTCGTCTTTCTGAGCACTCTGCCCACTAGGTGGGACAGTAGGCTGTCGCTCCGGTAGTTTGGCCATGCGGTTGCCCTGGTAGACGATGACTTCATCTTGAGAACTGCCAGACTCTTGCGACCAGCCTCGAGGCCGATCGCTCGAAGTTCGTCGATTCGACATGACACAGGCACCCAAAGGCGGGACTACGCCAGCTGCTCTCAGGTCAGTACTTCTCGGCTTTGCAGTAGTCGGGCATAGAAACTCACCTCGGGCTGCGTCGTAGGTGAATTTGGAGAGGTCAAAACCGGTAGGTCTGGATTGAGGAGCGAGTTCGAGCAGACGCGACACTGTGTATCTACGCTGCCGACCAGCCGGGCTATTTGTGCTGTGGTTAGTCATACTCGGTCTATGTGGTAATGAAGCCGTGATGGTGCGACTGAATAGCCAAGGAGAGACCAAAAGGGGATCGCTGCAGACGGTTGAGCCCAACAGCAAGGCCGGTGCGGATCGTATCGTGGCAGAAGTGAGAGAGAGGCGGATTGAGTGTTTGCTTGACTGGGGACGAAAGGCGCAGAAGCAGTTGCCTTCGCACAGACTGAAAGCGCAATCCAAGAAGCTGGAAGGAACAAACAGGGGCGTAACTCACCAAGCAGACTCGGCCGCGCAAAGGCAGGAGCAAAGCGGTATCCAACAGGGAGAAGAGGCGCTCTGTGCGTTCGAATTGAGCGTTTGCGGAGTGGCTTGAGTGTAGGAGAAAAGCAGAATAAAAATACCGATGACGGATTTGAAAGAACTCCTCGAGCCTTTTTGGAGGAGGAAGTCCAGGGAGTAAGGAAGTAGGAAAGGTCCGGCATAATTAAAGGTACTTCACTATTGTCGTGCTGGAACTGCTTTGCGATGACAATTTTTTTTCAAGGCAGTATGTGTGAGGGTATGGCAGAAACCCTGCCTGCGTTGGCAACCCATCCAATTCATGTTCTCATAATTTCTCACCGAGTCGGCGCGATGTGGATATCGTTCATACATGATCGTGCGGTGCCGCTGGGGGTGTATATGGGCTGATAGGCATCTCGTCCTCTTCATAGCTGGGCCGCCTTGGTCGACTGGCAACTGTGTTCAGCCCTTGGCCCTGTGCCTCTTCCGCTTTGGCTTGGTCCCTCAGCTCCCAGCTTCCAACGCGTTCGTGGCCCCTTACAGGTGCTGGATAAGCAGGATCCTCGTTATGAATGACGGTTGCTCCTGCACCTCCTTTCGGTATGGTAAGATCTTGATCGCTCGCCAGTTTGTTGCCTCCTTTAAAGCCGTTCAAGTCGGATCTTCGTCGCTTCGGAACTCGGTGGAATCTGACCCTACCGAGCAACATCACTGCCGCGAATAAGAGAGCGGCTACTGCAAGAGTGACAAGTGCTCCAATAACGCCAGCAACGGCTGGAGACAGTCCATGATGGCTGGGAGAGAGCGCAGTTGAGGAGTCCAAGTTCCCATCGGTATTTGTGAATGCGGGACAGAACACACTGAAGCTGTTACAGGTGGTACACCAGTCGTCGATATTGAACATCAGGAAACCCTCCAAGCCCGAAATGAAGTCAGCCAGACTGATTAGGGTCTGACTGGGGCTCATGCCGAATAGAGGATATGCGACCAAAGAGGAGTAGGCATCAGTGCCATTCTGATAGAAAAATCGGACATAGATGTCTGACGTGTCGGGATACGTGTCAATATCCTCAGCTTGTAGCGAGTACAACTCGAATATAAAGCTAGCACCTGGTTCGGGGACGTTGTAGAAGGCCGCATTCTGTGGTGAGACGAGACCAGCCAAAGCTGCAAAGGCGACCATAGGCTCGAAGCTGCCAAAAAGCAGCGTCATCTTATCCGAAGCGCCCTGAGTGTTGATCGTTGTATAGAAAGCCTGGAGGATGCGGGTGGCCAGAGTACGACCTGCTATTGCTCGAATATGATCCCCCGGAATAGATCCAGAAGTGTCAACATCGGCGTTCAGCGCAAAAACCCAATCATCGGCAAGAATCTTGGCTTTTGTCAATTCCTCCATGGACAGGTGCTGCGCCGCCGTTGTGTTGTGGATTGAAGCATAGGAGAGGTAGTCGTAGATGTAGTATGCATCGTAATAGCCCACGGATGCATCTGAGAAGACTCCATCCAACAGATCTGGTTGCAGGCTTGAGTAGAAGTCCTCGGTGCTGTTTTGAATAGTCTCGAACGCCTCACTGCCATAGTAATCATTCGTGGATGCCAGGTAATTGGGACAATTGTTCGACCCACTGACCCAAATGGAGTTGAGGTCGTTGGTGGAGACCGTGGTGATGTCGGGGTACTGGTACCCGTTCAGTGGCGCCATGACGTTCGATCCGTTCTGAATGGTACTTTGACCGGCAATATAGGTATAGTTGGACGATGTCTCCAGAGGCGGGTACAGGCCTTGCATAAATGCCAGAGCCGAAGCGAAGACATACTGGTCGTCGGTGGATAAGACAGTCAGCTGGTCATATTCAAGCTGATAAGATGCAATGCCGGCAATTCCAGTCGGCTCAGTTGAACCATTGTCGTCAGGAGTTAGATATCGCTGGCGAATTCTACTACCAGCCTCGTACAGTTGCTGAGCCCCAAGAGGCGTTAGCGTCGGCGGCGTAGGAAGCACAAAAGGCGTTCTATCGCCATATCTGTTGCGAGTCAGCGCAGCCATTCTATTGTAAAAGATGCCATATATGTTACCGGGTGTAGATGAAAGTGCTCAAGACCTGTTGCTTGAGGCCTGTCTGGGCGGACGCCGTGGAGAGCAAAACGATGAGAGAGATGCACAAGGCATGGAGCGGAAGTCTCGCATCCATCTCAGCTCGAGATAGATTTCACATATATCACTTGGCAAAGAGTCGGCACGAGCACTACTGGAGGAGAGGCCGAGAAGCAGAAAGCGAGCAAGAGCAGCTGCGGGGTGTAGTGAGCATTATGTGCCTGGGTAGCTACTGGTAGCTGTATGTAAGGCTGTCCTGATAGCTCTATCAGCGGATGACAAGGACGGCCTGGGCGGATCGTCAAGCAAGCTACAGAAGCTCTGCTTACTCGATTTAGAGCAGTGTCCCATGATCAGAAGCTGAGCTGGTACGAGGCGGAGGGTAGCAGTAGAGGAGGGGTGGCCGGGAGGAGAGCTTAGAGCTTCGATAGCAGGTGTAAGAGGTGGGGTTGGCCAGAGACCTGAGACTCAATTCGCTGGATTTTGCTGTGGTCACAGTAGCTCAAGAAAGCATGACGCTCCGAAAGACCCCCCCTGGCCAACTGTTGAGCGAGGGACCGCGGGCCATGACCGGATTTCTGCAAGGTCCGGAAGATACATACTGTACTGCGTATCAGAGAAAAGCAATGGATCGGCCTCGGATGTCTTTGGCGCTTTGGACTCGACCGACTCGACCACAAGTCTCGCGTACTCAACCTCGTACTGGGTACAGGACCAGCCATGATCGAAGGGTACCGGGAGATGGAAATGATGACCACTCCGGATCGATCTACCTGCAAGCCAACTCTGTGGTCAATGCAGCTGTCATCAACACGATGATAACGAAACTGCCGGGCAATCCTTCGGGCAATGCATGCATCACGAGAGATGACCCAGGAAGAAATGCTGGAGGCTGGGAGCTGGCAAGGCTCGTTCGTGGAGGATGGTTAAGCCAGGCACGCAGTGACAGGAGCCCGCAATGCCCGCTTAAGCTTTGAGCTCGGTGCCCCTCACTTTCCACCTCCACCACTTTCACTGGCTGCGCGCCCCTCTTCACGGCACCATCCGCGCCCATGACGATCCATTTTCACCTCGACTTTTTAGCCATAAACACGTGACGGGATTCGTTCTGGCACATGCATTTGCCATGTTGGTGGCAGAGCCTGTACCGTTTAAGAGGCGCTTGAAGCAACATGGATCAGGTATCTGCCAGAGATCGACCTGCAGAGGCCATATCGCAGGGTTCTGCGCCGCACCAAGATAGAGGTGAGATGCTCTGCTGTACTTGATCCGGCCCCAAATTGACAAGGCGCTCAGGCCAGTCCAATGCCCCATTTAGCACCCTTACTCCGTCGTCGCCTGGCCATGTCGACGACAACCCGAGGAGCCCGAAACGGCGTCGCATCTCTACAGACGGCACCGCGCCGGACGTAAAGCCTGAAACGAAGGCGGGGGACTCAGAAAATCCAGCTGTACATGCAAATCGGACTGCAAACCCACACGGCCAAGCACAAAATGAAGAGACGGAGGCTACACTAGAGGAACAAGCAGGAAATGCTACAAAAATCTCTACAGATGTGCAAGCACAGAGTATCATACAATCAGCTTCAGAAGGTCAGCCTCAAAGTGCCCCGAGACCTCCAGCCGGCCAAGCACACAATGTCGCGTCACAGCCTCCCCAGCGACCGACGCCTCCCGGGAACGGTCCTCTCGAATACCTACCCATACTGGATCAGCAGGCGTCACAGATCCTAGCATTCTTGTCTCGATTGACTCCGGCTGAGGCCATGGGCTTGTCCACAAGACCAAATGCCGCAAGCAGTAGAGAGTATGCCTCCCTTCGCGCTGCATTCGACCGAACTAGAAGACTCGTCAGCCCTGGATGGCCATTTCTGCCACAACATGATTTAGGCTTGCAAGACACCATTCAGATCGAGATCATCCGCAAGGCAAACCAGGCTATCTTCATGTCGAGCATTTTCACTGGTGAGATTGGTCTTCGGGACATGGACCGGAGTTTTCTTCCTGTCTTCGTGCCTGAAAATGGGGGTTTGCTGAAAGAACAGGGTACTATGTTCCTCGAATTGAAGACCCAAGGCTTCATTACTGCTTGGAGGACAGGTGCTGCTCCGCCCGATCTTGTCATGCGTGACATGTTCGGGCCCGACCTCGACAAGGTGCTCCTGGCGAGAAGACCTGGCAGCACGGCTTTGACTGACACCGAACGGGAGTTCTTGCGGATGCTGAACTCCCGTCGTGGCATTCTAGAAAGTGCAGTCAAAACCAAGACCCTTGATCAATTACCAGTAACGTATAAATGGGAAGACTTCAGCCGGGAAGTCTCTTCCTACCTCATCAACCACATCATGAAAACAGGGAGCAATGGTACAGGCTTAGCAAATATGGAAAGAAATGGATCTACCAACAATCTTGATCCGGGTCACACGCAGGGTCATATTCCGGATCATGGCCTGCCTGTACCTGTCTCTTCGATGGGCTTTAATCTCGGCGAGCCACTCGTTAAGGAGGACTTTGTGGCGCTTGCGGCAAGAGCTGCAGAGATCGCCTTGCGAAGCACCTTGGGCTTGTCATCATCAGATCAGATTCCAGACCTACCTTCGTCGAATACTCCGACTGCAGCTGCAACTCCGACGAAATCTCGCGAGATATCAACTTCGCAACCAGCTGCACCTGAGCCCAAGGTAGCCGAAACAGACAAGACTATCAATCCGCCTGAACTGCCTACACCTGAACAGAAGGTTCTCGAGCGAGAAGCCTCACATCAGGGGAATGCGACGGGAGATATTGCGCATGTTTCGCAGATTGCACCTGTGAAGCAGGAGGCGGAGATGGCCGGAGGGGTGGAGGAGAGTCCAGTCGGGATAGATACTGCTGAATCCGTGGTCAAGCAAGAAGCTCCTAGTATCGCAGAGGATGGCCCTGCTGCCCCTTCAAGTGAAACGAAGCAGCCTCTCGAGCCGAGCTAGGAGGCGGTCGACAAGCATGTAGCCAACGCTGCTTCATCGACTGTAATGTGCCATTCCACGCACTCGGGTGTGGATGAAGCTCAACATGATACCTTTCTCAGGGATCCAACCGAGTCTCTAATCGCACCAGCGTCGCTTCAATTCAGCACTGTGTCCACTTGCCATTCTTGTAGTTACGTAGTCCATACCGAGTATTGTGGGCTGAACCCATTGACGAGGCGCACGAAACTCACGAGGCTCGCGAGGCTGACGACGAGGCTGACGGCGAGGCTGAAGGCTCGTCTGGCCGAACCTCGGCATAACTTTTCCGACGTGCATCATCAGGATCATCAGGGATTCTCCTGCACCAGGATCGCATCTTGCATAATTACTCGGTTGACCAGCCACGATTCAAACAATCTGCACCACTTGAATTGAATGTCACCACGGGCGCACTTGGATTGAGCATTGTCACACCTGAATCCCAACCTGCGGCACTCTAACTTCGAGGCGACTACACAGTCATGTCCTCCCCGACCAACGTACCAGGCGATGATACCGCCGGGCGGGAACTCGACCTCGACGCCGAGATGCAGGATGCGAGCACGCAAGATGCCGCAGCCAGACCGAATGACAGCACCGACCAAGACATGACTGCACAAACGGACACACAACAACCCACGACGGGTTCAGCGCCGTCAGGCCTCGCCCAGCACAACCGCAAAGACGTAACGCTCCGAGAATTCCTGAGCAAAATGGATGACTACGCTCCGATTGTACGTCTCAGCCCCTCCCCCCCTTCCCGGTTGAAGAGAGCTCTATGGCGCACCCCAACAATGACCTAACTTATGCGTTCGAGCAGATCCCCGATGCGGTAACGGCACACTATCTGACCCTCGCGGGACTTCCGCCTCCCTCCATCTCCGATCCCATTGGCGCAAGCACAAACACCACGCCCCTCCCGCTAGCCCGGCTGCTCGCGCTTGCGACGCAGAAATTCGTCGCCGACGTCGCCGCCGACGCTTACCAATACTCGCGGATCCGCAGCTCAAACTCGGCGTCGTCAAACAACCCGTTAGGCGCCGCAGCCAATGCCGGCGCCGGAGGTGGGGGCCCTGGCAATTTCGCAGGCGGTGTTGGAGGAGGCGGGGGTGCCGCGGGTGGCGCTCAGGGGGCGAAAGGCCAACAGAATACGACGCTCGGTGTGCAGAGGAGTGGATTTGGTGGTGGTGGGCAAGGTGGAAGTGGGCAGGGGAGACCAGTGCTGACGATGGAGGATCTGGGAATGGCAGTGGCGGAGTATGGAGTCAATGTTAAGAGGGGTGAATTTTACAGATAGACGACGGGCTCGCACAGACCGAAATGGGTGCTCATGAATCGCATTATGACGTGCTTTGCAAAGGGGAGTCAGGGGAATGGGTTGGGGCGGTTATCATCTGGAAGATACCAGATCACAAAGGAATGGCCGGATGTGCTGAATGGGAGGATATCGTCCCAGAATTCTTTTCGGGCGCCACATATGAACCTCAGGGACTCGAGCACATCGGCTCGTAGTCTGAGAATAAGAAGCATTCGCTCCTTGGAGCGGACCACAACTGTTCGTTCACGGATCCCTCGAATGCCAGCTTTCCTCGCAGATTAAATGCCGCCATACCCTCTGTGTACATGACCTCACAACCCGGAGGCCCGAGCAGGTCTGCAAAGAGATGCATTCTGAACCTGTGTCACAAACTTCCACCTGAAAAGCGACCGCGCTGGCGGAGAGTGTTCACTTCAAGTTGCGCCTTGATAGCATGTTGTACATGTAGGTTGGTCTCGCGTCTTTCACCCCCTCCGTTACTTGTTCTTGCTCATCTTATATGTAAATCGCTTTCTTGTCCTGTAGTCACACGCACGCGTCAGTATCCTGCTCCTTTACCCTTTGGACGACTATCACTCCAAGGCACTTACGGCACAAATTCGCCCAGTTTCCGGCCTACCATCTCTTCGGTGATATAGACATCCTGGTAGATCTTCCCGTTGTGCACCGCAAATTTCAAGCCCACGAAATTCGGAAGTATGGTCGCGGAGCGGGCCTGTGTTTTTATGGTCGGCGGCGTCTTGCCCTGGATTACTTGCGGGAGGTCTTGAAAGACGAGGTTCGGGCCTGTATGTGTGGAGGTGTGAGTGAAGTGTAGAAACGGACAAGAGTCTTGAGGGCTTCACGCCATACCTTTCCAGACCGAGCGCTTCAAGAGCTGAAGCGTTGGGCGCATTGTCACCGACAGAGCATGGCCAGATTATCCCGACGGTGCGTGCCTGGGTGTGGAAGAGACACGGAAAGAGAACTTGATCTCGAGCACTAGCCAATAGAAGCCGTTGCCGGATGGCTCGCAAGCTTCTCTCCACAGCTGGGCGGCGGATCTCGCGACTCGGATCGAGTCGTGCCTGCAGTTGCCAGGAGTCTTCTCGAAGGTGAAATTGAAAGTGAGATCGAAATCAGCGTGTCTTACTCCCTATTCCCTATTGTCATATAGTACGGCGACCCTTTATCTGCGCCCTGTCATGACTTTACGATAGCCCTTGAGTTCTTCATCCCCCAACACGAGCCACTGCACTCCGACTCCTGCTTCCTCGACCGTCATATCGCGGCTCCGATCATCTATACGCTTCCAGGTGGTCGCGGCACTCTACGATAATACTGCGTTCAAGATGGCGCAGGGCGCGGTAGGGTCGTATTCGAACCCGCTGAAGAAATTCAAGTATTGGCACTGGTCTTCACGCCAGAGTCTCGGGCTGACGAGATAACCTACAGACTCGTATTCTTGGGCGAACAGAGTGGTAGGTGCAAATTGTCTCCATCCGGCGGCCGAAGGTGGTCGATCAGTATGCTCACGAGACGCGCTACACAGTCGGCAAAACGTCCCTGATAACTCGCTTCATGTACGACTCGTTCGACACCACCTACCAAGCCACCATTGGCATCGACTTCCTCTCAAAGACCATGTATCTAGAAGACCGTACTGTGCGCCTCCAACTCTGGGACACGGCCGGCCAAGAACGGTTTCGCAGTTTGATCCCTAGCTACATTCGCGATTCGTCCGTCGCAGTCGTCGTCTACGACATCTCCTCGCGCAAAACATTCGAACAAACGAGAAAATGGATCGATGATGTGAGAGGCGAGAGGGGCAACGACGTTATCGTCGTGCTAGTGGGGAACAAGACGGACTTGGGCGTGGAAAAGAGAGAGGTTACCACTCAGCAGGGGGAGGAGGAGGCGAAGCGGGCAGGAGCCATCTTTATGGAGACGTCCGCGAAGCTGGGCCACAACGTGAAGGCGCTGTTTAGGAGGATAGCGCAGGCGCTCCCTGGGATGGAGGGAGAAGCTGAGCAACAACCGAACCCACAGAGTGAGTTCTATTGGCGAACCGCGACACTGACACAGACTGACCAGTGTAGTGATCGATGTTTCGATAAACAACCAGAAACCGGCAGAGGAGGGATGCGCATGCTGATCATGGGAACAAGGCGAAGGCAGCACGAGACGAGATTGAGAACAGGACGGAAAGCGACATCTGTGCCTTTGGAACATGATTTGTAATTGTTCTTGGATTAGCATGTGTACGAGCTAAATGCCCACGAGGTACAGGAAGAGCAGCTCTTGGGCATTGACAGAGGCCTGCTGGGTGCATACCAGCACCGAGGATGCTAGGAACAAGGTCTTTTCGAAGGGGGACCATGGCTTGTTCTTGCTGTGTTTGTGTTACAGGCAAGAGATCACGATTCATCATAGCATGGCGTTTTTGGCTGAGATTGCTGGTACATGGGCGAGAAGCATGGGAAAGTCGATGAGTCAAGAGAGCCGCTCAATGTCCAATGAATCAACATGACCGACCGACCTTTTCGACAGTTCGAAGGTGAACGCTCAAGGTGTATCATTTCATCGGCAGTGTGTCGTGAGTAGATTGCTAAGCCACGCCATGCAATTGACAGCACGCCTCACTCCTCCTTCGACCACTCCGCGATATCCCTGTACAACCTCTTCAACTCATTCTGCCTCAGAACCTCCTTCTCCCCTTTCTCAGGCACGTGCGTCCACCCATGGACCACACCCTTGACAGTTCTCCATTTAATCCCATCCTTCTCCCACTCATCGCCTAAGTCGCCCATCTTATCCTTCGGGGCTTCAATTCCCCCGTACGCAAGCTTCCTCGCCATGATCTCCGCCTCGTGACACAGGTAATCATACTGCGCACCTACGAAGAAGATCCTCTGCGGCAGGGCCTCCCGAGTTTGGACGCAAATAGGCGAGAGCAGCGGATCCGCCAAGTCCTGGCCCGCGGGGATATACGCCCAGCTGAACAGCGGACCCATGTCCTTCAGACGATCTTCCTTCCCGTCCGGCGTGGGGCGGTACGGTCCCTTGTACTTCCCCGTGAAGTCCACGACAGGGTACACGGGGACGATACTCCCCACGCGCTCCTTGATGCCGGGCAGTTGCGCGACCGCCAGCGCGAGGTTGCCCCCGGCGGAGAATCCGCCCAGGGTCACGGAGGCGGGCCCCGACGACGCCAGATCGACGGGCAGGTCCGCGTCGGCGAGGACCGCGCGCGTGATCTCCGCGCAGTCATGGACCGGGACCGGGAACGCGTGCGAAGGTGATTTCCGGTAATTCACGCTCACGACGATGAAGCCGTGCTGGTCGGCCATGGCGCGGTTGAAGAAGTCGTCGAAGCTGGGCTCGCACAGCACGAAGCCCCCTCCGTGGATCATGATGAGGAGAGGGTGCGTCGTGCCGGCCACGTGGGATCGGGGAATGAAGATGCGATTGCTGAGCTGCGAACGGATCGCGTACCGTTTCGTGTATGTGGGGAGGGTGTTGGAGCGGCGGGTGATGATGGCAACGAGGCGCGTCAGCCGGAGGAAGAGCGAGACGGCGAGTTTCATCGAGTAGATGCGTAGGAGGAAGCGCAGGCGCGTGAGAAGCGGTGTTGGACCCCGCGTGGTGGGTGCTCTGCCATCTTGGTGGTCTTCCGGTTGCTGCTGCTGCTGCTGTTGTTGTTGTTGTTGTGGTTGTTGCAGGCCCGAGGCTTCTGCGTCGCCAATGGCGGCGGATGGAGTGGTGGAAGTCACCATAACGATGACGTCGGTCACAAGGACGGTGACGGCGTGGTGAGGCTCCAGTGACAAGGACGCCGGTCTACTCGTGGTGTTTTGAGTACTTATGGGAGCCGCGGCCGCTGTTGGAGACTGACCTTGCGGCTGATATCAATGTATAACTTTACTGTCCCGTCACTGGTCGGTAAGTAGCTACCATACAGATCTTGTGAGGCCAAACAGTTTCCGAGTTGGGTCTGGTAGGTCGGAAGGCGGACGGGCAGCGCAATGGCGTCCTCGTGCGTAGAACGTGTCCTTCCAGAGATGTAAATGTGGGATATACAGTACCTCGTCTACGGACGTCAGATAGCTCAAGATCAGACCCCGGCCATCAACGAGGCTGGGTAGAGGGATGGAAATTCTCGCCGGGCAGTGGCTCTGAGCAGTGGCGGAGATGCTATCGGACGTCTTGGTACTAATTTGTGTTGCCGTAGACATAACCTTACCTGGGTTACTCGAGAACGAAAATCCTATTTGCCATTCATGGTTCTGATCATCGAGGGCGAGCGAAGGCCGCTTTAACCTGAGCTGGACCTGAGCCTTTGGCCGGCCATCACTGAGGGGTCCCTAGCCAAGCGCCTTGCGATCGGCTATAGTTACCTCTTAGTTGGGCATCTATTTCAGACGGGTAGCGGACCTGCCTTACGCTGCTGCCTAAATGTCCTTTGCGACCTTAAGGCCCGGCAGGACGGCAGAGTGGGCGGTTTGAATCGTGATATCGCAGAGCAAGGAATCTATTCAAGCAAAGTGGTGGGGCCTCCATTAAACCATCAGCATACGTCTATAACTCATTGCCCCCGCTCCGTTATTGCACCCAACAGTACGGAGTACCAACTCTGCCTAAACTTCCATTAGCTCTTTTCCCGCACGTCAGCCTCTATCCTTCTTGATCGTCGTCTCCCACGTAATATCCCATCAACAATACCCAATACACCAACCGGGGCCTTTGAGCCTGACTCGACTACCCGTAGAGCTCAGAGTCAAGCACATACCTGCCACTGGCCGGATCCCTGCGAGCTTCCCCTGAAACATGCCTCATGATCTCAAACAATATCGGATCGTGCTCGGGACCACTTTCGAAGTCTTCGTGAAATATCCCATTTCTCAGGCGCCATTTCCATTCCGACCACGCTCCCGTCCGCTTAGCCTCACCACATACCCGGCGTTTGGAGAAATATAAATTGTGGCAGCCATCCGTCTGGAAAATGACGTTCGCAATCTCTGCAGGAGATAACTTGTCTAGGTTGTCGTTAAGGATTGCCGCCACTTCACCGGCGGAGGATTTGAAAGCGGTGGACAGGTTTTCGCTAGAGGCGTACGTCTGCTGAAGACGCTCATTTAGGGGGTGGTCGATGTCCAAAAAGCGACCCACGCGTCGAGGAGAATACTGACAGAAATCTATCGACAATGCTCCCCATTCCGCTGGGTCTCGCACAGCCATCTTGATTTTGAGAATGTCAACTTGGCCCATTTTTTTCCAGTCCAGAGCCCCTGTAGCGTCATCATCCGGCAGAGGGACGAGTCTCGCGCGGGTTCTAGAGTGCGTTATCCAGCCCTCCAAATCGGACGCATTCCCTCTGTCGGTGACCTGGAAATGTTGAAAAAGGGTTGGAGAAGTATGTTGACGCGTGTCCGAAGACGTGATATAATACTCATTTATGAGAGCCAAGTAAACATGCTGCCACAACGGGAGGGTGGAGAATATGTGGAGGCCGTTGGGCCGGTCTATGTCGTATCCCAGTGTAAGTCTCTGGGTCCAAGAAATATAGGGCGTAAGTGTTTTGATGAAGTTGCTGTCACTGCTTTGCTCTGAGTGGTACCTTATCAAGGCACACATGGAAAATGCCGCCGCCGTGGTTGCTGTCCCTGGATCGAGACAAGAGAGCTTTGCGTCACAGTAAACCGTCAGATTGTAGATAACTGCAGTGGTAAATATCAATGCCTCGAGACGCGAAAACTGAGGGCATGTCAGGTAGCAAGAAGAGATTTCGCGTTGAAAATATTGCGCGATGCCAGGGCATGATGGATCCATCGGTTCCAGGGTCGCAAGGACTGCATCCGCCAGTTTTGTCTCGAACGAGGTCCAGAGTTTCGCATGGATCAGCGTCCCGTACCAGAAAGGAGCACTGGCGCTTGGGCCAAGGGACTCGGAACTAGCAAGCAAAAGCACCGTGGATGCAGTCGTCAGTCGTTGTAAGGCATCTTGCTCAGACATGCCAATGGACTGAATAAGTGCAGCACCCCTTTTGCTCTCAATGAGGAAATCGTGCGCGCTTCGATGTATGAATCTGACACCTACGCCCCACGCTTTAGCTAATCCTGTGTAGGACATAGTCTCCAAAGTTCGAGGACCATAGAAATAATCCCTCTTGCACTCGACGAGGCCTGCGCATCTCGCTATGATGTTGGTGTCCAAACCGACTACTGCCAAAGCGTTTAATTCTGCGTGGGAGTCGGCAACTAGGTCGTTGGCAAAGTCGGACCTGAGTTTCTGCTGATCTTGTGAAGCCACGAGTAATTCCGCGAGGTTTATGCTTCTGCCGTTCTTAATCGCAACATCAATCAGCCGGAGGTACGGCTTCGGGTGGTTCAAGTAAAATTTATCTTGCCGTTCAAGCAGGAGTGCGAACAGGTCATTCATTTCTGCGGGACATTCGTTCAGGCGCAATTCGAGGTCTTCATCGGTGTCACCTTGGCCGACGGCAGTTGCAAGGTCTTCCACGACCAGATATGCCCACAAGAAAACTCCCTCCGCTCGAGAGGCTATCCGGTGGGCGTAGCGTGCGGCCCGAGTTTTTGCCAGTCGCGTCTGGCAGTAGGTCTCGATGTCCCCATGATTGAAGTCTTGCAGTCGAAACCGTGGATATCGCTGAAGAGTGTCGAGAAAAGGTGCCTCTGGACGGCTGGAACAACAGATTTTCACAATTTCTGAATCGTGCACAATATCTTGAATCGTGTCAAGCAAGAGTTGGCGATTATTTGAAACCTCATCGAGACCGTCTATCAGTAGACAGTATTTGTGTTCTGTGTGGGAGAGTAAATATATGAACCAAGATTTCAGTTCTCTGTCGGTCCATGACGCGGTATGGGGACCAATTCCTTGGATGTAAGACCTTAAAGTCTCTGGAATTGAACTGCCTGTATCTCGGTAGAGCTTCTCCCAGAGATTCTGGTCGCTGTGCAGTATTTGGAAGCACAACGACCTCCAAAACCCCTGCATTGACTTAAGCAGAGTGCTTGTTGCTGGTCTGAAGAACCAGAAACTAAGAAGCCGAACCGAACTGGGTTTCGCCCATTCTTCTAAATATGTAAGACCTGGTCCTTTGGACTGGAAATCTTGGTAGATATAGGCCATAAGCGTCGACTTGCCGCTACCAGGCTTCCCATTGACCCAAAAGATTTGTTTTCCATGGCGTAGCCAGTCGGTGAACCCACGTCCGGTCAATGGATGACTGTTCTCTGAATCATCAAATATCCAGTGATAGGTATTAGCGAAGTCGGTAACACGTCCTTCGATCGTATTGCGGCGCTCATTCATTTCCGGAAAAGCTAACGCATCGAGAAGGCGGACCCTGAGAGTAACTTGATCTTGGTTCAGTAAATATCTAGTTTGACTCTGATGGTTCTGGGCTGCATCCTTGAGGAAGTAGGTCCTGGCTGTCGAACCGGTTCATTATTCTGGTCTCGCTATGCTTAGAGGACGTATCTTGACACGCAAGATGTGCTGTTATCTGGGACTTGGACGCTTGAATCCTGTCAGATATGTCGACAGACAGCTGTCGAAAGCCTTGCTCGAATTGAGCATATTGGGTGGCCAGTTGTGCCGTCAAGCTAGTTTCGGAAGCTGTAATCGCGGTCCGAATATCATTTGGCACAAGTTGAAGACGACCTAAGACCTGCGTGATGATGTCTTTCTGGCCTTGAGACAAAGCTTCAAATCGGCTTTGTTGAATTACGCTGTCCTCGCACGCTTTGATACTAGAAAGGTCAGTTAGCCTCGAAATGAGCCCCTCGGATCAAGAGACATGTGAACCGCAAAGACAGTGAATACACATTAAGCCAAAAGGACATACGACATGATGAATTGAAGGTGAGAAGAGATCGCCATGATAAGGCTGACGAGCGAACGACAAGCTGGAAAATAATAGACTAGACTTACTAGAGTTCTTTCAAAAGGCCAGAGCGGAGTGCACTATCTTGTCGCTCTAACCTGCCTCGAAGCCGGTCAACGGCTCCCCTTTTGATGACTGTCTTTAGAGACTTCTTGAAAGCTTCCCCGAGTTGCTTCTTGGAGACCTTGAGTTGATTCAGAAGCGTTTTGAGCTCGGCCGCCGCTGCAGAAACTTCAATTGCAATCTTTCGGAGCTTGACAACACGAGCGTGTGTCGTCACTGCCTGCTGTCCAAACGAGGCTTCCACGTCTCGATTTGCAGCCGAAATGCCTTCGGCATATTTTTCAATCATGTTGTTCTCGTCAAGCGACCCTCGCTCGTACAGTGCTTTGCAGACCTTGAGGGCATCGGTGCCTAGTTCAACAAGTGTAAGAACATTGCAGGCAAGTCCCAGGGCAGTGACTGGATCCATCTTCGTCGTGCGGCAGCTTGTGAGAGAGGACGAGGGCAACAGATTGTATCAATCAAGAAGATATTTGCTACAGAAGTCGCGGGGATGGCTCTTTTGCGTGGCAGCTTCGTCTGGTGCAGGTTGCGCCAAAGCTGAGTTGATGAAGTCGGCCCGGTAAACATGCTTTGGAACCAACTTGGTTGCATTGATTGATTATCTGGGAAATCCATGAAGCCATGGTAGAGGCTGGGGAGTGTGCGCCACAGTGGAGGCTGAGTATCTTAGGCAACGTGCCTAGGTACGACAGCCTGGAAGCCCTGGCTAGTCCTCGAGGATATCAGGTCACCGAGATTAAATGTGCCATAGAAGGGGTTAGGTTTGCAGGGTGGCTGAAACCGAACCTCCTCAAAAGCGTGTAGGAAGGGGCGCAAAGATCAGGGAATAAGAGACTGATGGAGATCTCATTCTACTGTACCGAGTCGAGGCAGATTTTGAAGGAGCGGAAATCACAATCAAGGGGAGCTTGGTATGTCAGGTGAGCAAAGCGGCGAGCAGCTAATTAGAATAGGAAGACAAGTGATAGGCTTTCCGTTCTCGACTCCCCAGGTAGTATCGAAAGAAAAGCCTATCCTCTATACTCGGTATTCCCATTCTGATTAGCCGCTCGCTGCTTTGCTCTCCCTCAGCTCACCTTCCGCTCTTGAGCGATCTCTGAGCGCTTCCCGGGGACTGCCTGAGCATTTAGTCCTTCCTCCTTTCTCTTTATCTATAGCACCAACATTCGTTAACTTCAGCTTCAATGACCATAAGTGAAACTTCTGTCTCTCGGAGAATAGTGAGGGTACCCCATTAGAGGTTGAGAAAACGGCACGGTCACGTGTTACACGTGACATCTCAGCTGCCAAGGCTCGGTCGCGGCGAGACGATCAATGATGGTGGCTCCGCCGGGTCGAACTTCAGGTGCGCAGCCTCTCGTCTCTCCTATCTCGAACGACTCTACCACCACCATTTCTCCTTCTACACCCTTGTACGACCTCTTAAGGTGTTGTCTTAATTTCTTGACCTCTTCTAATTTCCCCTTTTCTCTGAATATTCACCGCGACCTTGCAGCGGCCTCGAACGTGCTCGGGCCAGAGATCGAGACGTCGGCAATCGTGGCAGACGACGCGCAGTAACCAGGTACATCCGACTACTGCTACAATCCCATCTTGCAAACCTGACATGGGGGTAGTTCCGAGTCTGTTATGGCAGAGAAGAGCACACAAGATGTGGTAAACCAATCTCAGTCGGTGGGCGACGTCTCGCCTTCCGACGCTCCTGCGACCACATCCACACCTGATATCAAAGTGTCCGGGGACGATACGAGTAATTCAGCAGTGGAAGTGGACGTTGCCCCAAAAGAGAATGGAAACCACCCTGTTCCCTCAAACATCAAGATGGAAGACCTCGACGATGCCTCCGCTCGCTCAGATACCGACACCAGTCGAGCCGAAGGCAGTGTGGCGGGCGACAAGACAGCTGACAGCAAACCCTTGAAGAAGTTCGCCGCCAAACCCGTCAGTTTCGCGAAGTATTCGGTGCCCAAGGTCATCGCTGCAAGCGCAGCGGCAAAAGCTACGGAGAAGGGTATGTGCGCTCCGCTCTTTGTTCGTTACAACTAACGTTTCGTGGTAGCTCCCACACCAACTTCGACGACCCCATCCCTCGCTCAAGCAGGTCGCCCTCGGTTGGTAGCCAAAACCACGAGCACCCTTCAGTCAAAGTCCAAACCCTATCAAAGCGCCACTCCTGACCCTATGCAGGTGTGGAACAAGAACAGAGGTACCGCGCAGCTCCTCTTGCGCTTGCCACAAGGTCCATGCTAATTATACTGCAGTCACACCACAGCCTTCGACGAAACACCTAACGGACGAAGAACTCAAGCAGCAATACGGAATCCATCTGACTTCCCGGATTCAGGCAGACGGAGATGGGAAAGAGGCCAAATGGGCAGACATTGATGACGATGAAGATGACTGGGCGCCCGAGACCATCGAGTGGAACGACGGGACCAAGAGCACGTTGACCCCTGCCGAGGCTGCACCCCAGATTGCAACAAAGCCTGCCACACCACCTACCGACAAGCCCAAGCCTGCCACGCCCGTCAAAACGCCTGCGCCCCAGTTCGCACCTTCGATCGGTCCTAATGCTACCGTTCTCAAGCTTGGCGCAAGTGCCGAGCGACAGCAGGCACAGAAGGCCGCGACTCTTCAGGCGAAAGCCCCAGCAGAGAAGCCTTCCATCACCACAAAGGCGAGTCCCGCGCCGGCCCCAGCCAAGTCTCCGTGGGCGGCTCTCCCCCCGGTCGACAAAGTCTCGCCCATCGCCATCACTCCTCAGCCAGTGCCTCTATCGGCCAGATTCCCTGCAGGACGTGGATACACAGAGAGCCCGACAGCCCAACAGGCACAATCTCCAGCGAAAGAGATTTCTGCAGATGACTTCAATCGCGGATGGCGGGACTCTTTACCGAACCAGCCACGCGAGCTGTACATGCCGAAGTCAGGCCGCTACGAGGCTGTCCCTGAGGGTCGGAGACGCATGTCGAAGAATGATCAGAACTTTCGGGCGCCTGCGGTCCTGCAGAGACCGAGCCCAATGGACCCACATGCTCCTGCTGAACCTTCACCTGCATTCCAAACACATCGAACAAGCACCGACCAAGCACGACGTAGGGCGTCGTCTACAATCTCCGGCGGCAGCGGGCAGTTTGGAAGACGAATGTCGCTCAAATCAAGCGATGTTCACTCGCCCAGCCTAGACACGCACAGACATGATATCGATACTGCTGTTCGCCCGGCTTCGAGGGATGGACCGATCTCTGCCAGCCAGACGCCTACATATCAGCCCCGCGGCATGAGTGATTACGTGTCTTCTGGAGCGGCCTCCGCCACTGATGCCGATCTTGAAGCTCAGCGTGCCCAACAGAAAGCCCTGATGAAAGAGAATATCGAACGAGCAAGAAGGCGCAAGGTTGAAGAGGAACAGCAGCGAGAGGCCGCCAAACAAGAGAGGATTCGATTGAAGTTAGCATCTCTTGGGCCGGACCCTAGGCTTACCAAGAAGCAGGAGGAAGAAGCACAACAGAACGCGACTGGAGAGAACGAAGAGGAGGCGACGGCGCAGCGTCCAGTTTCAGCCGCACCAGCCGCTACGTTGACTTCTGCGGTCAGCACAACCTCGACTTCTACTCACTCTCCGCCAAAACCACCTCAACCACTGGCGTCTGGCGAGCCGCAACAGTACGGTATGATGAAGGTGCATCCCTTGGACTCTGTCAAGAAGATGGGGACTTCCATGACTCGAGCAGTGGAGCCGCAGAGACTGCCGGCCCGTGACAGGAATGAAGCCGGCGCAACCGAACAACCCCACGTGGAGACTTTACAGGTGTCTCCGCCTGTTGTCAACGGTGGTAGAATCGTCCCGGAGGTGCGACGGACAAGCGAGCAAGAGACGGTCGCTGTCCCCGAGCCGAGTCCTAAACTGCCCAAGTCAAGCACAGTAGTCAACGACACAAGAGGCGGATGGGGAGAGATGCGCCACCACGATCACCGGTCGCAGCAAACTTCCAGCCTGTGGGGTATGCCGAACAAGGCACTTGGCAATGGTACATTCGACCAAAGTCTTGCGGGATACTCGCCGCAGGATCTGTCTAGGACATCTTCCACAGCAGCTGGGTGGATGAATGGCAGAACACCTCATTCGGGCCGCTCGCCCCAGATACCTCATGCCAACCACATCATGGTGGACAACAGATCGTACTCTTTCCAGTCAGTCACTTCACCAGATCAGGGACCTCTTGCAGCCGATAGCGAAGTCGACTCTCTCTTTCCGACCACGAAACCTGCCCCGATCGCTCCGCCTCAACCCCAACAAGCCCATCCTGGAATGACTGGCTTACCCAGCGGGCCACGACCAAACGGTGTACAATCCTGGAATAACTTCCATTCGGTTGCGAGTCAGCAAGAGCGTGCCGAAAATGAGAGACTTCAACGGGAAGAAATCGCCCGACGCGAGGAAGAAATGCGGACTGGTGTTCGCCAAGGTCCTTCCTACATGTTCAATGAAACCTGGAAACAGGTCCAGACCGGCGACCAAGCGCAACGCTCAATCTCGGGGGTTTCGCAGTCGCAAGTGCCGGCTTCTGGCGCTTTCGGCGCTGTAGGATCCTTGGCCAGTGCCGATGCTGGACCTCGTGGCATGAATGGACCACCCGGTCGGGGGTCGAGGTTCTTTCCACAGCCCATCGGACAACAGTATCCGCTTCACGATCGACGTGCTGTTACGTACAGTCACCCAGAACCACCAAGAACACCCTCGCCCCCTCCTGCCGAGGACTATGCCAGCCTCCACCCTGCTTTCGATGGAGACTTTAAGAAACCCATTGTTCATTTCCCTCACAAACCTGTGGTCAGACTGCCGCCAGCTATGCCGCCTACGCCGCCGAGTCCGCTGCATGTTGAGCCTGCCGTGGCTTCGGCAACGGGACCTGCCCCAGCCGCCCCATTGACTTGGGCAGCAAGAGTCTCGATGCCACCTCCACCCCCTCCGGCACCTCTTAGAACCGTCTCTACGCCCATTATACAGAACCCTTCCTGGCAAGAACGATTTAATGGACTGTTGGGCAAGAAGACTTCTCCTGCACAAATAACGGCTGAGCCGGTTGCAGCAGTGCTTGCTGTCACGTCGGCGACTAAGGAACCGCTCGACGTTCAGCATGTGCTTGTTCCTGCTGCATCCGTCTCTCTGCCTGTCGAAGTGGGAACTGGATCGTCGGGAAATGATACCTCGGTCACAAGCAAGGATGTGGAAAGTGAAGATGATCTGTTCGAGGACCGCGAACCAGGTTCATTACCGACCATCAAATTTCCACTCGAGACGTCACAAATATCGATGCCCAGGTACTTTCCGTCCAGGCTCGTTGCGTCTGCGCCAGAGACGACCTCTGTGTTCCCATTCATGGTGGCCAATTGGTTCGAACCACGCCGTCAACCGGGCCGAGAGCTGTATGCGCTTATTAAGATGCCTGGCGCGACGAAGTCGGTGAGGAAGGAACTCCCTGCAAAAGGGTCCCCGATGCCGCATAATGGAGGAAGGCAGCGGTTCGGTAGTGGACCGCCCAGCTCCAGTGGTTCTTTTGGGACCAACAAAAACTTCAGAGGGAAAGCCGGGCTCAGGAGCAGGCAGGCAAGCAAAGTGCATTAATATGTACCACCTTGGACTTCCTACTGTACTGCAACACAACCTTCTGTGGGTTGGAAGGGAAACACACGAGGCTAGGGAGCATAGGCGAATGGCCAATGCTCGAGACACATCACTTGTTCATTCTCCTGTTTGATTGAGCAGGATGGGGGTGCTGATTTTCACGCCCTGAGCTCAATCATAGCAACACAACACATGTTCCAACATGATTATTACTTCAGACCTACCTATAATTCTTCCACGGCTCTCGTGTGCCTTGCAGCCTCCTTTCCAGCCATGGCTAATTACGTAATTCAAGATCGAGCAAGCTGACAGGCGGCGTATACTTGACTTTTAGATAGTAAGAGACGACCATAGCTTCTCTGGGAGACAAGACGCGCACCATATACAGAGAAAACACAGCGTCAGGGCGTTGGACGTATTGGACATCTTGGACATCTTGTCCCTGCCTGCCGGCGGTCGGTATTGTCTTGCTCTTGCTCTTGCTCTTGCTCTTACTCCATCTCAAGTTCACATTGGTGTACTGTAGCCTCACCCACGCACCCAGCGCCGGGCGGGCGGGCCGGCCGGCCGGACGGACAGACGGACAGACGGATGATATACTTGTATGCAGGAGGAATTTACTCACTCGGTCACTCACTCGAGTGCACTCACGCACAAATCCAGTAAGTATGTAGTCGATGGGCGTCGTAGGGCTGAGTTTAGTCGAGTCGAGTCGAATCAGGTCGAAGATGTATGCATACAGCATACAGCATACAGCATACAGTACACAGTACACAGTACGTATACTCTCCTTCATGTCGATGGGGCAATGGGCTGCCGAGATATACCTACCTACTTTATCTACCTTATCTTCCTTGCCCTCCTTGCCCACCTACTGTATGTACACACACACACACATACATACATACTTACTTACTTACTTACTTACTTATTTACACGTATACATACCTAAGTACGGATGTATGTACGTGCGTACCATCCTTCTTACAAAGGTGAAATAGGAAGAGACTCAGAGTGAGGGCAGAGCAGACTATGCGCCAAAAAGGAAAGAAAGACACGTCGTTCGTTTCAGGGGTTTTCTATCTCCATCTCGATGTTTCATTCCGTCATTGATTGAGAAACCTATCTAGCGTAGAGGAGCGTTACGAGGGCAGTGGGTTGACCACTACGCACACCGATACCGACACCGATACAGGACAGACAGAGACGACGACAGACGTGCATGCATGCCGCCGAGTATCGACCCCCGTCGACCTCATTGATCTTGCCTTCGCTTCGGTGCTCATCTCACAGATCGACTCCTCCTGCGCTGCCACGTGATCCATGCAATTCCATCGTGCACCTCAGTTGAAAATAGCATTGCTGCGTGGGGGTTTGGTAAGACACAAAGAAATCGACCTGTCCAGGGATCGTATCCGGTAATAGATAAAGTAGAACGAGCTTAAACGTCAGGGTATCCTCCATAGAGGGCAGTCGACCATGGTGAAATATGTAGGTAGTCTCATTTCATTCTTCGTGTTCTCAACTGGCGTAGTTACCTGACTGATAGGCTTTGTAACGGGCGACTCGGGGCCGCCGGAGACTCTATGGCTTTGGTGACAGGAGTTGCACAAATTCTTCGTCTGCAGTTGATGGCAAAAAAACTGTCAGCATAGGGCCCTTGACCAGCTTGACTTACCCCCAATAATTCAACGACAAATGCCCCCCCTAAGCCCCCAGCGATCACCGACGGGACAATTGCACCGGAGGCAGGGGGAACCTTACAGTCTATCGTTCCATTCCTGTCCTTGTCCGCCTCCCGGATCATCTCATCGATCTCCTCGTCGGTCAAGTTCTCCCCGAGGGACTTCATCACCTGGCGCAGTTCATCTGCGGAGATTGTACCGGAGCCATCTTTGTCGAAGACGTTGAATGCCGCGCGGGTTTCATGTGCGAAGTCCTGGGCTTTGACGGTTGTGGACATCATCTTGAGAAACTCTAAGCGAGTTTATCAGTCCTCACGCCTCGGTGAGTAGAACGCCGGGTAGAAGAGGAGAGAAGTAGAAAGGGAGGGTCAGGCGGTTACCATCAAAATCTATGCTGCCGGAGTGGTCGGCGTCGACTTCATTGATCTGCGTACGACGACCGGGTCAATTTCCGGACGCACATAGCGGCAATGCATGCCCATCCTATATTGACACGCGACTCACCATGTCCTGCAACTCGGAGTCGGAAGGATTCTGGCCGAGAGACTTCATGATCTCGCCGAGTTCTTGGGCCGTGATCGTGCCTGCGACGCGACAATGTTAATGTGGGAACGAGGCAGCGCGACCGTAATGGAATTTTCCATTCGCGTTCAGGTCGAAGGACTTTGGTGTTGATAGCGTCGTCCCGCTATAAGGCTGAGATCCTTCGTGGGGGAGATGCTGCATGCTAAGGCTGGATGGGACTTACCGCTTCCATCCTTGTCCTGTTCAAATATTAGATTGGCCAATTATGCTACCACAGCGCAATGATGACTCACAAAGAGGGCAAAGACGTCCTTGAAAGCCTTGGTCTCCTCCTCGGACAATGGTTTGGTGGCAGTGGGCGTCTACCACGAATCCAAGGTCAGCGTCATGGGCGCGCAGAACGAACGGGCAGACGAGCTGGATCCAAGCCAGAGATAGAGTGATATGAGGCTTTACCATTGTGGTCTTGTGTCTGCTGGCCGAAGGTGGAGGGTTGGTATCGATCTTGTCGAGTGTGGGCGACATGTGGAAGAGGAGAAAATGGATGCAGGCTGGGATATGTATAGCAGGAGGTTGTGTCCCAGTTCGTGACTGTGACAGGGGGAAATGCAGGCCGCCTAGTGGAACAGGTCAAGCTGGTCACTCTCGGAACGGTGCGTTCGCGTCTGCTGATTGCGTGGATCAGACTGGGCTGAAAGGTGTTCAGGCTGCAGAAGGATTCAAAACACACACCACTGGGTCGGGTCGCAAGCTTTGGGTTCGCTGTCCGATAACGTCAGACCAGGAGAGGAAAATAGGCCGCAAGGTGTGTTTTGGATATCGGGCTGAAAGCAGCAGCTGAAACAAGGCGTTGATTTGATGCCTGAGAATCGGCCGTTTGCTTGGATGTGACTTGTCGGTGAGGTCAGCGTGAAGCCATGGCGGGGAAGAAGGAGGGGGCCAGATGCACGTGCTCGCTGACTACGAAAGGCGAGGCGCGGCGAAGGTGCGTGGCGGTGGTGGCGGCGCACTGAGTGTGGCGGCTTGGCACATATGGGGTTTCAAATGACGGCGTGAATGACGCTTTCTATGACGAGAGTGTTACTGCCCGCTGAGACTGTTCGCCAGAGGAGCAGTAGAAAGAGCCGCTTAGCCCTCGATCGTCGCATTTTGGAACCGACGACAGGGCAATAGTTAAGCCGCGTGTGCTGTATAAGTGACATCGACCGTATGCTGCCAACATCTCCAAGATTCCGCTCCTTTGCTCGACCTTCTGCAATGCTGCATCAAGCCATGTCAAGCACCAGCTCAGGGCCCAGGACTGGCAAGCTGATATGTAAGTGTAACCTGACTATCAAGGATCCATGGTGGAAGATGTCAGGAACCGTGGGGGGAAAAAATAGGGTGGAAGTGCCTCGCCCTGCTGGTGATCTCGTCTAGGCCCCGTCGCGAGAGGAGCTCCCGTCTAACTCATATCTTTCCAGTCGCCCCGGGCGCGCCACCTTCCGACCCCAGCGACGAACCAAAGCCCTCACAGGCGGCGCAGTTTACACAATCCAAGCTCACGCGCTCTCAGCTGGATGCCAACCCCGTCGTTCAGTTCCACAAATGGTTCACCCACCCGTCACTCGCACAAACCGTCCCTGAAACCGTCACCCTCAGTACTGCAAGTTTACCCTTTGGCCGGGTCTCTTCTCGCATGGTATACCTCAAAGAACTCGACAGCAAGGGCTTCGTCATTTACTCCAACTTCGGCACGTCTCGAAAGTCAAAGGACCTTGCAAGCAACAAGTTCGCGAGCCTTTGCTTCTGGTGGAAGATCATGGAGAGGCAGGTCCGCGTCGATGGGGTGGCCGAAAGGTTGAGTGATGAGGAGAGCCAGGTTTACTTTGACACGAGGGCGAGGGGGAGCAGAATTGGAGCCTGGGCCAGTCAGCAGACGAGTGTGCTGGAGCCGGCCAAGAAGACAGAGGGAAGCCAGACAGGTGAAGGAGAAGCAGAGGATGACGGGAGAGCGGCGCTTGAGAGTCGTGTCAGGGATATAGAAGCACGCTTTCAGGGACAGGACCATATCCCTGTGCCGCCCTTCTGGGGTGGTTTGAGAATCATACCCGAGACAATTGAGTTTTGGCAAGGGAGGGAAAGCAGATTGCATGATCGTTTTGTGTACACCAGGATAGAAGGAGATGTTGGGCAAGGGGGGAAAACGAAGTGGAAAATTGAGAGGTTGAGCCCGTAATCCGCGGACGACCCGCCACCCGAAGACTTCACACAGGGAGTATCGATGGACAACAGTCGAGATAGACGTTTCACATGAGAAGTTGGATTGTTCATCAGCTCCTCCGCCTACCAGCTCTTGCCGGTATAATATGTCAACTCCCATCCGGAGGACCTAACGTCTGGGACCTAGACAAAACCTCACCTGTCTAGATCTATCGAAGAGTTGAGTAGAGATTACACTTGTGTTCTGTTGTACATGGCAACATAACCCCCTTTTTACATTCCCACTTGACGGAATAGTCAAGTTCGCTCTGACCGGCGCCGTCGCCGGATGATAACCAAAGCCCATTGTGCTGAACCCGAATCTGTTTGCGCCATCCGCCATGTACAAAAGCTGTCGCTGAAAAGACAGCTCAAAGCTCGAAAACGCCGCCGAGGGTCATGGAGCCACCATTATGCCGTGGTCCGTTATGTTCTTGGGTATCGTCATTAAACATAAGAGAAGGGGGATTCGAGGCAAGCGAATTTGCGCCACTCTCGATCCAACTTTTGGGGTAGAATTTAGGCCGTGATACCACCCACCAGTGCGAGGATCTTGTCAGCAACAGCCGCAGGGTAGCCCTTGCTCAACATCTCCTGAGCAACGCCGTTGGCGCTGGCACGATCCTCCACAGAGAGGAAAGCTCGTGTCATTGCTTCGTATGTGCTTGGTTCACGCTTCTCCATGCCAAGTCCGTCATAGATTGCCTTGGCTTTTCCGATTTGACCAACGCTCGCCCAACCATGAATCAGAGTATTTGCGATGTAGGGAGTCATCGACACGCCACGTCGCTTCATATCAGCCACAATCTCGGGTGTCTTCTCCACCTCATGATTGGCCACCATTGCCTCTAGCAGGTTCTGGTAGAGAGTGTCTGTGGCACGGACATTGCCATCCTTCAACACAGAGTCGAAGACAGCCCTTGCAGCGGCCATGTCGTGCATGACACAGCCCTTGGCATGGATCAACGAGCCATAGTGCACTGCCTCGGGCTGAATACCGGCTTGCTTCATTTCGGAGAGAAGTGACTCGGCAGCGGCCAGGTTGACCGGCTCCAAGGAGGCGTAAGACTCAATAAGTAGCTTGTAGGTGTGGGAAGTCGGTTTGATGTTCTTGGACTTCATCCGCTCATAGTATTGGAGAACCTTGCCGCGGTCACGCTTAGTATTGAGGAAGTATTGGATGATCGAGTTGTAAGGGGCGGGCCGAGGACGATAATTTGGTGCGGCCTCCATCTCATCGAACATGTCGACGGCGAATCGCTCTTCACTGGTCCTGCAAAGAGCATTCACGAGTGTGCCATAGGTAACGGAAGATGGACGTATACCACGACCCTCCATATCGCCGAAGTAGCGAAGACAGTCATCAATGCGTCGAGCTTTGCCTAGTTTGCCAATGACAGCATTGTACAGAAAGACACTGGGAGTAACGCCTTCGGCTAAGGCCCGTTGGAAGATCTTGACAGCTTCTGTAGCCTCATCAAAGGTGCCTTCCAAAGTTGTGATGTAGATGCCAAATGTATTTGCGGAGGGTGCCGCCCCCATGTCCAGCAGGTCTTGGTGGAATTTGCTCGCCTGCTGGCGGTCACCAACGGTTAGGCAGGCTGCGATCATGGAGTCCAAGATGGAAACCCAGCCGAGGCGGACAGAAGGAATCTGCAGTGACATTGGGACGTCTGAATGCGCCATGGTCAAGATCTCCTGAATCAGATTCCGTTGTTTGGCCTTGCCAGCGGCAGTGATAAGCTTGGCGTATGCAGAGTAATGCAGATTCCTGCCTGCTCGGCGGACGTTCCTCAATCGGGCGAGGCTGTCATTTAGATGATTCTCAATGCGCCCGGTCGTGCTCTCAACCAATTCAGAGATGGCTTTAGAGGCGCGGAAGTCTGTCGTATGAGCGTAAGGATCGTAAGCGTCAGCAGCTGACCCGTCGATAGACACAGGATGAGGCGACAAGGGTGATTGAGCCAAGGTCACGGGCGTCGGCGGAGCAGGGTGAAGAAGCTCCTTCCAGCGCTGGAGGAGATCCGGTCGAGCACCACCCACTTTTGACAGGCTTTCGCTCACCACGTGAACCGTCGATGGGTCCATCAGTATGCCGCGGTTGAGTACGGTTTCGAGCAGATGAGCGAATCGGACAGGATGGGCAATGTCAACGCCCTGCGAAGTCATGAGCATCTGAGCCTGCACATGAAGAGCAAGAGCGATATCTTGAGCGTTGAGCTGATGAACACAATCCGGTCCTAGGCTGGCAATCGCATGCTCGGCCACGGGAGAGACCAGGCCACCATTTTCGATCATGGTCCGTAACATCGAGATGCTTGCGCTTGGAGAAACCGCAACTTGTTGATGGGACAGTGCTTCACCAAAAAGGATGATTGCCTCGTCAATTTCAGCGACAGCTAGTTGACGAGCAGCATTGGTAGCCGTTGAGGCTCGAATGCGCATGAACATGGAGCGAGCCTCAGCAACAGCTTCTTCCACGGAGCCGGAGTTGATCAATGCCAAGGTGTACATTGTGGCGAAGTCGGTGTTTGGAACGATTGGCAATGATCGAGCATCACTCCAGATGGACTTAGCCTGACTGATGCCACCATTCCGGATATGCATAGCTGCAAGCGCCATAACGGGCTCGGCCTTGACGTTGGCGACATTGATCGCGTGGAACGACTGTACGGCTTCAGCCACGTTGCCAGCGTCAGCCGCAGCGACAGATATCCTCGAAAGTGCCTCGTCGCGGATTGCCGCGTCCAAAGTGAAATCGTCAATGCTTGAGATCGCAGCGGAGAAAGCCTTGTTGTCAATGTGGTGTTGAACAACGCTATCCAGGACAAAAGAAGTCGTCAGGTCGTTCGAGAGCGCCTGTTCGTTTGCAGAGTTCTTGAACGATTGGAGAACTTTCTCGTAAAAGCGCAGACCAGTCTCAGCTAGACCACAAGCATAGTAAGCCTTGATCAGGGAAGCGTAGACCTTCATGTCGAGGGGATCATTGGCGGCTCTGCTAATTGCCATGTCGCGGTATTCTTCGTACAAGCCCTGGGCAGCGTGGACGTCCTGTGCTGTAGCCTGGGCATCGATGACGACCGTGTACAGGTGAGGTGCAAGAGGAATTTGCTGGGCATTCATGTCGGCCAACAGCGAGTTCATGTTGTCAACCATGCCCGCCTGAGCACAGGCCTTGACGAGCGCGTTGTAGACAGTCGCAGAAAGTCGGAAGTCCTCGAGCGTGGCCCGCGCAATGTTGTACAGCTTGGTGGCAAATGCAATTGAGGTGTCGGCGGCATACAATTGCTGTTGTCTGGTGGCAGACGGGAAGACCAAGGCCCCTCCGCTGCCGTAACGAGCAGCCCGCTCACCAAGGTTCTTTTGGACCTGATAAGACTCAAGACTCCTGGCTGCTAAGAACCGGAGCAGGATCATGTAGGAGGTGGCATTGAGTTCCACTGCACGTCTCGTCATGTCACCATAGACTTCGAGAGCCCTGGGCCAAGGCTGATAGCCATTGCTGAGATTGATGGCGGAGACCAGTATATGATTGTAGGCTTCAGTCGTGGGCACATGGCCATCCTTGATGATTGCTTCGAACAAGGCAGGAATCTCCGCGTATCGTTGTTGATGGCCTAGCTCAACGATCTGCTGGGAGATGACAGACTCCTCTGATGCAACAGAGATGATGTCGGTAGGTGGTGTGGACTGCTCAGGAGAGGCCAAGGATTCGAAGTCGCCTGAATGAGTCTGCTCAACACCGGGTGTCGGTACCCGTGTGCTTGCAACGGGACTTCCAACATCCTCATGGGAGACAGCATCCTTCTGAACCTGGTGCGAAGCGATCTCCTTCGCGATCTCCTCATCCACCTTCGCAAGTGCTTCTGCTTCGGCGAAGGCTTCTTCGGCTTCGGGGACCTTGGGTGTAGCACGTTCGCTGTTGACACGCGAGACGGAGACGCGAGCCGAGGGCCGGAGGAGGTCCACGGCACGAATAGACTCGACTCTCTGATGTCTTGCACTGGGTAGGACCTTCTCTTGATTTTTCCATCCTATCCTCCTCGCGAACTCATGCTGCTTCCAATCCGAATCGTCGCCTGTCTGTTGCGCATGTTGCCACGCCGCATAATACTGGGCTAGACCGGCGTCGCCACTGCCTGCTTGTGTTGTGTATCCGGCCTTTGCGCCCGCGCCAGAGCCAGATGGACCCGAGAAAGCATTTTGGAGTTGGGCGGTCTTTGCGAATTTGGTGAGAGGGTAGTTTTGGAACTGTCCAAGAGACTGGCCAGCAGCAACGACGGATGGAGCGTAGGTGTGAGCGATTCCCTTTGCAACACTGACACGAGCGAGATGTGCGAAGGGCTTGAAAGGCATTTAGGGGTGTAAGGGACCCTTCCTATTGAAGAGCGGTGGTTGGAATTGGATGAAAGGCGAATAGGGCAGGTTCATTTGACGACTCGAAAGCCGTCAATGAACGCGCGGTTGGAAGATGTGGAATGATGGGTAGGGAGGTAGGGACACTCGGAGTGGAGTGTCTGGCGATGGTCGCGTGTCTGTCGTGGATGGTGAAGGAGGAAACCGGTGGTGGTAATACTGGTAGAAATATTCAGGCAAGCATCAATTCGTACTCGCATACGCCGTGCCTGGCGTAGCACTTTGGTGGTAGTGAAGTGGTGACGAATGAACAGCCCTGGCTCAGATTGGAGTCAGGTGGACAAAGGACGAATCCAGCTAGTCGCGACAACTTGCAGGAACAGTTAGGAGCTCCAGGAGCTGATCTTCACCAACCACGAAAGAAGGACAGAGTCGGAGGGAGCCCTGCTATGGGCAAAGCTGATGGCGGAGCAGGGGATTTCGGGAGGTCGTGAGGGAATTTCCTCTCGACTTCTTTCACGTTCCTATCGATTTTCGAGGCACGTGCGATCGCTAGCCCGACCTGGCTAGCCGCCGCAGCTTGATTGCCGGGACTCTCGTTAAGCCTGGCGGGGATGACGCCCTTGACAAAAGACCCCTGGAGCTGGGTCGTGCTCCCCGAGCGAATCGACTTGTGCCCCGACCGGACCCGAATGAGCACTGCTTGCCTAACGCCGGGCCTGACCGGGCTCGGTTGTCGATGGTTCCGACTGATGTGTGAAACTGCGTCCTTCCTCGATAACAAGGCTGAGGATAGAACATCATCAACAGAATGACTGCAGCACATGCCAGCATGTGCAATAACCTATGCAATAACACATACCATTTCAATGGCTACGGCGACCCGACGTCTCGTAGATCCCCGCAGGAAGCAAATGCGGTCAACAGAGAACTCGCATGTTCGATTACGAAGTACCCCGGTAAACTCCTCGGTGAAATAAAATGCTGGCATTCTAAAGGACGAATCCAGAAGTCTACATACTTACTGCCCTCCAGAGTTGTCGACTATCTCTCCTTCAGTTACGATCCGACTCTTCGCTCCTGCAACGACAAGCAAATCCTATCAGGCAGTCCTGTGATGGTGTTGGTAAAATGTGATGTGGCAGCAGTGTCTCGCGCGTCATTGAATGCCGCATAGGGTCCCTGGTCAACAACCTCAACTCAACAAGATATTACTAGCGAGACCGGTCCCAGAGGCAGCCCGAAAGGACGATCTACCAGCAGATAGCCGGCATCCAGCAGAACGACCCCGGGCGGAGCCAAACACACAAGGTTCAGACCCCGAGAACTGGACGCCAACTACCCTTGCGGTGGAAGGATGCCTCGCCCCAGTATCACGTCACACATATCAGAGAACCCGAGTAGAAAAGATTGGGTTAAGGAAACGTAATGGTGAGTTCTCTTGGAGACCACTTGCTTTGATTGACCTTATGTACAATATCGACGCCCTGAACAACCCATCTTCATTCCGTCAACGGAGTCAATCAGTGAGCGTTGTTCTTGTGATGTCCTAGAAATATGATTGTCAGCAAAAAGCTTTGCCAGATCCAAAGCCCGTTGATAGCACGTACTCAGGTGGAAATAGTATTCCATGCTGTATCCCATAGCCACGAGTCCGAAAATGACGTGCCAGATGGCTATGTCCGCATATTAGCATCCACTCTATCCCCTTCGCAAGACTGGTATCCCGGATGTACGTACGAGCTGCAGAGGGGTTCTTTCCGAAGTATTTCGCTTGATACCAGCCTAGCGGTCCAGCCGGTGCTCGTTCAGGTGCTGGCCCTTTGGGTAATTTCTCGTAAAATTTGGCGATGTTTGCCATGCGAACGGCATTCGTGGCAGCCGCAAGACCCTATTCCCTTGTATCAGATCCTACGCGTTCTAAATGCTCGGTGCGCATCGTAGAAAGCGGTTCCTTCTTGAGTGTCTACGGAGCAGCCCCACCGGTAGAGCGCAAGGTGGATTATTTCAAGGGTGGATTCGAGGAGTTCGAGATGGGCTTACCGCTGGGTTGGCGACCTATTCAAACATATGTCAGCCCTCTGAGACTCTGGAAAATCTATAATTGAGGTTTACCTTTGGAGGTACCAGGGTTGACACGGCTCTGCGGATGACGAACGACATTTTGAGCTGATCACCACGGTCAGCAGCAATTCGGCGTCGTGGCGCTCTGGAGCAGCGTACGGAAAACTCAAAAGTGCTCGGCAGGGTTGTGAAAGATAATTGAAGCTGTTGGACGAGAACTTGACTGAAGGTAAGGAGCTCCAACGTCGAGATCAATTCGCAAGCAGAAAGCTCAAATCTTCGGGCAACTTTGCCGAGCGCGGTCTTCCACTTTGAACAAAACAATCAAGACATTCCAGGCCAAGCTTCATCTGATACGAGCACGGTGATACTACACACTTGATTTACCTATTTTGTATATTACGTTGAAGAAGGCTATCATGGCCCTGTCGGTTTCTACTCAAATCCGAAGAAATATATGCGCCAGAGCCTGGAGTTGCTGGCGCAGGGACAGATTATTCCGTCATCCGCAAAGTTAGGTACCGAAACATGATGCTGGTGGACCATACCATCCAATGCCATATGCGTGCTGCGACCTACACCGCTGGACCGATGAGTGAACGGATGTTCACGTCGCGACGACGTTCGCCCGAATTCTCTTCGTGAAGATCGGCTTGCCTGGGCATCGGCATGGCCATGGGAATCGCAACTGCTCGTAACTGCCCCGACAGGTTCGTATCTCGAGTCGGCACGGGCGGCGGAAACAAGATCGCTGGAGAGGCGAGCCCTTCGCTGTTACTCCAACAACTTGGTCGAGATCCTCTCCTGCTTGAGATTTGAGTTGTGCCCGTTCGCGGAGGGAAGAGCCTGGGGAAGAAGTGCTGGAGAGGTGTCCGCAGCATTGGTAGGTTTGTGCAGATTACAGCCAGGCCGGCTTCAATCGTTGTCCAAATTGTCGACACCAACGTCCCTGCGGTGACGTCGTCACCGTATGCCGAGGAATATAGAGTGGTCAACCGTGAGACCGAGGCCGCACACACAATGACGCCGAGTCCGAAAATGCAAGTCAGGGCTAGCTTTTGTCGCAGTGGAAGCTTCAGTTTAAAAATGACAGGCGGCACCATCAGGACGATGACGATGTCGGTCATTATGTTGTAGATGGCGTTACTGTACCAGAGTGCACCAATATCGACACACGTGCCACTTCCACCCCAGCGATGCCAAGCTCGAGACACTGGATTACATTGAAATATGGTGGCGATGGTCAAACACACGCAAGCTCCCATCACAAGGATTATGAGAGTGTGGCAGACTCGTCGGAACCAGAAATGCTCGGTGAAAATCCGGAGATAAAGGAAAAGTATGGATAGTTTCGTAAAGTTGATGGTGAGTTTGTAGAATATCTGTAGGAGGAAGAAGCACTGAGACACCATGTTCAGCAGGTATGCCTGTTCCACGGACAGGAGTCAAACCTTCAAAGCCTGAGCAGCATGCTGTTCACTCAGGGTCGCGAATGGTCTGCCATACCCATGGTCGACCGCAGCTATCGAACAGGCGCATTGTACTGTTAGAAATGTCTGTCGAGGCGTCAGGAACCATATATTGATGATGACGTCCCTGCTCACCATGGACAGAATGGCGGACACATCGTCCAGGCCGAATCGGACGAGCATCCTCAGCCGCCAATAAATTCGGTTTGCCACAAGCAGGAATGCGATGGTAGGAGCAATCAGGGACGGGATCACCAGATGAGCACCTCTTTCACCTAGTCCCGAGCTGGTGGCTGGACAATCAGTGCACAGGTCTCCGGACATTTTGCGAAGTGAGGGTATCTTCACGGGCGGTTTGGCACTGTTCTGGAAATAACGGAGGGTATAAGTAGTGGACCTTCGTCGTCGGCCGTGTTGCTACTCATATAACCCCCGTCCACGGTTTGGATTCGACAATGTTTTGCGCACCTTTCGGCAAGGACACGGCAGTGCCGCGGCGGAAGCTGGAAAGCTATCGGGTTGGGAGGGAGATGGCCAAGCAACAATCAAATGAGGCCCTTCAGTTCTCCCAGATCAGCGCAGTAGTAGAGGTTGATCCGCGCCCAACAGAGCAATATATCCAATCGAAGGCCATGCGAAGATTATGAAGACCATGTGCAGCCGACGTGGCTCAATGATAGACAACTCTCTAGACATCGGCTTGCATTGCCTTCGCGCTTGGTTACCCAACAGCGTCTTCTTGAGACTGGCTTGCGATATTGGAGTGGCGTAAGAACACCGAAAGCGACTCACTGCATCCCCGGGATACGCCATGGCTGCCACGCGAGAGTCGAAGCGCGAGAGTTGCTCGGTTACCCGCATCTCATGCATTTGAAACTCCTTGGGCAGCATCCTGCACGGAGAACACATTTAGAAGTGCCGGAAGACCGAGCAGAATGAGTCGTGACAATCCCTCACAAACCTGTAAGACCAGCTAAAGAGGGAGCTGCTGTTGCTGCAAACCCGCTGGTGTCGATGGGGGTCGTGGTTGTCGACGACCACCCCCGCTTAGCCAGCCTACCTGTAAATGTTTGTCACGAAGTTTGCTTCAAGTAGACTGGAGAACGACCAGCCTCCAGCGGCATACATTTGAAAGTTGCTAGCATCCTGGAAGGTGCTAGTGCGGACTCGAGGACAAGGACGACTTTGTGTGGCTTTGAAATGGGCCTCATGCACGTGGCCGTGTTCTTGGTGATGGAAGGCGAGCATGTCATTTCCTTGGAATCGAGACCAGCAGCAAAGCAACCGATGCAAGGGACTGGGACTGGACGGACCTCACGGAGCAGGGTCGTAAGAAGTTGTTATTTCAGGTTTTCTAACCAGCATTGCCCAGCTCGCTTCGAGTTGGGGCGGAGGATTCGACGGAGTGTCAGACGTCACTTTCTGAAACAATCCCAATCGCAGATTTCCCGAAATACATTCTTATCATCGCCCAACATCAAGCGAACCAGCAGTCTACGTGAGTAGGTCTAGCTGTGCGGGAGCGGGTATGGAGCTCGCTGTGCACTATGACCGGGAAGACATATATGGTCCCCAGGCGTTCTGGGCCGTCGCTGAGTGAACGATGATGCGTCACCATATACATACGAGTGAGGTTTGACTGTCCAGAGACTCACTGCTGAACGGTGAAGGAATTGAACATGACCGTCGCCCTGTGTCCAACAGCTTCACAGCCTCAAGCTTGCTCTGGTGGGGATTTTTGGGTTGGCTTTTAGCTTGTCGCCTATTGCATATTCTGTCCATCTTCATCGCCTGTCCCGCGACAAGAAGGTCCTTCTAGTCACAGACAAAACGTCTTTGATCGTGCTCGCCGTTACGATGGGCGCCCTCCGCGCCGGCTTCTTGGCCAATGCCCTTGTGCCTATGCTCATCCTCCATGCTGCGGTCACCATGGCCATACCGCTCAACACTACCGCCGTTAGCTCCACCGAAAACTGCGTTTGGGAGTTCAGCCCAACCATCTGTGGCGAAGGAGTCAGCTACCAGGAGCTCGCCTATCCTCGACAGCAGAGCTGCATTCCTCTCCCAACCCCAATGAAGAATGTCTGGACGAACGAGTGCTCCAGTTGGTTCGGTGAGCCAGACTGCCTTCCCCTGCCAAACAACCCTCATTTCATGTTGATACATACGCTGGGTATGGAACAACTCGTGGAACTGGCACTGACTCGCATGAATTAGGAGCATGCACCATGTGGATACAGCCCGACTGCACAGGAGACTGGTCGATGAGAATTGACGATCCTTCCAACGCCCATCTCGGTACTTGTTTCTCCCAGAGTTACTACATCTCGGCGGTCTCTTGCGAGCAAGCATGACATACAAGATCCAAAAACGCCTGAGGCTCAACAGCGGGCAGTGATATGGGCACTCGCCGAAGTTGGGGTGCAGCTCGAAGCAGGGACAATATTGCCTGCACTCCACATGTTAGTGTTCTACCCCTACGGGTCCTGTATCATGTAGGGTAGGGCTGCGTTCGGGAAGAGAGCCGCAAGATACCAACACACGACTGTTTCCGTCAAATTCACAAAGGAAGTCTTTGAGAGAGCGTTGCCTCTTTCTCTCATGAAGTGGTCTGCCGACACGTGACAACGTAATTTCTCACTTCTGGAGGCTAGTCCACGCACGGACCATCGTGACTTGCTTCTGATTTGCTCTGACTGGGCCTGTCACGTGACTGTCCCAGTCTGTCTCCTTGTGTGCTTGTAAGAATGACGATCCAGCTGCTTCAGTTGTTGTTCTTCATGCCAACCTCCTCGTTTGGGCTGGTGATCTCTATTGCAGTCCACTTTGGCTATCACCTAGATAACTGGGTTTCAATACCAGTCGTTTTCCGATAACAGAGATTCCGGCTCGCTGGATTGGTCAAGATGGCGCCTCCTTCAGAGCTGCGAACAACGACCAACCAAAACAAGAGTTTGACTCTCCAGTACCTTTATAGGGTCGAGATGAATGGCCAACGAGGAATCTGTGCGTAGGGGAGGCTGAAGCCGACACACAGTTTCTTGTTCGCAGCCTTGGCCCAGTTGATTCTCACCGGTTGAAACGACAAGACCCATCCTGCTCAGCGACATGTTGATTGCCTCTTTAAGGATGAGTCCTTGGGCAGGGCCTTGTTCAGCCTGTCTGGCCAGGTGCTTGCATGGTTGGATAAGTATGTGTCTCTACTGACACCTTCCTGTATTGATTGGAGAACAAGCTCGAATCCAGCATGTGGTGGCTGTCGGAGCCGTCTATCAAAAACCGAGTTCGGGTAGGTTTTCGCACTTCGCGACTATCATACCAGTGAAATCCATGACAACTAACCCATCGCCTTGTTGCCGCAAGGACGGGTTGCTTTACTGCAATGTCAGGGAGATCTGCGTACAGACAAACATGGCGAACAGAAGGCGAGGTTCCGATCTCTTTTCGGGGCAACTCCTTTGACTTCGACTGCGCTTCCTCTGCGGCCACAGATCCTCCAGCTAATCCTGAACAATTCCAAAGACGAGAAGACTAGGAAGGGGCCTGGATTAAAGAATCGTGAACCTCGTCCGAGTCCTCCAGTTTCTTTTCACTGGCTTCACTACCTAGTAGCCATTCATTTCGCAACCCTTGGCAACGATTCCTCTCAACATCTTGGAGTGAATATGACAACTGCCTCAGAAGTGACTGCCTCTGTTTGTCGCCATAACATCAGCGCGCCTGACTTATTGGACGCTCGGAGCTTTCAACCAACAACTCCTCTTCATCTATCTTCGACCTCAACCAGTCGCCTGAAACCAAGATACCACATCTGTCACATCTGCCACTATCGTTAAGGCTCGTCAAGTGTTTCGATACAGCCCCACAACTCTCGAGCCTTGCAGTCTACAAATTTGGTATCCAGAGCTATTCCGAAAGGACAATATGGTTGCCTTTGAGACCTTTTCCCCATGCTCGAGGTCCTCCCTGACGGTAAGCTGTGCGGTCACCACCAACGGGCAAGTGCCTAACAATTTACAGGAGCCGGGTCAACGCCCTCATGACTCTTCACACATCTCGGCGTCTCCCGCATGTACCTCAGACTCAACTCCTTACAACCTGCCCAGACCTCTCCATCAAGGCACTTCCTACCACCACCGACACACTACACTACACGGTACAGGACTGGCCTTACCACATCAGCATGGACCCAGACTCAATGTCCATGCAACCCCCTTCATACCTGGTGCTGCTCGACAACGCACAACAACTATATTCAATATGGATGCCCCCGAATTCATCCTTAGCACATCAAAGCCTGACGACAGTCATAATTCCTCCTCCTTGAACCCCGCTGCCGAAGAATATGTGTCACTCTGCACTCACGAGTCGCATAACACTTTCCCTCTTCTACCAACACCTGACATGCAGGACGCTGCCTCAGAACTTTCCTTGTTAGATGTTCCAGATGTTCAAGTTGTTGTCATGCCTCCTTCAGAAACATCAAGCGCCGACGGATCCGAAGGGACTTCCAAGCGATCCGACTCTGAACTCTCTTCCCTCGTGTTTGAAGCGCAACGGGACTTCGACTCCGAGGCATACTTCAAGCAGCGCCTCGAAGAAGGACAGCAAAAGGAAGTCGCTGATGACCAGGCGCAACGATGGAAAGTAGACGACGAGCGAAAGTTGCAGCGACAGGTGTGGTTGGACGGCCTGGATGAAGAGCAATGGGATAATTTGACCAGGATCCACCTCCCATACCACCACACTGGGGAGGTCAATGTGGACGATATGAAGGCCGAGAGGGAGACAACTGGACTTCTCTATGTTCGGGGCTTCTATTGGCCTACTGAATCCAACGGAAACCAGGAAATCCCCTCTGCATTTACACCTCTGCGAGACCTCAAGCGCTTCCCTCTACCTCGTATTGAATATCAGGACTGCGCACCAGAATACAGCGATCGGAAGCGGGGCCAGCAAGTCCTTATGCGGTACGATTCGCACAAGAAGTTCGAGTTGCAAGACCCAGTAACCGGGAAGGTGCAAGCAGTGAGAGCATTTGGCTCAGATCCCTGGAACAGCTACAAGGATTTTACCAAAGAGGAGCTACAATCCCTCAAATGCGCTCACCACATCAACTTTTTTGGCCGGGCTGTACCTCATCAATCTGGCACCCGCCCAGCGACCACAATCGCAATTCTGAAGTCCAACCCAAAGAACCTCAATGTCACAACTCCGGACGGCCTCTGGAAGAGCACCATTATGGAGTGTGCGACACAAATGTTGGACCCTATCCTTTACTATGGCAAGCCCGAAATTCTGGATACCTTGCGAGGTACCGACTTGGAAGATGCATGCATTGGACAGGCCGAAATCATATATACCTCGTTGGGCTGGTGGCTCCAAGACACATACCCGGTCGGACAATGCCCGGTCGACTCGGATGCACTCGACCCATTCACTTGGCCTGAAGGTTCCATCGTCATGAACGGAGTTACTGACGGATTCGCATCACGGTTGGAAATCATAACCTCTTCCACCGAGGAGAAGAAATCCGACGACATGGCCCGCAAAACCGCTTTTCAAGGCCGCGTGGCTAAAGGACGTGTGAAATCCCGACTCGGCATGTGCTGCTGGACTCAGAAAGATATCACCCAAGAGCTGGCTTATGTGCCTCGTCCGAGAACCGGCTTGCTGACTCCGTCATTTCCGAGTAGTAAGTGTTCAACGAATGTGGCGGATTCTGTGACTGAATATACGCCCCATTCGACAACTTCAATTGCTGATTTTGCCTCAACCTCAGACCCCTCTGCGGTCGTTGCTATACCACCTGATCGACCTGCGCTTGTGTCTGTCAGACCTGGACGTTATGTGGCTGCTATTGTCGAAACCCATCAAGAATTCAGCGAGCGGGTTCGTGCGTTTGACGTTGCAAATGACCTTCGACCTCTCAAGAATTGGGCGGATGAGCACGAGGACGATGACGCTGAAGACGGAGAAGAAACGACCGAAACCGAGTTATGGCGTCAACGTATGAGGACTCAAGAGCTACAAGATGGCCTTGGACGCGTCTCTCGGGATTGGGCTGATGAGTTCGAGCCCGAACATTCCACAGCACCAGCCACCCAACAGCCATCTCCCAAAGATGCGGTCTTCCAACTAGCAGATACTCAAGCAGTAGTCGCTGAAGTTCCAATTTCGGACTTCGACCGACGACTGCGCGAAAGCGATGCCATCACTGGATTCCAACCTGTTTCGAGAAACTGGGCTGACGAAGTCGATGGAGATGGAACTCTGGCGTCCTTGACACCAAGTAGGGTCGAAACACCTGTCGAAGTTGTCCCCACGATGGTCGTCATGTCTCATATGCCTAGCACCATCGCTACACCTCTGGTCAACGTTGAGACGCCCGTTGAGGCTGAGCTTGGCTCCAATGTTGAGCGCGACGCCGAAGCTGACCTCCTCGCGATGGCACAGTCTTGTGCCGGAGGTCAGCCCGCTGCTGATGAAGCTCAAGGCTCTGTCAAGGTGTCGCTCCCTCTAGGAGTTGTTGAAGACGCCGACTCAAACGGTCATCGCCGAGTGTCAGCCTCTTCCGCTGACTCAACAACAAATACCAGCAGTCCTCCGACTTCTCCAGAGCTAGAGGCGGATGATGACATCAACAGTATATATGATAACGCTGGGACTGGCGGTCTCTATCAGCCTTCCCTTCCAAAAGCTGCAGAACCCTCCGACAGTGGGTACATTGATGCCATGGACTTGGATGAAGAATATCAACTCCAACACGGTGAACCACTTGTCCTCCCTCCCGCAGCGCCTTCCCTGCCTTATCCACCAGCTGGCCTTGAAGCTCCTTATCTGGATGTCGTACGAATCCCGGGTCTTGAACTGATCAACGAAGATGACAAGACATCCTCACCCCCAGCGACCGCAACTCTGGAACCTCAAACATCTGCAATGGTTGCATGGGCATCTCGACAGCACCTTGATCGACTCATTGCACGGAATCTTCAGGTCGTTGTGTCTACCATCCCAGCTATGATACCAAATATGGTGTTGCCAGGATTGCACAACTTCGGGAATGGTGCTTGGACCATGACTCTTCCTGGTCAGCGGATCGGTCTGGTGCGCTCACCATTCATTTCATTTGAGGTAAGGGACTGTATTCCCAACCGGGTCATTGAAGAAGTCGTTGGTTATGAGGAGGAGGTTGATGGCACCCTCATCAACGACAACGTCACCTCGTCGTGTGACAGTCATATCGACACAGTTGCCCTTCACAATACCGCAGAGTGTACCACCGAAGACGGTTCTGATACACGATCCTCTGAGGTGAGCCCATTGACGCCACCGACATCGGCTGGCTCATCCACATCCGATCGTCGTAGGGGCCGCCGTGTGCGTTTCGCCCTCCCCATGAGTCGTAAGCCGTCATTGGCCACGACTGCCTCCACGTCTTCATCAATGGCTACGTTATACGAGATGGGAGCCCAATTCCCGCCATCGGTGTTCGATCAATGGCCAAGTTTCGATAACGACCTTTATCCGGAGATCCCAGAACGCACGTCATCATTGGCGTTCCGTCGGGAGCACATTGTGCTGGGGAGCTGTTCGTTATCGATGACTTCTGGGAAGCGTGGCACGTTCGCCAACTCCGAGCACGACGCCGGAGTCCTCGCGCCTCGTCCAGTCCTGCCGAGCTTCCGTCGAACCCGATGTGATTGGCAGCACGCCAGCTGGAACTCTGTTGCCCGCCGATTGACGAAGCGTCCACCTGCAACCGTGACAACGACCAACGTTGCCACCACTCTTCGATCCCGCGATGGGATCATGACTCGCGCCAACCACAATGAAAGCCAATTTTTCGAGTTTCCCGAGTCCAGGCGGGTGAGCGGCGAAACTGTTGGTCCAGGGATGGGACAAAAGACGAAGGGTTTCTTCAAGAAGGGCATGGAGAAGCTCAAGACAATGCTTCGCAAGAAGAAATGAGCGTCTTTTCTGCTCAGGTCGATCGAGCGATAGAAACGCCGAGATCTCGAGAGAGTCGGTTCGGTTTCCTGGTCTACGCATTACGAAATATCATGAAAACAGCATGCATTCATACCCCTGTACAAACATCTGCGGACTTTACGACAGACACGAGAAGCGATTATGGGCGTTTTGGAGAAATTACCGGCTTCGAGCGAGCACGCTGCCACGGGTTTGAGCAACGGTTGCATTCTTCAGAAATCATTCGACATCACGGCAGGTTCTCCCAGTGCTGGATCCTGCTCCTTTGTTGTCCTCCAGCGTTTGGGATTGGTTTAGCATCAAAACTTGGGTCAGTACGGTGGCGTATGCTGGCTGGTGGACGGTAACGGTTTAATGTACATATGATTAGAACCCAGGCGTTGATGGTCGTCGACTGTGTCAAAAAGGGCGGAGGCACAAACTCAGTGAGAACTGTTCTTACGGCCGGCGGGGAATGGAGGCTCGATGCCCAATGAACAGCACCACGAAGATACCCCTAGATGAGAGGGCGACATATGATAGCCCCGAACGCAGTGTTCAAAAAAGAGTGTGTCTTGCTCGAGTCTGCTTTTCAAGACGAAGGTGACGGAGAAGACAGTGGTGCCGGGTACGAGTTAGACTCACGTCAGCGATCAAGGGCGAGAGACAACGCCGATCGTTGTTTGTAGATCAGTCCGACGAAGGTTTGAGTTCATGCCGAAGCACGTTGGCCACGCTCTGAGATTTTGACAGGATTGTGACAGTTCTGAGACTGGTGTCAGAATGCGTTCAAGACCACGCAATGACGCTGCGGCTGCATGCCATCTTCTATTAGCGGAGATGCGCCAACTCATTCTCTTTGCTTGCTTCATGATGGACAGTGTAACCTGAGCGCCCGCCTGCGCAGGTTGGTCGGACTGTACCTGCATAGCACTTTCTCGTATTACTGCAGCTTGACATCAATGTGCAGAACAAGTATGCGTTAGGGTGCAAGTTGGAAATCCAATTGAAACACACAGCCGGTGCTTGACTGACAGGTCACTCACGCACTCTGTCTTTCTGACACTCGAGGTCGACGGGTTGCCGATGACGCTACAAGGACACTTCGGATCTCAAGAACTGCGACTGCGAGCACAACCACCGGAGAAAAGATGTCGACATGCGGACGGGAAGAAACCGGTGGCACGAGGGCAGGAGAAAAGATGAGTGGATGGGCGACAGCAGAAGCCCGTCCCCACCAGCACATGGGAAGCGAAAGCAGCAGGAGCAAAAGCCAGAACAGTGGACTCGACCAGACTCGCCCGGACTGGCACAGTGGTAAACAAGACCGGCACCAACTGGGGTGGGCTGGACAAAGTGAGCACTGGCTTGAGGCCTGCGACGCCACGCAATTTCCCCTCGTCGACGAACTCCACTGCATCACAAACACCATCGAATCTTGCTTGACCTTGGACCGTTTTCAAACAGGAAGCCACTTTGCCGCGGGCCATGCAACGGTCTCGGGAGTCGGCTGTATCAGGAATCATGATTCAGAGGTGCATGGAGTGGCCTTGTGAGGGACAGAGTGCTGGGTACTTCGGACTGTGCCAGGAAATGGAATACTCACGCTCTCCGACCAAGATATCAGCCGATCTGCCACTCATCAGGGCTTTTGACGTACACAATACACAGTAAAGGAGCAATGCCGAACAAGAAAGGAAATACCCGTGGACACAAGATCGTGCGTTTCACACATCGAACTGGAAACCGGACAAGCACTGTGAGGCATGCGACCAGCAACAGAGCCATCGAGGGCAAGCGAGTGCCGCGAAATTGCGATGAGAGAGGAACAGGGCAAGCGCGTGCTGAGGGCTTCGTTTAGCCGGGGGTTAAGCTGTGCGTTGGCGCGAGAGCGTGGCCCTTGGGTGGTCCTTGGGAGGCCCTTGGGTGGCCCCGGCTCGCCCTGGTCGAGGTCTAGGGTCGCCCGGGCGCGAGCTTTACCCGTGATGGCTAGACCCACCGGCTCTCATGCTCCTTGTGCCGATCCAAATGAGCGTGTTGTCTACGATCTCGCCCGACGCGCAGCAAGCCCAAGCAGAGCCCACTCGTTTACCACTTGCAGCCCTCGCCCACGCACACACGCCGCTGTTGGTGGTTGCGTCGTGGTTACAAGTGAACATTGCACCATCCAGGTGGCAGGGACGCTCACTCGCTGGTGCTGCAGCAGCCACTTGCCCCTTCCTCCCCAATCACGCTTCGTCCTCAGCGCGGTCCTGCCCGATCTCTGCTTCTTCCGTACTCCTCCATCTGCGTCTTCTCACTCTTGACTTTGTTCTGCCTCCAATCCGCTCCCAGGGCCGCTCTCTTTATCCGGGGCCTTTGCCAGTCCTCTGACCAACAGTCACTCGTTTCGCTGTCCTTCTCTTCTGCGTCATTCGGCACTTTTGGAAATACAACAACTTCTATCCCACCCCTCCACCGCCCCGAAGACCTGACCTTGTCAGAGCTCTCTCAGATTCGACAATCCTGCTCCTGCCTCTCCCTCAGCAATCGCCGACCGTCGTGCCCCGGGTTTTGCGGCAGCGGGCGCTCGTCATAATCTCGGTCGGGCTGGGAGGAGGAAGATGAGATCAGCATGAGCTTGAGCTTGGAAGAGCCGGTCACAATTTGGATATTCGAGTTGGGAAGCACGAGTTGACCGATCCACCCGGTCGACGATTGCCGACAACTGGTATTGAGAGCATGACCACGCTCCTTTCCTTGGCCGCATTGGCCCTTGGTGTGCGCAGTGTCCACGCGCAGAGCTGTATATCACTGGCCGGTTCGACCGCGTGCCCTGCCTTTAACTCTTCGTCTATATCAACAGATTCTACCCTGGTTGGATTTTAGTAAGTGGCATTGGTCCTGGCGCGCGTGGGTGACCACAGCTAACTTGGATCAGCCCTTTCCTTGCCTATGTCACGTCGACAGCCGAGTTCGATATACAGATATCCCGATACGTGACTCGTGAGTATGTACAGACCAAATACATCAGTCTCTTTGGGTGCGACAACGTCAATCTGGGCAACACCTCCAGCTACTACGCCCGCTACACGACCAGCTTTCTCTGCAATGGCATTGTCCAAAATTCCAAGGCGGCCTGCGGACTCTCGGCGGATGACTCTCAGCCACTATGCGCCGACTCTTGTGCCGAACTAGCACTGAGTGAAGAACAGATCGTCTCGAGCAATCTTTGCTCCGGGCGAGACGATCAGTACGCGGACCAACTGCGAGCCGACTTTACCAACTGTGCCCTGCCGGCCAACTCTATCAGTGGCAGCTGTATAGCAGGAGAGTCGAACGAACCCAATGACTGTGGATTTGCGGGCAATTTGATGGGACTCTGCAACTTCTGCCGCGACAGTACTTTCAACGGCACCGACTCCTGCTGCTTGACTTCTAACGCAACTGGCCGATGCCAAGATGTCACTCTCCCAGTCTTCTCCACCATCTCCAACCTCTTCTCCTCGACCACCAGCCCGACGTCGTCACCGACGTCAAGTTCAACAACAGCAGCCAGCCATCAGGGCGGTGGCGGCCTGAGCGGCGGTGCCATAGCGGGGATCGTTGTTGGATCGGTGGTGGGCTTGCTCCTACTGCTTGCCGCGATTGCCCTGTGCTTCATATGCCTGCGAAGGAGGCGCAGTAACAGCAAAGCCGGCAGTGTCCTCAACCAACCCTCGCCTCAACGGAGAGGTGTCGCGTCCGCGTCCTACAATCAACCAATGTCGCAACAGGGATATGAAGTTCTGCCTGGCGGCCGCGTTGCTCGCATGTCCGCGCTGCAAGATGACCAGGCCGGTGGCAACGGCCCAGTGGTTGGACCACGGAATTACACATCGCACACCGATCCTTACGGTGACAGCCCCGAATCACGCGAGAAAACTCTTGGCGCGGCTGGTGTCATCAAAGCTAATGGCTCGCCGGGCAGCGACTCACAGCAAGGGTCGTCTCCCGGCGACTTTTCCTCGCCCGAGGGTGTTGCCAGTGGACAATCAGAACAGTTGCCGTTCTTCAAGGACTACTATTCCAACGATGATATTCATCCCGGGGACAAGGTTTCTGTCTTGTGGGCATACCAGCCCCGTGCCGGAGACGAGTTTGAACTAGAGAGAGGCGATATGCTGAAGGTGGTCGGCATCTGGGATGATGGGTGGGCCACTGGTGTGCGTATCAACGACCGTGCGGAAGACTACGACGGCAAGCATAAGGTGCAACGAGACAGCGGTGTCTCCAATGGCTCGGCCGCCCGGGACGAATCCCCCACGCCATCAGGAGAAATCAAAGCTTTCCCTCTGGTCTGTGTTTGTCTGCCCGAAGCTTGGAAGAAGACGGTAGAGGGTGACACTTCTACGGAAGGCGGTTCCGCCGTGGCGCCACCAATATGAAAGTCCCGATCCGCGCTGCGATCATGGCGAGTTTACGATGAAATGCAGTTAGCAGAGGCGTTTTCGGAACGATGCTCATGCTCTCACGGAAGATACAGTATCCGATAATACCAGTAATATCACCCAAAAGCACAACCCAGGGGGTCGGCGTCACTTTGCTTGTTCCAGCCGGTCTGTTCTAGCATGATTCTTGCTGACTGTTGAATGGGGTTTGTTTGTTTGGGGGTCATGTGTGCTTTTACAATTCCTTCTATGCTTTGACTTGATACCCATTTGCGTACAGTTGTTACTTTGAACTCGAGTCGGTCTTGCTCGTGTCCCAACAGGGTTACTGTCATGGAAAGCCATTTTTGGTGGAAGCATCGTCAACAACGCGGAAGCACTATTGAATGTTACTTACTGGAGAAAAGATATCGAGTACGCAGGCCTCGTACAGTTCATGTGAGCATGGCTCTGAGCAAGAGCAGGAGCTAGACATGGCTGGGGATTGGAAGAAGAGCAGATGCCGTGGTCGAGGGCGAAAGTGAAGTAGCTGGGCTTATGAGCAGGCAAATGAATGAATGCTGTCTGTGATCGATCGGTCCAAGCAGAGTAGTGAGATATAGCAATCGTCATCGACGGTGCGAGCTCCTTGCCAGATCCATTGACCATGATGCGCTGTGTAGAGAGTACACACGGAGAGAGGATTCGTTGACCATGATGTACGGAGTAGAGAGTACACGCAGAGAGAGAGGGAGAGCAGCAGTCCAGTCCAGCAGTCAAGTCAAGTCCAGTCCAATACCCTAGGGTCATGTCTTCGAATGCATTCGCTGTCGTTAGAATCTGGAATGAGACGGGATATTTGGTAACTTCAACTCCACGACCACGACCACGACCACGCCCACGCCCACGACGAATGAAAAGATTACGCAAGCAAGCATAGCTCATACACAGCATACAATGTAGAAATAATGGAATCCCGCCGGGCACCACCGAGCTGGAGTGTGTTGGTGGAAGTGAAAGTATACTGTGAGCTAGGTAATGATCGTGCTACATTATTGTAGGCTATGTAGGCGCTTTCAACAGCCATCAATACCTGGTACCTGTAGTCTTGTACAGTAACTACGGAAGTACGGAGTATATTGACTGATATTGTACAGTACGCAGATCGAGGCAACAGCCCCTACCTCTACCTCTACCTCTACCTCCTACAATAGATACATCCTCCGGTATGACTACTCGAATACTCGACTACTCGGTATGAAGTATGAAGTACTCCGGATTGTTCTTGGACATTCTATAATATGTGCTCTATACCCTATACTCTATACTCTACTCTATAATCTATACTCTACACTCTGAACTCCATCCTGTATATATATATATATATATATGTACATGTACGCACTCGAATCGAAGACTTTAAGATTTGACTCAATACTACCTACCTACCTACCTACCCACGGGCACCCAGCACCCAGACAGACTGGATACTTTGGCTACATGGCTAGGATTCTATCCGCTGTCTAGGTACCGTCACTGTCGACGGGAGTGACATCGGTCGCCTTGCAGAGAACGAAAAATACCCAGGTACCTACCTGGTAGGTATAGATCTCTACTCTACTCTGCTCGACTGAACTCCACTCTACTGTACTCTACTCTACTGTGCATATCGAGATTGGGATGAGATTGAAAATGGGACCAGGACTGATATTGTAGAATGAATACATGAATACGTCGAGAAATCTATCATTTCTCTTCTTCCTCTCCACCTTCATCTCCCTCCGCATAATTGACGGCCCTTCTCTTGGCGTTGCGCGCACTCGTGGTCCGCGTCCGAGAGGGTGTTTTCTTGATTGTTGGCGGTCGTGGAGGAAGAACTGCTACGTCCTTCTCTTCCGCATCGGTCAGATCGGGCATCATGCCGCGGGGGTCATCGTGCTCTGAGGGCTCTGTGGCCATGTCTATATCTGCCTCTAGATCAGTCAGGTCGGAGCCTGAATCACTCGGCGTGAGAACAGGTTTGGCGTTGTTCTTCTTCTTCTTCCCCTGCTCAGTCTTTCTGTTACTCGTCGCGTTCTTGGCCGGTGCGCGAGCCGGCTGGCGCGATTTCCCACTCGTCTTCGCCACCTCATAGACGCTCCTCGTCTTCTCTAGGTCAACCTTGTCCTTTGCGGGCGTGGCGGTGGCGGAGGTGGCGTCAGTCTCAGACGCTGTTCCTGTCCCAGTGACTGCTCGGTCTGTCCCTGCGTCGGCGGATGCTTCCCTCGCGGCTTGCCACGCCGCTTTCTCGGCTCGACGCAACGCAGCTCGTTCAGCTGTTGTTTTGGCTTTCTCCGGGTCTCGCGGTTTGACTTCCCGTTTCTTGGGCCGGAGCCATTCTTCCATGCCCGGGGGCCAGTAGACGCGGTGGTCGGGGCCTCCCATGCTTACTTCGGCGTCTGGGATCAGAGGAGGTGGTTGGGGCGTGTGCTCAACTTGTTCTTCATCGTGGTCTTCGCCCTCGCCTCCGTCGTCGTCTTCGGGTCTGGATTTGGGTTGGCGTTTGTTGTTCTTCTTTGGGTTCTTTTTCTGCTTCGGTGCTTTCCATGGTTTGTTCTCGTCATGCCGCACATGCGGGATGATGTCGTTGAAGGTATCGAAGCCGGGGAGTTTGAATGTGCGCATCAGTTCGAACACGGCTTGCTCCTTGTCCTTTGCTTCGACCATGAGGTCCATGTCTGGGGCGCAGGGAGGGAGGGTCGCTGGTCGGGGGTTGTGTTTGCGGCGTTGACGCGCAGTAATGGCTGAAGGGGTAGGTTCAGAGTAGTGCATCTTCTGAGTGATGTTCTTGCGCGTCCAGGTTGCTTTGATCCGGTCGTAGAGTGACATGATGTCGTGGGTTCCTTCGCGGATTTTATCCGCGTCGAAGACAATGTTGTGGTGATGAAAATCGAGCACGAGGGGGATGTTGAGCTCTTCACACACCGGGAGTAGGTCGTGGACGCTGTAGATCACGTCGTCGTTCTCCAGGACCAGCCGGTCTTTGATCCCCTGTGATAACTTGACATAGTTCTGCTTGAACCGGGCGATCGTCGCCTCTTTGTCACCGAACGCTCCCCCCATGTGTAGGATCATGACTGCGTCTCTGTTCTGTTGGGGCGGCAGTTTTAGCAGGTCCAGCAGCTCGCAGTGGTATTCCAGGTCACGGAGCGAGGCTGTGATGACTTCTTTTCGCGGCGAGCCCAGCTGCGTGAATTGTCCGGGATGGGTGGTCGGTCGATGGCCCAGCTCTGCAGCCACGCGACCCGCCTCTGCCAATGCTTCCGACGCAAAGGATGCCAGCCCGTACCCGTAGACGTCGTGGCTGGCAAACGGGAACATCTCGGACGAGAGCCGCATGAACTTGATGCCGTAGCGGTCGTTCCAGCGCAGCATCTTGGGGATATCCCGTGCGTTGGCCAGACCCAAGGCCTCGACATACGCCTGTCCGCGAGCTATGTCGGGGGTCTGGTCCTTGTCTGGGCGGTTTTTGGTCGCATGTTCTGGCTGGGTGGGATCTCTCAGCGGATGGCGATGCTCGAGAATAGACGCGATGCGGCATGTCCGTGACAAGAAGACCGGTGGATTGGCAGCGCGCAGATACGTGTTGAGGCATGCGTACCCTAGCCGGCCTTTCCACGGTAATGGCAGGTATGAGCTGTTGACGGGAGGTGGTCGAGATAATGCTTCTTTGAGTTCTTCAGGGTCAGCTTCCTCCTCGTCGTCGGCTTCAGGGTCTCCTCGATGTAGGCCGTCGTCTCGCTTCGCGTGGTTCTTCAGACCGGCGCTTGACATTGAGAGTCCCTCAGCGACCTGTTCAGCGTCTCCCAGCTCGGTCTTGTTCTTTGCCTTCGACTTCGCCTTCCCTGAAGGAGCCTTCTTCAACTTTTCGTCCCCAGGCTCCTCGGCGTCCGGAGAGGCGCGAAGAGCATCGGCTCCGTCTCTGATCTTCGTGTTCGTGTCCGGGTTGGTGTCTATCTTGGCGGGAGCGACGGCAGACGCCCTTGTAGAAGTAGTCCGCCTAGTTGATGACGGTGCTGTTGCAGGTGTGTCCGCTTCGGAGGCTCTCTTTCGTTTGCCCATATTGTTGAGCACTAAAATTGGAACTCCCTGTGGTGGTGTCGCATGAGCAGTGGTACCGTGACCAATGCTCCGACGGGCAGTCGCTATCTGAGATGGTGTTAGCACTCTCACTCGCAGATTTCTGAGGGCGATCATTCGACACCTCTTTCCAGAGCCGTAACTGCGGAATCACAGTTCTTCTGAACTGAAAATTCAAAGCTGAAGACACCCCTTGTGTGCGCACCGACAACCTTCAGCCAAACCTTCAGCCACTCGCCTTCACGACGTCATGGACTTTTGTACCTGCGACGCGCCTCCTCGGGACCCTCCGTGCCTCCTTGCCTCCCCCATGCCTCCTCCCTCCTCTGCCGCCTTCAGATCGGGCGCCGATCGATCGGACGCGTCGCTAAAGCCCATCACGTCTACGAGAGATATCCAATACGAGCACGTGTCCTGCATGCGGAGCAGTACTGCGTACTCGTATATGGCGCCATGAACACCAGGTCCCCTGCTAACGCCTCGCCGCGGCAGGATGCGACAAGGACTCCGATTCGAGCTCATAATCAGTGGGACGCATGACAGCCGATGAGGCCTCGATCCTGTGGCAAAGCCGCCCGGGCGGCGGCTGCTCTGTGATTTGCTGTCTCGGTCGCCATCGGCTCCAGACGAGGATCGAAGCTGCATGACTCCAACTGCCACTCGCACCTCCTCATCGCCTGGCATTGCTGGCACTGGATAGAACATGTCTAGAACATGGAAGACCGTGGCAAGGAGTCAGCATCCATGGATGGAGGTGCTATCTCCGTTCCACCGATTCAGCTCTCTTCAACTCGGTCACAGGAGATCAACCACACATTCTAACTCTATGATTTCTACATCCACGGGAATTTCGAGCCCGTCTTGAGGCACAGCCCCGCATTGTGGTTGCTGGTACATCGCCGATACACGCACCTGCACAATGCCAGTTTTCGAGCGGATGCGAAGAAAGCTGTCAAGGGCCAAGTCGGCACCCGACACCCTAGAAGACGCGGACGACGGACACGTACAGTTGCAACAGTGGCCAAGCAACGCCTTGTTCTTGACGCCGTCGGACGAGCAGCTTGTTTCTAAGCTTGCGTTCACGCCGGAGACGGCCATCATCGAACGAGCACCTCGCCATTATGCCCCTTCCTCGATCGCGACTCGATCGTCGGAGAGGACAGTCTTCAACAACGTCGAATCGGGCTTCCTTTCACTTCCCACGGAGATGCTGATGACGCTGCAACCATACTTGACGCCGAGCAGCGAGGTTGCACTTCGCCATTCATGCTCCCGCTTCTTCCATCTCTATAGGATGCCATCCTTTGTCTTGACAGGCTCGGAGCTCTTCGATTTTCTCTGCATGACCGAACGCGACCAGGATCCCACGGAACTGGATAGACTGGTTTGTAGCAAATGTCAAACGCTGCACAACCGCTCTAGTTTTCCCAGCTCTGAAATCAAACAAGAGTCCAGGTCCCGAGACTGCAGACAGGTCTGGCTGTGCCCACACCGTTATCTTGGCTACCAGAAAACGACCCGCACCATTAAGGCTGGCGTCGAGTCGCCATTCCGGGTCGAGACGCTGGAGCCTTGTTCGAGATGCAGAAACTCCATCCGCAACAGGTCTGTCGCTGATCGTCCGGAGAAAGGAACATCGGCGACGGATCTCGAAAGTCCAAAGGCCGAGTCTCTTCTGATTTCCAAGATTGGCATCCTCCAGGCACCGTCACCGCTATACAACACGAGGACAACCGGCGGCAGTGGCATGTACAAAGAAGTGTTTCAGGTCAAGGACGTTTCTACCGCTCTTCAAGCAATTGATTTTCGTCTGTGCCCGCATCTGAAACTCGGTGATCCCTACATCCTCAGCAAATTCTGCAGAGCATGCATCAACACCCAGCGCCTGCCTCCCGGCGTGAAAGGTCCGCCGTGCATCAATGAAGCCAAAAGGGACTTTGGAAGCAAGGGCGCGAGCGCAAAGTGTAAAGGCTCCTGTTTCACGCGAGGGTGTAAAACGCAATTCATGTTTCAGGCGCGCGAAAGCCTGTCGCCCGATGCCTCTGGTAGAAGACAAGTCTGGCTGATCATTGTTGTCTATCGCTGGCTCGGTCCATTGCTGAGTGGTGGGCGTGACTTGACCTGGACCAACCACGCCATCGACCATCAAGAACGAAAAGACATGCGATTAAAGTGGGCAGAATGGGAACGGGCAACTCGTGCTGGACGGCAGTGTATGCCGAACTGGGACATATGTCTCCTTCACCCGGAAGATTCGAATCTGCGCTGAAATCTGTGGCATAGCCGTGGCGTCTGGTGGTGCGGGTATACAATGCAGCGCTCAGCATGCATCATGCTCAACACTTCTCGACCTGATCCAGCGGCGGCGTTAGTCGTTGGTGTTGTATATGACTGTGGGCACCCTTACCACACAGCGTTCGTCCAAGGCTTCTTCAACTGCGAGACATCAATAGATAAGTAAGAGCGGGGCTTGAATGGGCCGAGAGATTGTCAGTGCACTGCCACGGACACCCACCACACATTCCTTCCACCGGGCTGGGCATACCTCGACGTTGAGGAACTATAGCTACGGAACCAGTCCGGTCTCATCACGGTCCGACCAGGACTCAGCTTGAACACTGCTGATATAGCCCTCCCGGCTTCTCCTTCCAAAATATACTCAAGCTGGCTCTGAAGGGAGTCCTTTGGTGGGTGAGATGGGATATCGACAACCTGACTTCAGGACGTGGCGCACTGACTTGGCGCTCGGAGGAAGAAAGTTGTGAGGGCCAGAAGAATTCCAAGTCGGGCCAGAGGTAAACAAATCCCCGGCTGGGTATGCTCGAGCCAGTTTGTGAGCTTCCTCATTCCCATTCCCCTCCAAGGCCACCGACGTCTACATCCAGGACATTCGAATTGCGGAGCTCTGTTCAATATAAGGTCCCAGGCCAGACAGACATCAGTGAGCAAAAGGATGGTATAGTGTGGCTAGCAAATGGTTTGTGTGTTGCTCGTCGGCATATAAGAGGAGCGACATTGAAGACCAGGACGGGCGACCATCAAATCCTCAAGCATCTCAACTCCTTCCCGTTGCAATCAGAGGCGAGTATTCAATATATTGTGTGCCGCATACACCTACATGCTTTTGTATTTCCTCGAAGCGATATTGCCACGGCTCAACTGACCGTACAGTGACGACCTGCGCCATATCCTCGACGCTTCCTTTCCTTTTCCATGTCCATGTCTACATTCTTGCAGAAATCGCTTGCACTCTCATTAGTACTATGGCTGCCCATCTGCACCCAAGCCCATATGCAGATGAGTTGGCCATACCCCCTCCGAAGTCCCCTCGACCCGGATGTCTTGGTCGATGACAAAGACTACGATATGACGAACCCCCTCCTTCCAGACGGCTCTAACTTTCCCTGCAAGAACTACCAGAACTACACCGGAGGCTATGTGACGAAGGCAACCTACCTATCCGGTGGTACGTACGACATGTGGCTGAACGGCACAGCAGACCATGATGGCGGCTCTTGCCAGCTCTCCTTGTCATACGACAACGGACAGACCTTCAAAGTGATCAAGTCGATGATCGGTGGATGTCCACTCATGCACAACTACAACTTCACGATCCCCGAGTTCGCGCCTCCGTCGGATTCGGCTCTGCTTTCCTGGTCTTGGTTCAACCTGGTGGGAAACCGCGAAATGTACCAGAATTGTGCACGCGTCAAGATCATCGCGGCACCGAACCAGAGGTATCGACGTGGCTCTCTTTATAGGCGTCAGGCTTCTTCCTTGGACCAGTTGCCCAATATGTTTGTGTGCAACGTCAACAACGGCTGCCAGACTATCGAGCAGCGAGAAGTCATCTTCCCGGATCCTGGAGACCAAGTTGTCTATGGCCAGGATGCTATCACTCCCGACCCAGGACCCGGCTACATTATTGCTGCTGCTTCGACCACTTCCGTCTCGTCCACAGATCCGTCGTCGACAACTACTTACAGTCTGGCTCCGATTACTCTCCGCTCAACTACCTCTGATGTACCGTCGGGTACTTCGACATCCGCAAGCGTGGATCTCCCAGCCTCAACGAGTACTATAGCCGGTCAAGAGTCTGTGGTATCATCCACGACGGACTTCAACCTGGTACCTACTCAATCCGTAAGCAGCTTCAGTACTTCGGATCTGAGTGCTACGCCTAGTACATCGACATCATCTGAAACGGGAACGACTCCAGCTGACAGCGCAAATATTAACCCCACTAGTTCCGTTGACATATCTACCACGTTTCCAGGCACCAGTTCTGTGTCGATTACTTCGGACACGTTACCGTCCACGACAAGCGCAGTCATGACCAGTGTGTATCTGTCAACTACTTTATCGAGCACGTCAACCGGCGATCCTCCTGCTGCGTCAACGACAGAATCGCCGACAAGCTTCTCTTCGTCTACGCTGAGTTCAACGACGACCACCAGTTCTGACGCAATGTTCTTTCCGAGTACTTTCAGCACTGTATTGACGAGCACGAGCATGAAGATGGGCACCAGCACGACTGTCCAGACCTCGTTTCCCGTTCTAAACATGACTGTCACTGTCTTGCCTTTACCAGCCACATCAGGGACTAGTTTCGTGGGTAGCAGTCTTCCAGACAGTGTCTCCTATTCCGCTTCCATCAGCTCCACGACGACGACTACTACTAGAGGGATAACGCCGACGACCGTGCCGACGGATTTTACGACCTTCATCACGACCATAGACGCAATCCCAGCGACCTCCACGACCGCTTTCGTACTGTCGACGCCATCAATAACATTTACAACCCTCTATACAACCATCCCTACCACTTCAACGACACCGACCACCACGCCGTTGACAAGCATAGCCAACGTACCTTTGAGCTCAAGCCCACCGTCGACCCCGACTTCGGCACTCTCGACCCCGACGCGGCCAGCTACCGCCTCTTCATCTTCAGCCTCTCCAATATCTACGGCCCTCCCTCTACCATGCGCCCCCGGAACCTTCGCATGCAACACGGCATGGTCGTTCTCGCAATGCGTCGCGTCCGCCACGGGGCCGACCTACATCTTCATGGGCGCCGTCGCGGCCGGCATGACGTGCAGGGACGGGCGAATCATCCGCCAGAACGCCGGAGCCTGCACGCCCAACGGCCAGCTGAGATGTAATGGCGCGGGGGCATTTTATCTGTGCGATCAGGGCGGGCTCGTGGATATGGGCCCCGTGGCGCCGGGGACGGCGTGTAGGGATGGGGTTATTGGCTTTGCTTGAGGTGGGGACGACAATTGTTGTCTGGGAGATGTGTCTGACATGGATAAAGAAAAGTTTGGACTTGGACTTGGACTTGGACTTGGACTTGGACTTGGACTTGGACTTGGACTTGGACTTGGACTTGGACTTGGACTTGACGGTCTCAAAGTTCATGTTGATTTGTCTTCGCATGGTTCAACCCTTTCTATTTAGATGGACTTGAGAAGGTCCGGTAGGTCAGGTCATTGCGTTTGCATGGCGCCACATTACAACGCATACAGGATGCTCGAAGCACGGGTATGAAATGAACATGTGCGAAGAGCAATAAGATACTCTATGTATCAGCAAACCATGAAATTTGACAACTGAGCGATATAATTATGATTGATGTGTCGGTATGGTTGATTGACCGTTGAACAGTACTTTCGGTTCAGGCCCGGATTTCGGATCGAAGTGAAATCATGAGGACAGTACAGACCACAAGGCACGGAGTACAGAGTGGTGAGGTGGAGGCTGTGACCTCCGCCTTGCGGTTCGCAGACGAGGCTAAGGAGCCAGCATGAGAGATGAGAAGGCGTGCGAAGGCAAAGCAATCAACACGACCAAGGAGCAAGATTTTCCCCGTGTATTTCGCATACTGCGTGGCTTCTCGTTAGGACGGAAGCTGATCTCGGCGCAGAAATACTTCGAGGTCCAACTGACCGTAGCTGAGTGTCGGGAACAGCTCATCGCATAACATCGAACTCTTCACAGCACGTACGGTGTCAACCCCACTTGAAGCCAATTCATTTAGGCGTACGGAGTATATGAGTACCTCATCCTGGATGGGGTGGTGGGGGCTGACTGACGTCGTGGGGGTCGGGCTTAGGGACAGTACTTTGTACCCCTCCATCTCACCCCTCCATGTTGGCCAACTCGGTGGATTGTCCACCGTTGGAGAGGTGTCACACCGATAGCATTACTCCGCGCTCCGGACGGAGGACTCTTGGTCCAGTTTGCCGTCTCGAAGATGGAAAGTCGCAACGGAGACGTCAGCGTGACAGCAGGTTGAGCTCTGTAACTCGTACACAGTACGTAGGCAAATCTTTCGAATCGGAATCTGAAAGGATGATGCGCGTTAGCCAAATGAGCAGTCGATTCGTCGGGGCAATGGCTGGCGTCTTGCTGGGAATTAGGAGCAGCCCATGAAACCTCCAGTATAGTCGTTTCTATTCTGATATTTTCCGGTGGTGGATACCTCGACCAGCGTCAAAGCGGCTCCTCGTATTTTGGGTGTCCAAAAAAGCCTAGTACGTCACGACCGGGAGGATATCCGACGATGGCCCCAAGTGCTACGACTTACTCGTGTGTTGGGAAGAAAACCCTTGCATCATAGCCTATTGATGTCCCATGTCATCGATTGATATCAATGACCATCTGCCCCGCGTGCCGATTCGCATGTCTGGGTAAATTCACGTCGACCTTTTTATTTCTTCTAATTATCCAGCTCAAGATCTTTTCCTCTGTTATTGACTTCCTGCTCTCCCTTACGTCAATATTCTCTCCCTTGAACTCACCAAACAACACCGTCCATATCAGCCACCATGGGTTACCCAGACACGTTTGAGGGTTTCATGATCAAGGACCAGAAGAACTGGACCGACTTCCACAAGCAAGAGGTAAATCCTGCGCAAAGAGCATCCTGAGATCCGTGCTGATCCCGCTGCACAGTTCAAGCCCAAGAAGTTCGGAGAACATGACGTTGACATCCAGATCGAATGCTGCGGTGTCTGTGGATCCGATGTCCACACTATCAATGGAGGTTGGGGCGAGGCGCCGCTGCCAATCTGCGTCGGTCATGAAGTCGTCGGCAAAGCTGTCAAGGTCGGAGATGCTGTGACAACCTGCAAGGTTGGCGACCGTGTTGGCGTCGGGGCTCAGATCTGGGCTTGCCTCAAATGCCCTCAGTGCAAGAGCGACAACGAGAACTATTGCCCACACATGGTTGACACCTACGGCGCTCCTTATCCCAAGGAGGTCGATCCAGACGAGACCGTCTCCCAAGGCGGCTATGCCTCTCATATCCGGGCCCACGAGTACTTTGTCTTTCCGATCCCTGATGCCATCCCATCACACCTCGCTGCTCCTATGCTTTGTGCGGGACTGACAACCTGGAGTCCCTTGGTGCGGGCCGGAGTTGGTCCCGGCAAGAAGGTCGCCGTGGTCGGTCTAGGGGGTTTGGGCCATTTCGCAGTCATCTGGGCGAACGCCCTGGGTGCTGAGGTGACGGTCATCTCACATTCTCCCCACAAGAAGGACGATGCTCTGAAGCTTGGCGCAAAAGAATTTGTGACAAACAACGAGAAAGGCTGGGCCGACAAGTACCAGTTCGCATTCGACTTCGTGCTCAACACGGCCGACATGACCCACACCTTCGACTTGAGCGAATATTTGTCCCTGTGCAAGGTCAACGCCACCTTCCATCAGGTTGGTCTACCTGATGAGGCTCTTCCACCTTTGAAGGCTCAAATGTTCATGAGCAACGGCAGCTCCATTGGCGCTAGCCACATCGGAAACAGACCCGAGGCTCTGGCCATGTTGAAGTTAGCAGCAGAGAAGCAGCTCTTCCCTATGGTAGAAACCGTGTCCATCTCAGAAAAGGGGTGCGCAGAGGCTGTATCTCGAGTCGCCAACAACAAGATCAAGTACCGATTCACGCTGACGGATTACGACAAGGTATTTGGTGCACGCAACTAAAGAGGCAGCAGAGGCAAACATAAATGGAGCCCCGAAGACCTGAGTTTGGGTTAAGGATTTGTGTAACCAGTGGTGAGGATGCTGCCACAGTCACAGTGAGCACTGCGGTTGGTTGATCAGTCCGGAGGAGGTATCACAGACACGTGCGACCTTCTCTAACACGACGACCGGTCGGAGGCAACATGGATCTCTGCCAAGTGCTGGAAGTCACCCAGCAGTGTGCACCTGAGGATCTCGTGCTTAGATAGCTCGTCACTGAAGACTGAATACTGTAGTGTTGCCCCACTCTTCCCCGAGATTATCTTCAGTACGTGGCCTGTACAACGGTGTCGGTTGTATTCTTGGAATCGATCGAGGCTACGGAACTCCTGCGGCGATTGAGTTCTCGTTGACATGACTGGGGCGTTGATGAGAGTGCTCTTGTTCGTTCGGACATTTCGAAGCTCTTTCGAGCATGTTGTTGGCCGGCCATTTGCTAGCGGCCGTTTGACATGTCTGATCGTCCCCAGCCACGGTATTTAGCTCTAACGGCTAGCTAGGCAGAGGCGTCGGTCCCTAGCCAGATTGCCCTGTTGCTGGAAGCTTTGCACGGCTGTCCAATACTCCTCCCTTGAGCTAATCCAGGATTTGACAGTGTCGGCAGCAAGAAGCAAGATACCTCGTACTCGTACTCGTACTGATTGCCGCGTTCGACTTGAGGAGAACGGCGTTGCATCCCTTTATCGTTGGCATCTCTTCAAGACCCTGTCATCAATCCACGAAGCGAAATATCTTGCGGCGGCTGATCGCCAAAGGCGACAGGCTAGGGGTCCCAAACAAGCGTCTGAGCTGCATATCGAGCCTCTTCAAGCATGAACGGGCCAAAGCCACCCGCCCGATCAGAGCCTCAAAGGGTACGTGGCGGATTGCGGTGGTGGAGCTAGACGCAGCTAACAGTGAGGAAACGGCAAGCTCCATCTTGTCCCGTTGCCTGCCCACTTTCCATCATTGCCGTCTGCGCGGGCCTGACGATAGCTCGTCTGCTTGTCCCCAGAACTGCCGTCATCCTTCGTTCTGTATTGTCCCTTGACCGTTGCGTGCACCGTGCTATCCAGTGACTCCATCAGCTCGCTGCAAGCCTCCGAAACACCTTGCTCCACGGCGGAAGCAGGGGCACTGGTATCTCCTCACATCAGATCAAAGGCTGATATGAACCACGTCTTGAACTTCGCGATAGGAGGCCAAGGCTACGCTCGCATGCACAAATCCTTCTCCAGGCCCGAACCCGGATCCTCGCCCTATCGCCGCCGAATCTGTTCTCTCTGAGGATGCGTTGGAGAGCCCACGTCCCTACTCTGCCCCGAAGGTCACAACTACATCCTTCAGCTGATACATAACATGTGCGCTGGAGCGCTTGGGGGGTCTTATAGTGGTCTGTGCATGAGCTGGAGGCATATTTGCTGAGGAAAATGACTGTTTGATTTCAACATGGATAAGGGCTTGAAGAAGTTATGGACGCGCAGGAAGACCAAGGCAAAGGGCAGCAGGAAGGACTCGGGAGTGAGCAGTTTGAGAAAGAGTCAGAGCACGGAGCAGACACACTACTCGAGCAATACCAGTTCACCGTCCATCCACATCCGAAACATATCGACAGACCACGCAAAGTCTCCATTGAGCCCGGCTGTCAGTTCCAGGCTCCAACCTGCGCCGGGTGCCGGTGCCGTTTCAAGGCCATCAACCTCCTGGTCAGGGCCACCCACGGATGGGAGCGGTAGCCTGTTGAACGCTGTCAATCGAGCAGCAGATGCCGTCGCGAAACCTGAACGAGACTACCGATATCCCGCAGAGCGAAACCCTCGAGACTATGCCCGGCCCAAAACTCCACGCTATGTCGACATTTTCTCCCTTTCCAGCTCGAATAGCCCCAATCCCAGACCTGGTTACAATGAGGATGTGGCTGAAAGGAATTTGGACTTGGCCCGGGTCGCGCTTGAAGGCACTCACTATCATTATGTGCCTTCTTCGAAGTATCAAGAGGAAGTTGCCACGAGAAATGCACACCCCAGTCTGCCTGGGAGTCCTGCCACCTCCACCTCAGTGCGTCGTCAAGTAGCAAGCGCTGCAAGCAACTATCCGCGATCGCCCCAAAGATTCGAGGGACATTCCTTCTCCAGGCAGAGTAACCACACTCATAATTCGACAGGACTGCACTCCCGACACGACAGTGATGGGTCTGAGGGATCTCACCAACGAGCCCGTGACGTCCAGGCCCTCAAAGAGAGCGTCTCAAGGTTGCCACACGCGCAAATACCAACAGCACCTGTAGACAGCACCCAAGGTCACAAGTCGGTTTCTACTTCGCCCGAAGTCGCAGCAGGATATCCTGGAAAACCGCCACGAGAATCCGATCTCCACGAAGAGCCGGCCAATGCCCTGAGCGGCTATCAGCTGTCAGTGCCAGAAGTGACGCAACTGAGTTCCGTAGACGAGTCGTCCTTTTCTCGAAGCCACGAGAACTCCATGCGCCCTCCATCAAACCCAAGCAATCGAGCCATTAATTTACCTTATCGCACAATCCTGGATTTGACTGCCGACACCCCCGATGCCGTTGCTGAAGGTTCTCCTCCCTCGAATTATAGCTCAACTCCAGTCCTAGAACATGCAAGGATTGACACGATGCGCAGGGTCTACGGACCTGTCATCCCCAGCTCATTCACGGAGACGACGCAGACCCAATCAGATTCTGTCCAGCCAGCCACCTCGCCACCAGCAAATGCAGAATCACCCGCTTCTGCAGAGGTTGCACAACCACGTGCTCCATCACCAGCACCTGTTTCAGCGCAGCCAAGTCCACGGAAATCACCAGCCGAGATGCATTTCGCAAGTAGCTTCACTCCCGTCATCACCATTGCCTCTGCGTCGCCTCGGGCAAGTTTAGTAATGGCGGAGCCAGCAGAGGCCGATATTGTGAAGGACACCAGCATCGAACCGGGGACCGGCGTGTCTCAGAAGCAGGAGGAACTCAGATTCGCGCCTGATTCTTTCCCATCACGTCATGATGGGCTCTCGGATGTGCAGAGTCGCGTCGCGGAGACAGCGATGCCGTCTTCGAAGGGGACCCTTTCCACGACTAGCACCGAGGTGAGGTCCAAAGAAGGGGAAGAGACGATGGACCAGAAGGAGGATCTGACACGAAATCCGGACCCGACGCCAGTGGTCGGGCCATACTTACACCTATCTTCGAACAATCCGGAGCTACCTGTGACCACAAGTAACGCATCAGGGGTGAACGCGAGGGACTTTGCTAATGCTGCCACCAAACCAGCACTGACCAGTGTCCCTGAGGATCCAGAAGTGGACGACAATGGAGACACCTCGTCTCCGCCACCTAAGTCGAAACCCCTCGCAAAAACATATTCCTCTCGAGACGGCGATGCAAACGGTTACGCTTATGGGTCCCCACTGTCTCAGTCGACGTTCGACGAATCGGAGTTTGCCCAGAAGCAAGCTGAAGCTCGTGAAGCCTTGATCCGCCTTCAGCTCAGCTTGAATGAGAATTTTCTTACCAAGCCTTCTTCGACATCTGTCGCGCGTTCAACGAAATCAAACCCTCGGAAGCACACATATTCCTTCAGCGACGGAAAGCCTGCCGCACCATCATCCCTCTTCTCGCAGTTTAGAGAGAGGTCGCCTACTCCGGTAGACAGGCAAGCCGAGCCCGACCATTCAGGCGGCTCAGAACGTGCTGAGACATCTTATCATCATTTAACCACTGTGTCGCGCGAGAATAATAATGTAGAACTACGGGAGGAGACCGCGATGCGTTCTATGAGCAAGACAGGGAAGAAGCGTGAAAAGTTTAGACATGGACCGGAGCTGGACCTCAATGGGCCGGGACCATCTATTGTCAACGATGCGCCGAAGCAGCCTCTACCTTTACCGCCTCCACTGCATCTCACGGATCAATCATTGCACCCGCGTTTCCACCAACCGCAGCCTGTGGTGCCACCAAGCCCAGGGGAGGTCTCTCTGTCTAATTTTCCACTACCTGTTTCCTCGCCTAGGCAGTCCGTGCAAAGGCCATCCACGACCAGCCCAACTGACAAGGAGCGAGCTACACCACGGCCTCCTTCACGGAATGCTCCTCAACCTCCACTTCCCAACAGCACCACCGGGATGAAAGAACGGATACTGCGTCGACAATCCAGTATCAAAAGCCAGTCGAGCAGTACCTCGCAATTCAGCATCCCGTATCACATGATCCCGGATCGCTCGAGTAGCGTTCGCGATCGATCCGTGATGGAGGACGACAACGAGTGAGCAAGTTTCCTTTCCGCCGAGCTGTGTCTCAACCTGCAGTATTGGTGGACTTTCTTTTGTTCTCAGTTCGATTCTACCACACGCAATCGTCATGACCGGGTGGATCTAAAAGTCGATTTGTTGGCAATGCGTGGACGACCCGAGATGACTTATATCGTTATTGTAATCTACAGTGCCTGGAGGTGCAAGCACTGTATGATTTGTGCAGCTAGTCTGACGCTTCTCTAGGAGATTTGACGCCGATGCTGGATTATCCTGGTTGGCGATGTTTTGATACATGCTTGATCATTTTGAGATACCACATATACCACTGATGCTTGTGTCATGCTACCTAGCAGCTTTTGGCCCACTACTTGGATGGCCGGCGCCTTTCCAGCTTGTGTCTTCATCCTCTGTCCTCCATCACATCTAAGAATTGTTCCCTAATTTACGATCTCTTTGGGCTTTGAATAATCGGATCACATACGCATCCTCCACCCCTTTCCAACATGAATCTAAATCTAATTACTACCGATCATCCAGATCCAGCACACCTGTACTTATTCCATCGTCATCACTCTGTGTACTACGAATGGCATTTGAAAACGTAAATATATATGTACGTACGTATATATGGACATTCACATTGACATTTACTTTTACTCTTTTCACAGCCCCCAAACCTTCATCCAGCCCTCCGGCGACTTGACCCACCCCCTGTGTGGCGTCTTGCCGCCTTCGACGCCCCGGCCCGTCTCGGTGATTTCCTCCTCGCCGGGCAACCGGAGCCACTCGTCCACACAGTCGGGGATCTCTTCCTTGACGTGGCTGACCACGACGAGGGCCTGTCGATCGGTGAGGCCGCGGAACGTGGTTGTGGTCACATCGTCGTCCGTGTCAGTGTCAGTTTTACTACCGTGCCGCGTCCCTCCTCCGTCGACGACGCGAGTCTTCTCGTCAGAGGGGATGCTTGCCGTGCTCGCATTGCGTTTCTCACGCGGCGCAAATTCCGAACTGCCCGACGACGCCGCCCCGAATTCAAGCCAGGCCATGGCTTTGTCGCGCGTCCGTGCCGATAGACCCGAGAAGGCCTCGTCCAGGATGATGATGTCGGGCTGTTTGATCAACGCTCTCAAGAAGAGGAGGAGTCGCTGCGTCGAGAAGGGCAGCGTGCCGAACGGGTGTGTCTTGGAGGTCGCCCAGCTATAGTTATTACCATCACCATCGCCATCGCCGTCACCGTTATGGATGATGCTGGAATCGTGGCTGTCGCGATGAGGCCGCGGCCGCGGCCCCTCCGGTCGTAACTCGGGTTCCCACCATTCTAGGACCTGGTCGACGAGCGCGGCGCGCGAAGGCGTCAGGTTCGGCCGTCCCGCGTATGTCTCGGCCCAGGCGGACTCTAGCGCTCGTCGGATGGAGAGGTGCTTTGGGAAGAAGGCGTGGATCTCCGGGCTGGAGTGTCCTATGCGGCTTTGGATCTCCCAGAGGCTGAGTCCGGCGATGTTGTTGGCCGGGTCCGGGAGACGGGTGCGTCCGAAGAAGCGGATCGGGAGCGAGTACGACTGCGGGTGGTCCGACGTGAGGAGCGACAGGAGCGTGGTTTTGCCGCTGCCGTTGGGGCCGAGGAGGGCCAGGCGCGTGCCTTGGTTCAGCGTGAGGGAGAGACCCGTCGGGTTGCCGAGCACGATTTTCGACCCGTATTTGACCATCACGGACGAGAGTTCGATCAGAGGGGCGCCTGCTGTGGATTTTGTGGTGACGGTGGCGTTGGTTGTTGTGCGTGTGGTCCGCTGGTCTGAGGGTAAGGAAGGCATAGATGTTGTTGATCCCTGCCCATGACTCGCGCTTGGTGCCGACGTGACGAGCTGTCGCAGTGTGTCGTCCAGTGGCGATTTAAATGGCCGGTCTGATCCCGCGACAGAGTCAACCTCCTCTGCGGGAAATTCCTCCGCAGGTATCCCTAGAGACGCTGTGGATATGCCAGTCTCACTTAGCACATCTCCAGTCAGACCAACGGGTGGGGGCCCATATTGCTTCAGAATCCCCTCGACGGCACTCTGGTCTTGAGTCCGCACATGCGACTTGGACGCCACATCTGCCCACTTCCGCACACTGAGGAGGACTCTGTCCTTCTCGCCCATCAACGCCACAGTGTGGTTGTGTCCAAGCACGACCAAATGCGTGATCCACTCTGGGATGGGATCCTGAGGCCGCAGTCCGAGCATGAGCAGCGGACTCGACTGATAGGCCAGTTTCTTCAGCATGGGCGACAGTGTGACCAGCGTGGGCGGATCGAGTCCCATGAACGGTTCGTCCAGAAGCAAGAGCAAGGGCCGCCCGAGCAGTGCTTTCGCAATCCTCGCCCGCCGGGTCTGTCCGTTGGAGAGGTTGCTGACGGGCATGGCCGTCAGCTTCTGCAGCCGCAGGTCTGCGATGACCTTGTGCAACAAACTCTGGTCGACGTGTTGTTGTTTCTCGCCCGGGTTGAGTTCCGTGTCGCCCGTGAGGTATTGCAGCACTGTCCAGTCCGTCTCTTCCCTGCGGCTTTCGTATCTTGCGCTCAGGTATGCGCCAGTGACGCCTCCGGCGCCCGCAATCCCGCCCTGCTTGGTGTTGAACCCGACATACTGGATGGCGCGGGAGGGGATTCGTAGCCGGTGGTCCGTCTGGTCGTCGATGTCCCCGTCGGCTAGGTACGGGTAGGATCTCGCGTTGGGCGGGAAACAGAGGTGCGATCCTCTTAGGATCTCGAGGAACGTGGTCCCATCTCCAGACCCGCTGATGACGGCCCAGTGAGGGCTTCTTCTCTCGGTATCCTGGCCGGAGCCTTTGCGCCGGGTCGTGGCAGGAAGCTCGAATCTCAGGTCTGGGAATAGAGGAGGGTTCGTAGATGTGTCCTTTCCGCCCGCTGACGGGTGCTCTCTGTAGAATGTGCCATTGTGGATTTGAATGAGATTGAGACGACTACGCCTCAGGGTGTGCCGGAAGAGGCATATGGCTGTTGTTCGCATGTCCAGTGCATATCTCTTGGAAGGACGTTGACCTCGAGGCCTCGCTCACGGACTCTCGAGATTCGGAGAAGCATACGGAGTATACATATACAGTACACCAGTTAGTGACAGTTCGGAGTTTCTTTCGCATCCATCTCCAACTTTGCGTCAGCGCCAAACGGGCACGACTGGGCTTCGCGGAGGCTAATGCGACTCCGGAGTTCCAGCTATGAAAATAAGTGTCGTGTGAGCACAGCGAAGCGGTCAAATGTTCATTTCATGGTCATCATATTCAGGGCTAGCTCTACCCGCCAGCTCTTTGTCTGTATTGTTACAATGCATGCCGGAGCCGGTATTGGCGCCCTCGCTATGCTGAAAACGCACGAAGCATGACTTCTCCGGTCCTTTCATACCAAGCTCGTCCAAGCTCATTCGTGCTTCATGCCAGCTCCTCGTCTCCTCTTCATTTGTCATTCGTGGGGAAGGCTGCCCGAGCATATATGCCTCTGTTTGGCTCTTTCAGACCAAAGTCGTTCAACTACCGCTCACTCTTCATCAGCCCCTAGAGAAAGTACTCATTTCGACCACCTCTCGACGCTGGCACGTGTCGTAGCTCATCTTTGACCGCGCTGAAAAGTTTGAATTGCGGTTTCATGTCTTCGCCAATGTCGCATACTGACGCCAGGTTTCCGCATCTGTAGCAGTAATTTGGTGCACTCCAAACCGTGACCACGTCCTGACTCTTGAAGTGATATTTGTAGCCTTCATTGACCAACTGATGTGCTCTGGCGATGAGGTTCAGGCCGTTGACGTGACAGAATTCTTGACTGACTCGATCTCCGAATAGCCAGCCGGCCCCTCGAGGCGAGACGGCCCAGGTCTCAACGTCTTCTGGATCTGACCATACGAGGTCGCAAAAGGCGCCTTCATGCGGGATTTCTTGTGCTCGCGCCACGACGCGGACTTGATCGAGCGTTCTGATTTCGGGCGAGAGACCGCCGTGTACGCATAGGACTTTGCCGTCTACTATGGCTCCGAGTGTCATAAAGTCAAAGACCTGGCAGCAGGCTTTCCACACCGAGGTGTTGCCGTATTTCTGTACGCATTCTTCGTAGAAGCCGTAGACCTGCGTAATCTGGCGAGACTCGTGATTGCCTCTGACTAGGGTGATTTTGTCAGGGTATTTTGCCTTGAGGCATAAGAGAAGTGTAAGCGTTTCGAGGGAGAAATAACCACGGTCGACATAGTCGCCGAGGAAGATGAAATTAGCGTTTTGCTTGCGCGAGATGATGTTTCCGGACTCAGATCTCTCGTCTTCGATTTCGGATTGTTGTGATGAGGGGATTTCTTCGGCATCGCTGATGCTGCTCTTCTCGCTCGGCGTGTCGGGATGTTCTGATCCACCTAGTCTCAGTTTCTTCTTGAGTTTGGGGTTCGTGATTGTCGAGGGGGGCTCAATGTCGGCGGCCGTGATGATGTTTGCGGGCGTGACTGGCGTTTCTGGCGCTGATTCATTGGGCATGCCTCCTGCGACTCGGAAGAGTTCGAGTAAGTCGTAGAATTGTCCGTGAATATCACCGCAGATGGTGACCGGGGTAGAGACAGGCTGTATGTTTGACTCTGGAATCTCGGTCAATTGTCACTCACTTCATGGCGGCACAGGCTGACCAACCTTCCATCATGTACTCTTTGACGATTTCGCAGAGCTGTTTCATGTGGTACTCAGAGAGGTATTTGCAGTTCTTCGCCGCCTCGAGCCACTCATCTGGCCCTGCTGACCGCTTGAGGCGGGCTGGGCCTGGAACTGGGACCTTGACAGCGCCCATGGTGCTGGAGAGAAGGAGGAGAGGTTGGCGGAGCGGGTGTAGGTGGACTGGGAACCCAGTTGGCTCTGGGGAGCACGCGGGAGGAAACCTGGCGCCGCTGGGCACCGCAGGCAACGCACAAGGTCAACGTACGTAAATACGTTGGGTTTGTTGGACCCAAACAGGACCCGTCGGTCAATCTCGTTGACCTGGCGCGACCTTCGGCGGGGCGGGCGTGGGAGGGAACGAGGAGGAGGGGAAGGAGAACTGGGAGGGGAGGACGAGTCGTCAAACACTGGAAATGCCTCTGGCAAGGCCGTTGTCTCTAGAACGTTGTTGGCGACAGCGATAGGACGGCCTGCAAGGGACTACACTTACCAGAGGGAGTGGAGGCAGTCGACGCCGCTGCCATCGCGGCTCAGTTGGATGCTGCGCTAGGGGAAAAGTAAGTCCGGTCCGAAGCCGATAGAGGGCGATTATTTATGGGGCCATCGTCACACCCGACATCGACATTCACTTGCATGTCTTCACTGACGGTCACCCAGACCATCCTGTGACACATCGTTGCTTATCGATGCCTAATTCACAACGCGCTGACCTGTATTTCATCGCGGGTCTATATGTTATTTAACTGATCTCTGACTATTCTCTCACTCCAGCATCACGGCTAGATCTACGACAATGTCAAGCAAGGGTCGTTCAGCAGGCGTTTTGCCTGTTAACGCAGCAGCGAGGAAGACGGCAGCAGCGAATTCTGCCCCAAAATCATCGCAGAGGAGTCCAGCACCGAGACTCAGACTGATCATACGTCGTCTGCCACCAGGGCTCATAGAGACAGAATTTTGGGCAGCGCTTGGTGATGAGTGGCACGTAGGCAATGGCAAGGTTGAATGGGCAGCCTATCACGATGGCAAGGTCTCCAGAGAGTCAGCACACCGCAGCCTGGGCTTTTCAACTTGAGCTGACCAGATCCAGTCCCTCAAAGCCGTCGCGACCAGCTAGAGCGTATCTCAAAGTCAAGGAACAGTCGGTCCTGGACACGCTTTCCGCTCTAGTCAAAGAGACGTCGTTCCAGGACGCCAGAAACACAACCAAAGATCCATGCCTTTTAGGACCTCCGTCGCTTGAGTTTGCACCGTACAACAAGACGCCAAGTGGACGAACCCGGCACGACGGGAGGCAGGGTACCATTGACCAAGATCAAGAATTTATTGATTTCTTGCAGAGCTTGACAGAACCCATCACCAAGCCCACGGGCAATGGGACAGAGTCTGGTGAACTCAAAACGGAGCCCGTCACGATTACGCCCCTTGTCCAGTATATAAAGGAAAAGAAAGCCAACAAAGCCAAAGAAGCCGCACAAGCCAAAGCCGCTAAGAGCGCCGGCAAGGAGGCGAAGCCCACTAAGAATGAGCGCACTCCAACAGTGATCATCAAAGGCAAGGCGAATCCTACTGCAACAGAGAAGGACAAGGACAAAGAGAAAGAAAAGGAGAGGGTGGCCAAAGCTACCCAGGATGCCATCAAGGCCGTGCAGAAGTCCGTGGCCGCTGTGCAAGGAAAACAAAGCTCCCTGCCGGCCAAAAGCGAAAGAGTACAGCCAGCAACAAAAGAGACAGCACCGACAGCCCAGTCTCAGCCGACAGAGTCGGCTAAGCAAGACCGTAACAGAGCGCCTCGAGATACCGCCCGAGGGGCTGCCCGGATGCTGCAGCGAGATCTGGGTCTGCTCGCAAAAGGCAGCACTTCTCCTAGGACACCGAAGGCAAATGCGACAGCATCTGCATCAAGCGCTGCACCACCGATTACCCCGACACTTGCAAAACCCACAGCAGGACCTAACCCTGCAGAGTCGGCACCAAGCCAGCAGAATTCGTCAGGGCCAGCAACGCCCACCACGCCCGCAGCGCCACCCACTGGTCCACGAGCGTCAAGAGCCTCGCGAACACCCAGCGCCGCCGCATCCTCATCAGCAAAACAACCTCCCACCACGCCTTCTCAACAAGCAACAACAACCCAGCCACAAACCCATCCCAACCGCGCAAAACCGCAACCATCTCCCGCTCAGCCCTCTGCAGGCGCTAAATCCGCCTTCCTCAAGCACGCCAATCCCTCTCAGGGCATCACCGAGGATTTACTCAAAGAAGCATTCAAATCCTTCGGCACCATCACACGCTGCGAAATCGATAAAAAGAAGGGGTTAGGGTATGTTGACTTTGCGGAGCATGAGGGCCTGAAGAAAGCTATGGCAGCCAGTCCGGTCAAGGTCGCGAATGGGCAAGTCGTGGTGTTGGAGAATAAGAGTCCACACGGGAAGAGAGGCGGCCAACCTGCCACGGCTCAGAAGAGTTCCCCTACTCCCGCTCCTGCTGCCGGTTCGGCTGTCACAAAAGCGAATGCTGTTCCTGGTTCTCCAGCTGTGAGCTCCCCAAAGCCATCGGTTCCAACCCCGTCACCAACCGCGGCGCCCACGCAGCAAACCGCAAGTACACAAGCTCAAACCCCTGGGGCGCCGATGCCTCCTGCTGCGCCGTCGGGATCGGCAACGGCCTCCACCCCTGGAGTACCAGCTCCACCTACAGCGCCGCGGGGAGCGAATAGAGGTGGTCGCGGGGGTGGTGGCAGGGATAATGCTCGTGGCGGAGCAGCCAGTCAAGGCCAAGGTCAGTCTCAGGGTCAGGGTCAAAACCGGAGCAACAGGCAAGGACATCGCGGCGGAAGGGTTAATTTCAGGGGCAGCGGACGAGGCGGCGCTGCAGCGGCGACAAATGCCTCTCCAGCTACGGGAGGTGAAATTGCAGCGGGAAGTGCAGGTGCAAGCGCAAGTGCAAGTGCAGACACACCTGGAGCAACCGTGGCGCCTGTAGCGGCAAAAGAAGAACCGAAGGAATCCTGAATGAAAACTGACGTTGGCTGTGGAGTCGATGGCTTGAAGCTCAACACAAACGCCGCTGTCGATTTGAGCGAGGCCGTTTTCCGAGTCTTTCAAAGTCATCCTCGATAGCCACATACCCTTTTATCTTACCTTATGGACAGGTTGGTAGGAACCGTCCAGACGAAGCTTGTCGGAAGTTCATGCATGTGATACATGACGAAATATCTCACCCCCTGAAATTAAAGTACTCATTCGCTTGCTGATGTCTAGTGATCCCTCACACGCGGAATATTGTACAACCATTGTCCCCAGTTTTAACTCGGGGCTCAAGACCTTTTCACCGCCTCCTCCTCGTCGCAGGAATTGGGTCGAACGCATCATCATCGTCGTCGTCGTCATCCCTGATCTCCTCAGCCGCGCCCGAGGCCTTGCCACGCCCGAGAATACTGTTCTGCGAGTGGGTGAAGTTCAGCTGCGTTTGTCTTGCTTTGGAAGCCGCCGCGCGGGCGGGAGTTTTCTTCGTCGTCGAAGTGGAGGAGGAGGCGGCGGCAAAGGACGCCGGTTTGGCCCTTCCGCCTGTCCGCGACGCGGTAGTGGACACAGAGGCAGGGGACGCATGACGAGTGGCTCGCGCAGCTGGAGCTTTTGCTGCGGCGGCTTTACGCTTGGGCTCAGGCACGAACATGGCTTGCGAGTCGGGTTCTTCGTCATCGTCGTCGTCGTCATTCCCCATGACGATGTCTTCTTCCTCTTCCTCTTCCTCTTCGTCGTCGTCGTCGTCATCATATGTCGCTGCTCGCTTGCGGCCGCGTGCAACTGTCGTAGCGGCTGGTTTCTTTGCCGTGGGTTTTGCCGTCTTGCGAGTTGACGTCGCGGTTGTAGACCCCGCTCTTCCGCCTCTGCCTCTGCCTCTGCCTCGTCCTCGAGTTCCGCCGCGTGTAGCCGGGGCTGGTGTGCCGTCTTCGTCGTCCTCGTCGCCTATTCTGCTTTCCAGATCACCCGAGTCGTGGATTAATGCCTCAGGTTTGTCTTCCCAGTGTCCATCGAGATCGGAATCCCAGCCGTCCGGCTTCGGTTTGTACTTTGCCTTGCTCTTGCTGATCTTGAGCTCACCCTTGGCGAACATCTCCTCCATCTTCGCGCGTTGCTGCTCAATCTGGGTCGCGAGATCTTCATCCCCGTCATCCGCGTCGTCCGCATCCTCTTGCAATCGCACCAAGTGCTTGATCTGATCCGCGAGCGACTGATTCACGAATGTTTCCACGGCGTGCTTGTCATCTTTGTCGACGTACTGATGGACGGCATCCCCGAACACGTTGGGCGGCAGGATGGTAAGGCTCTGCTTCTCAAGGAACTCTCTGACCAGTTCTTCGACTTTGATGATTTCCAGGCCCTGGAACTTCGCCATGATCTCCTCGTCGGCTTCTGCGTCGTAGGCTGTGCGGGCCGCGGCATTCTTCTTCTTGACGTGAAATTGGACCACGTCGTTGGTGTTTGCGACTTTATCGATGAAGCGGTTGGAAAAGCGCTGCGGGTTTTCGATATCGAAGCGGGTGATGCCGTCTGGTGAGGTTGTCTCCACGCGCAGTCTGATCAGTGGTAACGGTGGTGCCTCGGGCTCCTCGTCGGGGTGTTCCGGCTCTGGCTGGACCTCGAGCCATTCTGCCTTGGCTTGCTCGATGAGTCCATCAACAATCTTGATCAAGTGCCTTGTAAGTTCGACGCGGTGGTCGTCTTTGTGTTTGGCTATTCGGACGGCTTCTTTGTCATTCGCGAGGACAATATCCTTGTACACGAATGGGCGAACGGTTTTCAGGCGGATTGGTTCACATTGCATTTCGCGGCCCGTGATGGTGAGAATGGCAACGTGTTTGGGCACGGCTTCGCCGGGATTGAGGGATGTAGCGACTGAGGAACCGGGTTGCATGACTTTGAAGTTCATCTCGGGGTTCAATCTTGGTTCGATGTCACATTCGTGCTCGTGACCCCAGATGACGAGGTCGAGGAAGTCGGGGAGGAAGTTCTCGGGCAGGTACGAGGTATCTGTATAGGCGTGATGGTTTTGGTGCAGACAGATCAAGTTATACCAGTCCTCCATCTGTGTGCTAGGGCGATGGTATTGGACTTTCTGATCCCTGAACGTGCGGTGAAGCCTCTCGTCTCGAACATTGGAGAGACCGTAGAGGGCGAGCTTCGTACGGCCTTTCTGAATCAAAACGGGCTTGACCACGATATTGTCACTCTGCGGTATTTTGCCATAGTAGTTGACGAGGCCGGAGACAGCGAGCAGGTCCAGAGCAGAGTAATGGCCTTCTCCAGTAGGGTCATCATGGTTACCATGGATTGAGAAGATGGGTATGCCGACATTGATGTTCGGGTCCTCGTAGTTGACATGGTCAAAGGTGGCGTCAAAGTGCTCGGACTCGTCTGAAAGCATCTCCAGCTCACAGGGTTTGTCGCTAAGGCAGTTGAGTCTGACGGACCGCATGACATTGTACATGGATTTTCGTGAAGGCTTATTTTCGTGGAAGAGGTCACCGGCGAGGAGGACCATGTCGACGTCTCGCTCTCTGGCCAGGCACATGATCTCGTGGAATGTCTTCCACGAGTCGTCGCCACGGACTGGGTTTCGTTCGTGGGCGCCGACATGGTTGTCGGTGGCGACGAGGACGGTGATTGTGTCTGCCATGACGGCTGCTTTCGAGCGAACGGAACAAGAGTTGAGAATGGTCCGGAGAGGAAGAGATAATCTACGACGGCTTGTAACGGCAACGGCGAAGGCACCGGCAAGGAGGCGCGTTTGCTGCCTGCTTCGACATGGACGAATGAGCGAACGACAGGGAGACTGGACTTGGCTGATCAGAGCGTGAAGTGAACCGTACTCGAGGCATAGGTCTGCAGAGTGCTGTTTCAGGCGAGAACACGTACAATGACAAGAGACTGAGAAGCAAGAGACACAGTGGCCATCGGACGAGAAAAGCAGAAGAGACGATTATTTTACCACCGCGTTCGCCTGGACGACTTGAGATGACATGACGCTCCCGTCGAATCTTGACTGCCGCGGTCTACAATTTGAGCCGCCCTAACGCCCACCAATCTCCTAGTGTTTGATATATAGACCCGCGGTCATGTTATCCTACGGTCATTGCCAGACGAATCCGTGGTCCGCAGACGGCGCAGGCAAGCATCGACATGCGAAGCGACGCGTTGGAGGCTCCTCGTCGTGCCCTCATCTGCCCCAAAAAGTCTCCCTGCATAACCATAATTCAAGCCGGTCGACACGTCGGCCTTTGAAATTCAAGCTTCTTCAACGAGGCAGTCGGTCTCACGTGTACCGCAGGCAAGCCATGTCCTGTCGCTAGGCCCGACAAACCATAGAGCCGCCCGCCGTAAGCCTGCTGGCGGGTTCTGCCAAGGCGGCGTCGGCGGCTGGCGAATTCACTCTCGAGCCTCGACGCGACGCCCCGCCGCTGGGCCTCAAACCGGAGTCGTCATCTTACGCCTCGACCTACGCCTCGACCTTCACCTCGACTCCTGCGTCAGCCTCTCCAACCTCAGCTCGTGGCGAAGTACCACGACCATCTGCCTCAACGCTGAAAATATGCCGAAAGGTCCCAAGTCCGTCGGCCAGCTCTGCGCCGAGCTGGGCATGGACGCCGTCGCCGAAACGAGTTTCCGCAAAGAGAGTCAGGCCTACCTCAAAGACCACGTCGCCGATGTTCCCAACGCCTCCGACGAAGTCATCGAACAACTCGCCGTGAAGTATCTCCATGACGGTGCGGGCAACAAGCACTTCTCTTGGGACGCCGCTTTGGTAAGCCACGCTCTACTTGTTCTTGCACTCCCCAAGCATTTTCGTTGGGACATACGTCAAGGTGCAGGCTAACGGATCTGTCAGAACTACCAATGGGAGGCCAGCGAACACCGCTTGACCATCGTCAATTATGTCGGCGACATTATGAAGCAGCAACGCTGGTACATTATTGATCGTCTCCACAAGCGAGTCCACGGCGCTGTTCATTGCCCTGGCTGCCTGCTGCACAAACCGAATCCGAGTTCAAGTGTACATGGGGCCGCGGACAATGGATTTGATGGCCAGGTTGACGACGCTACAGTGTTCTCAGAGGGTAAGTCTCGCCTGCTCCATACCTGCCTCACCAGCAACATCTCGAGAGGCGGACGACACTGACAACGGGGTGTCGGTCTGAGCAGGTTCCGACGCCGGCAGTAATCACGAAGATACCCACATGGACAATGGGACTCATGGCGGCGATGACAGAAAGCGCACCCGTGCCAGTCTCGGCCACGAGTCGCTCCCTGGAAACAAGCGTCGCAAGTCAGAGACGAGCGAAGGCAGCGGCGGCGCAATCGAGGTTGGCAAGCGAGAAGCGCAACCGCATGCGACACCAGACAGCCGCTTCCAACCTCCGCGGGCGTCGGGCTTTACACCGGTCAACCCGAGTGTGGTCGTCAAGGCTCAACCTGTTTCCAAGCCAGAGACACCCACCCCGGCCCAGACTCCGGGCCAAACATTCAGCCTCAAAGACTTTAGTCTCACTATGCGTTACCGCGGCAAGATGTGGCACTTCAACAGTATTGCGCACAAGGCCAAAGTCCTCGAACAAATCCTCCTGCAAGAAGAAAAGGATGTCGAAGCCTACCCCGTTCTGGCCTTCTCCAAGGGTGTGAAGAAAGCTTCGTTCGGTGGTAGGGAAGACTCAGATGGAGACGAAAGTGCTTTGAAGGATTACTTTCGCTTCTACACTCACTTCATGAACGAGCGCTTCCCGAGCAGTGAAAAGATCTTGTTGGAGAACGGGGTGAAGCCGTCAGCGTGAGCATTCACATTGCTATGGAAATGTCGACGGGCGAATGCGGGATCTGTTGCACTTGCTATGGGATGGCCATCGTCGATTAGCGTTGGAGTCTGGCGTCAGTCCTTGGGGTGGCGGTGCAAAATGTCCAGCGCAACAGGGTGCAAATTTCTACTATTGGAGAGGCCTCATGTTCTAGGACGGAGGAATTGTGTGAGCCAGAAGCATTGGGTAACAGCATGTACAATACTGGTGAAAGGAGGAAAAGAACCGGCGGAACGTAGTCGACCCAAAAGAGGCTAGCCCCGAACTGTTCCGAGATTGAATCATGAGTGACAATAAAGTCACTCTCTCTGCCTCTCCCGTTTTCGACGCTTTGATCCCTTGATCACTGTAAATAGAGACAGATTCTCAAGCCCACACGCTCGCCGACTCTGCAGACTGACCCAGACCTTGGCTCAGTCCCGACGTTACACCTAGCTATCTCTCCGACCTTTTTATGCAATCTGCGCCTCCTGAAGTTCCCCAAAACGCGACTTCAGTAGACCCAACCCAGCAAACCCCTTCGCCTCCCACACAGCATGGCCTTTCACACATTGGACAGCAGGCCTCTGGCGGCACGCTTCCCAGAAGTAGCCCTAGAGAGCCAGCGCCAACCCTCGACGACACGTCGGACGGCATCTCTGTTAGCTCGGGCGGTACTCAACGTGGACGGTCGTCGCACGCCGGACGGCTGAGCAGACAACACAGTTCCTCCCAAGAAGGTTCTCCCGGCAGCCGTATTGACGAATATGAGCGAGCATTCACAAAGTACCGAAGACCATCCGATGAGATGATCTTCCAAATTGTCCCTTCTGCGAAAGACAAAACTTCCACCGTGTCAATTGAGGACTTTCCAAATGGTGCGACGATGAATGAAAACAACGACCCGGCAGACTGCTAATGTGTTATAGAGGTGCTCACCCACATATTGTCTCATTTGCCTCCGGAAACTCTGTCTTCGATGAGCCTGGTCTCCCAACGATTTCACAAATTGGTGACTACCCCTCCTGCGTGGCGCATAGCCTTTGCGAGATATTTTCCAGGTGCGGAAGCCCTTGAGCTTGCATCAGGCAAGACTGCAAGAGATTCCGTGTCCGATATCGAGAAGACGCAGCGACGATCCTTCACCCGCTTGTCGGCGCTTTCCTCATGGAGAAGCGAATACATCCTTCGGACCCGGTTGTTGCGATCGCTCGGTCGTGGTCGGCCGGCAATTGAGGCCATCTCGCGCTCTGGTGCTGCTCGTCATGCGAGCAGTGCCGCCGCCGCCGCCGTAACAACCTACGCGTCTGGTCTTTACTACCCGGTGAGCCACCTGCACGCTACCTTTGGTGTAGGATTGAACAAGAAACAACCCATGTTCATGCATGGGGCTGTTGAACAGGGAGGAGTGACAGTGAGCGATCCGGCAAACGGCAAACCCGGCACCTGGGGCACCACCGACTTTGATGCTTTCAGACACTTCGCCGATCAGTTTCCGGGTGAATTACCTTATGGCTTGAGTCCTGGCAATGTGGTTGGCATGCCCAATGTCATGGACATCAGTCAGCCATATGGGAAAGTGTACGGAGAAGCCTTGCCCGGTGGTCGGCTTTTCTACACCTCCACCAGCGAGCAGCGCGGCCGTTTTGTTTCCATCTCATCAACCGCCGATCATGCACGTGGCATCCCCGAGGCGTCCATGATGAACTCCGCTATCTGCTCTGTTTGGATCGCAAAGTCCGAATCAGTCCTGAAGGCTACGGATGGTCTCTTTGGATTTCTTGCGGGATTCTCAAATGGAGTTCTTGGTGCATATGCTCTCGGCGTTAGCCCTGTACTTGACCGTCGTTACGAAAAGGGCGAGCCGACGGCGAAATGGGTGCTCTGCCCCGGTGTACCTATCATTGCGATCTGCGTCGACGAGAAGATGTCCGTTCGACGACTGGCTAATCATCGTATATGGGCTGCCGTGTTGAACGCGCTCGGGGAGGTGTTCTATCTGACGGATGCTCCGACGAGACCTCACTTCACCGGCAAGGCCTCCACCGATGATCTCGAGCGGCTTGCGTGGCAAACCGGAAGAAGTGTGCAATGGTCCCTTGTTGAGGCTACGCGGCGGAAGGCCAAGCCGGATCCATTTGGTACTGCGAAAGTCGACGGCAGCTATAGCCCCCGAAGCTCAAGCGACATGTCTGGGTTGAGCGTCGATCAAATCATTGCTGAGACAAAGGAGGTGGAACAATTCTTACACCACAAACCGAGACATTTCCAGAACCTCTGTGATGGGTGGGACATGCAGCGGAGACTCATTGTCGACTTTGCTGGTGACGACCATCGCAATGCCGGAGAATCCGTCTTTGTCATCGACTGTGGTCTATATGGAGACAGAGTGGCCGCGATCCGACGCTTTACTCGATCCAAGACAAAAATCCCAGCTGATTTCGACTTGGACAGCTGGCCCACCATTGAGTCGACCATGAAACGCTCGTCCATCTTCGGTGGAAGTCCTGTGCAGCATTCTCCGTATGCCTCGCCTGCGCTAGGAAGCGTTCCTAGGTCGCGCACTTCCAGTCAAGACGACTCTGCGGACTCGAAGTTTCGTGAAACTTGGTTCATCTCTAGTTTCTTGTTCGCAGAGCACCGAAATGTTCACATCTCGTCTTTGGCGTCTGACGACTCGGAGTTTGCCGTTCTGAATGTCAGCGAAGATCCCCTGCTCGGCATGTCCGGCGGATCAAATGCATCATCTCCCCTCTCATCTCCTATGGGCGCTGCTTCCGCACTCAGCTCAACCTCTGAGATGCCCGGTCGGCGCGCTCGGCTGTTCGGTATCGGTACGACGTCAGGGGTTGTCATGCTTTGGGATATGCGTGCAGGCCTCTCGCCCAGCGCTGACGTTGTCAACACTATCCAGCCCGTGAGGATCATCTACACTAAATCCCCTCAGATTTCATCTCTCGCGCTTACTTCGTTGTACGTCGTACATGGTGGCAATGAAGGCCTTGTTCAAGCATGGGATCCATTGGCGTCCAGTAACGAACCCATTCGGACTTTGAATTCTCGATTTTCCGATCGAGCGAGAAGACGCATTGCTCAGGCTGAAGCGTCCACGCATGGAGTTGGGAACAACTTTTACGCGGCCGGTGCGATTGTCCTAGATCCCGACCCGACAGCTTTGCGTGGAATGGTTTCTTTAGGATCCTATGTCCGATACTGGTCGTACAGTTCCACTGCGGCCGATGCTTACAAGAGTCGAAAGAGAGGTCAACTCCATCGCCGATCCGAACGCGGCAGCAATTCGACGCCAGCCGGTCTGAAGGTCAGTGCGACTGGTCGCGGGTTGATCAATGATTACATTAGCAATGAGAGACTAGAAGTAGAGCGGGACAAGGTCGCGAGGGAAAGGGAAAGAGACCGTTTGACCGGGAGGTTTGGCACCAATCTGCTGGGGGAAGGGGCGAGCGAGGAGGAGATGCTTGCATATGCCACCATGCTCAGCGAGGAGGCGTTCTCCAATGAAGAAAAGAAGAGGAAGGAGGACTACGGCAGCAGCTCGGTCGCCTCACCTAGTCTGCCGCCAGGCCGCACTGATACTGACGCCGACCTTGAGGAGGCCATCCGACTGAGCTTGCTAGACAGCGAACCGGTGTCATCATCTCCTGCAGCAGATGAATTCAATATCCCCATCCGATACGCGAAAAGCTCGCGTCATGGAACACCTTCAAAGAGTGCAAAAGCCGGAAGCAGCAAGGCGCACGCTTCAGCGCAAGAGGTGGATGATTTGGAGTTTGCTCTGCAGCTGAGTCTCGCGGAGGAACAGAGCAGGCTTGTCATGGATACAGACTTCCCTGCGCTTTCACCGGCGTCGAGCAATGGGTCAGACAGTGGAAGGGGCAAGGGAAAGTCGAGGCGTCGTTGAGCATTCTTTCTTGCAGTCCTATCTCTTTTCGAGCTTGATGTTTTTGGTGCAGCGTGTTGAGTCGGGGTGCAGTTGATACTTTTCTTCAGCCGGGTTTGGTGACTCGATAATTGATCAAATTTACCTTCACAGAGGCTGTCGTATACTTCATGTCCACTGACGCTTCTTCAACCCGTTGATAACTAGGACTTCCAACGACCGTTAATGTACCACCAGAACTTCGTAAATGTGGTGGACAACTCGCTTGAGCACTGAGTTTTTCGGCCCAGACGCCAACGAGATGGTAGCAAAATGGCACCGCGGCAGCTCGGTTGGCGACGGTGTTTCGCGGTCTCCACTGCGCACATTCCGGAGCTCCAGCTTTTCCCCGAGCAGCTACGAGTTACTCCGTACTCCGTACGAGCTCTCTCAAAGCATCGAGCCTCGGGAGACACTCCGCATCTCTCTGATCTTTACTTGAACCTTCGTCCTGCTGCCGTGCTGCTCACCATGCACTGTGTCCGAACCAGGCGAGCTCAGCAGCGATGATAGTGCCTTCGATGTCGTCTGTCCTGCGGCAGGCTGCTTGTTCCCAATCCTTTAGAGTGTCCGTCCGGCACTTTTCGCAGACCGCTGCAAGAGATGCGTCGTGGGGATTCATCGGGCTAGGAGCCATGGGTAAGTGCTTTCGCCCACCTCTCAGCAAAAGACCCTACTGACGACTCTCAAGGCTATCCCATGGCGAAAAACCTCCGAGCAAAGATCCCCGAGGGCGACATGCTGACGATTTTCGACCTCAACAAAGCGTCACTCGAGCAGTTCACCCAAGAAGCCACACCCTCACGCGTGGTGGTAGCTAAGAGTCCAAGAGAAGTGGCCGAGAAATCTGTGAGTACAATTTGCCAGGGTGTAGTGTCTCTGCGTTAATCGCCTTCCATGATGAGCCAAATTGTTCTATCTATGAATCTAAGTTGGGGACTTATAGTCAGAAGTCCTTGCCATGATTTCTCTTTATTTACAGCCAATCCTCTGAAATTACCAGTTCAACTCATCCTCGATCGTCAATATTTGCTGCACCCTCGGACTGACTGGCATATGACAGGACCATATCATCTCGGCCCTCCCCGAGCCACGTCACGTCAAGGGTGTTTTCGAGGAGATCCTGGCTTCTCCGCTGCCTAAACCTCCTTCAGAGTCGTCGAGGCTCTTCATCGACTGCTCAACCATCGACCCCACAACTTCTCGAGAAGTTGCCAAATTGGTCAAAGAGAAAGCAGGTGCTGGCTTTGTTGACGCGCCCATGTCTGGCGGGGTAGTTGGCGCTCGTGCCGGAACCCTGACATTCATGGTGGGCGGCGAAAAGGAAGATATGCCTAAGATCCAAGAGATCCTGTTGTTGATGGGCAAGAAAGTCTGGCATATGGGTCCGCAGGGCACCGGGCTGAGCGGCAAACTGGCCAATAACTACGCGTTAGCGATCAACAACATTGCTTGCGCGGAGGCCATGAACTTGGGCATGAGATGGGGTATCGAGGGGAAAGCTCTGGCAGATCTTCTCAACTCGGCGACGGGCAAAAGCTGGCCGAGCGAGATCAACAACCCTGTCCCCGGCGTTCTCGAAAGCAGTCCCGCAACCAGAGGGTACGAAGGAGGCTTTGGAGTAAGCTTGATGAACAAAGATTTGAGGCTTGCCATGACGGCCGCACAAGAGGCTGGGGCAAAGCTCGTTCTTGCCGAGAAGGCGAAAGAAGTGTACGACTCGACTGAGAAGGAACATAAGGGTAAAGATTTCTCGGTTGTCTACCGCTGGCTGGGCGGCAAAGTGTAAGACCTAGGTAGGTATCTACAGTTTGGCTCCTCGGTACTCTCATTTTCCCTTGTGCCTACCGGGTACGATTCGTCAGAAGCTGCCGTCGTCGTCCGTGTTGCGGCATAGCAGGCGTTGAACCACAGTGTCGCCATCTAACCTATCCATCCCGACACAGAGCGATCCATGGATCTCAGACTGGGCAGACTGCAACTAGGGATCTACTCCTTCACAACAACCCCGCGAGTATGTGAGAACCTGGATATTCAATATGTCCTGCGAGCAACCAATCTATCAAACAGATCGACCCTTGTCTCTTCTTAACGTTGAGGCTGCACCCCTGAGACAGGAATGAATCCACCCCATCACCCAATGCACACACTTCCTGTCTCTCCCCATCTTGACTCATTCTCGGTAATTCAGGTATCCCAATCACAGCCCTCATCGTCACGGCTTGTCGTCAGGCGTTCCTGATGATGTTGGTCCATTCACCCGTCGCCCACCGTGGCGGAGCCCCGCGCATGCAACCAGTCACGTTTGCAGCGCGAAGCCGCGAGTTTGGTTAAGGAGGTGTCGTCGTTACCTGTCCAGATGAGTCTGCGGGGGTGTGTTGACGATGTCATATCCTTCCGCATGATTCCCGGAGCAGTCTGACATCGCGAACGATGTCACAACACGCTCTTGTGTGACTGCGCTGTCTACCTATGACTCTGCCGACGATGTCATACGGAATCATGCGGACACGTGCTGAAGCCAGCGGAGCAGCCGCAGATAGTACAAGTATCTCCCTCTCCCCTCTCTGTTTCTGACCTTTTTTCTCTCCTCCCATCAGCTTGATCATCCAGATCTCATTCGTTCTGATATATATATATAAATCAGACCACCCAAGCTTCAAGCGACGGTCTTGGCTTGCTTTGGTCATGTCTTCGTTTTGACATTGTTCTCCTTTGAACATCTCTTCTTGACATTCATCGTTCAGACATGACTGTCTCTCCTACGTCTTTTCAACGACAAGACACGTCAGTCTTCCTCTCGTGTCGTGTGGAGCATGCCTTTTCTTGAACATGCCTTCAGTCGAGACAGTTCTGGTCGAGACGGTTCTGTTCGCAATGCGCATCGTTCGACGCATCGTTTGAAGCACTGTGTCTTTTCGACATGTTCTCGTTCGACATGTTCTCTTTTCACACATGTTTAACGTTCGATGCGGCATTTGAATAACAGCTTCGATTCAGCATTGACAGGTTCTTCGGTTGAACACCTTCTGGATATCTTGTGGATCCCTTCTGGATCCCTTCTGGATCCCTTCTGGACAGTTCTCTTGGACAGTTCTCTTGGACAGTTCTCTTGGACAGTTCTCTTGGACGCAATCCGAGAATTGACACACACTACGCGGGAAAATTCGCACACTGCTCAAGCAGAGGTAAGCCCCCAGCCATTTCCACGTTGGTCACGCCCCAAGCAACAATTGCTAACTCATCGCTGCAGGCCTTGTTCACCACCACCTGTTGCTCCTTTCTACGAACGAGAAAAACCATTCAAACATGGTTAGCGGTCCTCCCGTTGCGATTGTCTCAGCGAACCACTTGCACATGCACAAGTTACTAGCCTGTGAAAGGGCACAAGGTAGCCTTGTGAACAACCTTGGCACGTTCCTTTGGGGAAGTGGTGTGTCTCCAAGATCTCCCATCAGATTATACTCAACTCTGCAACTCTGAGCATTCACGAGCGATCGTTTGGGTTCGAGGAGACAGACATCGTGGTTAGCTCGTTCTTACCATTCGGTACGAGAAAACGGCTCTTGTCCTTCGTCTGAATCGACGCACACGAGCGGTGGACATTGATTCCAGATGTGAAACGACATGGTTGGCTTTGGGTAAGTCGAGATTTCGACGTGAAGAAATACCTCTTGTTACAGTCGACGCTCACGAGCGCTGCATTTGGATTCAAGAACTGAGATGACATGGTTGCTAGGTTGACTTTTAGCAAGTCGAGATTTCGATGCGAAAGAAATACCTCCTGTCCGAGTCAACTCTCACGAGCAGTTATTTCCATCTAAGAACTGAGACAACACGGTCATTGGCGTTACAGAAGTTGAGATCTTGACGCGAAGAAATACCTCGTGTCTGAGTCGACGCTCACGAGCGATGGATTTTGATTCAAGAACTGAGACAATATGGTTGTGGGGTCGGCTTTTGAGAAGGCGAGATTTTCGACGCGCAGAAAAGCGCTTGTCCGCTTCTCTGCTTGTCCGAGGGGACGCTCACGACGACGTGATGGTGGAGAAACCATGGCATTCGCGTATCCTTACGAGGAAGACCACTTGGAAGAATTCCATGTGATTCTGTCTGTCTGTTGGGGGAGGAAGAGGAGGAACTTTCATACGTATGGGAGTTTGAACTGTAAGAGGTGGGTGGGAGACGAGCAGAGTGAGCTCAGTGAGCGCGGATGGAATCTACAATATTTATTCTACAGAGCAGCAGCCAGTGCGCAAGACAAGCACCCACCCCTGTTGTGGGTACGTGTTCGCTGAGCACGTTGGTCCGTTACGGTCAGTTCAATGATGAATTTTCAAAAGCGCATTTGCTGGCTTCTGTTATTTCCAACGCGTTCCTTGCTCTATAATTGACTGTAGCTTCGTGTGGTTGTTAAGTCCCGTGAGATGCCTGTGTACCCTACTGAAGGGGCTTCGATCTCTGTTCACAGGCTCAGTGTGCTCTTACTCAGAGTTGGCCCTCTGTCTACCGTGCAGGATTCCCTTTCGGGCAAACCGAAGCTGGGCGTTCGATTTCGTCGGGATATGTCATGATCCGACGGCCTGGTGCTGGTCATGCTCCAGGCCGGTTGCTTCCGTGTCATGACATTTCATTCTGCTGTCCATGAAGCCATTGAGCATTCGTTGCCGGTCTTTGCTGACCTCACGCCTCGCTGCCCGCTCATTTGACTCTCCCGAGCGTTGCCCAGTATCGTGGTCGAGAGTCATGTTGTGGAGGCGTGTCAGATTTTCTGAGCCCACCGCAGTACTGTGCACCACGATATATATGAGGCGGGCGGTGGCAGAAGCTTTTCGACCGTTGCTGGCCGGAAGTTGCCTGCTGTTGGTAGCCCTTGGATGAGCTGCAAGGCACTTGATCGGCTTTGAACCCAGAGTTAACCGGGCTAGGTGCGGATGGATGTTCACAGAACGACATTTCGAATAGCCATGGTTGCCACGCGGGAATCGCGTTCTTCGGACTCTCCTCTTTCTCTCCTCCTCACAGCTTCATCATATGCCTCCTTGGCAAACTGGTGGATGTCATCCCCCAGGAAGAACAATTTCAAGTCGGCCTCGAGTTTTTTCCATTGCCGCGCTTCTCCGTATTTGTCGAAGAACTGGCGCAGCACGGCGGTCCATCCAGGAGGACGAACCTGCCCGTGTTGCAAGACGGTGCCTATCATCATGTTGCTCCAGAGGAAGCATTTCCGGTCTGGGGATTTGTGGCTGGGTGTTTGGTTGAGGGCGATGTCGGCAAGAGCTTTTAGGGCCGTCTCGTAGAAACCGGTCAGATGGTCCTGGAAGTATATGATCCTGAGCAGGTAACAATAAGCTACCAGGCCATGAGAGAGAAATCTTTCTGTCGGAGTGGTCTGCAGCGTGGCCAGTCGATGTAGATCTTCGAGGGTCGTCTGGATCTTCCGTCTGGAAATCGTGTCAAAGCCCCCTGTCCGTGGAGAATCCGCCATCTTTGCCTTGATCCCAGAGAAGTCGGAGAGAAGCCGTATCATTTGCAGAGAAAGCACGCCTGTCAAACCAATATCACAAAACCCTTGCGGAAGTTTAGCCAACATCTCGCAGACTTCAGGCTTGAACGGATGAGCCATGTAAATCGGAAATTCGGCGTTCTGGAGGATCTGGCCATCATATCGGGGTGACTTGTCGGAACTGGAGTCTGCTGCGAACAGGAACGACCACAGCGCCTCATAGGCGTCGACGTTCGTTTTGAGTAATCTTTCCCAGGGTGAGGTGGTTTTGAACCCTCCCCGGATCTTCACTATCTGTCTCATGCCGGAGACATGAGCGCAAGCGGCGCTGTGGTCACCGAGGATATAGTCAATCGTGCCCAAGGTCGCCACCACCAGGATGGTCGTGTCGTCGGAGCACAGCTGGGGATCCTCCAGCCGAGCACGCAGTTTGGTCATGACATTCCCTTTGTGCCACACGAAATGTCTGTCGCCCCGGGCCGATTGGCCCGACGCAGCCAGGTAGGTTGCTCGACATAGAGCCACGAGTCCCTCAAAATAGATGGCGGACTTCAGGGCATGGGGCCAGAGAAGACTCAAATACGGGTTGGTGTGCCCCTCGAATGCGAACGCCGTGCCGTGCTGAGGAGCCCAAACTTGGACATCTAGACAATCAGAGAGGATAACGACAGATGTCGGGTCGAGACTCACAGAACTGGGCCATCTGGCTCACGCAGCCGGCCATCGGAATTGGAAACGTTTGAAAAGGATCCAGAAGAAGTCCATTAGTCGGAGACTTCTTGATCTGCAACTGGCCCTCGACAGCCTTTGCCAGCATTTCTTCTTTCGCTTTTCTGGCCTTGGGATCCAGGTGCTTGAGATTGATGATGCCGCGCCGGGGCGAGCGCATGACGCGACGACGCTTGATGGCATTTTGCTGCGCCCATGATTGCGGGGTTGTGATTGACACGGTCAAGACGGGAGCTTGCATCGTGCGCAAGGGGTGTGGCTCAACTCAACGATGTTTGGGTCGACAAAGGAATCATAGTCAGTAGACCTGCTCGATCCCTGAGGTCTGAAGCGAAGGCAGAACGAGTCGTGTCGTGTCTGGTCGAGTCGAGTATGGAGCACAGAGTATGGTTACACCAATTCGGAATGGAGTTGAAGAAGTCTCAATCAAGCTCGGCCAACCAGGATCCTCGACGCGTTACAGATATTGTCGGGGACTTTTGCTGCTTACTGGGACCGTGGATTAGGGGTTTACGAGTGGCTATGCCTGACAACGGGTGCGGCGGAGTCAGATTGCCGACTTGGGAAACAACGCAGGAAGATCGGGCTGGAGGGTTGATGGTCGAGACTAAAGCCGATATACATATTACGTGGACGGAGTAGGTACCGCGTGTCTCTGCTGCCGCGTCGACCTCTTCTTTCCATCGAGGCCGCCTGAAACACGCTGGCTCGGGTTCAGATGGGAGGTGGCGACCCTAGAGCCCGATGCCTAGGCTTTCGGAGTTCAGCCCCGAAGGCGCCTAGAGCGGATTGAGGGCCATCTCTCTGGGCTCGATAAGCCTGCTCTAGGCTGGTCCTGCGCCCTATCACGCCTCGGGTTAGGATGATGACACATTCTGCAACATTTCCGCCGCTGGGGTGAGAACTCTGCTCAACGGACCAGTCAAAAGGGCTCCCTTGTCCCCGTAGCACGGCGCTATGGCCGACTCTGGCGTCTCAGTCAACGCGTGGGGTTCCAATTATATAAGGACAAGCTTTGCATTGACTCGGCCGGTTTCTGGCAGGTGTTCATCACATGTCGACGGCGTACGAGGTACGAGTACGGAGTACAGTACGTACTACTACTTCTGTATATCAGCAGGAAGTCCGTACTCCCTGTCTCACAGACAGCCCTGCAGAGGTCTGTACTGTGTAGGCATTGTCCTCCACTCTTTAATGCATGTGCCTGCCTACCATCCGGCTTTGACCTGTCTGACTACTCTCGCCCGCTCCACTGGCTCCTATACGTGGGTATCCTAAGCACTGCTAATTAAAGGGTTGGAACTTGGAAAATCCCCGACTTTCCTGCCGTCTTTTCCACCAGTGACGCGGCTGCCGCAACTGCAGCACTCACTGTAATCTCTCACTTCTGGCTCAAGTCTCTAACGTGTATCTTGTACTTACGCCTCAGCTCCAGGATTTCTTTGTGCGATCCCGCCATTCTTTGTCCGAGACGACCCGCGGCAGTCCCCTTCGACTCTGGCCTTGCGCAACATGGACCCGCCTTGACCAGAGACCACGATGATTCTGCACCCGAGGAGGATGGGCGGGCCCTGGCGTAGAAAGTCGAGCCTGATCACGTCCCTTCTTGCCTTCTTTCTCATCTTGCTCTTCATCCAAACTCGCATCCACTACCGCCCTGCTCAACCCGAACCTCCCTCGATACCGCACCCAGAGCCCGTCGCTGAGCCGCAGCCCGCGCCTTCACCGGTCCCCAAGACCGAACCGTCGCTCAAGGTCACCCATCCTCTACTCAAGAGCCAGGCTAAATTCTGGCGAAGTTTATACCAGATCATTCTGAACAATGACCCAAACTGCAAGAATGCTCCCGAGCCCGTCGTTCCTCAAAAGTTGGACATTGGCTTTGATCCCACGCAACACCGACCGAGACCGGACGTACTGTATATGGACACCGCAGACATCAAACGCATGCGTGAGGCGCACTCCAACTTTGTCAGTGATATGAAAGACGTAACTCCAGTGCCATACAACCCTGGCACGCGAGGTATCGCCTTGACTGGCGGGTTCAACCAGCTGCCCGTCCTGGTCATTTCGGTGCGGATGCTGCGAAGAACCGGGTCCGATCTACCCGTCGAAGTGTTCGTTACCGACGAATCTGACTGGGACGACGAAATCTGCGGTATGGTGCTGCCTTCCCTCAATGCCACATGCCTCCTCTTCTCCGACATCTTCCATGCCGCGAATACGGGCGTAGCTATCGACCGGTTCCAATTCAAGATCATGGCTGTCCTCTTCTCTTCCTTCGAAGAAGTCCTCCTCCTCGATTCCGATGCGTTTCCTGTTCATGATCCTCTGCCCTTGTTCGACGAAGAGCCGTTCAAGAGCCACGGTCTAATCGTCTGGCCCGATTTCTGGTACCCGTCCGAGTCCCCATACTATTTCGAAATTGCCAAAATCGCCTCTGTACCGCTTCTGAATGAACGAGCTTCCGTTGAATCAGGTGAAGTCATGTACTCCAAGTCCAAGCACCGCATGTCACTTATGCTTGCCGCGTACTACAATTATTACGGACCGTCGTACTACTACCCTTTGCTCTCCCAGGGCGCTCCGGGCGAAGGCGACAAGGAGACTTTTGCTTGGGCGGCCGCTGCCTTGAAAGAGCCCTATTACGCTGTCCATGAGCGAGTCATGGCTCTGGGCCGCCATGACACCAACGGTCATTATCTTGGTACTGCTATGGCTCAGCATGACCCAGTCGTTGATTATGCATTCACCAAAGCCTACGGTCCTCCTCACGAGCGCAACAAGGACGGCGACTCCGGCAAAGAGAATCACTTCGATATTCAAGAAAGCGATGTCAAGCCCTTTTTCATCCACGCAAACTTCCCGAAATTCGATCCGGCAACAATTTTCGACCACAAAGTGACAAGTTTTGCGGATCAAGTCGTGGGACAGCCCACTCGAGACACGAACGGTACAAACGTCCGGTGTTGGATGGACCCGGCTCGCGCTATCGACTTGTTCGGATTCGACATCGAGCGACGCTTCTGGGAGGAAATCATGGCCACAGCTTGCGAGAATGAGCATCAATTTCGTACTTGGAAGGGCAAAACAGGCATCTGTCGGCGTACCCAGGAATATTGGGATGACGTATTTGCGGTGAATGCCACTGCCACTCCTCTCGAAGACCATCAGCATAAACAATCCTCCATCGAGACGCCATCGCCTCCTTAGCAAGCGATTTGAAATCCATCAGCTGCTGTCCAAGGGCACTACCGATACCGTTGCCGCCGAGCGACCTCGTTCTCGGAGGCCGTGAAGGCCAGTGCAATCACCGAGCGAGATGGACGAGAAGCAGCACGTTTGCACATATCAGCTGTGACACTTTTTGTACATGTACTAATATCGGGCAGAGTCCCGGCCTTTTAGCGTGATAAGAGCATATTGTAACGAGAACAACGACAAAGAGACAAACGACGTGGCGTACAAGGGAATAGAAAAAGGTCAATATGGAATGTGAATAACTCGTGCATCACGCCATGATTCACAACAAGGGAATCATATCACGATGGTCATAGTGGCGGAGTCTGTGAATATCACTGCAACTTCAGCTCGGCGTGGAAACTGAATTTATTAACTGTCTGCACGAAGCAAGAAGCCAGCATACATAGGTAGCATATCAAAGCATATCAAAGCATATCAAAGCAAGGTATAACATGTTTCACATAATCAAGAGCAACAGCAATAGCAAGAGCAAGAGCAACAGCTCAGTTCGGCTCGTTCTTCGAGTCAAGCAAGCAAGCAAGCCTCGGATTTCCATCTCGGTAGGTTGAGGTGTTGGTGTAGGGAGGGTACTGTAGGTCCAAAGACTCCGCCGTACAACGACAAATACCAAAATGCGAAATCTCGCCAGAGATACCTACATAGCCGTCATGACATGAACACGAGTGGCTGTTCTTTCTTTCCGAACCCCCCTGATGACACTAATTACCGGATGTAACTCGCACACGCACACTCCGGCACACCACTGTATTGTACTCCGTACAGGGGACATCGAATCTAGTCCGGCCGGAGAAGTAACAAAACAGTACTCCGTACAGTACAGTACACCGTGATTGAGCGCGAGCCTCTCACTCTCAACGAATGGCCTTAGTCAGTTGGTCCAGCTACTCTGCTCCTATGCAACTCTGCTACTTGGATATTCAGCTCAGCCAGCTTCCAATCTAGACTAGTACATGCACTGACTGTAGCCAGCTCCCGAAAATGTGTCAAATCCGTCTTTGTTCTGTACACACGAACCTATGTCCCCAGTGTTCTTGAGTCTCGGGTTACGACCAGCACCATCACTCCACGCCTCCACGCCTCTACCTCCTTTCCTGGACCTGTCCTCTGAACGACTGACCGACGAGAATCAAAAATTGTCAGTCTACCCGACCTGTGCGCCGGGGCGCCGGCGCCGTCATATCATGCGTGGTCGTTGCTGCGGCGCCAAAAGAAGCAAAGCAGTATTAAAAACACAGGGAGAGTATCGAAAGTTGTTCTCTTCAAAAAATGTGTGTATGCAGGCATGCACGCGCATCGTTAGGCCCGCCACGCGCAAGCTCGGCTCGTTCAATACGACTCCTCCAACTCGGTGCTCCATGCGGCATCACTGCCCTCGACCCTGACGCCGGAATGTGCGTTCTCGTCACTCATCTCGCGGAACCGTTCTTGGCCCTGACCGTGCGCGACCCCGTATTGCGAAGCGTTGAATCCGGTCGAACCTGCATGCTGGTGATGCTTGGCTGGGGGTGGGGCCATCGAGCCCGGTATTGCAGCGCTCAAAGGTCTCTTCTGATTCTGACCGTTCATGCTGTGGCTCAAGGCCAACGGGTTCGACGTCAAGGATGGTTGTTGAGCGTGTGATTTTGCGTAGTACTGTTCGCGGACATCTCGCTCGGGCTCCATCTCCGACGCATCAGAATAAGTCTCCCAGTTTTCACTCCCACTCGCCGTCGTGCCTGTCGTCATATTTGACGAGGTATTTGAAGCTTGACGTGATATAACTGTGGATGGTGGGGCTGAGGGGTTATGTCGCAGACTTTGCGAGTGGCTACTACTGTGTATTGACGCTGATGAGGAGTGAGAAGGATGATGTTGATGGGACAGGTGTGGTTGGTAGTAGGGATCTGCTTGATGCGATGGCAGAGACGCATATTGGTGTTGTTGTTGGCGGTTGTGACTGAGCAGTGAAGCGGACATATAGGACATTCTCTCGTGGTCGGTGTAGACATCTTCGGGACTCATCGGGCGGACGTAGCGACTGCTTTCGTTCGAGCCAGAGGATATCGTACTCGCCGGCCGGGTTGAAGAGGGTGGTGCCGGTTGAGAGGCCATCACGGGGTTAGGCGTTGTTTCTGAAGGCGGTACGAAGAGGTCGCGCATTCTCGGCGGCGGAGCTCGAGGAGGTGGCATGCTCCTCGCGTTTTGAGCATAGTTCTGTTGGGGTTCAGGCTGAGTGTTGTGAGAGGCAGGCTGAGGAATGGTGCGCCGTTCTGGCGAATTCTTCAGCGTTCCCAGCGGGACGCGGCTGGGTATCTTCGAAGGTGACTTTGGTTGGATCGAAGGTGCTGCCTGTGAGGGCGCAGACGCTGGGGCGGCTTGTTGCCTAATAGTGGCAGGTCTGCTGGCGGTGCTGGGCGTCTTTGTATGTGTCCGCGGTGGCGGTCCTCGCATGACACTAGCAGGTCGAGCTGGCTGTGCGGACTTCGTAGTACTTGCTGCTGGCTTAGTCGTCGTCGGTGGCGCGGGAGTCTTTGACCTCGGTGGCAGGCTATTTGGTGTTTTGGATCTCGGAGGTGGCGCCTTCACTTCTGCTTCCACCTCGAGGTCATCCAGCATTCTCTCACCCTGAATCAGGAAGGGTCGGCCATATTCGTCCTCGTACTTCTGAAGGACCTTCGTCAGTTCGGCGATGACCTTTGGCAGCTCCTTTGCTATCCTCTTCCTCATCTTCTCCTCCCTCAGCAGCTTCCCCGGGTCACGCTTTTCTCCTTTTTGAGGCTTCAGCATGAGTCTCGATGCATCGTTCGCAGATGCTGCGAGAGCCTCGCGGTCAGCGACGATCGATTTATATTTCTCGACCATGGCCAGTATTGGTGCTCGTTGGTCTTTCAGAGTCATCAGTCGTTCAATCTCGGCCTCGTGGGCTGATAACAGAGCGTCGCTATAAACGTCTGAGAAGGCAGGGGTAAATTCCAGCATTTCTTCTTCGGAGAAATACAAGGCATCCCAGAGCTCTTGGAGTCTGACACGAGCATCTTCGACGAACAGGTGCAGATTTTGTCTTTTGAGTTCGTTAAGCCGCGCAAGTTCGTCTTCGAATTCGTTGATGGTTCGGAGGCCGCAACCTCTATTGGCAGCCAGGAAGGCCTTACGATCTGCTGCCTCAATTCCAAGCCGGTCCCACAACACCTCGATACTCTTCTTGACGTCGGTAAGTCGCTTCTCACGGTTCTTTTTCTCGTCGAGGAGCTTGTCCCGGCGGCTCTTCAGTCGATCCATATCTGCTTGGTGCAGTCCCAGCTGTTCCGGCGAATCTCGATAGTTTTGGACGATGAGGGAGTCTGTTTGTGCTTGAGGAATGCCCAACTCTGACCATAATCTAACAATCTCTTCGGAGGTCTGCTGGACCACTGCCACTCTTCGGTTGTATTCATCGTAGACTCTGGTGAATTCTTCGTCGAGGGTTGTGACATATGACGGGGAAAGATCGAAATTGGGCGGGCATGTGTTCGACGAGGTTGGGGGCAGTCTGATCTTGACAAAGGACGACTCGAGATGCGACGAGTAGGACTCCAGTGCCTCGACCAGTTTCTTTACTTGCTCAAAGCGTTCTCGGTGTAGCCTGCTGACTACATTGTATTTCTCTTTGAGGTCGCGGAGACAATCGAGGAGTGGGTAGGTGACTCGAAGTCCGTTCGTCTCCAGGTCATAGCCTCTATCCTTCTCGTCGTCCAGCGACTGTTCCATCTGCTTGATTGTTTTGATGATGTTCTGAGCTTCTTCGGTCATGGCATTCTTCTCGCTATCGGATGTCAGCACACGTATCTTCGTATGCCCTCAGTTCACGTACGAATTAACGAGCCGAAGCTGGTTGTGGAGCGTCTCTGACAGTGCCGCAAACAATTCCGTTTCTCTTGATTCGCGTTCGTTCCGGGGTACGCCAATCTCGTCGAAGATGGCATGTAACTGTCCAATGATCGTAGTGACCTGCGTGGTGAGGTAGCTCGTGTCCATAGTGGCAGGCATTGTTGCGACTCGGGCTCGCAGCCGAGCAGCTTCGAAGGAGATCTTCTCAGTTCAAAGGTGAGTTCTGAGGGTGTCGACGATGACGGTGGCGAGATGAAATAACGTTGCGCAGAAAGAGCATGGAGCTGAAGATGGTCAACAAACGGTCATGGCGTCCTGTCGAATCAGGTTGAAGAGGTGGACAGAGCCATGACGGGCGGAAAGTTGCCCATCCTGCACGCACGTCAACAAGCCGATGGTTGGCCGGGCAACTATCACGCTGACACAAGCGTCACGAACTCTGACCGCGAGTAATGTCCGGAGGGGTCCTGGCAGATCTTGAGTCAGGTCTCGCTGTCCTCCAACACGCCTGCGGCTCATATCGCCCGCACGACGTTCGCAGCTCCGCATAGCAAGTCTCGTTCGATGAGAGTTGCCTGAAGACACCAGCTGCCACCATGTCGACCACCGCAGCACTGCGCACTTGGGAGGCAGAGAACGATATCATCACCGTCGATCCATCTCAGAATGCTCTCTACAACCTCCCCGACCCGAATGCCTACAAGGCCCTCCAGAACTCTGCGCCATGGAAGAAAGATCCCAATTACTTCACCCAGGTTCGAATATCAGCCTTGGCCCTGCTAAAGATGACCACACATGCTCGATCAGGCGGCAGCATTGAGATTATGGGGTTGATGATAGGGTACGTCTTCGGTCGGTCACTGGTCATAACAGATGCATTCAGGTTGCCGGTGGAGGGAACGGAAACGCGAGTGAACGCCCATGCAGATGCAGATGAATACATGGTCAATTTTGGCATCGCCTCCAGAGAGGGTGGAGGTCAGCTGGAGAATGCCGTGGGCTGGTACCACTCTCACCCCGGCTATGGCTGCTGGCTCTCAGGAATCGACGTCCACACGCAGAAGACACATCAGATGGTCAATGACCCATTCGTCGCCGTAGTCATTGACCCTGATCGTACCGTGTCCGCTGGGAAGGTCGAGATCGGCGCGTTCAGGACGTACCCGGACGGCCACACAACCGCCAATAAGCAATTCAGCGATGATAGCGACGACTATCAAGCCATCCCTCAAGACAAGATTCAAGACTTTGGCGTCCATGCCAATTCGTACTACCCGCTAGAGGTCACTCATTACAAGTCAACCCTCGACGCACACCTCCTCAGTCTGCTGTGGAGCAAATACTGGACGTCAACGCTTTCGCAGTCCCCACTCTTCACCAACCGAGATTATGCAAACAAGCAAATCGCCGACCACGCAATCAAAATAAAAGAGGCGGCGAGCAAGCAGAGGGCAGGTATCAGTATGGGTCGCCGAGGCCAGGAACTGGCGGGCACAGGGAACAAGAACTTCAAGGTGGTGAGGGACGGCGCACTCGAGCAGGTGGTGCGTGGAGGCAACAAGATTGCGACAGAAGAGCTTGCAGGCCTATTAGCGAATGAGGTCAAGCAGAAGTTGTTCTGGGGTGTCGTACAAGAAGCGGCTGAGAAGGCAGCCCGAGAAGCCAAGGCCACGAGTGAGATGTCTGCCACGAGCAATGGCGGTTGAAGGCATCGTCTTGGACGTTGGAAATATCGTCCCCCAGTGCTCAGAGTCTCTTGCCAATGGACTACTGGGACAATCGACTCTTCGCTCTTCAAAACACCGGCGTGCTGAATGCCATAAATGTGAGGATACGCAGATCAGCTCGACCGCCGCGAGCAGAGGTTTCGAGTCACTGAAGATGTCCGGCAGGAACAGACCTGTGCTCGCGCATCCGCGATGGTACTGTCCGAACTGGCAGTGCCGGCGTCACCATCTTCGCCATCAAGCTGGACACAAGCAAAAGGCTATGCACAGACCATGAAGGACGCCTCGGCCTCGTGAGAAAGGAGCATGAGACCGGCTTCGACATGAAAATTCCGAACCATTATCCTGTGCCTAGGCTCGAGCACAAGATCAAGCCAGATCAACACGAAACTCGAATATGACTAGTGTTGTCCCTCTGTCGCTGTCCATTGAAGGTGCCATAGCTCAGAAAGTATCCTGGTGATCGCAGCACTGTGATCCAATCAGTCATAACATGCTCCGATGAGCTGCTCGTATACCTTTACTATTGTAGGACCACCAGTCAGATACCTAGCTACTCATGAACTCCATACTCTACCGGCTGTAGGCTACTGTGTGGAAAGAAACTTCCCACCTTCTCATCAGCCTACATTGGTGCTACCCCTTGCTATGTTGTTGTGCTGATTCGTGCATGTGGTGCATAAACTCTCATACCACACAGTGAACACCTGGATCGGTCGACGCGGTCGAGGTTCAGGAGAGGACATTGAGACGATCGACCTGGAACCCACCGTCTTGCATTCTCAAGACTATCCATAAGGTATTCTTCATTCTCGATTGTCAACCGTGCACATTTCTCCGCGCCCGGCACCGAAACACAGTACGCAGTATAGAACGTACACAGAACGTACACATGCAGCACGAGTACCAGTCCTCAAGCAGACGGGAGCCACAGAGCGGTAAATCAATCAAGCACGCCCGTCCTCACCGTCCTCTCCCACTGATTCCTTCTGCCTTGGCTCCACTCACTTTGCAATTCCTACGAGTGCGAGTGCGAGTACGAGTACGCGTAATACAATAGAGAGTCCAGCATGCGTAATACCTCCTCCGTACCTTACCTAGGTGGTCTGGACTCGGTGACCGTAAATAGGTACTCGCGCCTACACACTACAGTACCTACTCGCATGGATGGGCCAGGACGCAGTACGTAAGCCCGTTCCCGCTGTGTCTCATACCCCCGTGCGCGCGCGGACCATGTCTGTCAGCACTGAATCGCTCCCAAAGCTTACAACGGCCTACGAGTACTACTGTACGCAGTGAGATAGTGTACTGAGTACGTACAACGGCTGGGGCGGCTGGGACGTTGTGCAAAATGTCTCGGAATACCAACAGTACCAACAGTACCAACAGTACCAACAGTACCTGTGCTACTACTGCTCGTACGTGGTACCATGCACAGTACAAGGTACAGTAGAGAGGAGCCCGGCTGCACGAGCCTTCGGAACATTCCGACCCTGGCTCGGTGCTGGTCTGCGCTGCAAATGCGAAAGGACGAGGACGAGTGGTAGTCGTCGTAGTACTACTACTTTCGGTACGTAGAACCACAGTAGGTACGGAATACTCCCACCCTCCATCGCACTCGCATGCAGGCAGGTAACAAGGTACTCCGTACGAAGTACAGATGCTGTAGATTCCGACCTTGCCCCTACCCCTACCCCTACCCCTACCCCTACCCCTACCCCTGCGCTCACGCTCACACGTCCGCTCTGAGTGAATCTTTGAGTCTCGGACCTCTCTCTCCAGCAGTCCACCCCGGCCGTGGCAGCTTCATGGGGTCACCGCGGTTTCCGTAGAGTGCCGTCTGAGGCTGTGCTGTGGTCTGCTGTGGTCTGCTGGGAGGACTCCGTACTGTGTACTCCGTACCGCGCACGAGTAGATGATTACGTTGAACATAGTGACGGCATGTACGGAGTATTTGGTCAATCAATGTTCCGCGTGGATTACTGCTGGCCCGTCAGCTTCACACCCTTTCGAACCCCAGAACCGTTGATAAAGCCTCTCGGAAGTCGTTCCTCAGGTCTGTGAGCAAAACTCAAATACCACGTCCTTGGCTTCTGAGAGGGGTTCAGACAGGCAGTCATTGAAATGGTTCGGCGAATAGTAGAGAAGACGCAAGCCTACAGTTGAAGCGGAACACACATGAGATTGATAATCAAAAGAATATTTAATCCTTTTCTGACTTCAAGATTAGGTAGATCCGTCCATCCCATAGCAGGGAGATAGATACCTTTCGATCCCGTATGCTCATTCCGTTGTCACCGCATCCCATTTCGGTCCACCTGTGACGTTCCACATGCCTGAGTTACACGGTGTTCGCGGCGGCTTTCTCACCAACGAACCGTGAAAACTCCGATCCGTGCCACTCATGGTCCCCAATAGATCTGCCGTTAAAACGTTGGACACTCCAGCTCTTGTGCGCATCGTGGCAGAAGCCCTTCCTTCTGCTTGTTGCGGCTCAACCTTGGAAGGCGGTCGGATCACAGAAGCGGCGACATCCATGTGCTGATTCGAGTGGAAGTATCCTCATGCTGTCGAGGATAAGACATTGCTTTGAGCAGGCCACCAGTTGATTTGCAGATGCTCATCCATCCGCTTCTTCCATATACAGGCCTCCTCTTCATCCATTCCGACATCCCTTAATACCCCTATGCGTCATGCAGCAATTCCCATAGTCCCAAAACTCCCGCTGAAATTGCTCCAAAGTGGTCGAGATAACACAAGCACGCTGAAAATGCACATGACGATAGATAGCTATATCACAAAGAATATGTTGAAACATAGGGAAAACCCCGGGGCTGCGTGGATCATCAAGCACGTATCCTTCGGGGATTGGTTAGACGATACTGAGAGAGGTCCACGACAATGGACTCTTGGTCACTAGAGTCGTCGACCTCGATCGTGTCATTAGCGAGTTCATGGCCAAGTGTTGAAACGGCTGGCGCGCTGAAGAATCCCTGAGGTTTGAGGCCGTCAAGTGGATGACTGATTGCCGGCGGATGTAAGGTCTTTGCAACGGCAATCTTCTGTGGTGGTAGAAGATCGAGCGAGGGTTGAGTTGACAACGTGCCACGTGATTCGGTTTCGTGATTGGACTCCGAGGCGGACGAGTCGGCGTGGACAGCTTCCTGTTCCTCTTGGAGCTTTTTGAGTGACGCTGCAGCTCTGGTGGCCTGTACAAGAAGTGCATCCAGTCTCCCCCGGATAGTGTCAAGCTCAGACTTGCAATCACCATCGCGAAGGAACTGGTGAGCTGCTGTCTCACATAGAGACTGGATTTGCTCCAGCTCTTTGTCAGCTTGAATGAAGCTCGCCTGATGGGAAGGCGGCTGGGGTGAAAGAGTAACCGATTTCTTGACTGACAGCAGGGCGGAAGTGCTCCGAGACATATTGGGAGGTCTGAAATCGTCGAACGCGGAAGACCCCAGGCCGCCATTCCCAGACAGTGTAGCCAGTGAAGGAAGCTGAAATCCTGTAGCTGCTGCCAGGGCATTCTTGCCTTTTCTCAAGTTGTTCCGGCCAAGTCCGACTTCTTTCACCATAGCATCCAACTGTTTCTGCAGGTAGCTGTCATAGTAAACGACGACGTGATTCCTGTTTCTAAACTTCTGCGGTCCGGAGGCGCCGGAACGAATCGAAGTGCCCGGCTTCCTCTTTCGTCGCGCCTGTGCGAACAGGTATCGAGTCCCAGCTTCCAAGGGATTTATCTCTATGGGACCATGCGACGACGAGTTGTCCACGTTCTCTTCACCACTGGCTTGATCATCGATTGAACCTTGCTCCTCGGTAGAATGGATCGAGCTGACCGAAGGAGTCTTCTTGCGCTTGGGTCTTGCTTGTTTGAGTAGACGAGCATACTCTGCGACAAACTCGGCATGCTTCTCGGCGGTATGCGTAGCCAAAGAGTCCAAGGTGGTTCGCCATTTGGGCAGATTGTCGACGAGGTAAACAAAGCTCGAATGGGCGTCCATGGCCTGAGCCATGACGGCGGCAGCGGCGGCGGCAGCAGCAGAAAGGAAGTAGATTGGTGTACAAAATGGTTGAACAGCTCAAGACATTGTTTCGGGGGCTTCAAGTCGTGCGAGGTGAGATTGCACTGACGGGAGGGGTCGGATGCTCGATGCGGTGTGCAGGTATGGGTCAAGGTCGAATGATACGGTGGTGTTGAAAAGAGCTGCGGCGGTCGGCGCAGATGCGGGCAGGTGTATGGCACGAACCCAATGCTCAAGCCACACCGCAGAATGTCGGAGGATGTGGGATTCGAGAATTGCGGTCGAAGTAGAGTTGAGCCGGTTCGAGTTGTTGAGGAGCGGCGGGAGTGGCTTGAGGGTGGGAGTTTCGAAGTATAGTTGTATGGATGGAAGAGGGACAAGATGCGGTGTCAGATGTGAGCAATCACTGTAACGCAACGTGGTGGATGATCCCCAATGTCAGTGCACAGCTGGTGCAGGGTTTTGTGCCGTCCACGACCGTTTGAAGAAGATTAGCTGCACGCTACTCCGGAAGCAGCAGTCGGACTGTTCAGATCAACACGTTGGCGAGTAAGCTGTCAAGCGCGAATCTCGACGGGAATGCGACAGTAAAAGGCCAGAGAAGCCTGGAGACTGCGGCGGGAAGGGCCTCTTCAAATCTGAATGGCAGCGTAGCGACCGAGTCGTGCTAGGGCATCTTCCGTTTAGGCGTGGGCCAGCGATGCAGGAGCCACCCGGGGGCACGATGGGGGCCTCCAAGAGTTCCCTATCACCAAATCAGGCCTTAACCCCAGTATTGGGCCACGACTCACTTCGCACAGACGGGCCAGAGATCTGCAACCCAGTAATCTCTGGAGTGATTCCTCTTGCCCGCTTCGACGTTACTGTCTCTTCTCAAAGAGCGAGCATTCTGCACACTTCGGGTGTCAAGGCGGCCCCCAGAAGGTGCCAGGCCAGGAAGATGCTTGGTGACATCGCAGATTCGCGGTGATTCACGGCGGTCGGGTTCTGCCTGCCCCGAACAGGGCAAGCGTCATTCATGCCAAGCCCCACCTTGGGCTCTTCGCACACGCTGGCGGCTTGTTCCAAGCCTGTTCGTGTGAAAATGCTCAACCAACGAACGACTCGACTCAGTCGACACCGGCCAAACTCCAAACCCTTGTCCACCTTTCCACCTCCCGCCCGGTCCGTATCGCAGCTTGCCCAAAGAGGTCTCTGCATCCCACCGCGCAACCCTGCTTTCGCGAAACAAGGTTCCTTCGCTACTCCATGGTTGACGCCATGGGACAGCACTATGCTGGAGTCGACCTAGAACCCTGAGTCCTCGGTACCGACTGCTGAAGATTGAAGGGCGGCGTGCTGTGCCACTACACTCTTTGCACTATACCGGCACTAGGTAGTCGTCTGGGTCACGATGTTGCGAGTTTCATGGAAGCAGCCCCTCCGTGCTGGATGCGTGCCTTGCGAGGGCGGAGGTAATCCGAGCCAAGTTCGGATAGGATGTCGAAACGATATTCACCTGGCTTGGGCTGACCATCGCGCACTATTGTGTCTTGCAGCCAAAAGGAATAGAACCATCGTAGACTCCAACAATAATTGCATGCTGTCACACATGATCTCCACCAGTCATGGGTAAGGAATCACACCCAAAGCAGACCAGCAAACAGCCCCAGCCAGAAGCTCGGCGAGCAGCTAGGCCAACAACTGCAGCAAGACTTGTGCAGAATTAAACAATCAGCAGCAGCCAACGCATGTCCCGCCTCGTTGACAAGCAATGGATGTTGCAGGGTCGATCAGTACATGAACCACTACCAGACCTCCTCCGAGCGTGCGTGGTCTGCAAGCCATAGACGCCATCATCTCTGAGATGTGTTTTTACCCCCACGAATGTGCTTGATATTCACGACAATTGGTCCCAGACTCCGCAACTTCTCTCCGGGTCGCAGCGGCATTGGTTGCACATCATTGCAGCGAATCCGTACCATGTGTGTTCTACTCGAGGCCCAAGGCTGCCGATGCAGAGCACATGACTCACATTCTGTCTCACCGACACTTGACACTCTGCAGCTCTGGGCCTCAAACGTGCCCAACATGAAGTGCTTCAGATCCAACAACTGTTCGTAAGTGGATCATGCACCAAAAGCCATGTTCGGGCCTGAAGATCATGAGGTCTGGTGGCTGCAGCAAGACTGCTCCACTGGAGATTTCTCCAATGGCGGGCAACAAATGTCACAGTGAGTCGTCCTACTGTCACGGCTGTGGGCTTGTGGCTTGGGGCAGCCTTTGAGATCTGGAAGTATACCTGCGTGACGGCTGTCGTTGTCACTCACCCTCGCGCTCGTGAGACACGCATCCTCGAGTTTGACAACGGCCTCCGCCATCCTCCATGACTCTGGGATTCTCCCATTATAACATGCCCTGCACAGTTCAGGTGATCTCCTGATACCTGGCGCTAATGTCTCATTCCCGCCCTGCAGTCTCGCCTGTCACCATGCCGCAGAAACGACAATTTCCCCAGGGAAATGCAAATGACAATCGGCCTTCTGCAAGCGAGGTTGAACTATATCTCGCTAAGTACAAAAGACCTGTAATAAAGGTCGAATTTGAAAACTCATCGTTTCGATTGCAGTGGTAGAAGACGTCGACAGATGCCATCGTCTTTGCTCACGTTGAAATATCGAAACCCTTTTTAAAGTTCAAGGCACAAGTGAGGCGCAACTTAAGCCAGAGACGGCCTGGAGATCCGCCGGAAGTGCTCCCGGCGAGCGTGCTTCCCGATGATCATCAAACACGCCAGTGCGAACCTCGCCCTTGAAATGTTCTTCAGCCACGAGCCCTACGACGCCAGCTTCACCTAACTGAGTAATAGCCCTATCAGGCAAATAGCGGGGACAGAGGACCGCGGAGCAGGGCACCGAAGTTGGCATGGCACACGACAAATAAATCACTTTGCAAGTATATATCGTAGCACGTGAGTGATTCAGTGGTTTGTGTTGATAGACACAGGGATAGCAAGTAGACCAGATAGGTATATTAATTGGCGCTGACATGGCTACAAGTTCGAAATGTGTCTTATACATACTCCGCGGCTTCGATAAGCATCACCTCTTCAACCGGCGCACCATGACTTGCAGGGACCAACGATGGGAGCATTTCCATGCTTGATGATCTTCCGAATGCGTGCTGTGGTAGATGCGGCAAAGACTAACTGTAACTGGTCCCCGAACTCCCCGGGCTTCTTGATAAATGTATTAACGAGCCCCTGAACAGGGAGCGACCATTCTCCACGAGAAGGAGAACTTCGGCTCCGGGAAGGACGATGGGGCAAAATTGGCATCCTGTCCAATAGAGGAAGTTCCTGCAGTGTGCACGAATGAGCTACTGAACGGCCCCTGCCACCTGCCGAGGCTGGCGGCGCTAGTCTCCTCTAGGCTCTTACCTGCCCACAGAGAGACCGCGTTCGCAAATGCGAGCGCGGTTCCGACACCGTTGGCATGTGACTTGCTAGCTCGTTCTGACTCTTCGATCACCAAGGCCTCGACAAGCTCCAGCTACTGAGACTTGAGATTTCTCTCCCCTGCAGCGTCCCCCGGCCACCGAGCCCTCACCGACGGGCTGACCATTGGGAGTTGTTGCAGACCTCCAGGCATTGTTGAGATGAAACTCTCAATATCTTTCAAGCCCAAGGCACCTCCAACCAGCTCTCGTACTGTGGATGCGTATTCTGTAGCTGAAAGCCAGAGGTCGTTGGACCAACCTAGCCGGCCATGCCAAACTATCGCCTCGAGCGTCGCATCTTCCCGTGTACGTTCCGTGCCGTTATCAACAGGAACAAGACATGTCATTGCTGAAGAGGGATAGTGCTGTGCGCCACAGTTGACACCAGAGCGGCATCGAGTAGCCCACCAAGAGAAGAAGACGAAGCATGCGTGTCAGGTAAGGGCCAGGATCCACTGATCCAGATCAGTTCTTTTATCATGGCAAAGAATTTCGAGATATCTCTGTACGGGTGTGTCAACCAAGGGGACAATAAAAGGTAGAGCAGTACCGTGGCTGGACCACACGTCAGAGTCTGCAAGAATCAATTCACTACGTTTCCGCTATTGGAATGCTTCGAAGATGTCTCTTCGACGAACAACCACGAATCACAAGAACTCTGGCTGTCGTCCAAGCCAGCGGCCAACTGGAAATATTCCCGAGCACAGAATTGCCATTGTCGCTGGGAAGGTCTTTCTGCTTGCGGCGAAAGACTCTCTTCGACAATAAGACGAGAGAGGTCTCCGATGCGACATGGTCCCTAACCGGCGGCCATTGTGTTCTGCATGACCGAAGTTCAACGTGCGCTTTTGCGACCGCCTACAACCCCGTCGGACGACAGGCTTCTCTCCTCTTTTCAAGGCCGATGTTATCCACTCACGCCTCTGCGCTGGGCGGGGCTTACTTTGGCTTTTGCGGTGCTGCGTGAAGTCTCCCGCGGTCTTCTTAGGTAAGAAGCAAAAGGCGTGAGGCGCTGGAGAGGACACATCCCCAGAATAGGCATCGATACTCGATCGTTTGGCGTCCCTACGTACCAAGCATCGCCGTATAAAGTCAACAGGCTTGCGAGGTAGTTCCAGGAGGATCTCGTTGCAATCGAGGTTACTATAGCTCGTTTCAATGCAGACGCCTGATAATCGATCAATTTCTCCGTCGCAATGTCATTCGGGGTCAGAAACTTGGCCCCTCTCTTTGCTGCCGCTGGAAGAGCTCCCCAAGCTCACGAGGATGAGATATGCTCTGACCCCGAGAACCCTAGTTCGACCAGTCTGATCAACGATGCTTTGTCTCTTAAGCAGAAGGGTGCTGGCTTGGCCCTGCCATAGACCGCCACAAGGCAGCAAACATCTGGAGGCGACTCCTATCCGCACATGCTGGCTCACAGCTACCGCTAGTGCGTGGCTTTGTCGAAATTCTCCGGTGGTCTATGTATTGGTTGTCCAATATGCAGTGAGCGTTTCTTAGCACTCTGCAAGAAGTGTGAGAGATGAACAGGTACTGTAGGCGCCCTGTTCTGTGTCTCTGCTCGCTACAGGTGAGGCGCCAAGGCCCGATTATGATAGCAGCTCCAACCAGCAACCGGCATCTCCACCTATGAGCTCAATGATGCGATAGCACTTCGAATCAACTCTACGGGTAATGAGTACAGTACGAGAACGCAGTCGACACTGCAGCCTCATCCCATAGCAACCACGTGCGCTTAGTCGCTGTTCAGTGACTGTCCTCGACCCTCGCCTGCATCCTCGTATCAGCTCCTTCACGAGCTTGCGCTCGTTGCCATGTCATTGTTTGGCTCGTCTCCCACCGAAGCTGCGCCTCTGAACGGCAAATCGCTGTTTGGCGACGAGCCAGCGCGTGCGCCAGCCGTCTCCTCTCTCTTTGCCGATGATGGCGGGGACTCCCCGTGGTCAATGCCGACACCCAAGAAGAATGCCCGACAGAATCTCGTGAAGAACCTCCTCCCTGCGACCGACGTACCGGAAAGCTATGTCGATGCGTACGACGCTGTGTTGAAGGCGAATGAGAGGACAGGAGTTGGCATCGGCTTGGCTGGCGTCAAGCGCCTACTCCAGAGCAGCAATTTGAGTGAACAGGAGCAGTCGAAGATCTTGAACTTTGTCATACCGGGCGGCCAGGAAAGTGCGAACGGAGTGGGCAGGAGCGAGTTCAATGTCCTTCTCGCTCTTATTGGCCTGGGTCAGGAGGGCGAGGACATCACCCTCGACGGGGTGGATGAAAGGAGGCGAAGTAAGGCTACAGCGTCTTCGGCCCAATGCGTAGAGATTAACCATGACTAGAACTGCCGGAGCCCAGGATCGACTACCTAGACCAGTTACGATCGAATGCCCGGCCGCCCGCGCCCTCTCCTCCCGCAGCCAAATCCACCCCGGTCAGAGCACCGAAGTCTCGACAAGAATCATTCGGAGCAGACCCGACGGCAGATCCGTGGGGAAGTCCGTCTACCAACAGATTGCCACTTCCATCGACAGCTGCTCACACCATGTCGACGAATGGTGTCGCCGAGGACGGTGCCATGAGCACTCCGAATGGCATCGCAAGGACGACAAGCGCATTCACAACTGGCGAGAGCCAAGGGAGTGGCGGCGGAAGTCCCGTGGCTGAGCGCCCATCGGACAGCGCAGGTACTGGCTGGAACAGCTATAATGGAAATTCGGGTGGCTTCGCGGAACAACCAACACTGGGTGGGGGCTTTGGCGATCTGGGGAATAACTCGAGCCGCCAGGGTCGAGATCCTCAGAGCGCTGTGTCGCAAAGCATTAGTCTGCCACCAGGGACAGGCGAGAGCGTGACGATAACAATGTTACCCGAGAAGGAGGGCATCTTTCTGTTTCAGCATCGCAATTACGAGGTCAAAACACTCCGAAGAGGCAGCAGCGTGGTCCGACGATACAGTGATTTTGTCTGGTTACTTGACTGCTTGCAGAAACGCTATCCTTTCAGACGCTTACCCCTCCTACCTCCTAAGCGCGTACAAGGTAAGATCTGACCGACCAGAATGGGGGTGGAGCTGATTATGATCGTTAGTTAACGGGTCACATCTCACAGCCGATGCAGCAGTTTTTCTCGATAAGCGCAGACGAGGACTTGTTCGGTTCACTAACGCGCTCGTTCAACATCCGGTCCTGAGTCAGGAAACCCTGGTGGTCATGTTCCTGACTGTGCCAACGGTACGCTTCCCGTTCTGACCATGCCAATGCGCAGATTGATACTGATCGCATGTCCAGGAACTTGCAGTCTGGCGCAAGCAGGCGACCATCTCCGTACAAGAAGAGTTTGCCGGCAAAGCGTTGCCGCCTACACTAGAAGACAGCCTGCCATCCAACCTCCCTGACCTTTTCGAGCAAGTCCGCGCCGGCGTGCGACGTTCCGCAGAAGTTTACATCAACCTCTGCATTTGGATGGAGCGATTGGTCAAACGCAACGAAGGGCTTGCGTCAGATAGTTGGAAATTCTCCCAGGCTGTTTCTAACCTTACGGAAGCTACCGGGGACAGCTACGCCATTGATCCAAACGACGTACCTCTTCTGAATGAAGGCATCAAGTCGACGGCTAAGCACCTCGCTACTACCCAGACCTTACTCGAAGACGAAGCCAAGGCCTGGGATAATGGTGTTTTGGAGGATTTGAAGTCGATTCGCGACAATTTCGTGTCGATGCGCGACATGTTCGACCGACGAGATCGATATGCTAAAGACAACATCCCTCAACTCGAGAGACGGATCGAAGCCTCAGAAAACAAGCTACAGCAGCTACGGCAAAAGCCACCAGGACAAGTGAAGCCAGGCGAGATCGAGAAAGTGGAGAGCAGTATCATGGCCGACAAAGAGAGTATTGTGCAGCAACACGCACGAGGGGTATTCATCCAAGAGTGTATAAGGGACGAGATTGTGACTTTCCAAACAACCATCTACGCCATCAGCCGGATGCATCAGGACTGGAGTCAAGAGCGGGTCAAGTATGCTGAACTGCAGGCGAGCAATTGGCGGAGTTTGGTCGATCAACTGGAAAGCATGCCTCTGGGAGAATGAGAATGCCTGGGTTGTGCCCAAAGTTTGAACAAGACTATTCTTTTGTATCGTTATTACGCTGGAGAAGTATATTCTTGGGCGCTGTTCGGCGAGCGTGAGCGCCCACAATACATAATAACAAGACAAAGCTATGGTGTGTAGACAAGCGAAAGAAGGCCGGTCCCACCTGTAGGCCTTGGGTCAATTACTGCAGTGGCATGAGGCGGGAGAGCGTGTAAGAGGCAGTCAAGGGAATGACACTGTCTTGTGGCACTGGATACTCCCACGTCAGGAATTGTCCCGTTATGCAACCTCGTCATCACCTGGTAGTTACCTAAATTGGATTGTGGTCCTCTCGATGCGAGTAAAGGTCCTTCCTCTTACTAGAGCTTTGAGCGTCTGAGATGCTTGTTGGTATTGCCTCGACCGTCCTGGAGTGTCTCGCCGGCTCTCGAATCGTTCTCGAATCGTTTTCGAAGGCAATCTCACCTGGCGGCTGCTGAACGAGTCTAGCCCGAGGCAGCCTTGCCCGGGCATCAGGCAGCCAATCACGTCCGACAAGGCTGAGGGTCTTGGCAGTTTCGACGCGTTTGCGCAGACTTCATCCGCGTCTGTCTGGCCTCCCATCAACAAGTCCATGCCCGCCTCTCAACTCTTCTTGGAAGCCTCGTCTGTGTCTGCGCCTCAGCAGTTCCGAAGCGTCTGTGGCGGAGAGGATATCTGCCCACACCTCCGGTCGTCAGATCTTTTGCGGCTCTGGCACTGAGCTAGCCTCGCGCTGGTGACAATGGAGCAGCAGGTCCTTCAGCTTCTCCAAGCAACGACCCGCCCGGACACTGCCGTCATTAGAGATGCCGAGCAGAGTCTTCTGCGGTTATACCCTCAGCAGGATTTCCCATTTGCGCTCTTGACGATAGCTTCACACAACGACATTGAATCCAGTTCGCGGAAAGCGGCATTGACTGCTCTGAAGAACTATATTTCCGCCACTTGGTCACCGCAACTTGACGAGACTTTTACAGGGCATGTTTATCTGAATGATGAAGCCAAAGCCCGGGTTCGCGATCAAGTCTTCGCCATCTGCACGCTCGAGGGCAACCAAGCTCCGAAAGACGCCACAATCCAAGCTCTAGCCGCTGGTGTCGCCAGTAAGATCGCCACGGTCGACTTTCCCGATGCATGGCCTTCGTTGTTCCCCTCGTTGCTCACCATCCTCAACACTTCAACCGACGATGCGCCCGTTCACGGCACGCTACGAGTGCTAGCGGAACTGGTCGACGAGGGTCTGACAGAGGAGCAATTCTTCATGGTCGCTCGAGACCTCGTCAATGGCTTGCAGCATGTAGCAGTGGACAGCAATCGCGGCTTGATCGTCAGGGCTATGACTCTCAATGTCTTCCGAGCATGCTTTGAGATGTTGGAAATGGTCATGGCCGATCATGGGGCGGCGGTGAAGCAGTTTCTAACCGAGTCCTTGAAAGCTTGGATGCCGTTCTTCATGGAGACACTAAAGCAGCCACTTCCAGAGGTCGTCAAGCCGGATGATGCGCATCTCAGAGGCCTGGTGGCGTTGAAGGTGCAGGTAGTAAAGGCACGTCCGGAGACGACATCACCATGGAGAACACAACTAACTGCATATTAGACGCTGGACAAACTCAGATCGGTCTACGTACAGGCCATTTCACCCCATGCAACTGCGCTCTTCGAGATCGTATGGCAAGAACTATCGAGGCTCGCCACTCCGTATGCACAACTCTTCATCGAAGGCACCGCAGAAGGCAAACTCGTCGACAGCGACAACCTCCCCTGCAGCCTCGACGCGCTGGTCCTCGAAGAACTCGACTTCCTCCAAATCACCATCAAAGCCCCTCCTGTTCGCAAGGAACTCTCCGCACAAATGCAGCAGTTCGGCGACGCACAGCATACCGTCCCTTGGCTCCAAGAACTCATCCGCGTCCTCGTTCTTTACGCCAGAATACCAAAGGAGGAAGAAGCGCTCTGGGAGTACGATGCCAACCTCTACCTCTGCGAAGCCGCCTCCCTGACGGCGAACTACACCCCCCGAGCAGCATGCGCAGAACTCGTAGTGCGGAGTTTAGGCGAATGGTTAAAACAGCTTCCCATCGTTGCGATGCTGCATTTCAACCAACGTCACCTTCAGTCCGCTGCCACGTGGAAAGAACGCGAATCCCTGCTCTACCTGCTCAATCAGTCACTGAAAGACATGGAGGAAGTCTCTGGCAAACTCGATCCGCAAACTGCATCTGTGACCCTCGAGCAAGTTTCTTCAGCACTGCAAGACCCTAACCTGTTCATGCGTGCCGCCGCTCAAATGGTGCTGGGATGTTTCTTCAAGATCACGAGCAACAACGCAGATTACGCATCTGCCGGCGCCGCAGCATTTGCCAACGCCATCACCGCTTCGGCAAGCGATCCTTCGGACGTGGTGAAAGTGGCATGCTTCTTGATCCTGCCAGATTACATCGAAGCCTTGCCTAGAAATATCACGCAGCCGATGCAGTCGGCCATCATCAACGTCATCGGTGAATTCATCTCGAGCCGAGATCTAAGAGATGAACTTGAAGACGCCGACGACGTCAAAGCCGCTTTGATCCAACTCCTGCGCGACGCCATCATGCTTGACACGTCAACACTCATGTCGCCCGAGAACAATGCCATCGACCTGTTCTTCACCCTTGCAAGTGATGGCGCGAGCAATTTCCAACTCTTCACGCTGCTCACCGAGGCATTCGAGGGCATCGTCTCCTCTGTCTCCACCGCCGGCCAAGATCAGTACATCCGGCTGTGCGCAAAGACAATACCTTCACTGACGGGCGCGTTTGACATTGCCAACATAACGCAAGAATCCGCGCTGACCAACCTCGCCGCCGAACTGGTCTCGGCGCTCGCCGAGTTCGGATCTGATCCACTGCCTGCGGGCTTCGTACAAGCCGTCATGCCGAAGTTACAGAGAGTGCTGATGGAAGCCACAGAGGCCGAACTCGTCCGCCCCGCCACGCTGGCATTGAACCACATGCTCAGCAAGGGCACTGCGCAATTCCTCGAATGGAGAGACAGCACGGGCAAATCCAGCATCGAAGTCACGCTGACCATCATCAACCGCCTGCTCAACTCCCCGGACGTGGACGAGAACGCGGGCCAAGAAGTCGGCGGGCTTGCCTCGTCGCTTGTCTCCAAGTTCGGCGCCGACAAGATGGGCCCCTATCTCATGGACTTGCTCCGCGCCGTGGCCATCCGCCTCGCCACCGCGGAGCGCATCCAATTCATCCAAAGCCTGTGCATGGTCTTTGTGGGCCTGGCGCTCGCGGCGCCGAAAGAAGTCGTCGACTTCCTCGCCGAGGTGAACATCAACGGCCAGAACGGCCTCGGCGTGGTGTTGACGCGCTGGCTCGAAAACTCGGTCCACTTTGCCGGCTTCGACGAAGTCCGGCAGAACGTCGTCGCGCTGAGCAAGATCTTCGCACTGCACGACGAGCGAGTGCGCGCCGTGCACGTCAAGGGCGATTTGATTGTCGACGCCGCCGCGGCGAGCAGCGGGCGCATCAAGACGCGAAGCCAGGCGAAACTCAACCCGGACCGCTGGTCCAGCATTCCCGCGGACCTGAAGATTCTGAAAATCATGGTCGACGAGCTGGCCAGCGCGGCGACGTCGCGGTTCCCGGACCTGGCGGCCGCGCAGGCTGCCGCGGACGCGCTCGACGAGGAGGACGACGAGGCCGAGGATGCGGACGAGTGGGAGGACGTCGGTTCCGCGGGGGCCGTGGATCTGGCGAGCGCGGCCGTGCGCGGCGATCTCATGTCGTTGGCCAAGGAGTTTGGTGGCGACGACGGGGCCGGGGCGTCTCCCACGGGGAGTCGGGCCCGCGACGAAGAGACGGCCGAGTACCTGCTCAATTGGTTCAAGGGGGAGGCTGGCAAGGAGCGCTTCCTCGGCCTGTTTGAGCAATTGTCGGGAGAGGAGAAGGGCAAGCTGAGAGAGCTGGTTGCTTGAGACTTACATACATGCGTCGGTTGAGCCTGAGATTGAGCGTAAAGATTGAGCATGAGCGTGAGATTGAGCCTGAAATTGATCATGAAACCGAGCATGAAATTGAGCGGGTATTTCGAGCGCGAACTCGCTCGTGAGCTTTTGCTCGGAAGTCGCATTGTTTGGCGCTTGAACGCAAAGACACGGGTACAGATTACAGCAATTTATTTCCAATGGAGCTACGTACTCGTGTGCGACGCCTGAAGCTTTCACTCACTCACGCCCGTATAATACAGTACATCTCATCTTACATCTTACGGAGTACATGCATGGGGAGATATTCCCTAAGTGGAAGATGCCTGCCCTGCCGCCCATATGGACTCGAGTCTTTCATCGAACTTGGCGACTGGACCGGCATAATTAACATTACAACATCCAACATCCGACGTCTCGCACGATGAGCAGTACGAGCAGTACTTACTTCGGATGTGAGGAGGAGTACAGAGGACCGGGTGGCCGTACGGAGGATGTGGTGGCAGGAGGCACTGGTGTGCCTGCGTACCACAAGAGGTTGCCCGGGGTAACGGGTGCAGTCACCTATTGTCCATAGCCAGTAGTTTGCAGTCTCGAGACAAATAGAATATACTTGAGCAGAGAGAGCATCCCTCGACTTCCCCCTTTGCAGAGTATACCGTACTCGGTAAATTATTGTAAGTACAAGTACAAGTGTAGGGGGTATATACTTGATATCTATCAAGCCCGTCCGAAGCCAGCCTAAATAACATACCTACGTACGTACGTATGTACGTCTACATATATGTAGTGGCTACAGGTCATCCACCTCCTTTCACGCGAGGATTAGTACTTCGGATGTGAGGAGGCACTGGGTTGCCATACACCATACATTATCGTAAGTACAAGTACGGAGTGTAGGGGGTATATACCGAGTACAGAATCTATCAGGCCCGTCTCAAGCCAGGCCAAATAATATATAGATGTACATATGTACACACGTATTTACATACATACATATATACATACAGACATACATACATACATATATACATACAGACATACATACATACATATATACATACAGACATATATACATAGTGACCACAGGTTATCTACCTCATTTTACGTGAGAGTAATCTTGCGTATGGAAGGAGTACTCCATACAATTCCAACACATTCATGACGTATATACATACATACATATTGTTAGTACAGAGTACAAATAGGTATGTACGTGTCAAGCTCGTCCTAAGCCTGCCTAGGTACCCAAAATACCTACATCGATCACTATACATGTGCATGGAACGCAACAAATCCTCGTGGTGATTCATGTTTTCCTACGCACGTGCATAGTGCATAGATACGTATTGACAGTCATCCACCTCACTCCTCAGCGCTGGTCATCCACTCACTTCTTCAGCGCAGCCGTTCTCTGCGCCCCGAATTTCTCATGCCATTTCCCCTTCTTGCGGGCCTGGGATTCCACACGTGCGGCCTGGACCCCATTCGAAGCGCCGTCGCGGCCGCTACTTAAACACCGTCTGAGCACCTCTTCGCCGTGTGCATCCTCCCCGATCTCCCATTCAGGGGAGCCCGAGACCAAGGCGCGGGCATCACACTCTCGCGTCCATGATTCGGGAAGCAGATCCGTCCACTGGGAGAGGAACTGCGCGAGGCTGATGGGTTGTGTATCGCCGCGCAGAGACCGCAGCATCCAATGGCCTACGAGGTCGCGTGTCTTGCCAGGGTCAAGTCTCAATCTCGAGCTGTGTCCCCTCGTAGCGGCAGTGGTCGCGTCGTTGGCATCATCATCCTTGCCAGGTAATTCCTCAAGCAATCGATCGAGATCGGAATCTGGGGGAAGGTGGAAACGGGGTATCGACAAGTTGTCGGCTCTTGCGTAGCGAGCATAGTCACCCGCGTCGAGGGAGAGGTGTCGTAGTATTGCGACAATGACGTTTGTCTGCAGGTCTGCTTCTGGGTTGGATTTTGAACCACTCGCATCGACTATCTCCGCCAGTAATCCATGTAGGGCGGTACACTCCACACCGGCCCGTCCGTCCAGATGAACTTCTGAGATGGCGCATTGCTGCATGAAGACCCTCCAGCATTTGAGAAGGAGGCTCGTGGTCGGGATGAACAACGTGACACTGCGTTCTTGATGTTGTTGCCCATAGTCTGCGACCTGCACCACGGGTCCGGACGATACTGATATTCCGAAGACGAAGAGCCGGTTCATTGCTTCGAAGATGGTCTTAGTCGGCGCGGGGATGTTCTCGAAGACATAATGCAGTAATGAGGAGGATTGATTGCCTGACGACAGTCGTGCGCCACTGGCACCGATACTGACACCTCCTGCAATAAGCTGATCATCCTCGTTTTCTGCATCGCCACAGAAGGGCACCATCTCACGCAGCATTCCATCTACATCGCCTTCCGCAGGTTTCACTTCGATGAGTTCGAGGATATTCTTCACCTGGGCAATTGTCGTGATCCCTCCATTGCTTGCGGTGGCCAACCTGTCTGCATCGCTGGAATCGGTCGCTTCTCCGTCTCCATTGGCGTGTTCTTCTGCCTCGGTCATGAGCGTATCGCCGTCGCCATCCCCATCTCGGTCCGCTTGCCGCTGCCTCTGCATCTCCTCTGCCGAGATCCATTGCGTGATATGCACGCTATTGCTCGTGCTCACCTGCTTGACAGCCCAAAGCTTCTCGTCGGAGCATAAATGCAGGAAGCCCTCCCTGTCCGCTTCCCCTGCGCGACCCTCTATCGATCGAGAGGATTCCCGCCGGGTGGAGGTGGATGCGGAAGCGGAAGCGGAAGCGCGGGACGAAGCCTTGAACCACAATCTCCGCCTCTTGCTTGCTGCATCTCTCTGGGCCTCGACAACGTCGACCAGTTCAGGCGACAGCTCGAGCAGGCGGAAACTCTGCTGTGGGACGGTCAGGGAAAATGGCACGGGCGGGAAGTGTGAAGACTGTGAAGAAGCCATGGTTGTGACCTGATTTGTCCTGGAATCAAGGCCACAAGGGCGAAGCTGAGCTCGGTGATTTGTGCTGCCCTGCCTCTTAGGATCCAAGAACGACCGTAGTGACCGTGAAGGACTCACACCGCCAAATGACAAACCCCGTCAAATCTTTTGGTCGACGCGTCCACATTGGGACGCGTCCATACAAGCCTGACGTCAGATACTACGAGACGGTCAGGTCACGTGATTTGTCCAAACAGATGAGAACTGCCCTGTGAAATATCAAAGGAATATATTGCTTTGCTACAATGTGATCAATATGGAGAAGTCTTCTCCAGATCCGCTTGGACGCCAGTGAAAATACTCTGACCGATGTTCTTTCAAGGTCACAATCGAGCGCCCACCACCCACCGCCAACATTTCCATATTTTGTCGTGTACAGGTCAAGAGAGGCTTCTCTCTGACATGGCCAATAAACCGACTGATGGTCCTTGCACCTTTTGCCCGGCCTGAACAATGAACTCCTGAACTCGCCTTCTTTGATGCATATGCTTGCTGAAGGTGATGTGATCGCTCGCTTTCTATCCCGTATCCCCCAGTCTTTTCTTTTTCCTAAACCCATTCGCTTGTTGCTCCGAACCGTTGTATCCTCAGTGATCAATTGCAAACGTCCGTCCCGATGGAATTGATGTCGTGTTTCTCGTCATTGCTCAGCCATTCTTAGCACCATCCGCTCCTTGGGCGGCTGGGACTTCCTTCTCGGTGGTTTCCCCGTCCGCGGCCGGGTACTGACTGCCGTCGTTCTCCTTCGGTCCGCCTCCCATCATGGCTTCCTTGTCCTTCTCCCACTGCGAGCCGACTTGTTTGAATTCATCTTCGAGTTTCTTTGCTTGCTCGGCCTTTTCTTTCTCCTGTTTCTCTCGTTCGCGTTTTTCTCGCTCCATTTCCTCCATGTGTCGGATGTCATCCACGGACGGTTCGTACAGATGCCACACTGTGTAGTGCGGTAGACCGACGACTGAGAACTTCATGCGCTTAGCCATCTTTCCGAAGCCTTCGGTCTCCGCGTGTCGCTCGAACGAGAAAGCTGGGAAGTGGGCTCCAGCGCGGAACACTCGAGCTTTGGCAAGGATGGAAACACCGCCGACACCATCGAGCTCCATCTCAACGTCCGGGTCTCCGTATGGGTCGCGAAGGTAGGCCAGATGAGGCCGCCACGTGGCATACTCTGCGTAGCCTTCGACAATGACAGCGTCTTCATCCAGAGTCTCTGCCAGAGCGATGGCCGTTTCGGATTCTTGCCAGGAGTTGAGGTCGTAGGGCTGTTCACCCCCTAGCCAGTCCGGAAGGGGACGCCAGATATCTATGACCATGGATTAGCATTGCCGAGGAGAATGTGCGAAGGCAGACTTACTGGGCACGATGATGTCCTTGTCATGCCTCATCAGATCCTCAATAATGGTGTAAGGGCAGGTTTCCACGTCCGCATCTCGCCAATAGACCCAACTGTGGTACGGTCTCAGCGCGGCACTGAGGAGCCAATTTCTCGCCCGCGCCATGAGCTTCCTCCGGCTGGCTTGCGCAGCAAAGCCATGTCTGCTTTCCACGTCTTGGCTGACGGCTTGTCCAAAGTCCTTGTGAATGACGGAGATCTCGCCGTATGGCTGGGAAGGGTCTGGGTCATTCTGAACTTCGTCAAGCAAGCGGGAGAGAAGTTCCTCGGTGTCGTCCTTGGAGTCGGATACAAGGAAGGCTAGGTCGATGAGATGGTGGGGATAGGTGAAGTTCCTCAAATGTTCAAAGAACATGGGCAGATGGGGTGCGGCGTCTCGGAGAGGAGTGCATAACAGGACCCGTTCCTCTCTTTCCCATCCTACCGACGTCCCTTGCACGTCCTCTAGGTCGTAATATCGTAGTGTTTCGATGTCATCGTAATACGAGGCAGGAGGCGAGCTGCTTGAGAGAAGCGAGAGGGTCGATGAGGAGGGGAACAGGAAGTAGAAGGCGAGTGAGAGTACCGCAAGTGCAAACAATCCCAATCGTATCAGACGAGACCTGCTATGCAATGCTCTTCTCCGTGGCTCGAACTTTCGGCTGAATGAAGGATCTGCTTTTTCATCTTCGAGCAGGTCGGGCATTCCGAAGATGTACTTGTTCTCGAGGTCCCCTCGATCATTGTAAGGGTGGTAGAAGTCATCATCTCGTTTCTTGTTGGCGGCGTAGCCGTTGACAAAGGCGTGATGCCTGTTCATCCCTCCGACTCATCCCAGCCTCCCCCAACCGTTGGCCAGCTCGTCTATGGCTCTTGTGCAGCAGTAATTCGAAGGAGGACAATTGAGGTGACGGGCGGGCAGCAGGTGCGGAGGTCGAAGTCCGAGTTCGAATCCTTTGTTGTCTAGCACTAAAGGAATATGAAGCAAGGGTGATTTGAGGCGAAGAGATCGAAGAAGGCGGGCCTAATTGCAGCAATTGAGGGAACTTGAAGGCGCGTTGTGGATCTCGTGAAGGGGACGCAGGGAACGAAGAATCGAGAAGCCAGATGTGGAGTTGCAGTTTGGACCAGCGACGAGCACCTCGTACCACTCACTCACTGCATGTCAGATCCGAGGAACACAAGAGGACCAATCTCAAATTTCACTATGAAGGAATCTGACTGTCACTGAACTGCTGTCGCGGACTGCGCATTGCGGACTGTGGACATTCGACTGCAGACCGACATGGTTCCTGCCGCTAAATTTGTATGACATGACGCGGCGCTACCGATTGTGGCCGTGTGCAAAAACATACGGAGGTACTCCGTACAACTCCTTTCCTTCTATCCATCTAACCGGCAACGGCATTACTCAGTAAGCTGCCTGTAAACATGACATCCACTTCATTACATTGACTATAGCCGCGACGACCTACATCGCAATGGGCCACATAGCAATATATTCGAGTCCCCACGATTGGGTATCCGACCAGTGGCGCCGGCACAAACATGTCACTCTTGTCGATACAGCTGCACTCAGCCATGCGTTAGTGTTCAGAAACCTGGTCGAGCATTTGGATCACCATTCATCACGTCGCCCATAATTCTGACTTCGGAACCCTTTACCACGGACGCGAGTTGGCTGGCACTGTTCGAGTTTTCGGCAGCGACGTGTTGGATGCGGCCATTTTCGTCCGTCACCGAGGTGAATAGGGTCACAAGAGCACTGGATTTACACTTTCACGTTCCTGCGTCTCGTGTGAAGGACAGTCAAGAGCACAGAAACGGGGCTGTCCAGGTCCTACTCAGTGGCACGAGAACAAAGGGGCTCCATAGCCTGAAGAAGTTGCGTCGGGCTGTCAATTCCGACAGAGGAATGTCACTTATTCGACCGTCGAGCGATGCGCCATTTGGCAGGGTATAGTTGCAACAGTCATCGCTGCATTGCTCAGTGATATTGGCGGTCAGGTCGACACAGGCTCCACACACTGCCACGGTTGGAATCACTGGCCAAGTACAATTTCCGGTCGAGCACGTCAACGGTAGTTGAGTCTGGTTCTGGTTCATGATGCCGTTATAGACATCAGATTTGAGCTTGAGATCCCCGACGGTCGGGTAATCGCTCGTCTGCGTGATGAAATGGCTCGGGTCATAGCATTCACTTCTCGCAACGACTGGAAGGCCACTCTGGTACGGGGCGACATCGTCACGGAAGCGGATGGCAAGGATCTGCTGAGCGAAGGTATCGAAGCCCAGCAGCCGGATCGTGGTGATGGCTCCAAGTGAAGCTAGATGCAAAGACTTGCGTACCAACAGCTGGAGTGCGCCCCATGCACCTCTCGATGCATCGTCAAATCTCTCGAAATCACACAGTTCTCTTGCACGAAGCACTCTTTGTCCCTTCTGTCCGATGCCAACGAGCCGATTCCACTTGCCTTGCCTGATGGCCGGTGTCACGCCCACGAGCAACGACGCCCTTGCAATTGAGACCAATAGAGCGACAAGACCGTTCAGAGTAAGACTGGTGTACGGCCACCTCGTCTGTAGTTTGGCATCATAGTATGCTAGCACGACAACGATGGCAGCGAATGCCGCAGATGTCAGAATCGTGGACCATAGTTCCAGCCTCCATGGGCCACCGATGTTGAACATCCGTGTCGGGAATGTAGACTTCTGAGAATGAGGCTGCTTCTCTATACGGCTTTTGGTAGCCATAGGTCGCTGAATAGACGACGTTTCAGAGGCCGGTGGGGCGGCATTCTGTAGTTCGTCTGGCAACGCTGCCCTTTGATAGCCATCTGTAGACACTCCTCGATCCTGTACCTCCGTAACGTCCGCGGTGTGGCTGGGTGCCGTGCTCAACACAGCACTTTCTAGGATCTCAGATGCTGCTGGCACCGGTTTCCTAGGTACAGCGTGTGTGCCAGCTGGCGACGACATCCCCACATGCGGTGGATTCAAGCAGTGCTACGAACTCTGTGCTAACCGCGACGGCCTTGAGCAGCGCATGCATGGCTTGCGACACACGATATATTGTACTCTTCCAACCTGTATCTCCAGCCTGATCGGCCCCCACGTCGTGCGCCGCGATTGTCTGGTGTGGTGCCACAAAGGCACGCTGCAGACGGCAGGGCAAATCGCAGGCTGCAGAAGGGCTTGGCGCATTGTTGCCTCGCTGGCTAGGCGTGGAGCAGGAAAATATAGATTTGTACGGAGTACGGAGTCTGTCAAAGAGGGCGCTTCAATTCTCGTACTTGGCTTTTCTGGCCACCGGCGACGAGCTCGGCCGTGATGATAAGGGTTGATGAACAGCGGCAGCCCTGAGAATACAGTAAGTAGTCCGTGGCTTCGGCATGATGCGTGCCTCTCTCGACGCATACATAATCCATTTCGATCTCACGAGAAGCGACCGAGACGCGGCCTGAGTCGAGATAAGTGTGAAGACAGAGCAGCATGAGAGAGACTCTCGTGGACTCGTTATCCGCGAGTTTGTGCCAATCCCGCTGATTGTTATCCTGCAAGAAGTCTAGCAAGCATCTAAGCGACGAGGCGCAACCGAAGCAACTCTTGGAGGATCTTGTCGCCGAGCTTGGCCTGAAGCCGAGCTGCGCATCCCGTGTACGCGCAGTGATCTGAGCGTGAAGCTTTGAGTCAAGCCCCCCACAAGCGGCGGTCGATCTTGGCTGACGCACAAATTGACGGGCCCACCGAGTCGCTCAACCTCAACGGAACTTTCGCCAGGCCTGCGTCCGATCTCAGAATCCTCAACCACTCGCTCCATTCTTGTCCCACTTGTTCTGGTCGCTGCGGAGGCGACGGTAGTCACTACGTAACTCGTACACTTCGCCTAGAGATGCGACCCTCCCTCCATGCTTCTCTTGCTATTGGATCCCCTTGTCATCGACGGGCCGCGTCCCGCTCATCTGAGTCTTCTCAGCTCTCTCAGGTCATTGCCATGCATCCGACCAACCTTAACAGACGCCTCGCACGCCACAGCCAGCGCCCTGGCTGTCGCCATTCGCGTCAACTCTCAATTGTGCGGCGTCCTGCACCCCACAACCCAACCGTCTATGGCGTCACTCTGCTCCATTCTTGCTACCAAATCTATACACCATGAGTCCATGATTCTGTCCACGTTCTGCGAGTTTGCCGGGCGATCCCCAACCTGCTTGCTGTTTAGTTTCATGCGCCCGTTGCATCAGAAATTTGCCTTTGTTTTGCCTTTTATTAACCCTCTACCCTCGCAGAGATTTCTACATCGTGGTTTACTTCTCGCGGGAGGCGCGATCTCTATTCTTCCACACCTCAAGCACCGAACCAGCGGAACTCATATGCAGGCGACGGCTCCCATAATTCCAGATTCCCTTCACCTCACCTGTTTCATACGGGTCATCCGCGCAGTCAAGTGGCGTTGAGCTATCCTCGTTAGCACCATTCAACGATCCAGCAACAACTTAGACATATCAAGACCAACATGTCCGATGTGCGCGAAAAGGGCGAGCCCGGCTTTGGCGAAGGCGGCAGCTTCAACCCTAACGGGAGCGTCGACCTAGAACGCAGAGGCTCAACTACCGTGCATGGCCGCAAAATGAGCAGGATCGGGCCTCCTCCAAAAACGGGTTCGTTCTCGCTGCCGGATTCATCAGGCTCGGATGATGACTATGGGAAACTGGTTGCGATGGAGGCCGACAACGCCATCAAGTACAGAACGTGCTCATGGCAAAAGGTTGGCTGCGTTCGAACGCCATCTTGTTACAATTGCTGACAAGCCGACCAGACCGCTGCTCTACTCTTCTCCGAGTACATTTGCTTGGCGATCATGTCGTTCCCTTATTCGTATTCCATTCTCGGCTTGGTACCTGGTCTGATTCTCACCGTGGTCCAAGCCGCTTTCGTTCTCTACACATCTTTGGTGGTCTGGGAATTGTGAGTCCTTGAGAAAACCTCGACCCCGGCCTCCCGATTTGTGACGGTTCCTGTTCCTTTTCGCTAACAAACAATGTAGCTGTCTGCGCCATCCTGAGGTATTGGATGTTTGTGATATTGGCCAAGTAAGTCGCACACCGTCCATGTGTTGCCCCTCTCAATACCTATCTATGCTCATCGAGACTGGCAGATGCTCTTTTGGAACAAGAAATGGGCCTGGTATTTTACCGCCGTCATGTTCCTTTTGAACAACACCTTCATCCAAGGGCTGCACGTCCTTACAATCTCCCGCTATCTCAATACCATGAGCAGTATGTGCCTGACCCAATACTTGCACGGGTAACCGAACCCACTGACATGTGCCAGACCACAGCGTCTGCACCGTTGGCTTCGCCGCCATCGGTGCCGTCATCTCGTGGGTTTGTTCCATGCCCCGGACCTTTAACGCGCTCTCAAAGCTGGCCGCCGTGTCTGCATTTTTCACGTTCGTCAGCGTCATTCTCGCAGCTGCCTTTGCCGGAGCAGAAGGCAAGCATGGTACCGCCGGCTACAACCCGGATCCGAATCACGTCAACGCCAACGGCGTCAAGTTGGGTGGTGAGCCACTCGTCCTCGCGGTACCCGTGGCCGGCACAACCTTCGTCGCAGGGATGAATGCGTTCTTGAATATCAGCTACACTTTCATCGGTCAGATCACGCTGCCTAGTTTCATTGCAGAGATGAAGAACCCCTACGACTTCCGCAAAGCGCTCTGGCTGGTTACCATCTGTGAAATCATTCTGTTCAGCTTGGTTGGCGGCATCGGTGAGTTTCACGTGCAGACCACTCCCACAGGAGGGGCCGATACTGACTGACGGTTCCGATAGTCTATGGCTACACCGGCACCCAATACAACACGGCACCCGCATTCGGCAGCCTTGGCAACGACATCTACAAGAAAGTCTCGTTCTCGTTCATGATCCCAACCCTCATCTTCCTCGGCGTCCTGTACGCCTCGGTTAGCGCCCGATTCATCTTCTTCCGAGTCTTCGAGGGCACAAAGCACAAGACCCAGAACACCGTGCTCGGATGGGCAGCTTGGGCCGGGATTCTCGCCGTGACCTGGATCTTTGCCTTCATCATCGCCGAAGTCATTCCCTTCTTCGCGGATCTGCTATCCCTGATGAGCAGTCTGTTCGATTCCTTCTTTGGGTGGATCTTCTGGGGCGTCGCCTACCTGCGGATGCGGAGGGCTGACCTGGGCCCGGAATTCTACAAAAAGAGAGGCCTGCGAGGGTGGATCGGATTCCTGATGAACATTTTCATCATTATTGTGGGAATCTATTTCCTGGGCGTCGGCACTTATGTGAGTATATCCGCGTTCACACTTGTTTCTTTACACGCCGACCACGCGCTGGTTTCTGTGATGCATGGCAACGCGACTGAGACGATTACTGACGTGCTTCGCAATCCTAGGCTTCCGTCGACAGTATCATTCTTGACTACCGTGCGGGTAACGTCAAAGGCGTCTTTACGTGTGCAGACAACTCGTTATGAGATCCTCGAGCTCGACTATGCTGGAGGATATTTCTTCCCATGTGCGCTTCGATGTCACGGAACGAAACGGGTGGTTTTCTGCACGCGTTGCGCAAAACCGTCCGCGTGGTGGTCAACACACAGCCTTTTCACGGAGGGTCCAACGTGGCCTGGTGCCAGCTTTAGGAACTAGGGAGATCGCGCTATCGGCAAGGAAAATTTTGGTAGCGATACCGAAGGTATGTGTAGGTACGGGACGACAATCGCAATAAGGTGGAGGTGAAATCTTACCGGCTGGAAGCTATTGTAATAGAGTACAGTATACGCAGTACAACTTGTGGCACATACATACCTACCTAGGTGATAACCCGTACATGGAGTACGGTCGTGACAATACACAGCGGTTCAGATAAGCGGACCTTGACGTGACTAATTAGTCGACTTCTCTGTGGGTGCCTGTATATACTGTACCTCGATGCGTGAGCACCAGAATCATCATTTCTACCAGGTACCAGGGATTCATATAAGAGCATTTTCCTTCCGCGCCAGATCAACAGAATGGGAGAGAGAGAGAGAGAGAGAGAGAAAGAGAGAGAGAGAGAGAAAGAGAGAGAGAGAGAGAAAGAGAGAGAGAGAGAGAAAGAGAGAGAGAGAGAGAAAGAGAGAGAGAGAGAGGAGGGGGGGAATCTACAGATGAGGGTCACGTCGCGTCCAACAACGCTCCTCGAGCTCACAGATATACTGTACCTGGGTACTTATTGTGTTGGAAACGAAGGCACGAGCAGGGATACAAAAGATTCTTCTCTTCCTACAGCATCGTCATGGGAGCATTGGGCTCCTGTAGCGTCTCGATAGGCTCAGTTGCCCTCAGGTCCCAAGAGTCAGGATCGTCATTCCTACACACTGTACGAATACCACTGTGCAATACCTCAAAGGAGCGATGCAGTACAGTATATCCGTCGCACACTCGATCCACGCGTGCATCGCAGAAAGATCTCAGTGAACCTGTTCCTGTTATCTGACCTTTCATCGATCCTCGTCGTCGTCGTCCTCCAACATCCTGGCGTACTCCTCTGCCGTTGCGAACGTGGGCAAGTTCTTCAACTTCTTCTTCTTCTCCGTCTTGTCGTTTTCCCCGCGCTTTGCTTTCTTCTTGGCTTTCTCGCCGTCAGAATCGGCGTCGGACTCGAATCCCGCAAATTCAGACACATCCCTACGCAATCCGCCGGCGGACACTCTCACACTCGCACTCGCACTCACCCTTGCACCAGTATGGCCGCGGGATGAAGGTCCAGACGCGTCATCCACGTCCATGAGATCGTCTTCGTCGTCCTCGAAGAAAGCCGGATCGATGTCCACTCCATCTGCATGTGCATCTTCATCTTCACCACCTTCACCCGCGAGCTCGAGGTCAAGATCTGCATCTGAGCCAACGTCGTCGTCGTCGTCGTCAGCAGATTCCAAATCCGCCAAGTCGAGATCCGCGTCATCGTCTTCAAACTCGTCGCCCTCCAGATCGGGCGCACTAGCCATCATGGCCTTCCAGATCTCGTCTTCATCATCCTCCACACTTCCGTCGTCGTCGTCGATGTCGCGCAACTTGTTCTTCTTCTTCTGCTGCTGCTGCTGCTTCTCGGCGTTCTTCCCGTCCTTTGCGCCCGTCGTCGTCTTCTTCACCGCCGTGAAGTATTGATGGAAGAAGACATCCTCGGCGGCGATGTCGTCGGATTTCTTCATGCGGAACTGTTCGCTGTTGACGGGCAGGGGGCGGGCTGTACTGCTGCCGGAGAGGAGGACCGCGTCTTTATTGTCCGTGGCCATGGGTTGCATGATACTGCTGCCGCGAAGACCGGCGTGCGAGAGCTTGGGATTGCGGTAGACGAAGCGATCGAGGAAGTGCGACAGGCTGTGGACGTTGAGGTCGGGCTTGCCGGAGAGAGGGCGGTGGGCAAGTAGGCTTTCGGCGCTGACAGACACGGATGGGTGGAAGTGCGCTAGGGAGGGGAGAATCTCCCAGAGGCAGGCGTTGGCGGCGTTGGCGTGCAGGGCGTCGCGTTTGTGCGCATCGTATGTAGATGTGCTTTTCGATGCCGCATCTGCGGCTGGAGGGTGCCTTGAAGGGGTGTCCGGGTCGGTTGCCGTGGCGGCGGGGCGGTCTTCGTCCTCGTCCGCAGAAGGCACGTCGCGGAAGACTTCGACGTCGTCTTCTTCGTGGTCCTCAGGCTCGTCGATTAGACTTTTAAGGCTGGGAAAGGTCTTGACCAGATCCTGGATGAGGAAGAACGCGCCGCAGATGAAGCTCGGCTCGTGGAGGGTAAGCACCTGGGTGAGTCTCTTGATGAAGGCCCTGACTCTGTTGATATGGAGATCCGCTTTGAGGGCCCGGTGGAGCAGGTTCAAGTAGAGTTGCTGTTTCGAAGCGATAATAAGTCGGGGGTCCAGAAGGGATTCGTAAAGGACGCGGTAGAAGCGATCACTCGAAGCTTTGTGTTGACTGGCCTGGGAGATCTGCTGAATGAGCAGCAGTGATTGAATGGACGTGTTGAAGTTGGCCGAGTGAGTCACTTTGAATAGCGTGTCGAGGTGGTCGGAGAAAGCACTGTTGCTGGTCCCAGAACTGGTGCTGGTATATGGATATGCTCGATTGACACCAGTGAGGATTGCGGAGATGAGCTTGTCGCGCAGTTCTTCGGCTTGAGCCTGGCCCGGCGCCGGTTGGGAGTTCTTGTTCTTGTTCTTGTTCTTCTTCCTGCGCTGTTCTCCTCGTGACTGAGGCTCCTGGACGGTCTCCTCTTTCGGAGCAGTCTCCTTGTCAGTTTTCAACAGCCCCGTAAAGAGGCCAAAGTAGATGTCAAGCAGTTTGACCGCCACATCCTCTTCTTTCGCACTCAACGCTGTTTGATTGAGCGTGACCACTGCGTAGTATTTACCATGCAGGCTCTGACCGGGCCGGAAGATGAAGTCGGACTCGATCGCCGAGACAACCACCATTTTCATGGCGGGATGGGCAATCAACAGCTGCATCAACAGGTAAGATGCCTGAGACGCGATCTTCTTGACAGGGTCTCCCAGCTTGTTGACCAGCAGACGAAGCAGGTTTGACTCCTGTTCGGGTCGTTCCTTGAGCAGCTCGTAAACGTAGCTGAGCGCTCTCGCCTTGGAAAACTCAATCTCGTCGTTGCACCATACCTCAAGAATCTTCAGAACCTCAAAGTATTGCTCTTTCAGCCAGCTCTCGAAAGCCCAGACAACGAGGCGTCTCTGCTCGAGACCGCCCGGTAATTGCTGCCCTTTCTTCCAATTCCTAGTGTCCCGAAAGAAATATACAAGCGTCGGCTGTGCCTGGAATGCATAAAGCTTCCTAGACGAAGGGAGCAGGGAGCCTTGGGCGAACAGGTCCTTCAACGCTCGAAGCACGTCAACTGCTTGGGAGCGACTTCTCTTGCCCGCAAGACCGATCAACGTCTCAAGCGCTTTGACATTGTGGATGGGCGATTCTTGTACCGCCAAAGTCAGAGCCGAGATCTTGTCGGACAATGTTCCCGACGTGATGACGGTGTTGTAGAACGACTGTGCAGACGACGACTGCTGAGAATCTTTGAACTTCGAGTTCTCTTCATCGAGCAGAGTTTTAGCATAATCATGGAGCTGATCAATGGAGTCCTTGGAGATGGTGTATTTGGGCGATGTCTCTGTGTCGACGTCCGGGTCCGAGAGGTCAAACCACTCTGGCTTTGGTTCGCACAAGAACTGCGTCTGGCTCTTCCTACCCTTCTTCGTCTGTTCTGGTTTCTGATCTGGCGTCGGTATGGACTTGTCGACCGGTTCGGGAGCCCCATTGTCATCGTCCGGGCCGTCTTCTTCAGCCTCACTCATAATTTCATCGTCGCCCTCAACCTCTCCTTGAGCAAGAGCAATCTCTTTCAAGATATTCTTCATTCCCTTATCCAGGCTTTCCAAGGCTTTGTTTGGGACGTCGCCCTCCAGTTCTGACTCCGAGTCCGCGCCCGCAAGCAGGTCCAAGTCCTCCGCGGTGCCACCTAGACTCTTCATCTCTTGGGCCAGAACATCTTCGTCGGAGTTCGCATCTGAGGCAGCGCCGTCTCGCTCAGAAGACTTCTTGTTCTGATTGAGGATCTTGCCATTTCGATCCCGTTTCTTCCCCCGCTCCGTCCCCGGCGCGTCGGTGTTCTCACTCTTTTTTGGTTCCTTCAGAAGTTTCTTAGTTCCCACTCCTTTTTTATCAGGTATCTTGGCAGCATCAGACTCGCGGAGGTACCGTCGCTGGATTGTCTTGCGCAAATCCTGAACGACTTCATCTTTCGACTCGCCGGTGGATTTCGAAGGCTTCGAGCGAGAGTTGTTCGGCTTGACAGCATTGGCGCCACTGGCGGCCGTCTTCGGTCTCAACATCGAGCCCTCCGTTCTCTCTTGGTCAATATTCACAAGTTCCCAGCAACGAGCTGCACGCAGTGGAGCCGCAGAAATCCTCCCAAAAATCTCGCGAGCGTCGGCCGCTTATCGGGCGGATTTAGAGAACACCAAGAATTATTATCTCCGCTCGACCTCAGCAGCAGCAGCAGCACCACTACCACCACCACCACCAGCAAGCGACAGCCTCGTTTCTCAGTCGCGGCAGTATTTCTCCCTGTACGAGGACGACACGGCTACTCCGTAATACATACCTACGCACACCGCTACTTGGTGGCAGCGCGACGCGTAATCGACGTACAGTTAATAGACCAGACTTCCGTTCCCACCTCGCTTTCCTTCTTCTTGAGTACCCCCCGTTCGCAAGAAGCATCGCCCCAAAAGGGCACCGCCAATATCACGCCCCAAAAGAGCACCGCCAATATCACGCCCCGTCGCATTGATGTTGCGCCTACTAGTCATATCCCCTTTCGTTCTCCTCGTATCACCAGTCCTCGCCGAGTCGTCCGTAGCATTGGCATACAACACGGCATCAAGACCAACAACCACTTCCCCATCCTCCATATATGCAGTCCCTGAAGTCCAACCGACACACGCTCCAATCACGCCGCTGGGCTGCTACAGCGATGCTGACCCCCTCGAGTCTCAAGGCGATTACGTATTCCAGACGACAGGACACTGTCTCCTCGTCTGCCGGCGGTTGGAGAAGGCCGTCATGGCCACGACCGGCGGGACGACATGTTATTGCGGGGACGACTTTCCGGCGCTGGATGCCGAGGTCGACATGCGGCATTGCAACGTCTCTTGCGCGGGATATGGCTTGCAGACGTGTGGTGGGGTCGGGTTCTGGCAGGTCTATCTTGTTGGATCGAGGGACGTGAATCTCAGGCAGCAGGGCCAGCAGGGCCAGCTAAGAACTGCTGCGTTGAGAACGTTGGTGCCAGTGTCATGAGCTGACGGTACGCGTTACGTGCTACTTGTGTGGGATGTCTTTTTATGACTACCTAGGTATGGGGTACCGAGTATGACGAGGCACTACGTTGGGATAAAATGCTTTGAAAGAAACACGTCGTATCGCATCGCAACGCATCCGTTGCATTTGAAGTTAATATATTGATTTCTTCACGTTGGAGCTTAGCCACACCCTCCTGTAGGTCCTACACCGGATTTACTGCAGTGACGAATTCCTAACGCCTCCATCAAACGGACATATCTCCATTCTCGTCGCTCGCTTGGCTCTACCACTCTTTCTAGCCGCTGTCGCTTAGAGGACCAGCGCCGTATGAAGAAGGCCAGTCACGCCCGCTCGGATTCTTATGAACCTTCCACATGCTAGCCATACCTTGGTAGTAGGGGAAGTCATTGCTGCCTTGCTGAGAGCAGCCGTAGAAGTCGCCAAAGTATTGGTAGACGCGGGTGAGGGGCCGGCTGTACACATAGTTCATGAGGACTGTGTTCATGGATTAGTGAAGGTCAATTACTATTGATTGGAATTGTTGGTGTCGGCCGGCTTGTTGGCCAGACGAGCTGTCGCACCTCGATCGTCGAGATAATCTACAACTGAGGCCTTGCCACCAACATTGGAGAGGACATAGCCGCCAGTGAAGTATGGCAGCAGGTTGACATCGTAACCCCGGGAGGTTCTTGGACAGGCGATTCCGTCGACTTTGATCCCATAGGAGTGGTGTAGTTCCCGAGAGAAAGTGTGCGTGATCAAGGCCATTGGCTCCAGCTGGTTTGCTGAGGTGTTCTCTTTACCAAGGATGAGGGGCGTGTAGTAGTCGCAGATGGTCGTATCATTGGGACGCAGGGCGCCAACAACGCCCAAGGCTGCGAGAAGGAAATATCCTGAAAAGACATGTTGGACGGCATGCTAGCAGATGTTCCCGCTTCGAAAGCACTTCTGTTGCTTGGTTTGAAAAGAGGCCAACTCGCTGGAGAAGAGAACTGCAGCTCCTCCCGGCGGAGCTCGAAATCTTGAATGCTGACAGCTCGACCGCCATCATCCACATACCGTTCTTTGTCTCGGGTAATTGGGTGTTAGGAAGTTGTCCCATACAAGCAGAGTGACCGGGTTAAGAACACACCAATTCAGAAGGGTCTATCTGGGAGCAACTTGGTTTGAGGGCAGCGCAAAAATTGCCATGGCTCTCAATGCCTAATTTCAGCTCATACAACGTTTCCAGAACCAGATATTAATGCAAATAATCCAGGTCAGGGCAGCAGCAGGCGACAATCCAAACCTACCAGCTGCAGATCGGTGCATCTCTGTAGGCTGTGAGGCGCGCAGTTTGAGATAACGTGTCCTGCATTAGCCTTGACGTGGGTGTGAAACCGATACTCCCAGCTCGCGAAATGCCAATGAGGATGGTATAGCACGGTCTATGGGTATGGGAATTCGGTATGTCGCCACCTATCACAGCGACGGGCTCGTTGCTGATAGATGCCATGGCACGGCTTCATTCGCTTCGGCCACGATTCACATGAGGAGGTGCTTCTCAGTCAGATGCAGGAGCTCACATGAAGAATGCGACAAGGACTGCGATTGTGGTAGCTGCTGGATTGTGCTCGAGGGGAGGAAGTGAGAAGGGAGTGAGAAGGAAGTGAGGACGAAAGAAAGCAGAGCAGGGCAGCGTCGAGCTTCGTCTTCGGTCGCGTCGCCTTGTCGTGGCCGAGATTCGGCGCGTCTGATTAGTCAGAAATGGGAGCCCCAAAAGCCCGAGGCGAGGCTCCTCAGGCTCCCCAGCCGCAGTGTCTCCCCTTTGTTCATTCTGCTCTTTGGCTGTCGAGAACGGCTTGTGTTTGTCGGGATATCTCAGCAGCAGCCTGTCAGATCGAGATTTCTGTTCTGAATTCCTGCTTTCTCATTCCTGAATGAAGCCTCGAGTTGGATGTTGGCCGAGGCGAAGGGCTGTCTGGCGGCCCTCTTCATTGCGCCTATTAGGAGCTCGCCACACCCACAACGATTCGAGACAGCGGATATCTGACTTCTGGATACCAACAGTCAATGTTCAAAAGCAAGATGCAGCTACAGACGCGACCCAGCTGCTCATACGCGCGGGCTTTCTGCGGCAAGCGTATGCTGGTATCTTCCAGATGCTACCGCTGGGCCTTCGAGTACAGGAAAAACTGGAGCGATTGATCGACAAACACATGAGATCGGTCAAAGCTTCCAAGGTCTCCTTGTCGTCTATCTCGTCGCAGGCACTGTGGGAGAAATCCGGGCGCTTGAAGGCGGGCGGCGAAATGTTCACCTTTCAAGACCGGAAGGATGTAGGATGGCTACTGGCCCCGACGCATGAAGAAGAGATCACCAACTTGCTTGCCGAACTCATCCATACACCGCAACAACTGCCCATTCGACTCTATCAAATCAGCAGGAAGTATCGTGACGAGAAACGACCCCGTGGCGGACTGCTGCGCGGGCGCGAATTTCTAATGAAAGATCTGTACACGTTCGACCACAACCCCGAAGCAGCGCATATAACATACGACGAGATCCGAAATGCGTACCGCAGCTTTCTCGACGAGCTCAAGATCAAGTACATCGAAGCAAGAGCCACCTCGGGCGATATGGGTGGCAACCTCAGCCATGAATATCACTTTCCCAATTTCGCCGGAGAGGACACCGTCATCACGTGCTCAGACTGTGACTACGCACGCAACGAAGAATTTGTCTCACAGCTGCCATACAAGCGTGAACTGTTCAACAACGTTGAAGACTTCCTGCAGAATTACTCCGGCCAAGGCGAGATTCCAGGCGGGTTTCTCCAGGAAGACTTTCTCAGCACAGATCGGCTGAGTCTCGTTCGCGTTATTACTGCCAAAGCCTTTGAGCGGGCTTCATCCCGCGAGATCGCTACACGCACCGTAAACCCCTATGCTGTCAAAGCGGCCTTGAACGGCATATTGGATATCGACACAGGGGTCGAGGATCCCTTGGATCACTTCAAGGAATCACTGAGTGACCATCTGGGCCACGATGGTTCGAAGCAGCGGTCGGTGTATTACGTCCTCGACTCGACTGTCCCTGCTGGGCTGGTTCCTCGCTCCTCTGTCTCCGAGTTCCTGGATGCTCAAGTCAACCATTACGCCGTCCGAGCACCACAGAACGCGCGAATGGGTGCAAATAGCTTGTTGAAGCGAGAATCTGGCGACCCTTGCCCGCAATGCAAAGCCGGCACCCTGAGCATCGACAAAGCCATTGAAATCGGCCACACTTTCCACCTGGGAACACGTTATAGCTCGAAACTTGGCCTTGCTACTAAGCAGGAAGGCGGCAAACAATCTACGCCTGTGGAGATGGGCTGCCACGGAATCGGCGTGTCTCGACTGATTGCAGCTACGGCATCCTGCCTTTCTGACGAAGTTGGACTCAATTGGCCGAGGGCTATTGCGCCGTTCGAAGCTGTCATCGTTGTCCAACCGTCGCAGGACCAAAGACTGCAAGCTGCAGAGTGCCTTTATGATCAGCTGTCCGCGACCAATCTGGGTGGCGTGGATGCCATACTCGATGACCGGAATCAGGGCACGGGCTGGAAACTAAAAGACGCCGACATGATTGGGTATCCTGTTATCGTGGTGATTGGGAAGGCCTTCGACAAGGGCAAAGTGGAGGTCCAGTGCCGGCGGTTGAAGGTAAAGCAGGAGGTCGACATCGAAAGCACACATGACTTTGTGCATCGTCTGTTGAAGCAACTGTGAGCCGGTGTGGAAGCTGAAGGCATGTATTGTACGATACGGTATTCTAAGATATCCCTCTCCCAGCTTGTATACCACAATCCACATCCCAATAGAAGAGCTTTTATCCAAGCAGGGGTTTGAGACCTGCCGCGAGTATAAGCGACCGGCAGATGTGATGGTGCTTCTAGATGACAATATGAGCACAAGGTACTGACCTCGTAGGACATAAGTCTTGTCAGCTACAGTAGGATGTCCCCTCGAAACGTACCGCAGCTCAGCCTCGCACTCCAAACAAGGCTGAATATTTTCCCTTCCCCTCACCACTCATGAGAAAACAGAGACGAGCACTCGTGTTGTGTTGTGTACACAGTACACCAACTCTTCTTAACATTGTACGTCGTGCGTTCGTCGTCTATCGCTTGTCATCCTTGGCAATCCAAGACCATCCCCCCATAGTGTGACCCTTCGCCTCGCAAAGAGCACCCTCACTTCGATTTCACGTTCCCGCCCCGGAGCTTAATCCCAAGCCACAAGCCAGCTACTCAGCACATACCCAACATACTGTGTACTACAGTACTCTCACAACCCACTTGGCAAACGATGTCTCAGTCCGGTCAAGGAGCTGGCGGCGGCGGCAGCGGCGGAGGAGGAGGAGGAGGAGTCGACATTTCAACCCTCTCGGTCCAACAAATCTCCGCCCTCCAAGCCCGCCTGTCCCAGGAACTCGAACACCTAAGCACGTCGTACCAACGTCTGCGCGCCGCTCAGGCCCGCTTTCGAGACTGCATCAAGAGCATACAAGACGGAGTGGAGGGTAAGAGCGGAGGTACGTCAATTGCGCTGCGCTGCGCTGCGCTGCGCTGCCCCGCCCATTTGGCAAGTGATTTGGAGGAAAAGGAAATAATTACGTTATGTCCCTCTCACTCTCTCTCTCTCTGTGTATTGGTGCGTGGCCGGTGATCACCATCACGCTCCGCGGGTAGGATCGCGGATCACAACCAGAATACGTGATGGAAAGATGAGACGCGATAAAATCTTGAAAACAAAAATTAAATTCGTACATGCAAACAATGGAAGGTACTAACAGTTGTCCACCACCACCTAGGAACACCTCTCCTCATTCCGCTCACCACGTCGCTATATATTCCCGGGACGCTGGCTCCGACGTCGTCCACCGGTGCGGGCGCGAGTTCCGGTTCCAGTCCCTCTTCCTCAGCAAGCCTCCTAGTCGACGTTGGGACGGGGTTTTTCGTGGAAAAGACACCGAGGGATGGTATCAAGTTCTATGAGCGCAAGATCGACGAGCTGGCGAAGAACCTGGCGGATATCGAAAAGGTGGTGACGGGGAAGAGCGAGAATTTGAGGATCATCGAGGACGTACTCAGGCGGAAGATGGTCGAGGAGCAGCCTAGGCAGTTTGGTGCCGGTGGGGGGAGCACCAACCCTGTGGCGGCGGCGGCGGCGGCTGGGGGAGGATAAGGAAGGATTGCGTGGCTTGGCGGAGAGGAGCAATGCCATCGCGCGGCAGAGGTTAGCATGGCATGGCATGGCGTGCCCGGGAGGAGAGCTATGATATGGCACTGGGAGGAAGGGAGTTCTGCTATTGCATGCACCCGCACGCGCGTACGTACGTGCACTAATGGCACTCTCTCGCTGGTAACTCCACCCAGGGCGGAAAGGAGCACACAGTATTACGGAGGTGCTCTGGCTATGGTCTGGCCATGTACGTCGTGAAGAGAGAGGCTCGGAAGAGCGCAGGCGCTGCTCTGGGCGCTGCTCTGCGCTCCTCTGCTCCGTCGTCGTCATGTCGTATTTGTGATGCTCGTCGTGGGCAACGCTCTGTCGTCGCCTAGATCCCCTGTTGAGCTAGCTGGTTGCTCTCTCTCGATACGGACTTGGTTCAGGGTCATTTCTCAACCTCTCTCCCCTACGCCTTTTGCGCCGGGCAAAACACCCCATCCCGCCCTCCTTGCGTTCGTTCATCTCACGCGCCATTTGTATGCCCATGCTCAGTCGCCTTTCCCGTTCCCTTCCTATTGGTAAGACGATTAATCGCCTCGGCCAACAGGTCCTGGATCTCCTCGACCTCGTTCATGAAGTTCTTGAACCCCATAGGCAGGGCTGTCCACTGATCACCGCTTTCGGGGAAGAAGGTTGCGACTGACTTGGCCCACTTGACGTCCTCGCCGGGTCTGATGTTGGCGAACTCGCCCATCAGATTGTCCCATTCAGGATAGTAGTAAAGGGCGTGCCAACGTGTCTCGAGAGGACTATTATTCTCCGTACCAGGGCGTAAGTCGTAGGTGTCTTTACGGCGCAACTCAAAGACCCCGTCGGTGTTCTTGAAACGGTATTTTAGGAAGGTGAGCTCCGAGACAAACTGTAAGCCTCGCTCCTGGGGGTGCTTGACACGGCGACGTGGCAGAGACTTGATGCCGTTTGGAGGTCGTTCCGTGGTTATATTTGCCTGGAACGCTTGGATCTGAGCCTTTCGGAGCTTGTCGATCCCAAGTGGGAAGGCGTCAATCGTGACTTGGTAATCTAGTCGGTCAAAGTTCAGATGGCTGACTTGTAGTTTCGAGACCATCTCGCTGATTTCCACCCAGCGCTTCTCGCGGTTCTCGGTTTCATTCGCGTCCATTGGGGTGAAGACGGTTTCGAGTCGAAGGGTCGAATTGCTGGTCGTACCAGGGAAGTCAAAGAATGCGGCATAATATTCAGTAGGGTCGGAGAAGGCTTCCATTTCCTCGAGAACGTCTGGCAGCTCAGCTACCTCGCCTTGGCGGATGGGAAGGCCGTTCAGCGTTAACTTGATGCGCTCCTTGGTCACCATGGTGTAGAAATCCTCGAAGCTGTAGGTCTCGGCGCCGGCAGCGGGTTTCTGGAAGAGCACGAATCCCAATTCGCCAAAGACGAACCTCATTCGGCAATGCTGCTGAGACACCCGGAGCTTCTTGATGGCTGCGTCGATGGTTTTCTTGATCTTTTTGTAATTGCTGAGCTGGACCTGCCGGCGATCCTTGCTCAACTGTTCTTTGTCCGCTGCAGGTTTGCCGTGCAGAGTAGGCAGGTAGCTTTTACTTCTGGGATCGAGATCCAAGAGGCCCACTCTGTCTCGGTAGATGTCAAAGTCTGGAATATGGACCATGTTGACCGTGGACAGTTGGTCTCTACGGGAAATGGTCTCCTTGATCAAATTGATCATTCTCTCCTTGAGGGAAGCAGCGTCGACCTGGGATTCTGCCGCGATTGTGATGTGCTTGATAGTGGTGTGTTCAACGTTAGAACTTGGGAAGCTGATTCGGCAACTGAAGTAGCTTCTGAAATGATCGATAGCTTCAGCGTTAGTGCTCTCAAACTCCCCAATGTCCAGTTCCTTCGGCCAGAGCAAGACGACTTCGACGGGGTACTTGATTTCCGTTTCCTGCCTAAGATTCTTGAGATACTTCTCTCTGTTTTGTCGCTCCTCACGGTGCTCGGCTCGGCCGTCAAGTGCCTTTTCTTTGTGCCAGGCCGCAGTTCTTGCCGCTGTAGCTGAGTCACGCACATCTTGTTCCCATTTGGTCAATTGGTCTTTAGCCTCTGTTACTCGATCATCCTTGCCCCAGATGAAAATGACCTGGTCGTGACTGTCAGGTTCTCTGATGAACGTCTCGGTCTCACGCATGGTCAGTCTCAACACCTGCTTCGGCTGGGGTTGAGCCGCCCTGTCGATTCTCAATGCCATCGTCACTAGAACTTTCCAGGCTGGAGAGAGGAGCTGGTACACGCCGTCGGGTGGTAGGCCGTTCTCCGCTCGAAGTTCTGCCGCGGTTATGTTTGCAAAGCGCTGTGGGACTGGTTGCCTTGGTCGGACTGGGGCGTTTCTGGGTTGACCAAATCGCGCCGGTTGCTGGGGGCCGCGATTTGGTGCTGGTAACACGCCATTCTGACGCCGACCAGGGAAGCCTCCTCGTGGACCTGGAACACCGCGGCCACCGGCCGGTGGGTAGAAATCGGCTGCGCGCGGAGCTGTCCCTTGATAGAGGACTTCGGACGCTGCATAAGAAAAGATCGACCCGCCTTCCAAACTCACCACCTCCCAGCCTGTGAAAAGTTTAGTCTCGGTTTATTTTGGGAGCGACCAAAGATCGGCTGAGATGACAATGAGATGGACACGCACGTTCAAGATCGAGGTCATCGGCCTCATGGCTAGATCGAGAAGTTAGTGTGCAAAATAACGACGAAGGCGAGACAGACTTACTCGGACATCGTGATGGGTGTGAGATCGTCTCAGAGAAGAGTGATGTGAACTCCTTACCAAGACCTTGGCAATGATGTCGTTGCCAGCAACAAGCCAAGACTTAGGCAAAGATAGGTGGCACAGAAGAAGAAGTAACGAAGATGAGAAGTCTCCTCAGAAAATCGAAGGAGAATATAAAGTCGGAGAAAGATTGCGCAGGACGTGACAGAGTCTGATACCCAGCCAAACTGTCGCAAACGCCAGTGACAAAAGATCTAAGCTCCTGCGGTAGCGACGCTCAATGGGTAACGTCGATCTGAAAGCGTCAGAGTCGGTTGGTGACGACTAAGCAGACTGAAAGGAGTTTGACGGTTCCGTCCCAAACCTATTGACAAGCCCGGCCCGTAGTGTTCGAATCAGATTTTGTGACCAAAGAGTCTGAAAGAGAGATCCTCGAAATACTGATTATCAAGGCGACTGCGTATTGCAAGTCCTCCATGCTCGTGCAGTCCACAAATGTGTGCGAACAGGACAAGATCAATGGTGCGTCGACTGCATGTGGGATTCAAGACTGTTCATCCGTAGCAAAGATCATTCCAGGTATAGATCCGTTTATATCATGCCAGATCCGCTCCTACCTGCTTGACTCCTTCACCAATGTCACCGTGATCATCACCGCCGGAATAATGCGAGAATAGAGTGGAAGTGACAAAAACGTGAATGTCGGCAATCGTCGGTAAGGCCGATACCAAGACCTTGCTAACTCAAAATGGCTATATTGCTGCTTAGCTAACACGCGTCCTCTCGCGTTTACGCGTTGTGTAACGAAATTCCAATTCTGAACACTTCTGTTCAGAAAGAATACACGACAGGCACACGCGACCGAACAAAATGCCGTTAACAATAGCGAAGACGACGCCGGTCAAGCAGAAAGCGTATCTAACAAAAGGTGGCCTGAGACGCGAAGACTCAGACGATGAACTCGGATATGAAGATCATCCCTGGCATTGGATATACGAGGAGGATGAGAAGAGCCTGGGAGACCAGAGACCACCGTCCAAGAAAAGGAAAGCTAGCGCTATCGAAGGGAAGAAGAAGCCCATAGGAGCCCGCATGGGTTCATTTTCCGTCCGGGTAGGGGATTCGGTGTTGTTGAAATCGCCAGAGCAGGGGAAAGACTGGGTCGGACTCGCCTGCGACTTCTCCGACAAGAACGAAGATGGAGAGGAAGAGATGTGTGTGCACATCCAGTGGTTCTGTACGCCTGAAGAGCTGATGTCCGGCAAACGATCCAAGCTCCCTGATGTACTGCCCAACGAATCCTATATTACCGCAGATTTCAACCTAAATCCGCTGACCGCGATAAATGGGAGAGCGACTGTTTTGTCGAAGGATGCCTTTCTTCAAACATATCCCGGCGGTCAGCCGCCAAAATCGAAGGCTGCGGCGAATCGCTATGCGAAGACCATCTTGTGCCGCCGTGGGGTCAAGCAAAGGACGCTCCAATTTACTGAGGACTTCGTATGGGAGGAGATCTTCACGGGACCCGAGAGTATCCTAGACTTGGTGGACTGGATCAAGGAGCAGACGAAACTGAAGAACAGAAAGCCACCTAAGAAGGAGGACCTCGAATACGAGCAAAAAGGGGAGATGACAGATGATCTACCTCGAACACCGTCGAAGAAGAGGAAGGCCACTACCACGGTTTCCACTCCCAAATCTTCCGCAAAGGCATCCAAATATACTACACCAACGCATAAGCGGATCATGATCAAAAAGCCAATCGACATAACGCCGCTGGGGACTCGAATTCTTTCTCCCTCCCAGTACATGTCGACTCCGTACTCGCACGCACGCGCAACACTGCATGTCTCGGCCGTTCCCGCGTCTTTACCCTGTCGGTCCAACGAGTTCAGCTCGGTCTACTCTCATCTTTACTCTGCCATTGTAGACGGTTCCGGAGCCTGTATCTACATCTCAGGGACGCCTGGGACGGGCAAGACAGCCACAGTTCGCGAGGTGGTTGCATCACTCCATCAGGCGGTGCTGAACGAAGAGCTCGACGACTTCAACTTCGTCGAAATCAACGGCATGAAAGTCACCGAACCACACCAATCATATTCTCTGCTATGGGAGGCGCTGAAGGGCGACCGTGTCAGTCCGCACCACGCCCTCAGCCTCTTGGAGCAGGAATTCTCACACCCATCTCCACGCCGTATCCCGTGCGTCGTGTTGATGGATGAACTCGATCAGCTAGTCACCAAGAACCAAAGTGTCATGTACAACTTCTTCAACTGGCCGGCAATGAGACATTCCAAACTCATCGTCCTCGCAGTTGCAAACACGATGGATCTGCCGGAGAGGACGCTATCCAACAAGATCAGCTCCCGCCTAGGTCTCACAAGAATCACATTTCCAGGTTACACGCATACGCAGCTGATGGAGATTATAACCTCGAGGCTGGAAGGCGTGCCGGGCAACATTGTCGACAAGGATGCAGTCCAGTTCGCCAGCCGGAAAGTTGCAGCCGTGTCCGGCGACGCGAGACGCGCACTCGACATCTGTCGTCGAGCGGTCGAAATCGCAGAGCAGGCTCAAGAGAAACAGCACGCAATTACTACGGACGACGAGGACGTGTTGGCAACTACCCCGAGTCGTAGAGGCAGGAAGGCTTCGAAGCTCGCGTCCAAAGACAAGAACAACGACAATGATAACGAGAATGACGAGAAGCAAAAGCCTCCCAGGCAATTGGCAAGCGTGACCATTGCCACCATCAAACAGGCCATCAACGAAGCAACGTCTTCACCTATCGCACAGCACCTCCGCTCCCTGTCCCTGGCTTGCAAACTCTTTCTTGCTGCGATGCTTGCACGCAGCCGCCGCACAGGCGTTGCGGAATGCACCCTCGGCGACATCACCATCGAAGCCAAACGCATTGCCGATGTTGCTGAAAATAGCGCGATACACGATTTCCTGCTGCTCGTAAATGACAACTCGGGGCGGAACACCTCCACGGCCGTCATGCCCCGTATCTTGGCTCTGGGCGGCGCAGCCATGGAGCTGGTGGAGGCCGGCATCATTGCCATGGAAGCGAGAGCAAAGGGCGAAAGAGCAGGGAAGGTCAGATTGAGAGTAGGAGAAGAAGAGGTGAAAAACGCACTCATCGGCGATGCTGAGGTCAAAGGCCTGGGATTCAACGCCTGACGACGATGGCGATGTGGATCGATTCGTTACCTATCGACATGCATGGCCCTCCAACTGTCACACGACCCGCACGGAGACGCACCGTACCGCCACAGATATATACATATAGCAGCTTCAGACCTTGATCAGCATCTTCAGCGCGTCGTGCTGCGCGGCGGCCTTAAACGTCGTGTACGCCTGTGCCATGTCCGTGAACGAAAACTCGTGCGTGATCAACTGTCCCGGCTGAATGCCGCCCGAGGCAAAGAGCTTCAACAACATGGGCGTGGTGACCGTGTCGACCAGCCTCGTCGTCAGCGACATGTTCTGCGCCCACAACTTCTCGATCTTCAACACGCAACTCTTCCCATGCACGCCGACGTTGGCGACCGTGCCGCCGGGCGCGACGAGATCCTGCGCCATCTCCAACGTCTCGGCCACGCCCACCGCCTCCATGACGGTGTCGCAGCCGACATTGTCGGTGAGTTTCATCACCACTTCCAGCGGATCGGTCTCGGCGCTGTTGACGGTGTGGTTCGCGCCGAGCCTCTTCGCGACCTTCAACCGGCTGGGGTCCCGATCGATCATGATGACCACACTGGGCGAGTACAGCTTCGAGGTCATCAGCGCGGCCAGGCCGACGGGACCGGACCCAACGATCGCGACCGTCGACCCAGGCTGGACCTTGCCGTTCTGCACGCCACATTCCAGCCCCGTCGGGAAGATGTCGGACAGCATGACCAGGGCCTTTTCGTCAACACCCTTGGGCACGTGGTGGAGCCCGCTGTCCGCGAACGGGATTCGGACGTACTCGGCCTGGGTGCCGTCGATGGTGTGCCCGAGGATCCAGCCCCCGTTGACGCAGTGGCTATGCATCCCGCGCCGACAGTAACTGCACGTCGCGCAGCTGGAGATGCAATTGATGAGCACATGGTCGCCCTTTTTGAAGCGAGCTACGCCCGAGCCGGGCTCTTCAACGACGCCCACGCCTGTCCTCGTGGTCAGCTGGTTTCACGTTTGCGCCTAATGGGTTTCCTGCGCGTTAAGCGGGAAGGAAGCAGGGGCAAAGGGTACAAGAATCCGACCTTCATGTCCAAGGATCGTGCCTGGTTTGCACGTCGGCACATCGCCGTGCAGGATGTGCGTGTCCGTCCCGCATATCGTCGTGAACACCACTGTAGCATGAGACCGTTAGCTAACCGCGACGCTTCAACCTCAAGCCCGAGCTCACTCCCAGTGACAAAGAGGAGAGCTGAGAAAACGCCGAGCATACCTTTCACGATCGCATCCGACGGGTCCTTGATCTTTGGCACTGGGCGGTCTTCAAGCCCACACTTGCCATTCCCTTGGTACACGAGGGCTTTCATGTTGAAGAACCTGGATCCAAACCTCACGGAATTGAGATTGACGTTGACTCTGACGTTGCCAATCTGGCTGCGGCTAGCCCGAGATACTGATACTCGAGGACATGTAAGTAATGCCCACATCGATAGGGCAGCTTCTGGAGCAAGGTAGCTAGCTATTAACTATTTATGCGCATGGGAGGCAGGGCAAGCGACCGCTCTGTCACCCTCCTCGGGACTCGGTCGTCAGGAAAGCATGCTTCCTTTATTTTGTGTTGTCTGTATGCAAAGTCAGGCCTGCACTATTGGTCTCATGAGTCTCACACCACCACTTGTACACGAGGTGAGCATCTCATGATTGGCGTTGGTGCTTGGAATGCGGAGCCGCAGAGAAGCAACATTTAGGCTTCCCCCGCTTTTGATGTTCGCCGCGATTGAGGAGCTCAGTTAAAGTACTCCGGATCACGGAATGGGAAACGGGGAACGAGAGACGAAATCATAGGCCAGATCACAGGATCGGAAGAAGGGGTTCAGTAAGTAAGCTGTCGAGCAATACTCTGAATCGATGGATATATAGGGGGAAAGTCAGCCCCTTTCTGGGAAAAGCCTCGCACATTGTCTCTGCATGGTCGAGAGCCTAGGAGCTTATCCTTCCATATGCATGTCCATTGACCCCATTGACCCCGTTGGTGCTCTCTTCCAATGCCATCGCCTGGTCCCTGACGGCACGGTAATCCTCCTGTGCCTCCCTCTCCCGTCTCATGACAAAGTTGACCTCATCCCTCAGCCTCTCGAGCCTCCTGGCCAAAGCACCTTCTTCGCTGATTTGGAGCGTCTTAAAGCCATCCAACTGCGCCCTCTGCTCCTCGATCTGCGCATACACACTCGCGATCTTCTGTTTGAGTGTCTTTTGTCGAGCTTGATAGCCGCCCAAATGCAACTTGAGCTTGTCTTCGAGCTTTTGGCCGGCCGCCGCCGACGAGAGGAGGGTTTGCTGTGCGGTGCGAAAAGCAGAGAGGTATTCGGCAGGAGTTGTGCCAGGACGAAATTTGAGAGGAAGGGCGTTAAGCTCGGTTTCGGATGAGGTAAGGGAAGTGATGGACTCGACGTAGGATTGCCGCTCCGTTTCGTTGCATGCTTCTTTTAGTTGTTGGCGGGCCTGGGCGAGGAGGTCGTCCGGTAAGGAGTCCAATCGAGGAGGTTTCCCTAGGACTTTGGAGCCGGGCAGTGGAAATTTACGAGCGTCGTGAGCCATCAGCAAAGCTGCTTCTTGGGCGATCATTGCTCGAATAGGATCTGTGATAGATGTGGCTTCTGAGGCCAGGGAATTGTAGTCGATACTGACGGGTCGAGGTAGTGCTCGTTGGTACACCTGGGTTTGACGTTTGAACTCTGCCTTTTCTGCCGCTTCTCGTGCTTCGCGCTCCCGACGATCGATTTCTTCTTGGTCTTCCTGGGTGAAAGCGGATCCAGCTGCGGCCTCTTCTTGTTCAGAAGGTAGGACTTCAAGTTCCCATTCTGACTCTTTCGGCTTCGGCAATGAAGCAAGTTTGGCTCTCAATGAGTGTCGGGCCACATTTTCTGCGACGCGCATGTCTCGCGGAGTCTGTGGTACCAGTTGGCGTTCGCCTTTCTCGTTTATGATCAAGCCGTCACGTGGCGTGCGCAGTGGAGTGGCGCCAGGGAGATTACTTCCAGCTGCGGCCTGACGAAATGGTGTAGCCATTGGGTTGGGGGTGACCATTTCATTTCTGCGGGGAGCAATTCCATCGAAGCCGGTTGAGCTACTACCCTCATGTAGCGGGGTGTTTTCGCCGCCTAGTAATGAGGATTGCGTCTCGGTTAGAGCCCGGATGTTCCTGATCTCGTTCGCGATATGATCTTCCTGTGCAGGCGCTCGAGGGGTCCGAATAGGCGTAGCACCGACCATGTTCGAATATTGTGAGATCAATCCACGGTCGTCTCCATCGTCCTGGCCAGCAGCTTTGACCGCCCGGTCTCCAGCCATGCCCATCTTCACAATCTCCTCCAGCTCGCCTTCGCTGACTTGGGGTGCAGGTAGATTCAGTGCGCGGCGCTTGCTCTGCTGCTCCGCCTCACGCAACCGCTGCATTTGTCCAGCTCTTGCAGCAGCGGCCATGGCGGCCGAGTCTTTGCTCTTGTCTGGCTTCTGACGTTTTGCATCGACATTGTCTTCTGCATCCCCTTGTCGCTTTCTTGCCAGCTGTTGCTTGCGAGGATCGAACATTTCTCGCTCACGATCGTTCCGCGCCTCTTCTTCTAGTGTGTCGTGGAAACCGGAAGCAGCTTGCTTTTCAAAGGGGATATCTGCATTGTAGTCCATCTCGCCCTTCTTGCGGGTTGTGATCTTGATATTGATGCCTGCATTCTTGAGTTCCCGTCTCTTCTGCAGCACTGCCAATCTCCTTGATTCCTCGAGTTGTCGTTCACGGGCTTTCCGTTTCGCTTTTTTCCCCTGCGTGTTGGCCAGACGCGCTCGAGCCTCGCTAAGCATTTCCTTTTCATCTTCGTCCAGATCAATGGTATCGGGGCGTGCGGGCTTCGATTCTGGGTCTGGGTCAAGTTCGCCTGGGCGCAATCTTCGGACCTGATCTCCCGTGGGCGCAGCAGTTTCTCCGCCCTCCGGACCTCCAAGCCCCAGCTCGTCATTCTCACGGGCTTCGGCCTCGTCGAGCAGCTTCTGATAGCGTTCCAGACACTGCGTAGCAGTCCTTCCAACAATAGGCGCAATTGTTCGCCATTGTGTGGGCATCAACTTGGCCAGGTGTAACAACTTCTCGTCCTCTTCCTTGGACCACTCGATCTTGCGAATGCCCGGGTCCAGCCATTCTGTCCATCTTGCCTTGCATTGCTTGGGTGTCTTTCGCGCAAGTAACGATGAAACACGAGCCCACTGATTCAACCCATATTTGGATACCGAGGCCTTTAGGATTTCGTCTTCGATGTTGGTCCACACACCTCCTTTGACGACAGGCATTGCGACTGCACGAATATGGTGGTGGGTGATAGAGGTCGTGTGATGTCAGTATCGCAATGGTACGTGAGCGGGAGGTGAGTCGCGAGTGAATGAATTTTGGCGCAGGCAGATTGCCGACGGAACGGAAAATCTCTCCGCCGGTGGTGGACGCTCACTGACGCTCGACTGCTGTGACCGACTTCCAAGCCACATCACTGACTTACCAACTCACTTACTCGACCTGTTGGGCTGCGTGCTGGACAGCGTGAGGCATCACCTGCGTGGACGATCGACTCACCAGAAATATGCGACTCCTCGTATTGTTGTGAGGCTGTGAGACCGTCTCCGGCTACTTTTCCCTTCGATGCCAGCCCATTCGACTTCAGCATTCGCGAAATCTGGGCCTAGATCCCGTCACAGCTCAGCCTAACGCAGTCTGCCGCAGCTATATCAGACCGACAGGGCTCTGCCTCCAATCATGGCCATCCTTTTCCATCATGGTGTTCTTGGGCCTCGTGAAGAAGTCTTAGGTACTAATATGCCAGCTCTTTGGATCCGAGACGAGAATGGGGCTAAATCTGGACGCCCGCCAGTCCCTCAAGGTAGGTTGCTTTTTAATTCCCGCGTCTTTCTTCTTCCCGCCGTGCTCCTCTTTCTGCAGCCGCAAGTCAAGCCCACTCCTGGCGAACAACATGGCATCAAGCTATGAGAAGTTGGGGAGTCCGGCTGGGGCAGCCTCACCACTTCCTCAGTTGCCGCAAGGCTGGATGGTCATGCAAGATCCATCCGGCTCGGGCAAACCACTGTATTATAACACGGCGACGAGTCAGATCTCTTATACGCGGCCTGTTGTACGAGTCCTCCCTCCGGGATGGATCAAGTCGCAAACACCCGACGGCAAGACAATTTTCGTCCACCCAGAGACGCAGAGGTGCTCTCTAGACTGGCCTCAGGAAGCCCCAAAAGCGCATCCTCCACCAGTGCAGATGCCGCAGCTCAGCAGATACGCAACGGCACCAGGTATGGCAGCGGTTCAAGCCCAACCAGACCTCTTTCGCAGCCAGACTGTTCCTGGGCATATTCCACAGTCTCCACCACTAATCACCATGAGCATTAACGCCGAAGCAGCGAGGAAAGCCGTACCTGGCCTTGAAGAAGCCTACGCTGTTCACCAACTCTCTGAGAAGAACAATACTCGAACCCTCACACAGAAGTTCAACTCGGATCTCACACAGACCACATCTGCCATGAAAGAAGTTACTATTTCTGGCGCCGCCGTTGCGACGAGGTCGGCCAAAGTCGTCGGCCACACTCTTGTTAGCCGCCAGAAGATGGCAAAGGCGTCCAAGAAGGTGTTGGTTCATACAGGGGCCTTGGGTGTTAAGACAGGTCGGGCCGTCAAAGGTGTTATGAGCGAGATGGTTGACGCAGCAGATAAGAAGGGCAAATACCAGCCGAAAGTAAGGCCATTTGTTCCGTACGATGGTCAGCCACAGCTACAGGTCGCTGGGCAAATACACACCTACGAATATCAACAGCAGCAGCAGATTGACACAGCACAACCCCCAGCCACTCAGCCACTACCAGGTGACATGCCAGCAGCTGCTCCAGTACCCATTAAGATCCCAGTTCGAAAACCCGTGCGACCGCTATCGGTTTCTGTAAAGCCTTCTTTTTCAAACCAGACATCCATCAACCTGCAAGCATCATTCAATCCCAGCGTTGAGGTATCATCAACCACATCTGCAGGGACCCCGGCAGTCGCTCCTGCGCCTGGACATGTAGACCAGTCCGCCAACAGCGGAGTCACGCAAGAGAATGATGGATTGACTAACGCTCTGCCTGTTACTGCACAATCTCTCACACCACATCAAACATCTCATTCGACAGCCTCAGTTCAGGTGGTCCAAGCTCTCCAAGAGGAGGCAGCTATACCCGGCACCGTCCAAGTCCAACAACATCCTCCCCAGACCGTTCCTGCTCCGCCTTCTGCCGTTGCAGGCCTGCCAGGCTCGACTGGTGTGCAACCTGGTCAAACAGTCCAACTAAGCACAGCGGCACCCCAACAACTACCCACCCCATTCGTCTCCGTCCAGGCACAAGCTTCATTGACTATCGATGCTTCCATCAGCCCACCCTCCTACGCGCAAGCTACAGGCCAGCCAGCGAGCACTCCGGGAATGTCACGTCCGCCTAGAAGACCTCTCCCTCAAACAGCGACTACACGTCCACAGCGTCCCGTTGCTGGAAGGCCCTCGGGTAATCCAGCAGCAACCGTGGACCAACCTGGTGCAGCCCAATATTCCACATATCAGCCAGAGCAACCGATTTACCAGAGCCAGCAAGTCATATACGCTGATCAAGCCATGTATGCTTCATCCCAGCCAGTGACAAGCAATCCTCAGTCGGTGTTTATCGAGCAGAACCAGACCATTATCCAGCAGACCCCAGCCGAACAAGACCCCATGTTTGCCGCAACGCAGATGCAAATGGTTCAACAGAGTGCCACCGATCAACTACTCTTACAGCAACATGCCGACACCCAGAATATGATGCTTGCTCAGACACAGATGGTCTCAGCGCAGCAGCCTGTCTGTGTAGAGCAGACCGTTTACGTCGATCAGAGCCAATACGTGGACGTCTGCAGCGCGCAAGAGAATAACTTGACTGCGTACACTGACTACAGTGTCTCTGGCGAAGCTGTTACGTACACGGACGCAATGTATGGAGAAACCTACGGTACAGGCATGGCGGGTGAGGAAGTGGCGTATGTTGAGAAAAATGCTGCTGCTGAAGAATTCTATGAGGTGGAGTATCAGTTAGATGCGGTAGATGCCACGGGCACGGGCGACATGTACGAGGCCGACCTCGGGGGAGATGAGACTGAACTATGCGTCTGAATGCAAGCCAAGTTTGACATGGACATGCAGCTTACGGTACTAGAATGATCGGGGCCCTTGCGCGGACAACAAGCTCTACTGGGCGTGTTGCTGGCGATGGTAATCATCAGCTCCTGCATGGGCAGGGGACAAATGAACCTGAGTACTCGGTGTCAGTACATGCTCAGTACATTGGAAGGAGTGGAAATAGTTAGGCTGTGGGGTGGCACAGGGCGGCATCATACTATTCCCAAAACAATATCTCTTGGTGTTGCGGAGAAACTCCGGCTATCGAGGAATTTTTTGAAGCATGTCCTGCACTCAGTTACGTGCAATGCATTGAATACCGTCTTGGCTCCGTCCCTTACCATAGGTTCCCACGTTCTAAGACCACGATGTCGGCGTCTAAAACTGCGCCAGCACAACCGTCGCAGCCCTCCCGCAAGGGTAAGAAGGCATGGCGCAAACACGTCGACATCACGGCCGTGCAAGCCGGCCTCGAGACTCTCCGTGAAGAAATCATTCAACATGGACGACCCCTCGCTGAAAAGGCGCAAGGCGAAATCTTTGCGCTGGATACTGTCGGGTCATCAAAGGAAGAAGTGTCCAAGAAGGCGAAGGATGGCCACAAAATCAAAGTGCTGAAGATGGACGAGATCCTGGGACGGCGGAGTGCGGTGCCTGCGCTGCCAAGTGGGAAAAAGAGGCCCCTTGACGCTAGAATGACAGATGGAGTGGTTGCGACAAAGAGGCAGAAAACAGATTGGGTCAGCAAGAAGGAAGTTGCTCGCCTACGGAACAAGTTGGACAAGCCATCGCATCTCGATTTGGAGGATATCCACGGCGAGCCCTCGAATTTCGATCTCTGGGACACGACCGACAACGCCGTCCAACCCGCGTCCGCTTCGGCTTTGGCCTCTTCAGAAGACCAGCAAGGAAGCGAGTATATCCCCAGACCCAAGCCGAAGATTGCACCGCCCACCATTCGCCGTCCACCCATCGCCCTAACACAAAACGGCCTTCCCACGCACGCCGTGCCCACCCCGGATGCTGGTCATTCATACAATCCCTCTTTTGAGGACTGGGACACTCTGCTGACCCGTGAAGGGGAGCGTGAAATCCAGGCCGAGCAAAAACGTCTCGCCGAAGCACAACTGGCCGCTGAAAAGCAGGCGCGTATCGACGCTTTGGCCGCTCAACCAGAGCGCCAACCGGGCGATGACGGAGAAAGCGAATGGGAAGGCTTTGAGACGGAGCCTGAAGTTACCGAATCAGAAATGAGAAAGCGAAAACGACCCGAGCGGAAGACTCCCGCACAGAAGAACAAACTGAAACGCCGCAAAGAGGCGGAGCGGTTAGCCAAGCACGAAGCGAAAATGGGCGCTCAGCAAAAACGGGGCGAAGAGATCGTCAAAGCCCTCATCACCCGACAAGAGAAGGAGGAGCAGGGCGCCATACAAGCCGCAGAGCCTTCACGAGGAACATCAGCCTTGCGGAGAAAGACGACACTGGGGCCCTCGCGCGCTAGTATTCTCCCACCCCGATTAGAACTCGTCCTGCCAGATGAGTTACAAGACTCCCTTCGCCGCCTCAAACCCGAGGGAAACTTGTTGGAGGACCGTTTCCGCAACCTGCTGGTAAATGGGAAACTCGAAGCTCGAAAACCTGTGTCCTACGCCGCGAGTCGGAAGAAGCAAGTCAAGTTCACAGAGAAATGGTGGAGTAAGGATTTTGCAATTGGGGCTTGAGAGAGTAGTTATCGAATCTGACTGTGAAGTCCGCGGCACTGGGATGGATAGGAGCGGCATCGTCAAGAAACCTTCGCATGACTGAAACGTGGACGAAGGATGTTTGCATGAGGGCCATTGTCATGACTGGGAGACTCAACGTCTAGGTAGCAACTGTGTCTTGGTCTCAACGTAAAGCTGTGATTCCCGCTTGTACCGCTGCCTGTCTAGCCACCAGTCCTACCGGAATCCCGGTTGCTCATGGAGATGTGGTACATTGGTACGTATGCCGTTGATCACGTGCTGAGGGTTTCCAGTCCGCTTCTTCGCTCTCAATCCCTCATCGTCTGCCATTACACGAGATAAACTACGGAGTACAGACCTACAGTAGTCTGTTCGAACCTGCTGGCACTGTGCCGCTATCCGGCGGTGACTTGCTTGACTTTGGCCAATAACCTCGCAGCTGCACAATTCAGCCTGAGTTGATCCCGCTTCTCCTCTTCTCCTCTTCTCGTCACGTCCAAGGATCAAATGCCGGTCATGCTCCGACCGCATCGCGTCCTTTACCCCAGGATTTCGCAACTTATGCTGGCGCTATCCTACTTGTGCATGCGCGACCAAGCCAGAAAGCTTGACAAGGCAGAGACGCCTTATATTGCCGACTGGCTATGGAGCTCCGGCAGATTCTGCGCCGAATGAGACACGACACACCCGGTGACCTGCTCCAATGTACGCGAGAAGGCGGTGGACGTCAACACTGCTGTCCGTGGAAACAACTTTGAGAGCTCGCTTCTTCCCCACCATGGCTCCCGCATCTCCGGTCGAGCTGGAGTGCTCAAGGTACTTGTACCGTAGATAGACTCGTGCGTGCTTTGGAGACGGAGTTCGACCTCAACCACGACGAGCTCTCTCTCTCTCCTCTTCTGCCTCCACCTCCGACCTTCCCGGCTTGACTTGGACGTGCGTCCAGCTCCCCTGAAGATGAAGTCCTTCCTATTGGGAGCACTGGCGGCTCTTGTCGTCCATCTCACTGCCTTTGCCCACGCACAGGCTCCCTCTTCCACCGTCCCGGTCATAGACCTTGGCTACGTCAAGTACAGCGGCTACCAGAACGCAACTGCGGGCATCAACTACTATCGTGGCATTCGCTATGCTGCGGCTCCCACGGGAGAACTGCGCTGGGCAAAACCTGTGCCGATCGAGTTTGCGAACAACTACAGCGGACGAACCATCAATGCCTCGTCTCTCGGTCCAGCCTGCTATCAGTCGTCCGCGAGAGGCGCGTATTCTGCCCCAAGCGCACCACAAGGATATTCCGAAGACTGTCTCCTGTTGGACGTCCTGGTGCCGGCCCAGCCTGTTTCGACAGCCTTGCCCGTGCTTTTCACGTGAGTACCATTCTCGAGTTTGGTCCTGTTCAGCGACGGGTGTCTTGGGCTTTGATCCTGTGTACGCGTACCTTTATGAAAAGAGTGCTCTGGGAACCCTTATTCCGCACCTGTATTGATCCAAATTTCACACCCCGGAGTATTTGCAAACTCTGACGGCAATCATTTCGATATAGCATCCACGGTGGTGGCTATGTCGGGGGCAGCGCACCGTTCTCATACCCCGGCGACGCTCTCGTGAACCGCTCCAACGGCAACATCATCTACGTGGGCATCCAGTACCGGCTGGGCATGTTCGGCTTCATGGGCGGAGACGGCGTGGCCGAGAACGGAGCACTGAACGCCGGCCTGCTGGACCAGCGCGCAGCCATGGACTGGGTCCAGCGTAACATCCGAGCCTTTGGCGGTGATCCCGCTCGAGTCACCATCTGGGGAGGCTCAGCCGGAGGCGGCAGCGTTTCCTGCCATCTCATCGCAAACGGGGGATCAGATTTCGCGCCGTTCGCCGCCGCCATCTCCGATCATCCCTGGTGGCAACCGTTCGCCAACAAAAGCACCCAGAACACGCAGTATAACACGGCCCTGAGCCTGTCGGGCTGCGCCGACCTGAACTGCCTGCGAGCTCTGCCGTCGGACACCCTGGGCACTCTCAACCAAGCGGTCATCAACGCAACTTACCCGGGGCCCGGCAACGCGTACGGCGTCTTCTACTGGGGACCTGTGGTCGACGGGAAGTTCATCCGTGACCTCCCTGACCAGGAATTTGCGAGAGGAAACTTCCACAAGGTGCCGCTGATCACGAACCGCGACGCCTACGAGGGCGTCACTTTCTCCAACATGACACAGACGTCACAGGTAGATGAGACCACAGACGTAAGTTGTATCCCTGCTCTCCGGGCTGCTCATTCAGGTCAACTGCGTCGAGTCCGGATACTTGCCCAACCTTATGAAACCTCTTCTCTTTCTTCTTCGACGTCTGACCCTGATCTCTGGCGTATTACATAGGCACGAGCACTCTTCCCCGCGGCCGGCCCGTCGTTCTTCTCCCGCCTCTACTCGCTGTACCCGCAGGCCTCGTTCAACAGCACCTTCTTCCAGCGCCAGACCTGGTTCGGCGACTTCATCATCAACTGCCCCACCTACTACATGGCCTCGAGCATGGTGGACGCGCTGGCCAACTCGTCGGCCGTCTTCAAGCTCACCTTCGCCGCGGGCTCGGAACTCCACGGCGCGACCAACCCCTTCATCTCGTCCAACGTGACGAACTACCCATCCGCGAATAACCTCACGCTCGCGCACATCATGACCAGCTACTGGGTGTCGTTTACGGTGTTTCACGACCCGAACCCGCTCAGAGATGTCGCTTCCGGCGCGCCCTTCTGGCCGAGTTACGTCTCCGGTGGGACGGGCAGTCTCGCGGACGGGCAGGGCGTAGGCTTCACGGTCCAGGCCGTGAATTATAACGATATCACGCCGGTTGAAGATCCGGACGCGAGCCAGCGGTGCGATTTCTTCAACAGCAGGGGGTGGCAGGTCAGAAATTGACCAGAACCCCGTGCTAGACTGAGATGGACTCTACTGTACTGTCCTGAAGTACGAGTCAATGGGAATGCCCCTGAAACGATAAACCATGAACTGTGAATGTGATGTGAAACCGTTGTTGAAACTAGACTGAACGAACCGAAACGAAACTATACGCCCTTTCCAGCCTCTTATACGTGCCGATGGCATCGGCGGCGACGCCCTCGCTAGAAATGACATTGACAATTGACGCCCATGCGCGCCGTCGCTAAGCTCTCGTGCCTGGAGTGTCATCGTCGTCGACGACGACCTCCCTTCCTCCCTCCCACTCCAGGCACCCCTTTTTCCTTCTTCTTTTTCTGTTTTCTTCACTTTTTCTGGCCGAAGCCCACCCTCGGCATCATGACCTCTCGCCTTTTTAACGTTGACGTCGATGTCTCCATCGACCGTTGCCGCCACCGCACCCACCCACACGCCTTGTCGCCCGAGGGCCGCCTCCCTCTACCACCACCACCGCTCAATCGTCGTCGCCGTGCACGGCGATCCACCCGCTGCACGGGCACAGCACGTCGGCGTAGCGGCCGCACAGCTTGCTGCACCAGCAAAAGGCCCAGCACACGCAGACGCGGGCGGCGAGGTATTCCTCCAGGCTCATGAAGCCCTGGTAGTATCTGTACTCGCCGACGCTGACGCCCTCGAGCCGGGCGGCGGCACACTCGCGGTGGATTTCGCGGCGGAGCATTTCTTGCGTGGGCGTGCGCAGGGCCGAGACGTGAGAGGAACACGCGTACGACTGCGTGGAGGTTTCGGCGTGCTTGAGCGCCAGGTCGCGCACGGGCAGCGCGCCGAGCATGGCTGCCGTGTATTCGCGATGCGGGTACGTCGGGTCGGCGACGAAGTTGGTGTGCGTGAATAGACCGTTCGGGTGACCGCTGTCGCCGGTCGTGAAGAGTTCAGGGCAAGCGAGTGTGGCGCGCACGCCCAGGTACTCGGCTTCGTACGATTCGAACTGGCCGGGGTAGCCCGTCAGGGAGGTGGTGAGGCGTTTGTGCTTGAGGGACAGGACGGATGCTGTGTCGGAATGACCATCTTCGGCGTCGGTGATGTCTGTGTCTGTATCTCTGTCTGTGTTTGTGTCTGTATTGGTGGTGATGTCGACGTCTGAAGTGTTGGGCGTATTGGGGTCGGTGAGGTCAGTTGAGGAGGGGCACGAGATCGAACCGCAGACAGAGACGGCGCGAGAGGGACTGCTGAGGTCCTGGTCTGCGAGAGTCTCGGTCACGCGGATCTTCTTCGTCGGGAGGAGGTTGATGTTGTAGTCTGGTTGCAGGTTAGTCGGCGTGTTAGAATGTCTCATGAGGAAAGAGAGTCTTTACCGTCGTCAGACTTTGGTTGGTCGATGGTGGATTTGGTGACGAATGAGTCTCGTGCGTGTCTCTTGTTGGCTCGAGTCTTCTTGCTGATACGGCCGGTGTGACTGCGGTGTTGGGACTCGTTCTTCTTGCGGATGGTCAATGGGCCGGGAGCGCGGACTGGAGACTGCACAGATTGAACGGCCGGAACGATGATGACGGGACTGACGGCCGGATACGAGTCCGGGAACGAAGGATCTTGAAGGCGGACCTTGTTCTTCTGTGACTTGGGCTGAAGAATGTGCTTCGCGCCATTGACGTTGTGCTCGGTTGGGGTGTCGCTGTGTTGGACTGCGAGATTCTCAGAGCCTCGAACGGTGGATTTGGTGAGAGTCTCTTTGTCGTGTCGCCACAATTGAGGCCAGTCCTCGAGCCCTTCGCGACGGTTCACGAATCCTTCTTCATCCACGACAGGGACGTGATCGGGACTGGGTGCTTCCTTGGCTTCGACACCACCAAAGAAAGCTTCTGTGGCCTTTTCTCTTTCAAGGTCGTCGGCTAGGTTGGCCAGGTCAAGGACGCCTTCGAGGCTGGTGCCAAGGGCTGCAAAGTGGTTGTCGATGACATCTGCGTTGGGCGGTCAGTGAATCGATCGTACAAAGTCCTTGGTTGCCGGCAGTTCGTACCTTTGGTCGAGACATTGACACCAGCTTGAGCGAAGGCGAACTGGGTGACTTCAGAGCCGTTCAGACCGTAGCTTTCAGCCGAGCGATTGGAATTTGTAGCACGAATCTCACTGTGCTCTGACCGGGTTGATTCTGTCCAGCGCGTGTTAGAAACAGACCAGTGCATGGAGGCAGAGGTTTACCTTGAGTATTGCTGTCGGTCTCGACGCTGGACTTGAGGGACTCGGTGGACTCCTTCTTTCTCATTCCCGCATCTGCGAACATGTATTCGAAGTACGGCGGCTGTTCAGGACTGGGCAGTGCTGGCAGCGGCTTGTTGAGATAGTCTTCCTTGAATTTTGCTGGAGAGGTCGGGTTCTCTGGAATCATCGAGGAACGGTTGCTTTTGCCATTACCTCTGATGCTCAAGCTGAGCTTCTTGTACCAGGATTTGCCACGACGTTCAGCGATACTCAACTGGGTCGCTTGGGTCTCCATGTCTCCGACACGTCTCTTCTCAGGATCGGGCAGACCGATGTAAGGAGCGCTGTAACCTGACATCTTGCAGTGACAATTGCTGACTTGGTGCCAGTTGAGAGTATTTGCAGGAGTGAAGATGATATTCTCTGAACAGTTCAAGGTACAGTGTCACGAAGGCTGCAGTCGAGAAGATGGGTGAGAGTCAAGAGGCAGACGAGGACGAGAAGAATATGTGATATTGCAAGAGTTTCATTTTGGTTGTGTGCGGCATTCATCTCGTCGTCGATACCAAAATACTCTCCCAGCCTCCCTGTATCCTTCACATGCAGCCTGTATTGAACGAATGAATGGGCAGCCATTGAAATTTTCTGCTCTCGAACAGTGAAGGACTCAATGGCAGGGCAAAAAAAGAACAATAGGAACCTTCATTGAGGCTGGGGGTCTGGCAGAATACTCTGGAGAGAGGCCCTCGTCGTCATTGGAGCGTCGCCAAGCAGAGTACAATGAAGTCTTCACTGTACGAAATGCCAAATGTCGAGAGGCGTCTCACCCGCCGAGGAGGACCGGTGGAAGGCCTCAGCATCGCTGCTGTCATCCGAACCAGGAGCAAATCAACCATCAACTCTGCAATGCGGTCTGTCGTGGCGTGATGAATGGACTCAATATACCAGCTCAGGCTTGTGAATTGCGCCAGAAACTCCAGCATGTGACCAGGCGAGGCCATGCATTGAGGTCGCGAAGTCCCTGCTGGAGCTTCAGGCGGGACAGATGTGGTTTGCCAGCCCTGTGTCCTGGAAAGAAGCCTCTGTATACTGACTCCTGGAACACCTCCGTCTCCTCTCGCAACATGCTCCGAATTTCCAAGTGAGCTGATATTCTTCCAAGCTCAGCGAGTTGGGTCCGATTCATGTTAGCAGCCTCATCTGAAACACGACCACCAAGTCATCGTCAATGTACCCGTCTACCGGTATGCCTACGAGTCTTGCTAAGCCAGGCGGCCACTTCCCTGTCGTCGGACTACCTTATTCAGGCGTGGCAGTGACTTGTCTGGTGGGTTTCTGAAGCAAGAGGGAGGTGAAGTGAGAGGAGTTTAGGGAGTCGAGACAAGGTTGTGGGGCCAAGGAGCTACGGATTGTCGAGATCCGAGGTCACTGTGTATGGGACTTCTGTCTCCAGGTGAATGGGGATTGATCGTCTCGCATCCTGTGTTTCAGGAGCTCTGAATTGGGAGTGTCGTGGGATTTAATGGAGCGCGCCCATGTTGATCTTGGCCGCTGGCGCCGCCGCGCGGAAGAGCCAAGCCACGTTTACCCGAACATGGGAAACATAGCGAGATGGGAAAGCCAGGGGAGATCGTCCGCTTTTGTCTCGTCTCCAGAAAGAAATCTGAGGCCGTGATTCCTCTTCCTCACTTCACATTCTCCAGTTCTTTCTGTACAGCTCTGTCAATTGTCGATTCTCTCGCTTGCAAATCTGACGTTGAGGACACGGTTGGCCGAGATCTGATTGATAGTCCGAGACTGCGCATTCAGATCCGAGTCCCGACGCAGCCTACCACACCCACCTTCGACGCGAATCTACGCCCTGGGTGACGCAACAAGAGTACCTTTGGCTCGAGCATTGTCTAGATTGAAGGGTCGCTTCGGGCTTGAGTACCACGATTCACCTCGCTCGCAACCCTACAATCTGGTGACCTTCTCCTGAGATTTTCTATCGTTCATTCCGCTCCGAGATGTCAGCTGGGCGATAAGATATTTGGTACACCTCTCCTACAGTATGGCCAGAGTTGGGGCATTATGTGCCCTGCTCTTGATGGCGCTTCGGGCCTGGGCCGACAAAACCGCGGCAGATTACTTCGTAAAATCGCTGCCGGGAGCGCCAGATGGCCCTCTCCTGAAAATGCATGCTGGGTATGCAACGCCCAGTGACTTGGCACCCGAGGATACTGATGGAACGCAGGCATATTGAGATTAATCCCGAACATAACGGACACCTCTTTTTCTGGCACTACCAAAATCGACACATCGCCGACCGACCGCGCACCGTCATCTGGCTCAATGGAGGACCGGGTTGCAGTTCAATGGACGGGGCTTTGATGGAGTTGGGTCCCTACCGGGTAAAGGAGGGAGGAAAACTAGCATATAACGACGGTGCGTGGGACGAATTCGCGAACCTATTATTCGTCGACAACCCTGTGGGCACCGGCTTCAGCTACGTGAACACCGACAGTTATTTGCATGAACTACAAGAGATGGCAGATCAGTTTTTGATCTTTATGGACAAATGGTTCGACCTATTTCCGCAATACAAAGACGATGACCTCTATTTCGCGGGCGAGTCGTATGCCGGGCAGTACATACCATACATTGCAAAGGCGGTTCTGGATCGCAATAAGAGGAAAAGAGCCGAAGGACAACCGACGTGGAATCTCAAGGGCCTTTTGATTGGCAACGGCTGGATTGCTCCGGCTGAGCAGTACCAGGCTTACTTACCGTTTGCCTATCAAAGCGGCTTGATCCAGGGTGGCACTCCGGAAGCTGCAAAAGTCGAGGCAGCCCAGTCAACCTGCATCACAGAATTGGGCAAACCTGGCAATTCGGAAAAGGTGGATGTCAGTGCCTGTGAGGCCGTCTTATCTACGATTTTGGACGTGTCCAAGGTCAATGGCATGTGTTACAACATGTATGACATCACCCTTCGAGACAAGTGGCCATCTTGTGGAATGGCCTGGCCGCCGGATCTGGAGACTGTGACACCCTATCTGCGACAAAAGGACGTCCTGGACGCTTTGCACATCAATCCCGACAAGCGGACTGGATGGGTGGAATGCTCGGGCGCTGTGTCTTCTTCATTCCGAGCAAGAAACTCAAAACCAAGTGTGCAACTGCTCCCAGGAATTCTTGAGGCAGGGATCCCGATTGTGCTGTTCAGCGGCGCCAACGACATGATATGCAATCATCTAGGAACAGAAGATATGATCAGCAACATGCGCTGGCTAGGTGGCAAGGGTATGGAATTGTCTGCCGGAGTCATAGCACCACAAAGAGACTGGGAATTCGAAGGCGAACCAGCCGGCATCTACCAGGAGGCCAGAAACCTGACGTACGTCAAATTCTACAACTCCAGCCACATGGTGCCATTCGATTACCCTCGGCGGACGAGAGACATGCTTGATCGATTCATGGGAGTGGACATTGCCAGCATTGGCGGCAAGCCTGCCGACAGCCGCATCGAAGGTGAAAAGGCTGGACCGGAGACAAGTGTGGGAGGTCATCCTAACAGCACAGCGGCCATCGAGGACGAAAAGGAGAAAGTCAAAGAAGCAGAGTTCCAAGCGTACTATCGCAGCGGCGAGGCTGCTCTCGTCTTTGTGATCATCGCCGCAGCGTTGTTCGGCTTGTGGGTATGGCGCGGAAGAAGGAAAGCCCGAAGTCAAGGCTATGTCAGTCTCCCTCTAGCGAACGGCTCATTGCGCATGGGACGTGGGGACGTGGAAGCTGGAGATTTCGGCGACAATGAGCTAGACAACCTCGAATCAAGCCGTCGGCCTACGAATATGGATGCTCAGCATTATGACTTGGCAAGCGACAGTGAGGATGAGGATAAAGACGGCCATGTAAAGGAAGTCAGGGCTCAGCAATCATGGCCTAGGTAATGTAAAAGCACAAAATAGCGGGTTTATTCTAATGACATAGACGGGTTGATCTCTTGCGGGCTATCTGTGTTGTTGCAGGACGTTTCTGTACTTTTGGCGTGATGATCCTGTGTTCGTCCACGGCAAAGACGAAGGAGAATGCAGGCGCAGGAACACGAATGTGGACGAATTTACATTGCTGCATGCCGTATGTTCTCACGGCTATACTGCAAAGAGCTGTGGGAACAACGAGTTTGGACTATGCCACTCCTACATTAGCATCCGAGGGGTTCAGCACCAGAGCGGTAGAAACGATTAGCATCCGCACCCGTGCAATAGGGAACTCAAACCGTTGATAGATTGGCCAGGAATGCCGGCCTCGTGGACTCCGAAGAGGAGGGCAAGCCCGCTGTTTGGGGCAAACTCTGTTCAATGTGGTCGGTGGAGAAGACACATATTACCGCTACAAGGACGGAAGCTTGTGGATCAATCCCTACACCGATTTAGAAAGTAGAATCCAACCTCTATCCGATGGCGAGAATCTGTCCCTGAGATGGCTGGACGTCTGGGAGAAAGAAGACAAGTCATATTCGAACCTCCGACCACCTCGTACACAGTAAGGCATCCGTCGCCACAACCCGAGCTCACAGTAACTCATTAGGTGGGCCTACGGAGTTGATCTGATCTTTCGCTTAACGGTCGGTGGTCGTCCCTATTCGACCCTCGCAACTGCCCTTGGCCCCATCGGTGATTACCGATCTGACTTCGGTAAAGAGATCTAATGCGGTTTAGTGGGCAGCCGTCATTGCCGATGGAGAAGTGCCAAAATCCCAGTTCAACGGCAGCCACTCGCGATGTCCGCCATCTTTTCGATTTCGCCGTTGAACGCCCTTGCATCACGTTGCTGTTGTCCAACGCGCTTGGCAGAGTTCTCCTCGTATCCAGCCACTTTGCTGTCACGGTTCGCTTGGGCACTTGGGTTCAGCGCTGGTTATGTGCGTCAGCCAATTTCCATCGATTGGCCGGGTTCTTTTCCCCAGCCGGTTGCTGGCGCTCTCTCATTTACGGTTCGATGCAAGCCGCGATCTTGTCGCTTGTCACCTCCCCACTGTGTGCTAGCTTCGAATCGTGCCGTGCTGGACCTTTACGATCTCTACGTTATCGTGCATATCAGCTCCTCCCGAACCTGACGTTGAGGTGTCACTGTCCTCCGCTTCCCACACCTCCTCGCGTCTGGCAATTGCTAGTTGTCCTGTCACGGGCACGTCAACTGCGTCTGGCCTCAATCATGCTCTGTGCGACCATCCTCGACACGTCCAGTCTCGGCGTCAAATCCAGACTCGTACATCCGTCAATGGTTTCATCCACGAGTCCATTCACTGCTGACCCCGGTTCGTGTGTCGACACGGACCCCTGGCCTTCGCCACAGATGTGATTTACTCGTCCTCTCACGAGTCCTCATACTGCGTGCCTTAGCCCTCTCCACACTCGCTTCCAGCCCACTTCGCACATTCGGCAGCCATATCCCTTGCTCCTGCCCGTTCCTGCTTCCTGATCAAGGATGTCCTGAACCTGGATCTTCGGTTGGGGCTCTTGGAAAACTCCCATTATGGATCCGTCTTCTCGGACGTGGCTTCCTCACCGCAAGAACGGGGTTCATCGTCCCTTCTTCTTGAACATATTTCCGGCATCAGTCCGAAGCGGGCTGAGCAGATCGCTGGTGCTCTTCTCACTCCTCTACAATGGTGCGAATCCGAGCCTGGACAGTATCCTTTCTTACCTAACACTTCACCTGTGCCCTCTCGCTCATCATTTGTAGCGCCTTTGGACTTTGCCCGTCGATCGTTACCTTTCTTCCTCCACCTCAATATCAAACGGTCGAGCGCTTTCTTCTCCACTCCTGTTACTGGCCGCACAGCCGAACCTTTGCGGACGCAAGGCTGGACCCGTTGAGCCTGACGAATGGACCACAATGCCGCCTTCAGCATGCATCAGTTCCTCACCAGATATGCTTCCAATCCCATGCAATCCACCGTCACCTACGATGGTCGTCACATAGTCCTGTCCTTCTTCACCTCATTACTAGGATGCATCACCACGTTGGAGTTGTTGCAGAGGCGGACCTCGACCAGAGGCGCATACAACTGGCAAGTCGACCTGGCTATCGCCAACGAGCCCCACCACTAACCAGTGCACAGGTTTCTGCTCGTGGCCTCGGCGATCACAATGGGCGGCATCGGCATCTGGGGGATGCATTTCGTCGGTAATAGAGCTATCGTCCTGCAAGGCGGAGACCCCGAGCGCCAAATCCTTTACAACCCCGGCTTCACAGCAATATCCTTCTTTCTGCCCATTGTTGTCCTTCTGTTTGCCTTTTACACTCTGGGCATGCCGACAAGGGTCCGCCAACTTCATGTGGCCGCCGCCGGTTTCTTTACGGGAGCTGCGGTCTGTGGGATGCACTATCTCGGTCAATACTCCGTCGAAAACTATACTTGCTCATACCGGGTTCAGTATGTCGTTGGAGCGGCGATTATCGCAGTCTTGGCTTCTTTCATTTCCCTCAGCATATTTTTTCGTCTGCGAGATGCTTGGATGGACAGCTGGTGGAAACGAGTACTGTGTGGAGTTATCCTCGCCACCGCAGTCTCGGGTATGCATTGGACGGCAGCCGTAGGGACGATATACCATTGGAAAGGCGACCTCAGCTCTCATGGCAATTCCAGATCGCAGACCGCAATTGTCGCAGCCGCACTGGTAGGTCTTCCCTGTTAGCCCGAGATGATGACCTGACCAATCCTGCAGTCCATGAGCTCTTGTGTCATTCTTCTCATCGCTGCCTTCGTCCGAGGTCGAAACAAGCACACAGCAAAGATCAAGGCACAGCGACTGGTGCTGGCGTGCGCCTATTTTGATGACGAGGGCAAACTGATGGTTACGCAAGAAGGAACTCTGCCTAGCGAGAAGATCACGAACCATTACGTGGAAAAGGTAGGTAGCATATGCCGCCTCAGCCACACTCGCACTGACTTCGAGATCTAGACCTTTGGAGAAGATGAACTTAGTCGGTCTCACGCAACCTACCTGTGGATCTTCAAAGCATCTCGCAACTGGGCAATGCTTCGAGATCTCATACCCGGAATGAAGGAGTATGTCGAGACCGATCCTGTCGCGAGAAAGTACCGTGCGGGCAACACAGCTCCCAACTTGTCCGAGGACACGATCGACGGCTCGCTCAATTTCGCCCCGATATTCAAACAGCTGTTCTGTGTAGCCGCGCAGCAATTAGCCAACTTGACTCACGAGCCCTTGGAGAAACTGGGGGTGTTGTTTGAAGAACCGCTGGAAACTGGAGCCGCCCCTGTCACCGCACACCAACGTATTGGTGGTAGACCTCTGTCGTCAAAAGGGTTCGACAACGGTCCCGACACGGAGAATGGGATCTCATCTCCCCCTACAGCTGCTAAAGGGAAATATTTCTTCCTGCATCGCCAGATCAGCAAGGGCGAAGCGGCCAGATTTGCAGCACTAGGCTATCGCTTCGCCACCGTTGGGCAGATAGCAGAGCCACTCGCTAAGAGCATGCAGGTCCATCGTGACAGGTTGGTGTCGCGGATTGAACGCATGAAAGTGAGTGCCTCGCCTGGACATCTCCTGCCGCCTGGAGTGCACCTGGCATGCTTCATGCTGCGTCCTAGCATGTACAAGAGTTTTGATGTGCTTGTGCCAGCCGGTTCACAGAACCAGCTGCCGTATGTGACGATGCAGTCGAATGACCTATCAGGAGATCAATTTGCCGAACTGCAACGTTTCGATGACCTTAGCGTCAGTGAGATTTTGAGGGTGCTGGTAAACAGGTCCAATACGTCGCAAATTGGCGAGGAGATCCGCTGGCAGTTGTACAACACTTTCGTCAAACTCGTCGACGTCCTTGGTGATTATGACAGCATGATGCAGGCCAAGTTTTCTGCCAGAGCCTTCCGGGTTCCATGCCGACAAACAAACACAGCCAACTCCGCACGGAGCTGTGTCTTACTGACAGTCCGCGTGTTGAGAAGTATACATGCAGCACCAACCAAAAAGGAACTAACATACGTTCCTCTGTCTTTTTTCAGTGCACAACAGCAAATCCAAGCGTGCGAGAGGGATGACGGATTCGAGCGGACGGTTCGAGCAGAGTTCGGACATCCTGCTCGTGGCGCTGCCAAATGTTCTTCAACCACGAGCATTAAGGACGCCCGAAGGACAAGCTCGAGCGACTCCACCATTCCAGGGCTGGAGTCTCCTCGATCAGGACTGTTCCACATTGGCAGATTTTCGATATTACCGAGCCGGCGGAGCGACGAGGCGACTTTTGTCGAACGGGAAAAGAGTATAACTGAAGGGTCCGATGTCGAAATGGGCGCGATGTCAGAGAGTGCTCATCTTGACAGGCAGCCGCGCGTGACGCACTTGGATGTTGCCGCTCTCAAACAGGCTGGAAGCAACTGGGTTAGTGAAGTCTTCGGTCTCTTTCGGCTGGGTGCAGAGGGCTGGTCCAATGCAAAAGGTGGGAAATGGGAATGGGACATCCGGGTTGAGAATTCCTTTGAAGTCGGGCCCAACGACCGGAACCAGAGCGTTAATGATAGCAATGCGAGGGAGATATTCGATGCCAAGTGAACCAGCCACTGGAAACGGCATTAAAAGAGGTATGGGCGGGTTTCCGCACAGTTGCACGGGTTGTACCAGTACGAATGGCCTCAACTGGGAGGCTCCTCTGCTTATCGTAATATGTATATCAAATGCCTGGTCGATGACTAGATTGACCTATACACCGAGACCAACAGCAAATAAGGCTAAACGAGACTTTGTATGGAGTAATATGTACTGTGTATACAGTAGACAAGGAGAGGGAGAGCGTAAGAGAACAGGCTCGGCAGGTTTCAACCGAAGTTTCACCGTAGTGATGAGACGCGACTCAGCGATTGGCGGATCATCGGGGAAGATTCTCTCCCCCACCACGGCGAACCCGTCTTGCCTTTTACATGCGATCACCAGGGACTCTGCTTTCACAAAGGTACAAGGTTCGACGACGCTCGTCATCTGATGGTGTGAAAAGATAGAAGAAGCCCGTTATTTCTGCCATCTCCTCCTCCTACTGTACACCCCTCACCATGCCCTTTGCTCAAGTGGTCATTGGCCCACCGGGCGCAGGCAAATCGACCTACTGCAACGGCATGCAACAGTTCATGGGCGCGATCGGGCGGAAGGCGTCGATCGTGAACCTCGACCCGGCCAACGACCCGATCTCGTCAAGTTACGAACCCGCGCTGGACATCCGCGACCTGATCTCGCTGGAGACGATCATGCGCGACGAGGAGATCGGCTTGGGGCCCAACGGCGGCGTCCTCTACGCGCTGGAGGAGTTGGAGGCGGACATGGACAATAGTGACGGTGACGGTGACGGCGATGGAGATGGATGGTTTGCGCGGGGCCTGAGGAAGTTGGGCGACGATTACTTGCTGCTCGATTGTCCCGGGCAGGTCGAGATCTTCACTCACCACGCGAGTCTGCGGCGGGTGCTGGCTAGGTTGGAGAAGATGGGATATCGTGTGTGAATTTGCCCCTTCGCTCCTTTTGCCTTGCCTTCCCCCTTCCCCGCGTCTTCCACATTTTCTATGGCCTGCTCTAAAGGACACGATGTGCTAACGTACGAGACGGGACCTTGCGCGGAATATAGCTCGTTGTCGTCAACCTGATTGATTCGTACGCTCTCACGCTGCCGAGTCTCTACATCTCGACGCTACTGCTCTCCTTGAGAATGATGCTCCAGTTGGACTTGACACACGTGAATGTGCTGACCAAGATTGACAACCTGAACAAATACCCTCCCCTGGCGTTCAACCTGGATTTCTACACCGAGGTGCAGGATTTGGAGTTCCTGCTCCCGTACTTGCGGGACGAGTCGCCGCTGTTTCGGACGGGGAAGTTCACGGCCCTGAACGAGGCCATCGTTCGCCTCGTGGAGGAGTTCGGGCTCGTGGGCTTTGAGACGTTGGCGGTCGAGGATAAAAAGTCGATGATGCAGTTGTTGAGGACGATCGATCGGGCGGGGGGTTATGCGTTTGGGGGCGCCGAGGGGGCGAATGACTCGGTCTGGCAGGTTGCTGTTAGGGAGGGCATGCCTACGATGGACGTCCGGGATGTGCAGGAGCGGTGGATCGATCAACGGGACGAGTTTGATGAGATGGAACGAAAGGAGTGGGAGGAGGAGCAGAAGAGGCGGGAGAAGGAGTGGCAGGAAGGCCGAATGGTGGATGGGGATCAGGAAATGGGGGATGTGGACTTACCGCCTGTGACGGGCGGCAGGGATGGAGGTGTCAAGGTTGTGAGGAGCGGCAAGAAGTCGTGACCTAGAGGGAAAGAAGCAGCTGTATGTATGCAGCTGTGCTTCTCTGCGTGCCTCTTAGGGGTTAATGGCCTCGTTGAACATCGGTATGTGCCGAGACCGAGCGCTGTCACCAATCACCCATGGCTGCAGCAAGGGAGCGGGCACCCCCTGGATGCACACGACAACGTGGCAAGAGTGCTGCTGCGTTGCGGCGACTCTGTGGGAGTATGGCCGAAGTTGAAGCTGCGTGCGAAGAGGGTATCCGGTTGGAGACCTCAATTCTTGGGAGCACTTCTGCTCTGCGCACCTGTATGTCGCTCAAGCCGGCAATCAAGAGGGTCGCAAATACCGGTTTCCAAGTGAAAGAGCGGGTGTGTCAGTCATCAGACATGTCGGAATACTGTGCATCCTCCTCGTCGACGAGATCCATGATATCCTCGTCTTCAGTTGCCGTCAGACGTGAAGCTCCACTCGTCTGCTTTCCCTTTCCTCCAGCGAAGTTGCCCAACGCGACCTCGTCTTCCTGGTCATCCGTGCTTCGACCCTCCATCTTCGCTCTCACGAGCTCTCTTCTCGCCCGTCTCAATAACTCCTCTTCACTCTTTCGAATCGTTCCACTCACTCTGACCACCCGAATCACGCACTGCCTCCCCGCACCTCTTGTGGCTCGACCTCCGCGGTCTCTTTCCGGCGGTATGGCTGTGACGAAAGCAAGTGCCGCCCAGACCATACGGAAGTGCGCCCTCGGCACCCTCAGAATGCCCGTCGAAGTTGCAGGCGAGAAATACACGACTCGGAGAGCGGATTGCGTTACGCTGAGTCCGTGGTCGCCGAAGAGGGTGTGGAGTTCATTGCGGACTATCGTGGAGAGGAGGGACGCAGACAGATGAGAGGGCGAGGGGCGGGAGAAGAGAATGTAAGCTGGCGGAGGGGTGGATTGGCCGTCGGGCATGGTAGGCGGAGGGGGAGGCGGGGAGGGCGAAGGGTACAAGATGTTGAAGAGGAGGTACCGCTGTTTAATGCGGACCATCGTGGCAGCACGAGGTTCAAGCCTGCAGAGCGACTGCGCTGCATACACAGTATGTGAGCTTACATGGTCGTCAACTGCTGGTCAGATTGACGTGGAGCGCTATAGTACGAGTAACTGAAATGGCCAGAAAGATTCGTTCGTGTCGCAAGGCTGAGATCAACGCAAGGCTGTCGCTTCTCCTTCCCGGCTGGGGAGGGCTCTTCCGCCAATCAGCACTCAGCGCTCGGCCTTCATTCTCGTGCAAGCGTCTACTGAGTACTCCGTACGGAGTACATTATTCGACACTCTGCTTTGTATGAAGCACTTGTCAGATGAAGCTTCACATGGAATCTGCTCCTGTGAGAGGCACTTGGGTGCTGTTACGGAGTACGACGGGGAAGACGGCAGCTGAACTCGCCTTTCGAAACTCCTGGCACATGAAACGCGCTCGAACCGAATTCGGCATGTTCAGGAGTTCAGAGGCCTTGCTTTCGTCCAGCTGAAACACAATCGCACAACCATATCCGTGTAAAGTTGGGGGTCACGGCTGCTCCTGCTTGTCGTCTGGAAGCACGCTGAGCGAATTCAGTTAGAAACTGCAAGATCTCAAACCTCCGTGTTGTCGATCTATGCGTGGCTTAACGACGGAGCTGGCATCATCGCTGCACAAATGCAGGGGCATCTGGCCTGTTCGTGGTACCCTGCTAAATTGGATTTTGACGTGGACATGGGCCTTCACGTGAACATTGGACGGGGACCGGTCTCGTCGCGTGCTAGAACATGAGCAGAAGCAGCCACTTGATCGTGCTTGAAGCTCTGGGTCCTCAGGCCATTCTCGTGGTCAGGCTTTGGCCGCGTCTCTGTCTGAAGAATCCAGCCTCAATTTCGACATCAGAGCAATCCGGGGAAGAAGATATTCTTGGTCACGTTCAAGAACCGAGTCTCGAGAAGCGCCTGGGATGAACGATGGAGCGTGATGAGTGGTTGCAGTTCGAGGTGCGGTCGTTTCACATCACCTGTTCGGCGGCTCTGAAAACAATTTGGCGGTTGTGACTGGTCCAGATGTGCCCGAGTTTGATCTCCTGCAGCCCCCTGAGCATCGGGACTGATACGTTGGGGATCGGTCTAGTCTGTGAGAGGGATAGACCCTTAACGGCTTGCAGGCCGACCACTCATAGCGGGAGCGCCGTTGACGCCACTGCTTCAGATCGGCAGAGGGAAGGTTTTGAGTGGCCACGCGGGCGCATCGACTGGAGAATCGGCCCTGGAGCATTCCACAGGGGAGCCTAGACGAGGCTTTTGGGGCCTTCCCACGTTGGGGCAGTGGGTGCAACGTTAGTGGACATTGCCCTCCTCAAGCCTCTGTTTGGGCCTCTTCACGCGCTGGGCGACTCCATCTCGCTGCATTGACATCGCACCCGCATTTCTGCATCCTGCATGTATCCCGCTGCTTCTCCTGCAGCATCTCTCTTTTTCGCCGTCGCTCTCCTTGCGTCTGTCCCCAACGACCAATCCAGACTGAAAAGTCTTTTCGTTCCTGCAGTCGGTTTTCCACTCAGTCATTCTTTTGACCCCCCATCCTACTTTCTATCACACTCCTTTCGCAAGTCCCCGACGGTCGATTCGTCGCGATACCGCACACCTCGCAGTCATACATTCCTTTCACACCAACAGGTGATCAACTAGCTGCCGGGACACCCTACGTTCACACGACTACCCTGATTCAACCGAGCGGACTGTGTCCTGCCTTTACTGATCCATCAGTACCACTCTTTCTCAGAAAACCCCCAGAACTACGTTCGGATTCGACCTGAAAAAACAAAGGACAAAACATAAGTGAAATACGGAGTACAACTATCGCATCACTGGACCTACTTCCCGCACAGACATACAGTCCGTCTGATACTGGCCAAGCGCACACTATCTTGGACCTTGTGACCTCGAACATCTCTTACGATAGTCGAGCCTCGTCGAAAATATGTCTATCTCTCGAGCCTTCACGAAGCGCGTCCGACGCAATGTCGAGCAACAGCCACCGATGATGCGTAGCACAACCGTCAAATACGCTCCTGGCACCATCAACCGCAGCCTCATCTCATTGCCAACTGAGCTGATCTCGACCACCAACGTTCAAGCGTTGACTGCTCCTGACATTCGGAGCACCTCGGGGTCGTCATCTGAGTCGATCTCCTCGGCGAACGACTCTGACTTTTCGACGATTGACCGAAGCTTCCTCACCAACACGGGCAGCGACAGTTCCTCCGTTGACAGTAGCGGTCCCGGAACTCCTGTCACACCTGCGACAGACTCCAAATCGTTCTTCGATCTGAAGCAGACGTCTCCCATTCTTCCGTCGGTCATTTCACCCAGCCTGGGCACACCCGCTGTCCCGCAACGAAGCCCGACTCATTCAAAGAAAGCTCATGTTGAGTTGTCACGAAAGCTATCTATTCAACGTCTATCACCGCCTCCCACTAGCATTGCCAAGCCCGCCATGCGAGACGGTGTTGAGCCATCCATACTGTCTCCTCATCCTTTCGGCAAGGAACTTGCACAGGTTAACGAAGTGGCCGAAGAATTTGGCGCTACGGCACGGCTCCTCGACGAGGAAGAGCAAGAAATTCTCAGCAAAGGCCTGCACAAGTTCGGAGTGGAAGACTACCTCGATGAGATCGCAGGCTTGTACGGCGGTATTTTTGATGGCAAGCTCGGACCAATGTCCAAGCCGTGGATCTAAAGCCAGGATATTGTGATCCTGCACATCACGACCTTATGACTTGGGCGTTTTCCGGGCACAGTTGCTCGCATGGCGATACGGCGAAATGGAGGGTCTGTCGGGATTTGACGCCGACCACCCAGCGTGGCTTCCTCGAGTTAAGGATGCTACTTCGATTCCCCTGCGCAAGATTCACAGGAAACAGGATTGGGGAAGGGTAACACCGCACCAACACACACAACCCTGGTGGATCTGGCCGTGTGCCAACCCATTGTGAAATGCTAATTTTGAGTGATACCAAACATGTTGAAGGAGGGAGATGAGCCGGAGACAAGCTGCAGCCGGCGAAAAGACTACAGCGTGATTCTCCGTCGAGGATACACTGGTGCAATATCGAACGGGACGGTTGTTTTCTACCTGTACACTAAGATAGAGCTACTAGCTAGTGGGAGGAGCCATCCAAAGAACAGAAAACCGACATCTTTGAAACACCATCCGTGGAAAATTCGTACTGATCATTGTGTAATCTACTTTTGGCCTTCATCGCTCTTGTCTCTGCGCGAGCACTCCATCCAGGATACCTTTTGCTTCCAATTTTGCGAGCCTCAAACATGACCTCCATAGTGAGACCGTATCAGGCCTAGCGTGGGACGGAGGATGAGCAAACCCTCTGGAGAAGGAGTACCACAGTCCTCGTGTAAGGGGTTCACTGAGGTGGTACCTCACATTCCACTGCGGAGGATTGCTGGCTGACCCAATGTTGCCAACGCCTTGGTGCGGAGTTCGACATACACAATACGAGCACTACATACTCTGAACGGTCACGTCTAGCTCTGTCCCATGCCTTGAGCGACATATCATGCTGCATCATGTCCTCTGTACCTCTGCCCGGCATGGGCTCTATCCCTGTGACTCGGCTTGATCACCATAGTCAGGACCATGACTACGAGGATGATGTTACTAATCTGCATTCGACCGCGTCCACAGCCAGACATGTGTGGTGTGTACAGAGGTAACTCGTCGTTCTGTACGGAATAGGTATGCATGGTTTCCATCTCTCCAGTCTGCGCATGGGCGTCTGATGCAGAGTAGTAGATTTGAAGAGACACGTCCGAGGCGTGGCAGGTACATTAAGTCGTACGCTCCGTCCTTTGACGGTGTTGCCTGGCAAGCACTGTGTGAAGGAGCCAACGGTGGCTGTACTCCAGGTCTCGTTGCCCGCGGGTTCATTCGCACTTCATGCCTCTCATTGCACAGCCACTGAATACTGTTACGAGCGACGGGAAACGACGAGCTTTCGAGGTGTGGCTTCGAGATTTTGACAGACCCCGAATTCTCCATTCAGCTGTGCATGGAACCTGGAACGCGCGGTTGGTGGGGCCGCGGTGAGCATGCTCTAACCGAAAGGAATAGCGTCGATGCGAGGAGGCGATATCGTCGCTGACGTACAGACTGCAGCTCGGATGGTCTGACCTGCAGGATGCTGTACCAGGTAGTAAGTACTTGGTTGCTGCAAGTGAAGCAGGAGGGGCAGAAAAGGAAAGCATGAAGCTGAAGTAAAAAACCCTCAAACCACCTGTGCGGTGCATGTGACAAGAGTGCGCCCGCCATGGCCTGCTCAAAACGTATACTAAGGTTGGCAATTTCCAGCAAAGCATTCGTAGCTGGACCGGGATTGAGTGGCTTGCATTGGCGAGGGTTCGGCGAGCCCCAGTTTTCTGCGCGGCGGCGCCCCGAAGCTCCAATCAAGGCCCAAAAATTCACGATCTCAGCTACTGTGCGCCCTGCAATAATACTCGTAATGCCCAACAACACGCAGCAGGCGATGTCGTTGTCCACGTCCTGGACCTGTACTACACGTAAATAAACCCCGGCCATCTCGCAATCAGTATCCGTTGCCCACGACTCCGCATCCGCTGTTCCACGACTTTGTACATTTCTCATTTCGTCGCGCCTGCTCTGCTCTGCTCTTCTCAATAGCTCGCTCTCCGTTCCTCATGTACGTGATAACCCAACATTAGTTGTCGTTTCTGGATTTCTTTCACCACCTCCGACACACCAGGACCGCCTTCCACCGCAGACGCACTGCGGTGCGGTGTGACCTACCATGGACGCTCTCTATCATGTATTCAGCATTCGTCAAGCTTCTACCAATGCAAACGACGACCAGAACATCGGTTCGAGCAGGAAGAGCTCTCCTTCATTATCAGGCCTGGTCTCAACCCTGGTGCCGACTCTCATCATCGCCGCCGTCTATTTCGGTATTTTCTTGGTTCTGCGCACGAAATTCCCCCGCCAATATGCGCCTCGAACCTATCTGGGCGCTCTTCGGCCACAAGAACGAACGCCAGCACCTCCCAATACTCTTCTGGGCTGGATACCGTTCATGAGAAAGGTCAGTTACCCCGTGATAGCTCGCACATTTCTAACGATAACGAGTAGCTACCTGATGAGTATGTTCTCCAGCACAACTCCCTCGACGGCTATTTCCTGCTGCGCTATCTCAAAATGTCGATCATCATCTGCCTCATCGGCTGTCTGGTGACCTGGCCCATCTTATTCCCTGTCAACGCCACGGGGGGAGGCGGGCAGACCCAGCTCAACATCCTCAGCTTCAGCAACGTCACAGACAAGAACCGGTACCTGGCGCACACTTTTATCGCATATGACTCGCGATATGATACCCAATGGAAACCACTTTTAGCGAAACCACTTTTAGCGCGGTGTTTAGGCATTTCCAATGCCAATGACGCCTCACAAATCGTGATTCCATCTACACGTCTCGTTCCCGTAGACGGGATGCAGTGCTGCATCAAACGTGCAAAGCGCAATAATGTGTAGGCGGCAAGCGATGGGCGATTAGATGTGATTTGATGCAGGAGGGGGGCAAATCGGATTTTTCCATCGACAGCCTGTCCAGCCCTGTCTGTATCCAGCCCTGGCTGAATGTCACGAGTGAATGCAATCGGAATCGGCAAGGCGCGGCCATTCGGCAGCTCGGGTGTGTCAACCTGAACCTCAAAACCTCGGAGGAAGAGGGTATGGAAAGGGAAAGGGGAAGGGAACAAAGAGAGCACGCACGGCAGCGGTAGGATAGTATGGGATGGAAACCGACCAGGATAGAAAGACCAAACGCCGGTCCAAGCAACGAACGTACCGAGGAGAGCGCATTTTCGTGGGCTCGCTTTTGATCTTGGACCTGATCTGATCTGATCTGATCTGATCTGGTGTCTTGCTTATGTACTTGCGAACGCAGTGAATAGAACAACAGAACCAGAAGAGGATTGAGATTCCTGGGAAGATTCCTTACAGCCATGTATTGTATCTTCAGATCACTCACTCAGCTCTCTACTTTTCTGGGATTATACCATGCCATGCCTTTGCCTTGCCATGCTTTTCGCTTTTCCCTACGTAGTAACCAGCACCAGCTCCAGCGCCAGCTCCAGCAAATTTCACCCTCAATGTTCCGTTCCGTTCCGTTCCGGTCGGTTCTGGTGCAGGAAAGAAAAAGCTCTCATGATGTGTATGTTCATGATATGTGAGGAATATGGAATCATCTTCCATGCGCACATGCATCCTGCAGCTTCTCATTCGTGGCTGCTGTTCCCCCATTTCATATCCTGTTTCGCTCGCAGTAGCCAGAAAAGATCAGTGCGCGCCGGGGAACTTGATATCTCTCCAATCTCAGGGACTTGGTGCTCGATTCACAGCTCGCAGCTCGCACCTCACAGCTCACAGCTCACCGCGCCGATGTCGACACAATGTCCCCGCCCATAGCTCAGACTCGTAATGCACTCGGTTTCGAGTCTCACTGTTATCAATCACTGGGATTGGGGAGTCAGGAGACCTTTGAAGAAGCGAACAGTGTTCGAGACGAGACCTGTATTTAAAACATTATTAGGCTGAGACGATATAGAGCGATAGAGAGAGTGACTGCTTACCTGCAGGTGTAGCTGGGGTATCTGAGACGTCTTTCACGTCACGGACACTAATATTCGAGACGCTATCTTCGGGTCGGAGGTCGATCTGCTGTACAGTATCCGCTAAAGTCTTCTTGAGCATCCATCCCGCAGAATCATGAGAGGATGAAACCGATGACGTGACTGTAGTTGGAGAGGTCGCTCGCTCAGTGTCGACGGTATGCTTCAGAGGCACATGACTGATCTGTGGTTGACGCTTGGCAGGAAAGTCGAGGCGGGTTACCGGCTTCTGGCTCTTGACGTTGATGTCGATGTCATTGACGTCGATTTGCCACTTCTTGTCGCAATTCGTCGAAGTTGCGGTAACCGATGGGCAAACCTCAATCGCTCGGCTGACGACGTAATCTTCATCGCGCCTCTCGAATGAGCCCAAGCTCATTTCATCGTCAGTGGGGAAGGATGCAAGTACGTTGTAATCTAATTTCTTGCCTCGGGTCTGGCGTTTAGGGACAGCTCCATCAGCAGTACCATCGACCTGTGGCAGAGCCTTGTTGGGTTTGTCGTCGTTGTCATCGTCATCATCGTCGTCAGCAGGCGCTTTGCGTTTGCGTGCTTTGCTGCTTTTCTTGCCTTTGGTCGCGCTCGGTTGCTGAGTTGCTGTAGAGCCTGTATCTTGCTCGATCTTTTCCTTGAGACGTCTGTAGCGTATGGCACTAGCGCCTTTGGTTGAGCCAATTGCGACTGCAACAGCATCCCAGTCGATCTGACCGCTGTCAATTGCGTCTCACGCGAAAAGACGCTGTGACTCTCCCTACCTTTCCATCTCCAGAGCAATGCTGAAGACAATGGTATAGAAAGATGACATTGTAGTCGGGCTGATATGGTGCCATGTTGACCTTGGTGATAGTACGATTCGTTCAGACGAGAAAGCTTGTTGACAAGTTGTTTGTAGAGATGAAGTCGAGGAGTGGCGGCGCAAGAGGTATAGATGTGAAAAGGAAGAAGCCTTCGAGCAGTGAATGGATGGATAGTCACAAATTGACCACGTCACTTGAAGTGACATGAGACTGGCAAGCCAGAAGTGAGGCCAAAGTGAGCTGGAAGTAAGTTGACTCGAGGTCGATGTTAAGGAACGGGGACGGATAGCTGGCATGCGCCAGTATCTTCGGAAGCCTGGTTATGTTGGATAGGACGTCGCTCATTCCTCGTGCTTCAAGTATTCATCTCAATGTCATTCGTCTCGTCTCGTGTCGCCGGCTTCTATGACGCGGGTTGACTTCGCATGACAGACTCCAGCAGAACTGCCTGGATAACAGTTTGCGCACCACGAGCAGCAGCAATAGCACTGTCAGCCAGCTCATCGTATCCTATCACTCCACCGGGGCTCTGCTTAGGCGCGCTGCCGTAGGACCACATTTCCACAACCTCATCTCTTGACGGCAGGTACCCAACCACGCAGGTCGAGAGTATTTCGTCGTGTTCAACAGCCGCAGGGTCCAGTATTCGAACAAGCTTCCCGTCTTTTCCAGGCACCACGGCACCGACGCCAGCCGCCAACAAGTCGAGACAATCAATTCTAGCATCTGCCAACGCTGCCATGGAGACATTGATCGCTGCCGCAAGTAGATTGAACAGCCCAATTCCTGTAAACCGGCTTCCTTCCTCCCGGTCATCTTCTCCCTCTAGAACCGTCACGGCTATATCAATCGCGCTCTTTGGCCATCGGTCCGGCAATAGGACACCCTTCAATGCATTTTCCAGGTGGAGCCCAAGGTCTTTCTCCGTCGAATCAGGGACATAACCTTGGCGAATACGAGTAGCGAAAGGTGCAAACTTGATCGACGCACTCAGTTGTAGATTGGGGGAGAAGGAAGCGGTTCGCGGTAGCGGCTTTGGCCCATGCACAGCACACGACAGTTTTATGGTGGAGGATGTGCGTAAAATCGTGGGCTTTGGCTCCGGAGAACTTTCGAGCTCCAGATAGGCCGAGCCGCTCGCTGATGGAACGAGTCCGGTTTGTAAAACTGTTTACAATCAATATGCGCTACATTCGCAGGTGCAACACGGGCATACAAATCTTGCGGAGTTCATTTGGCTTCCGCGCTCGCTCTGGCCATGCTCTCGCAGAGCCGGGGGAATGTGCGAACCGTGGCGGCTGGGTTGTGCCCGGTGGCCCGTTGATCCTTCGTCGGTCACTCATGACATCATAACCGCCGTGTAAGAACGAGCGAATCTCTCAATATGAGAGAGGAGATTCAGTAGGAGGAAGAAACAACAGCACTGCGCAGCAGACGATTTCAGAAAGGAAACAAAAATGTTCCCCGCACGGCTGAGAATCAATGCTCCGCCGCTTTATGCGAGGCACAGCCTTGCGCAGCCTTGCAGAATCGCGCAATCGTGTTCGAAGATTATGCATGTTCAAGGCAAAAGCGTGGATCGAGATGTTCTATCATTCTTATTTTACATCGCTCCGTTGGCAGAATTGTGACTCGGTTGGATTACTTTTCTACCTCGGGATACATAAGTTTTCGGGCATGAGCTATCCAGCAACACCAAGTCGCTGCGCTGACATCCTACAAGAGTAGACCCTCAGCCTTCAGTGGATTTCCCGTTGAAGAAGCAGCCTCCTCATAGGTCCGAGCAGTTTACGCATGTGCTTTGCTCCGGCCCAAGCAATAATAGCCACGATGAGACTTGCAGTCACAACCCGTCTCCTCACTCTCGCACGAATCTCACTCGTCCCCTTATCAAGCCAGGACCTTGGGAAGATATGCGGGAACGGCTCATCTGGCTCCGGCACAGGCACATTCAAGATCTCACACAGTGGCTTCCACCCATCCCTCACGCTGAAGTAGAAGAGCTGATTTGACGGCACGACACGCCGGACGTACTCCGCATGGGCATCGTACAGTCCTTCCTGATTCGACATCGGCCAAGCTTCGCATGGGGGTATCCCAACCGCCTGAGGCACACGCCTCCAGAACTCGAACGAGAATTGGCAGAAGCGCCTCAGTTGTGGTGAAGGCCAGGACCAAGCGTAGATGTCGTGGATGCTCTGCCACAGAGCCGAATAACTTGCCCACCACGATTCCCTATCCCGGACGGTGACAATGACCTTCGCATCCGGATACAGTTGAAGCAGCTCTTCGACAAAATAGCAGCCTGGTTGGTCTGAGCTCGCAACACAGCCCTCAGTCAGCTGCGCGAGTCGATACAGCACCAAGGTCCGGTCGACCAGCGTCTTTGTCGGACAATGTCGCGCAAGCTCGAGCATCTGTTGTTGCAAGTGGGCATCGCCGGTATACGAGGCGGATCCACCGTCGAACACTTTGCCTTTCAGGAGTATCTCGAGCGCTCTAGTCATGGATGTGGTGCCGGTCCTAGGCAACCCGGCCACTATGACTTTGAGCGTCGGCTCCGTTGCAGCATCATCGGTCGCCATGACTTCAGTCGATCCTGCTGGTACTATGATCCCGTGGTATTTGTCTTCATTTAACGGTTTATGTGATTGGATCGTTTGTCGATCGTCCTCGCTGACTGTAGGTAAGAAGTCTATATTGACCACATCCTTGTCATCGACGTAAGCTCGGCACAATTTAACCCGCGGTTCTTCCGCAGGAAATCCTCCTAATTACACTCTCATCTTGGCCAGTCATGTTGTGCTATACAGAAATAGTTTGCTCAAGATGAAGTAGGAGATACAAAACAGTCCGTCCTTATAGTCCACCACTTGACAGGGCCTCACCAGCCCTAGTCTGCCGTCAGAGTTGACAAATGTCCCGGGCACGGCGAGAACAGTCATAAGCATCACGAACTCAGGCACACCTGGTATGAGATCGGCAGATATCGAACGGATTTACCCCAACATTTGTACTAACAACGAGGCAGTACCTGCCTATAGTTACCTTGTTCATACATAGTACGAGTACTGTGTGGCTGTCAAAGAGTGTATTGTGTGATTGTGTGCTGGATCCCGCAGTACTCGTAGACAGCTCGTCAATCCACAAATGTGCTGTTCAGACAAGCGACCTGAAGTGAGCAGATTGGGTAGAGTGTGCCTCTTGCCCATCGCACAGTCATTCAATTCATTAGCTAAGCCCAGCCGAAAGTATTGATGTCCACACGCATTGCGCGATCGTCCGTTCCAGCATCCGACCTCGCTTCCCGTATTATCACTTATAGCTTACATGGACGTGATCCCTTTCAATAAATCACTCAATCAGCTTCCGTATTGACTCGACTCCAGCGCAAACAGAAACAAGTTGTGGGAGAGCACTTACCAATGATTAGCCGTGTTGTCCCCCCTATCGCCATTCACGCAATCCGGGATGACCGTGCATTTCTGATATGGCCACTGACTCCACGGCTTGACGCTGTCTTTGCTCACTTCCCAGATTCTTTGCCCCCACATCACGTACTTGAGAGAAAGGTCGCTCGCGTGGTTCATCACCCACTCCGCGATAGGTTCGCCAGCTGTGGTTTTACCCTGGGGTCACGGGTGAGTACCAGAAAGCGATAATTGCCGTTGCGGCATTTACGAAAGAAGTACTCACGCCGGGTTCCGTCACCCTCATATCAGTCGCCATGCCGGTGCAGTGATCGCTTGAGCTCGGGTCGTCACAATCCCTGATGCATCCGATTCCCTTGACCTTGCCTGGAAACGCATTGACGATGGCCTTCGCTCCGTCAATGGCCTTCTGCTTGCAGCCTGAGCTAGTGGTGGGAAGTTTTGGCCCACTACCAGCAGGCATGCAGCACTTGAAGTTGTCAGGCCCCGGACATTGGTTCGTTTCGGTGATGCCAGAGTCGCAGGAAGAGGTGAAGCGACAATTTCCCTTGTTACCGGTCCCGCAGGCGGTTTTAGTGCAGCACTTGATGTCCTCAGGTGTCCCAGGGCAGGCGTTGGAGATGTACTTTCCCCCGGCAGAGGTGCAAGAAGAGGTCGAAATGCAGACACCAGGAGCACCTCCGGAGCCGGTGCATGCGCCGTTGACTTCAGAACGTGCTAAGAGAAGGGACGATGCATCGCTTGCTGTCACAAATAGATGGGGGAGGAGGAGGAGGAGGACAAGTGGCGGGAGCATCTTGGGTTGAGGCGATCCAATTGCTTGGGAACGAAAGTACGGGCTGTTTTGACCTCGGGATTGTTTGCTCAACTTGCACTTCACCTACCTTCTTGTCCGTGGGCCAGTAGCTTTATATGTTTTCACGAGTACAGCGACACCCCTTTCGATCGAGATTTGGGAAGTATGCATGGGTCTTTTGTGCAAGGGTAAAACAGGTTTGGAGCCCATGGTGGTGGCTGTGTGTCAGTGAGGACCGCGCACCATCTTTGCCTTGACGAAACCCGCACGGTTCGAACCCAATGCCCGCATTCACGTCCACCTGGCGAACGTAGCCTTCCGCCTATAAACCGGATACGAGCATGTTGATTGGTGTAGCACGACGCGGCGAGCCTTGGCCACCGTAATGCGAGGCTGAGAAGCCACCTTTCCAGGATCCTGGCGGCATCGACGGTTACACAGCCAAGGACGATTCAGCCTGCTCGCCCAGGGCGATTTGTCAAGACAGGGAGCGTCAAAATCACCGCCCCCTGTTGATGTATAAGCCTCAATGCACTGACTCTCTTAGCGCGCCGCCCCCTCTTCACACGGTGTCTCTCCCTTCACGTAGTTCCTCCCTGTCGACGGACTCCCTATTAATGCCGGGGCCTGTGTCCACTGGTTCGAATCATGGCATCACGATCGAGCAAGCACCATCTGCCTGGTCAGCTTAAGCACAAATTACTGTGCGAGGTGGTACTATGCTGGTATATCTGTAAGATATGGAGAGCCTCCCGGCTTGGTTCGCAGAAGTTTGTGTCCACAATGTGGGAATATGTCACGATGACAGACGACACGTCAAATCTTCCGGAAGTAGAAACCATCGTTGCCAGAGATGCATCGCCCGTTCAATACGCCTGCCAGAAGACCGCATCAGGCACATTTTTTTTAAGAAGAGCTGGCGGCCAACGGAAGAGACGAGATACACGTTCAACAGCAAGAGTAGACGCGCATGGCGCGCTAGACCAAGCGACACACGCGGCACACGCGGCTAGGCAAAATGCGGATAGCGTTGCCAAGCCACAAGCTAATTTGTCGAAGGCAATTTCTGATTTCTTTCACTGCTCTCCGACTTTCTCAAGCCTCTCTATTGTTTGATATCTCTCACATCAACACCATCCAAATGCCCGATTACTCAGCTCTAGTGCGCTGACGTTCGCGCCCCTAGTTGACTTCTGTGTGAGTCGCCTCTCGATTCGCCCATGTCTCCTCTCCTGATGAAGCCTATCATACTTCAGTTCCGGCGATTCTTCATGAGCCTTGAACTCAACATGCACTACCATCTGACACATCATTCCATCTTCACATCGCCTCCACAGCTCTTTTGCGTCAAGACCATTTCTAATGGAGAGGATCCAACAGGCTCGGTTCTTGCATATTACGGCGACGGTGACGGTCTCGTTCGCTCCGTGGGAAGGAGAGGCAGCTTAGTTACAGTACCAAGTACTCCGTACTTAGGATAGGTAAGCAGCCGCATCTTCCCTGTCCGCTTCCATTCTTACCACCATTACCTCGTCTCTATGATGATCAAAGGTTCTCAATAATCAGTTCTGCTTCTGATCTCCCTTGAAGAAAGCATTACCAAGCTTACCAATTCGTCTGATGTCCTTTGCAATCACTGTCTACCCCAAAATCTCATGCCAGGGGAACATCTTTGCTGACCCACACCTCTGGTGAACAGAGATTGAAACACCCGTTATCAGGTCGAATCATCGACTGGGAGACGACTGAATACAGCACAGCCACAAGTACGTGTTCCGCCTTCCATCGTCCGTTCACCCCTCTCGCCCTCTTTATGATGACACCAAGTCTATCCATTCTCCAAGTTCCCTTGCGGGACACCCTTCTCCATAGCAGCGAGATTGTGTGGGAGTAGCTTTCGTATTGAGAGTTTCGAACTGCCTTCTCGCTGCCCAGGGAAGGGGATGAGGTCGACGGCTTTTCTGATTGCATCTTTATCTACGTTTGATATTTACTCTACGACACCATTGAACAAAATGAACCTAAGGCGATCAAGCTAACGATGGTCCTTGTACAGGGTTTGTTTATAGTAATACCGTAGCCAAATTCCTCATCTAGGCTCAGGGCTGTTCGTAGCCTGGACTGCCGCGTCGTGAAATTGGAGACTGATGGTAACAATACTTCTGGAACCTCCGTTCATTAATAATCATCATAGCCGTCAATGAGCTCGTGGCGTTCTTCGTCCTGCCTCCCAAAAAGTCCATCTAGCTTCATAACCAATCGGTCAACGACTGTCCTTGCCTGCCAGGGCACAAACTCTGTCCCGGTTCTTTCCAAATTCATATCACTCATACTTTCATCAATATTAGTGCTCATGCCGCTCCCTGCTTGCTTTTCTTTCTCCATGTCACGAATCTCGTCGACAATCTTGCAAAGAGAGGCTTCAACCGCGTTCCTAGTCCGGTCCATCTCGGCGAGCACTTCCACTTCGTCGTGTGCATAGTTGGAGAAGGCGTCAACCACACCCTCGTCGTCTTCCAAGTCCAGCCCTTGCCAGACTGTCTGAAGGCGCGAGAAGAGGGCGACGAGGTGATCGATTTTGTCAAGAAGCTCTCTCAGCGATTCGATGAAGCCGTCGTTTGTGAGGAAAAGAGCTGCGTTCAATGCATGTAGATACCTCCGATGCGCGTCGGCCAGCGCACGAGGGTCAGTGGGCACCCTCTTTTCGTCGTGGTCGACCACTTCAGACATACTCGGCTCTCCAGCCGACGACGCTGTGGTTGGCCTCGACGACCTTGCAGAAGACAGGTGACGAGAGTCCTTACCCTCCAGCCACTCGCGGAAATGGGTCCAGCTGCTTTGAATCACCTCGCCCTGCAGATATGCCTGAAGCTCATTGACCAGGAACAAGAGCTTGCTCGCGCAGGTCCAGTGGCCTCTGGTTCTTGCGATGCGTCGGGCATCCTTCAGCCTGCGAGCTTCCAGTTTTGCTCGTCCAGACTGGGAAGTGCTTCTCGGTGGTCCCAGAGGACTCGGGTGACATCGGCGGTGAGATGACAGCCTCCATAGTGCCGATAAATGTAGCTCTGCTCGATGAATGGACAGCAAATAGGCGTTGATGTGGGCGTACAGCTGGGCATCGCTCGACGACAAAAATATGTGCAATGGCGATTGTGCCGGGAAGGCGAGGTGCAGAAGCGTGGGCGTGGGCAGCAAGGTAGCTATCAGGCGCACGTTCTGCTCACTCGGGGCTGTTTTGAGAGACAAAAGCTTTCTGGCGAGATGAAAGTTGTCGTCCTCAAGGTCATCCTCGGTCTGTAAAGCTGCAATCTCCGCCATGGTCTTGCCCAGCACGCCGTTCAGTTCGGCCTCCTTCACTGCTAGGTCATCCAGTCTTCCGATTTTCCGAACCGGACGAGCTGCCGCCTGCGTCTGCTGGCGCCCGCGGATTCTATCATCTGCATGCCTGATCAAAGATACCGCGAATTCGCCGTGACCAAGGAGCATATAACGCAAAATGACCTGGAGCAGTTGCATTACTAACGCTCGGGGAAGAATTTGAGAGAGGGCGTTTTCGGAGATACTTTGATTGATGGCCAGCAACGCACTTTCCATCAGGGTTGGGTTCAAGGGATACTGCACCGAGCCAAGCACTGTGAGGTGGTTCTGTAACAGAGCCATCGACGGGTCATGGAAGCCCTGTAACGCAACTGCACCAGAAGTGGCTTGCGAACGCAGCTGACTCAACGCACTACCGGCTGAGAGTAATGCTTGGATCGCCCCTGGTCTCAACAGTTTGGGAGCCAATGCAGGATCAATGATGAACTCATCCATGGCAGATGTCGGGTTTGGATTCGGTTTGATGCAGAAGTCCTCATTCCCAGCGGTCGGAAGCTTGCCATAGAGGACCCAGAGCGACGTCGCCCGCATCCAACTTTTCTGAGCAACTGTTAAAAGTGCCACCGCCATTTCTTCAATGTCCGAGTAACCTGTATGTGTTTCATCTTCCAGCAGATCGAGAATGCTGGCTCCGGACGGTGTACGTTTCCTTGCATTCTGTGCAGCATTAGGGTCTAGGTGCTGGACCACTGACCATAACCACTCCAACCGTCTAGTCCAGGCTGAAAACTCGGCCACAATGGTACTCAAGGGCACGATCTCGTACGCTGCCACGTATCCTGCATCCTTTCGAAGAATGGCAGATTCCACCTGTATAATCTTACTCACGAACGCGCCCAGGTGAACGTCTGCCACTGATGAGCTCACCGCGCGGCATACCATCGACCTGTGATGTCTGGACAACCGCGCCGTCGTCGTTCTGATCTGGACATGCAAGTCATGTAGGCGAGCTAGGGTATCTAGCATAGCCCGTTCTGGGGCTGAGACATATTGGTTGAACGGTGTTTCCTGGTCTTGTGCTCCTGGTGGTCGTACCCGCGCTTGCGACCAGATGGGCGACTGGAGGCCGGACAGGGACAAGAGGATCTCATGAAGCATTTTGTAGGTTGAGAGGGGCGGCAGGGTCGCGGGTCGTCGCACAACTCGAATGAGGAGGGGAAGTCGTGTTGCCGTTGGAATCTGAGGATAAGCCGCCCAACGAGTTCGAAGCGACACATTGGAAAGGATCGAGGCGCATAGCGAACGTGAAGTGAGGTGGAACGGTAATGACTGGAACACGGTCAAGTCGCGGTTGGGAAAAGTCACGCGTCGAGAGTGCTCCGGTCCAACATCGCCTACCTGAGCTGATATTGGGGCTAGGCCGAGGTGTAGAGTGCCGTGTCTAATTATGCGTTTGCACAATGTCCCTCTCCGAGGCTTTGAGACCACCCGTGCCTTGTCTCGAGAGGACAAGACGGGGGGCAGCAATGCGCAATTGAAGCGGTATCTCAAGCCGTCAAGGGAGTTTACAGTCCGCCGTTGCAGGGATGCATGTGGCAGGCGCTCCGATGCTCCGTATTGTGCCTGGCAGGCGGCTATTGCATCACTGGTCGATCTGTCACCCTGATCCGGAGGCTGCCATCGCCAATTGCTCACTTGAGTTCGCGAATCTTCTTGACTAATAGAACAAAACACACCTGCGTTTGACGTTTGAGTCTTGCCTGCGCCCATCAACTTCCGTCCTTTCTTCATCAGCAGCATCTTGAGGCCTTGGTCTCTGTCACTCCTTCCAAACTCCTCACTCGCCTCCCATCATCACTCCTCACTTCCCGCCGCTCTCCTTCCCCACCACTTCAAATACCCATCTGAAGCAGCAGTGTCGCTCTTCGGATCACTTGTGCTGTCAGTTTGGGTCTTGCCTCAGGCAAGGCCACTGTCATCATTTCACCTCACGCCGAGATCCCAGATACTATAAAGGCCGGTAGCAAAAGAAAGGCTTCCTCCGAGGACCTCTCCCGGCCAGACAAGAAAATCATGACAGACCAGTTGATGGATGTCGACAATCCTGGGGCTGCCATTCAGCAGCTCCAGAATGGCGAGATCGATGAATCCCTCTACAGCAGACAACTTTATGTTCTGGGACATGAGGCTATGAAGCGCATGGGCGCCTCCAACGTCCTCATCGTTGGCTTGAAGGGCTTAGGTGTCGAGATTGCGAAGAACATTGCCCTGGCTGGCGTCAAGTCTTTGACTCTCTTCGACCCTGAACCGGCTGCCATCGCCGACCTCTCTTCCCAATTCTTCCTGCACCCCGAAGATGTTGGCAAGCCCAGAGCAGAGGTCACCGCTCCCCGCGTAGCTGAACTCAACGCATATACTCCCATATCCGTTTCCAAAGCCAAATCATTGACAGAGGATCTGAGTCAACTCAAACAATTTCAAGTCGTCGTCCTTACAAACACGTCCCTCAAGGACCAGCTCACAATCTCCGACTACTGCCACCAGAACGGAATCTACTTGGTGATTGCCGATACATTCGGCCTCTTTGGTTATATCTTCACAGACTTCGGGAAAGATTTCACAGTGGGCGACGTGACAGGCGAGAACCCAATCAGTGGCATCGTTGCGGACATCGATGAGACCGGTCTGGTATCGGCTCTGGATGAGACGAGACACGGACTTGAAGACGGTGACTATGTCGAGTTCGCTGAAGTCAAAGGCCTGGAAGGGTTGAATGGTGCAGCTCCACGAAAAATCACAGTCAAAGGACCGTACTCTTTTTCCATCGGCGACGTCTCAGGTCTGGGCAAGTACGAAGGAGGCGGTCTCTGGGCACAGGTCAAGATGCCAAAGGTTCTCCAGTTCCAGCCCTTGTCTGAACAGATCAAGAAGCCTGAAATCCTCATGTCTGACTTTGCGAAGTTCGACCGACCTGCACAGCTTCATGTCGGCATCCAGGCGCTTCACCAGTTCAAAGAGAAGAAGGGCTCACTCCCACGGCCTCACAATGATGAAGACGCGAAGGAAGTCATCGAGATCACCAAGAAATTGGCGAAGGATAGCGGTGAAGAGGTTGAGATCGACGACAAACTGATCACAGAGCTGAGTTACCAGGCCCGAGGTGATATCAGTCCAATGGCCGCATTCTTTGGCGGTCTGACTGCACAGGAAGTTCTCAAAGCAGTGTCCGGAAAATTTACGCCAATTGTACAGTGGATGTATTTTGATTCTTTAGAATCACTTCCGACGTCTGTGGCCAGGAATGAGGAGCTCTGCAAGCCCGTTGGATCTCGATACGACGGCCAGATTGCAGTGTTCGGCAAAGAATTCCAAGAAAAGATCTCCAATGTCAAGAATTTCTTGGTTGGCGCTGGCGCTATCGGTTGTGAGATGCTCAAGAACTACGCCATGATTGGGCTCGGAAGCGGGCCCAACGGCCATATTACTGTCACAGACAACGACTCTATTGAGAAGAGCAACCTCAACCGTCAATTCCTCTTCAGAGCCAAGGACGTCGGAAAGCAGAAGAGCGAGGTTGCGGCAGAGGCAGCTCAGGCCATGAACCCTGACCTGAAGGGTAAATTCACCATCATGACGGACAGAATTGGACCTGACAGCGAGGACATCTTCAACGAAGCATTCTGGCATGAGCTTGATTTTGTCACAAATGCATTGGACAACGTGGAGGCTCGTACCTACGTGGACAGAAGATGCGTGTTCTTCATGAAGCCACTGCTCGAAAGCGGTACACTGGGAACGAAAGGCAATACTCAGGTCATTCTGCCACGCCTGACCGAATCGTATTCCAGCTCACAGGATCCGCCCGAGCAATCATTCCCCATGTGCACACTGCGAAGCTTCCCCAACAAGATTGAGCATACCATTGCTTGGGCTCGTGACTTGTTCCAGTCATACTTCGTCGGTCCCCCAGAAACGGTCAACCTCTACATGTCCCAACCAGACTACATCAATACCACTCTGAAACAACAAGGCAATGAAAAGATGATCCTCGACAGTCTCAAGGAGTATCTAGTGACCAACAAGCCGTCCGACTTCAACGACTGCATCAGCTGGGCGCGGATGGAGTTTGAAAAGCAGTACCACAATGCCATCGAACAATTGCTGTACAATTTCCCCAAGGACTCCAAGACTTCGTCCGGGGCCGACTTCTGGTCTGGGCCCAAGCGCGCTCCGACATCGCTCGACTTCGACCCCAATGACGAGACCCATATGGGCTTTGTGGTGCACGGAGCCGCTCTGCGTGCCTACAACTATGGCATTCCTGTCCCAAAGCTCAAGCATGAGGATTATGTCAAGGTCATCGACAGCATGATCATCCCTGAATTCAGACCCGACGCCAATGTGAAGATCCAAGCCGATGAGAAGGAGCCGGACCCAAATGCCGCGCAGCCCACGTTCGCAGACGACGCTGAAGAGCTGGACAAGATCATCGCGGAACTGCCTACACCCAAGTCTCTCCCTAGCTTTCGACTCAACGTCGTGGAGTTCGAGAAGGATGATGATACCAACCATCACATCGACTTCATCACAAGCGCCAGCAATCTCCGTGCATTGAACTACAACATTCCAGTTGCGGATCGTCACAAGACAAAGTTCATTGCTGGCAAGATTATTCCTGCCATTGCCACCACCACCGCCTTGGTCACAGGGCTAGTAGTCCTTGAGCTCTTCAAGATTGTGGACGGCAAGACCGACCTCGAACAATACAAGAATGGGTTCGTCAATCTTGCACTGCCGTTCTTCGGTTTCAGCGAACCCATTGCCAGTCCAAAGGGCAAGTATCAGGGCAAGAACGGGGAAGTCACCATTGACAAGCTCTGGGACCGTTTCGAAGTGGATGACATCACGTTGACCGAGTTCTTGAAACACTTCGAAGACCTAGGGCTGAGTGTGACCATGGTCAGCTCCGGAGTCAGCTTGCTCTATGCCAGTTTCTATCCGCCCAACAAGACAAAGGACCGCATGCCTCTCAAGATGAGCAAGTTGCTGGAGACGATCAGTCGCAAGCCAATTCCCGAACACCAGAAGAACATCATCTTTGAGATTACGGCTGAAGACACGACCGAAGAAGATGTTGAGATCCCGTATGTGATGGTCAAGTACAAGAAGTAGACGGAGACGCCGACTTTGGGTTCGGGTGGTCTGGGACGGACATACTACGAGATGGCGTTTCGTGACAGTGGTGGACCCCGGAAGGCAAAGCAGCGGCTCCTGCTGGTATTGGTTGGATGTGGAAGGATAGAGGATAGAGGTTCTGTCTCGACTCTGTATCATACACGGTCGCCAAATAGGGAGTGTAACACAGGCCAGAAGCGCCAATATTGCCAATATGAAAATTTGCGGCTGAGATTCCGCATGTTGATTTTCGGCCGCAAATGGAAAGTCCATATTGCCACATGTTGCGATAGTCTGACTGCATCTTTAGTCAGGACGCAGTGTTTAGTCACCAGGTGGCTTTGCTGCTCGTCATGATTAGCTTTACCCAGTAGAGCTTGCACGGCGCCTGACGGAGCGATGCTGATTGCTGATTGCTGATTGCCCATTGCCCCTCGGCGGCGCGAAAACCCCACGTTGTGTCATCGAAGCGATCGGTTACCGTGTCATGAGCTGCGATGCCGCAATGGATACGAGCTACATTTGAGGATTCGTCGCAGCTACAAAAGCTGTGCTTGTTTCCCCCTCCATCAATTCAGCTGCTCCGGGTCACCTCATGTCCAGAATCCTCGCACGGGCGCGATCACAACTGGCACACATGTCCTCGCAAGCAACCAAAGGCGACCCTTCGAAAGCAACTGGCGCCCCGGCACAACTGGAATCCACAATGTCGTCGGTACGGAGCAGCTCTCTTTATGCCACCTCCATCTTCGCCCTCCTTGTCTCCATTGTCGCATTCTATTTCCTGAAACCGTCGCTGAATGCAGAGTTCTTACAGGCCAAAGGCACCATCACGGACTGGGTGAAACCGGGCGACAAGTCCGGCGAGTTCAAGAGACAAGCTTCCTCATTCCGGAATTGGATCTCGAGTGATCCCAATGCCGAGTTCCCCGCCGAGAAGGGGCGGTACCATCTCTATGTCAGCTACGCGTGTCCGTGGGGTGAGGCGACCTCTACACTTACGGGGAAAGAGCCGCAGCGCTGATTTTGATCCCGAACAGCCCACCGGACACTGATTGTCCGCAAACTGAAGGGCCTGGAAGACATCATCCCCTTCACCAGCGTGCATTGGCACATGGCCGAAAAAGGTAAGCCGTTGTCACCCGCCCGTGGAATCGCTGGGACGAACTAACGAGCGTGTCGTCAAAAGGCTGGCGCTTCGCAACCAAGGACGAGACCGTGCCCGGCGAGAACACGACGCCCGACCCATTACACCCGAACAACACGCACCTGCGCGACCTGTACTTCGCCGCCAACCCCAACTACGAAGGCCGCTTCACCGTGCCCACGCTCTGGGACAAGAAGAACCAGACGATCGTGAGCAACGAATCCTCCGAGATCATCCGCATGTTCTACACGGCCTTTGACGACCTGGTCGACCAGAAATACAGGGACGTCGTGCTCTTCCCGGACGACCTGAAGGACAAGATCGAGGAAGTCAACGGTTGGACGTACGACGACATCAACAACGGCGTCTACAAGAGCGGCTTCGCCACCACGCAGGAAGCGTACGAGAAGAACGTGGTCCAGCTGTTCAAGTCGCTCGACCGCACCGAACAGATCCTCGTCGAGGCGTCGTCCAAGGGACCGTACTATTTCGGCGACAGACTCACCGAGGCGGACGTGCGCCTGTACACGACCATTGTGCGCTTCGACCCGGTCTACGTGCAGCACTTCAAGTGCAATTTGCGGGATGTCCGGTCCGGGTACCCTCATTTGCATCGATGGCTGAGGCACCTGTACTGGACGATCCCCGCGTTCGGCGAGACCACCCAGTTCGAACACATCAAGAAGCATTACACCAAGAGTCACAAGCAGATCAATCCGTTTGGCATCACGCCCGTGGGTCCCGTGCCGGATATCCTCAAGCAGGATGAGGAGGTCGGCGTGGTCAAGAAGGCTGTGGCGTGATGGAGAGACAGAAGAAGAAGAAGATGTGGCGCCATGGAGATCATGCGTGTATACGGAATATCCGTCGACGGGAATGCAAGTTGTAAGTTGACTAGTACAAAAGTCGGTTCGACCTGTAAGGTACGTCGGCATCTTCAGAAAGCCGGCAATGGCCGCCGTCCATGGGCGGTGAAGGTCCAGTACCACCAGCAGCACCAGACGGGAAGGTTATTGTATATCTTTCCGAAATCAATTCTTATAATTTCCGCTTGGACCTGTCGGGCACGTATGCAATAATAGGCCACTTCCCTTTTTCAGTTCCTATTCCCGGCTGGGAGTGTTTTGCCTAAAGCACGGAAGCAGGTCAGGGGATGGTTACACAGAAAGGTACCGGCTTGTCTAACGTTAAAGGAGACAAGAGGAGGACACACGGAAAATTACAGTACCGGCTTGGGAGTGTCTTCATCACTGGAGACGGAAGATGGATCAGTCGTCAAGGTTATGATTAAACTGGCTGTCTGCCGCATGTAGAGGTAAAAGCGGGTTCTTTCGACTTTGACGGAACGTCGTATCGCTGCTCCGCTCTCCCTCTGTCAATGCAGAACTACTGCGCTGAGGGACCACTATAACAGCACGCTGTGAGGCGAGAATTGATGCATTCCGAGCTTCTCGGTCAGTCTACCTCGACGGACCAGAACGCTGACCTGCCTGGGCCGAGGCGTCTCAGCATACTGCACCCATCTTCAGCTGTTCGCTGTTCTGTTGGACCGTGGTCGCACCCTCCCACCATCGTCAAACACACCGTCCCTCCGCCTTGGATATTATCCAACTGATCAGATGCCCGGCCCTTCACCCGATACCCTGAATGTCAATATCCACTGCCTGCCTGGCGTTCAAGATCTTCAAATCCGGCAAGCCCCTCCTTGCTTGCATAACCGTCGAATCGTAGACGTGCCCACACCTCGTTCCATATCCTGGATGGCCTAAGCATCTCTTTGAAATTTCCTGATGACTTGATGTTGGATGGGCTTTCTTGTTCTATTGCCACCACGAGATGGCTTGGGTATGTAGGTTGGAAATGCGATTGGCTTCGAAACTGCTTCTGCTTTGATACAGCAGGTCTTGAGTTCAAGTCGGACCTCGGATGTGGAAATCCTGCCTCGCCATTTCTCGAAGTCGTCGTGTTGGCGGCTGATAAATGTGATCCAAACATGAACATTCAACCAAAGGCGTCGGGAAAAGGGGGCGACCTCGTTCTCGGCGCTGGGCAAAGGCAACGGTCCAGCAGGTGCGCATTTCCAGGGTCGGGAACAATTGCTGATTAGATTGGCACATGGCGCGAATTCGAACCGGACCAAGCACCCCTTGCGGAGGAAGTAATCTAGCGCGAACCTCTTCTCCATGGTCTCCTTTTGGCCGCTGTAGATGTTTCGGTCATGGATGACGAATTCCACGGGATACACGATAATGTTTCTCCTTGCCTTTTGAGCGCTTTGAAAGGCAGCCTCGAGCTCTGACGCAGCGTTCCGGGCGGAGAAAAACATGCTGCGCTGTCCCTCGATAGTGAACTTCATCAGTGAGGGGAATAGTTGTGTCTTGCGTGAAGGACTTGGGATCGGATATCTTGCGGTATACGCGAGTCTCATCGAGCCGATCAATCTTGCTTCCTTTCGATGTGAGAGCTGGCGACCAGCATTGACGATTTCCTCGAACGTATCCTCCGCCACCATGACCATCACACGCATCAAAGCAACAGCTTTGAGAAGCTTATTCTTGTAACGCGTCTGGCGAAAATGGAAGAAGCTGAGGGGGTCAAAAGGTGCTGAGACAGGCGCTGGTAGATCTGTGCGATGATTGGTGTGTTCAACGGCTTGCACTGGCTTCCCAAGGTCGGTAGCTTCTCTCTTGAGCCTGAGTCTGGTGCTCTGTCGTGTAGATTTCTTGACCGGTACGACTGTGTATTGCTCAAACAAGAGCCTGACTATCATTGCCTGGAGCTCCGTTGGGAGCTCAAGGAGCGTTGGCATCTTGAATGGGTATCCTCTAATGATGGCGGTGCTTGATAGCACAGAAATATTGTGCCAAGGATGAGCCGAAAGCGAAATAACCGAAGGAGAGACCGTGAGCGAGTGGTGAATGACGGTTGTCACTGTGCTTTTCATTCCAGTAATGTCAGTCACTTACTTGCTTGATGGTGAAGAGGCCCGTGATACCACGTGACTGCAGTGATATTGTCTCTGTGCTATTCACTCCAGGAACATCAGCCACTGACTTCTTTACCCGCGAGGAGTCCGGTTAGAGTGACATTGTCGCGGCTATGTGCTATTAGTTCTCAATTCAGAAAATGCAACTGGCGGTTAGCTGCTTGCTGTTAAGATCAGCAAATATCGACAGCAAGAATAGCAGAGACGGAAGCCGCGTCTCTGAGGCCCGAGTAAATGTCCAACAAGTGACCAGCATTGTCGTAGAGTTGGCAGCATCGCCGATACTCCATGGTCACGACATATACATCATAGTCTTCTCTTCAGGGATATGATTTTTACCAGACGCGTCTTAGTGATGTGTTCGCTTGCATGGTGAGGATGATGGAGATATCTGGCAGCTCTGCGTGTGGACATCGTTCTTGATTGTAACCTCAACATGCGGTGGTGCTCAGTATCATGGACACCGGAATTCGTGGTCCTATAACAAGGATCGGTTCGTGCGCCAAAGGTGCCGCTCAAACTTTGTGTCCGCATCCGACAACTTGAAAGTTAAAGGTGGCTTGGGCACGAATGTCGGCAGAGGAATACTAGTGCTGCTGTACCATAGGTCGATGCATAGATATGCCCCAGGCATATCAAAGAAGGGTTAAAGTGCAGGTCCTGTTCCAGCTTCTTTGCAATAGCTCTAACAGAAAAGAAGAAAGAAGTGAAGAAGTCAGAGAACTGAGAGCACCACATGATCTATTGCCGCGCCGTAGGACGTACTTCTGAAGAAATTACGGTGGATCATAAATCTCACGCACGAAGGTCTCGACAATCACCATCAATTGAAGGCACTTTCCTACTTGTGCCCTCAAACCTACGACAATGCAGGACAGTAGCTAAGGAAGGCTCCCCGTCTCCAACTCCTTCATCCATACACCAGCCGGTCTGCCATGGTGTCCCCTCAGCCGGATGTCGACCAGGATTTGGTCCGGCGCCAGACGATCTTCACTGACTACAACCGCTTCCTGCATACCTCGACCCTCGCAGCATGTGTTCTGGCCCCTGTGCTGATCATCCTCCCTCCGCGAAAATTAGACCTCTACACTTTCTTCTTGTCAGGCGCGTTCATCGCGTCGGTAGACTACCAAGCTAGAGAGCGTGCAGGATTGGGGATAATGGGCTACGCTTCACGGCGGTTCATGTCAAGAGAACAGCCGAGGTCAATGGGCCAGGATGGCGCAAACCTGGTGCTGGAATCGAGCAGATTACTCGAAGAGTCGTCCCCGAGACTGGTGCAGAGCTCAAGTTTGCAGCACAAAGCTCAGGAGGACTGGAAGCAACAACGATTAAAAGAGGAGCAGGAGAAGCTTGATCGGGGCGAAGGCTACTGGTCCATGATAGTCGAACAGGTCTGGCATGTGTGGAACCAGGAAGAGAAGAAAGTTGAGCAGCTTAAGGAGAGAGATGAGGAGGTTGTGCAGGCGAGAAAGGAGAGGGGTTGAAAGACATGACTTTTTGTTGGTGCAAACATATATTGCACGCAACTTTGGTCCCAAGCTTCAAGATCAACGATGCCGAGCTCAGACGCGTACAGCCCCAGACCTGATCTGGTTCGCCCACAACCCTACTCAGCCGACCCAGCTCCCAGGCATGGCTGCCTCAACCGCAAAGTTGGTGAAAAGGCTTGTCGGTGCTCAGTTCGCAACTCGATTCCACTCTTGTTCGGATTCGCCCCACGGTTTACCACAAGCATGTTCGTTCCCGAATCTCTGCTCGTCGACCTCAACCTGGAAATCCCGTACCTTGATGCCCTGCTTCATCAGATCATCTCTCGCCTTTTCACTCTCCTCAGTTTGTTCACGCCGGGATTTCTCTTCGCGGTTATGGAATATGATCGGCGCGTGGCAAGCGTGTGATCTTTGGTGCGTTGGTGCCTGTGCTGCCGGTGCAGGTTGCTGGATGACTGCTGAACTGGCAGTCGTTACGTTGAGGTTCGACAGTTTTGGCTGGGAGGGAAGCGAGTGGCTCCTGGGCGGAATTGGAGGAGGAAATATGCGGGCTGCGAGGCGGGGCATGCGTGGATTGCTCATATTTAGGGCCCTGTACGGCACTGTGAGCTTCACTGCTCCCAGTCTGTCTTGGAGAAAGGGAACAATGGTCATACCAGCGACACCCGAGCTCTTCCCTATGGTGAATGCCGCTGAAGGTGGGCTGGCAAATTGAGCTTACACGCGCGCGTTGATCGCGTGAGCATGGTATATTTGATGCACTGAATCGAAGTGAAGTGGATGAGGTATCAGTGTCGACTCAAACATTTAATATTGCCAATGCCTTGTCTCGGTCTCGAGAAAAAGAAATTATGACAGCAGGGACGTTCAACAATTGCTAGGGTATGCCCTGCACACAAAGTCGGAGTGGGAAGATTGACATTCAAAAGCAGACTGGATGGGCCTTTTATGCACGCCGCAAACGTTGTACAGAGACGCGACACGCAGGCGTTTGGAGTCAGGACTACATGAGAGGGTGTGGTGTCAAGTGTACGTGGGTTACACAACGCAACGTCGATCGCCAATTGCAAGATACTGGCTTGGACGGGCACATGCTGATTCGTGGTGGAGGTACCCTTTCAGCGAGATTTCATGGTTCGACCCTTCCTTCGCTCTCGCTCAAGATCAAGAGGACTGTCCGTTTTCCAACAGTCGAACGGCAATTTGCAAAAGGTTGTCTCTCACGCCTTTGACTTCTTGCCTTTCCGCTGTTTCTTTCTCTTCCCGCCAGTCTTCCGACTTTCCTCGTTCCCTTCTAGGTCTGCTTGCGCAAACGGTCTCTTGTCATTTTGCTTTTGTTCTTCTTGTGCGACTGCAGGTGTTGCGAAAGCTTCAGACTTGGTTTCGTGGTTCTCCTTCCGCTTCTTGTTCTTGGTAACGTTCCCACCTTCCGTAGACTCGTCGCTCTGTCGCTTCCGTTTCTTGTTGGCTTTGGCCATCTTCTTCTCTTCCCTGGCCTTGGCTCTTGCTTCCACTGCTTTCACAAAGTCGTCGTCGTCACCATCGGCTTCCCGCATGTCTTCGACCTGCTCGTCCTCCGCTGTAGGTGGAGTTGTGACTTTGCGCTCGTGGTTCTTCTTAGGTCTCTTTCGCTCTGGCTCTTCTGCGCTCCCCTGCTCGGCTCGCAGTGGCCGATCCGCTTCAATCTTTCGCTTCGGGTTCTCTTTCGTCTTCTCCTTCCCGAATTTCTCTTTGTAGAGCTGTTCAATTGGCGTGGGATTAGGGTCGATAGTAAAGAAGCCGCTCGGGTCGGGCACCGCGTTTACAGACTTTTGCGACTTCGGCTTCTTGGTCGGACGGATGGGGATAGTCGGGGCCTCTGTTTCCAGAGCCTTCGAGTCCTCCGTGATGACCTGCTCCTCTCGCTTCGTCACTTCTTGCAACGACTCTGTTGACTGTTTGAATGTTGCGATCGACTTCTCCGTGATGTTGAGACGTCCCAGAATCAATGAACGTGTCGCGCTCTTGTCATCGCAGAGTTTCCGCATCTCGACGAGTAACGATGCATGAGTATCGAGTAAGGCCACGATTGAGTTGTGTTGGTCGAGGAACTGAAACCATTGTGAGCGTTGCGCAAGCGCATGTATGCAGGATTTCGACTTACTGTTTCCCATGTCTTGTCGCCTATCTCAATAGCCATATTGTCAAGCACTCAATCGAACAGGGAAGACTGAGTGTATATCGAGATCGGAAACGGAGGGTGCACTCGACAATTCTATGCGCAATTGGAGAAGAATTTGTCCCGCAAACGGCGAGGCTGTGAACGATCTCCGAATAGTGGCATCAGTGGCAAGGCTGTGGCAGCTACACTTCACCGTACAATGCTTGGCCCCTGCCTTGAATACACTACGGTGAATTTTGCGGCCTCTCCTGGACAATCACCTTACTACACAGACGCCCCTCCCTTCACTAATCTACATCAATGTCCGATTGCTCAGGGGTATATTCATAGGCAAGCACGTCGCTCACAAGAAGAACGCAAGAGACAATGCTACCTGCTGCAGGAATGGTTGGTACATTTCATTTTGCGCTAGAGAAGGTGGCCAGGGCGTGATTGATAGACTGCCATGGAATCAACACCCCCCAAGCCATGGCGAGACCACGAGGTGAACATGATAGGATGAAGGCTGACTGTGAACTTCCATAGAGGACTGTGCTCTGCTCCCCAGAAGACTCCAAGTGAGCCCGTACTCTTGTTACTTTGAGAGCCCGTCTCACAGAGCCCCTTTGTGAATCGCGGTTTGCATTGAAGAAGAGATCACACAAGTCCAGGCTGGATGAAGGCTCTCTGTGAACTCATGTCGACATTCCAACCTGCGATTGAAGAGGGACTCAAGTTCAGCTTCTGTTCTTTTGGGTGTCAGAACCCACACCCCAGCAGCCCGTCCTTGGGTCAACTCTGCTGGCTACAGCGGGTGTGCCAGCATTGAATCCTCTCCCCTCCGAATGCCCTCTCGCATGAACACGACAAGACGAGGTAAAAGTGGTTTCTCCTACGAATTCGTTGCTGGTCTCGCACGACGACGTCGAGCTGAGAGGCTGCTCATGAGCTCTGACCGCGCCCTCGAGCAGCTTCTCTTGCGTCACTCTCGACCGGTCACAATGGGTGTGGCAGCATTCCTTTCCTGGCCCTATTGAAGCTTCACACTTGACACGAATATGCAATGAGTTGCCATTGTGCGGCAGCTATTGAGTCAGCGGCGATTGCCGCCACTATTGTCGTCGGTCTTGCCCTCAAGTCAATGCCAACTGTTACCCACCTTCAGACTCTGCAATTCTCAATGGGTTCCTTCCTCAATGGGCCTCCCCCTTCCTCTGGAACTCGGCTTCGTCGACCTCTTTGCTATTATTCTTCACTCTTGTCCTATCTCTCCTCTTCTTCTCTTCTTCACACTTCGCTTGCACAACTCCCCTGCTGTTAGCATCTCCTCCCTCTTATCATCCATCCAGCACTGCATCTTGGTTGCTCATTCTCATCTCCCCGTTGGCCGCTCTATTCATTGAGCTTCATCTCCATTTCTACACCCAGAAAACCAAGCAGAAAGACGTGGCAGCAAGCTGTTCTTGTGCCAATACTCTGCGGGTGGGTACATCCAGCAGCTCCGTTCTCTCGACGGCTACCATTCCTTCTGCCAGAAGCATACTGACACCGAGCTCTAGAGACCGGCAACATGTCTGAGAAACCTACGAGTCAAACGGCCTCGAGCAATGCCTATGCCGTCTACCCTCAGACGCGAATGCCCTACACTGGAGCTGGCTACCAACAGTACAGTGGAGGTAAGAGCTGGAGTCACAGCCACTGTCACGAGCTTCTTTCTCACCATTTCACAGGCATGACCATGACCAATTCCAACCCTCTCGCCAGCATGCAGAACCTCAAGGCCACCTTGCCATCCTCTGGATCCGCGGACAATGACATGAATGCTGTCAATCGTCAAGGCTACAACAGTCCTCTGATGGTCTTGCCATCGGGTCAGACTGTGCCGCTCACCAACTATTACGCTCAGACCCAGACCTCGGCTGGAGATGCCACTTCACAAATGCCTTATGTCCCCACTGGCATGTTCCCAAACTTCATTGGCAATACAAGCATGGCTCCCAGCACCCTTGCAGGCTACGGCTGGCCATATGGAATGACTCCCAACCTTGCCGGATTTGACCCAGCTCGTCGAGGCTCTTGGTCTTCTGAAGACAACGCCGCCAACAACCAAGCTGCGGCACTTCAAGTTCACTCGGACTACTACAACATGCCCGTCCCATACATGGCCACTGGTGCTTCAGCCAGCCAGCACTATATTGCCGGCCCCATCCAACCCATGAAGTGTCAAGACAACAAGTCATATGAAATGGTTAACCTTGACGAGCTTGTCAATCGAGATCCACCCATTCCGCGCGCTGTGCCCGCTCTCTGGACAAACCAAGAAGAGCTCAGCCTGGCCAAATGTCTCCAGAATCCTGAAGGCATCACCAACGTCTACATCCGTGGCTTCATGCCTGAGACTACCGATGAAGACCTTCACCGCTGGGCTTCCCGATTTGGCGAGATTGAATCATGCAAGGCCATCATTGAGCAAGACACTGGCAAATGCAAAGGGTATGCTCGCTTCCGCAGCCCCCATTGACCTTGTCCATCACACTGACATCTTCCAGCTTTGGCTTCGTCATGTACTACTCTCCTGCTGCCGCTGAGAATTGTATCCGTGGTTTCTTTCATCTCGGTTTCCAGGCCAGCTATGCCCAGAAATCCCGCAACTCTCGACTGAAGGATCTTGAAGATAGAAACTCCACTAACATCTACTGCACCGGAGTCCCCATTGAGTGGAATGAATCGGTTCGTGCCTTCTTTTCCTTCCTGTGACCCCGACTGACATCGTGCTTCAGGACCTAGCCAAACACTTTGCTCCATACATTGCCGTCTCCACCAAGATTTGCCGTGATGCTCCATCCGGTGTCAGCAAAGAAGTCGGCTTTGCCAGGTATGAAGGCATGTTCTCATCTTCAGCTTCTCATTGCTGACCCTTGCAGGTTCGAGTCCCGTGAGGTCGCCGAGCGTGTTATCCGAGAGTTCCACTCTGTCCTCAACGAATGTGACAACGTCAAGCTGTTCCTCCGGTTCGCCGACACCAAGGCTCAGAAGCAACTCAAGCAGCAGAGTCAAGAACGTCGCACCTGGCGAAGCCGCGAGTACAGCTTCTCCGTCGAACACACTCCATCTCCAACTTTGTCTCGCTTGCAGAACATGAACAATCACATCAGTCCGAATGGCAGCTACCAGTCACCTGCTGGTGGCTTCACTCCAGCGACGTCAGTCTCTCCGCCGTAAGTCTGGCCTTACTGCTGTCTTCAAATCTTTTGCCAAGTCATATTCACTGACTTCTCTGCCTACAGTGAGCTGCAAGGTGTCACCAACAACAACAAGCCTGTCAACCAGCCCATCCGCAGTTCCTCTACTGCTTGGCCAATGCAAGGCGGGCTGCAGTCAATCACCAACACCAACACCGCCACAGTTCGAACCCACCCTACTGGTACTGCTGCCCCTCATCCCTACATCGAGGTGCCGCCCAAGGCTACTGCCACCATTGCAACTGTTCCCGACCATGGTGACGCCAACAAGAGCACGAAGACCCCTAGTCCCGAAAAGGTCACCATCAAGGTCGAGCCAGCCAGTGGCAAGGAGAACTACATCGCTGCCACTCCCCAGTCCAGCAAGTAAGCTTCGCCACCCCAACGTTGCCCAAGAACATCATTCCAGCATGCACGTATTACCTCAGGTGTGCATCTTGTTCTTGGTCTGCTGGTACTAGTCCATCTTGTTTTCTTTTGTTTCTCCCCGTCTTGAGCATGCACTGTCATCAGCTGGATGGCCATGCATTCTGTCAGCACCAGCACCGGCGAATCGACATATGGACATCAGACCCGATCATTATCCATGTACGGCAAGACATCGATACTTGTGCATTGATGACATGGCGACATCATCATGGGAATATGTTGATATGACAGGTGTGAGAAGAAGAGCTGGAAGAAATATTCACGCAGGTCTTGCAGGTATTACTGAAACATGTACTTAGTTGAGAGGTCGATCTCAAATGTATCAAAGTTATCTCCACTCGAATCTGCTTTGTTACCCGTGCCTGTATTCTTTTGTCCTTCAGTGAACGGGCGTGGCATCTTAGACCAGATCATGAGCGTAACATAGTCCATCGGGAAAAGACCAGTGTGAGCCCCTGCCGCTGACAAGACATACAATGTGGTCAAAGGCCGGTGGCTCGAGTTGTCAAATGCCTTTGCTGCTGCCGAGCTACGTAGCAGCCGGGGGATGTTGGTTGATAAGGCTGCGCAGAAAGGGGCGGCGATACTCCGTACAGTCACCCACATACCTCTTCCTAGGTAGGTAATGACCAATTCGAGATTGAACGGGCAATTGTTGAAGGTGTACGACGGATGGGCTGAGTGACATCAAAGGTCAATCAATCACTCTGCGCGAGGACATATACGGGTACTAACTAGTATGGGTACTGGCGATGGTACTACCTCTTTGTTCCCCGTCCTTCGCCCTTCGCTCTCCGCGTTGTTCTCTATTGTTCGGTTCAAACACAGAACTGCAGGCCTGGCATTCTCAGAAGAGCCCTTGGATCGGCTGGTGTAAGTGCGTAAGTGAGTTAAGTGACAAATGTGAATAGCTATGCAATGCAGTACGGTGTCTTGAGAACCCATTGTCATGTCGCGTCAGCACGTTCGAAGTGAGCGGTGCGAACTATGGACTTCTTAAATCACTAGCTCACCCCTTGTCTCGTCGATTTTCTCTTCTGTTCACAAGATCCCCTTTCAAGCCCTTCCTTGCATGGGGCCGCTTAAAATGTGTGCCAAAAGTCCATCATTTGGGAGCCTGTCTTGACCACTTCTGCGCCGTCGCATTCTATACTTCGACCTCGGTGTCTGTGGCCTTGTCCATGCTGCCTGACGGCACAGGACTGGGTGTTTGCTCCTTCGATCCCATATCCGACCTTGATCCCTCTTCCTCTCCGCGTGTGGTCACCAGATAATCGTCGTCTCTCGCCATCGGCCAGCTGTTACCCGTCCCAAGCACGGCATCCCAATCCAATTGCTCGGGGAACCACTTGTCCCGTCTCGTCGTGCCTTTGTCCCCGCCTTCCATTGCTGCTCGGCTTGCTCTCGTGCGTCGTTGTCGTTTGGTCGGCCCGGTTTGGCTGACACCGTGCAGTTCATTGCGGAGGTATTCGAGGTGTTTGTCATGGGAGACGATGCAGCGGATATATGGCGCTACTTCGGTGATGACAGACACGGCTGACGGGTTGTCGAGCGAGGGAGATTTGCGGCCAAGGCCTGTCGGGAGTCCGATTCGAGATTCTTCGAGAAGGGGCTCGAGTGTTGAGGCAATAGTGGTGCGCGTGAGTTTAGAGCGGCTGGAAGGGAGCTGATTGAGGTACAAGCGTACCACTTCGTCCCTTGGGACTGGTGGTGTGTTGTGGGCGGAAGTGGATAGGCTCTTAATCACGCCTGCCAGGAGAGGCGCCGTGCGGTCATCGAAGAGATCCATGGCACTCTTGGCGTCGGAGAGGATGGCCGCGTCAGTCAATGTCTGGGTAGGCGTAGTCTCCGCGTCAAAGGGGTAGATATCTTCCTCGACCCAGTCTAGAGGCGAAATGCCCAGACTAGCCTGAGTGAAGCGGATCAGATCCTCTGTGTCTTCAATCTGTTCTGGCAGCAGGTCAAGTCCGCTGATATATGTATCTTGGCTGATAATTCGAGTTATCGCCCCGTCGAAGCCAGACCTCTGCCTGTCTTGATATGATAGCATCCAGTCAAGTCCTCCTTGTAGAGAGCCGACTGTCATCTGGCACCAGAGATTGAGCTCTGTGATCGCCGCACGTAGATCTTGGCCTTTGGTCAGATAGAGGTTCTTTAACGCCTCTTTGCTCAGGAGATGTCCCTCGGCTGCGGCGATGTGTCCGAGATGTTGTATAGCTAGGTCCATCTCGGGACGACCGTAGCGCAATACCGTGAAGAGGTCAAGCTCGTCACGCGGTACAGACTCGATGTCGTTGCAAGTAAGGATGACTGGTCTTTTCGAGGTTTTAATCAGCCAGATGACATGACTCCAGAAGCCTTTGTCTTCCTCAAACAAAATGTCGACTTCCTCGAATAAGATCAGAGACTGCTTCTGCGACTTAACTCGCGAATCCTTGCTCTCTTTCGGACCAGGCAGCTTTTGCTGCTTCCCGTTCTTAGCAGCTCCGGCGTTCATAAAAGCTGCCATAGTCTTCTGGTTTATAGGCGGAGGCTCATGGATGAAGCGTGTTTCATCGTCGATAGAGATACTGGATTCTCTACTCAGTGGGCTGCTCTGCTGCACAAGATGGTTGTGTGTCATGTCTCCCACCTTATCCTGGATATCCCTGGCACTTCGCCGCATGCCCGGATTGATCTCAAAGACCTCGAAACCCAGTTGCAATGCAACCGCGAATATGGATGCTGTCTTTCCGGAGCCGGGTGGTCCTACCAGCAGGATGGCGTTCTTTCCGTTCGCGGTTGATCGAGCATCATCGTCGTCAGATTCTGCAATGAAGTCTTCCATTTCTTCAGACTTTCTCTTTCGGCGCAGTTTTTTGGCCACGGATGGGTTTGCCTTCTGTGATCCGCCAGTCTGGACTTGATGAACTCGCAGACTGTTCAACCAGTCATGCAATACCTTGCTCTGACTCTCCAGTACATCTTGCCAACGAGCCGGGGCATATTCATGGGACCATATCTGAGGTCCTGCGGCCGTACCCTTGTCGAAGCAACTTGGCGTTGATTGAATGCGTGTTCTCAAGGATATAAGTGGATTTGGATAAGGCTTTTGGTTGTTGCATGTCTCGAGTAGCGAATCCACCGTTTCAGAGAAGAATTTACCGCTCATAACTCTTCGTCTGGGCATGTGAAGGTTGGAGGTTCCGGCGTCGGACACTGCACTCCGAGAGAAGTTCCAAAGGATGTCTTCTTCAGGTCTAACGCGGAGGGCATTATGCTTCAGCTTGGAAGAACTTCTTGAGGCTGGAGCGCTTGTTGGGAGCAGAGTTTGTGATGAATGACCGGGTCGGACGTGCTGTAGCGAAGCCGGAGGCCAAATTGAAGGCAGCAAGGAAGCGATTTGTTTCGAAAGCTTCCCGGATCCGAACACGATGTCTTTCCACGGCTTTGATGCCTTCGGGATTGGCCTGGTGCCGGTCTCATCATCAGAGGTGATTATCACAGATGACGATTCGCTCTTTAGATCAGATTGCTGCTTTTGCGTCTTGACTGCAGTCTTCCCAAGAAAGAAAGGATGAGTCGTCTTTGCTGCGGCAGGCTTGCTCGCTGCCTCGGTCGCGCGCTGCGCTTCGATTTCAGTGTTGAACCTTGTATGTTTGCTCGACAATATCTCGTCGATCCTAGCGCCCGAGTCTGGAGCAGTATAAGGCAAAGAAACACGCAGCGAGGAGACGAATCTTCCGTTCTTCATCTCAACTTTCTTAGATGCCTTTGCCGGCTTTTTTGATCCGTTCGTCTCACTGTCCTGTTGGACAGTTCCAGATCGAGGTGGTTTCTTGGGTGAAAAGCTGAGTTTTCCATGCTCGCTTCGTAGCTTCTTGTTGCTCGGCGTGGAAGAAGGCTTGATGCGCTTCAGCGGAGGGTCATCCATGGCACCATCAGTTTGCGGAAGTTGATCAAGAAGAGGTTGATGAGAGTCGATCTCATTTGTAGTTGATGAAGCGTTCAAAGAAGGGTGAGGTGAATATGGCGGTTCGGACATAGTCTCACGCGACTTCGACACCTCGCTCTCCTTTATCTGAGGAGGGTAGTGGCACATAGAAATTTGATTCTCGAATTCATCTTGTTGTGGCTCAACCAAAGTTCTGGCTGCATCTTGAAGTTGTTCATGCGACGTCGACTGAGGCGTATTTGCTGTGTCAAGCCCTGATGATACCGGTTCCACAGATACTCTCCGCCTCTTCACTCTCATATTCTCGCGTTCCAGGTCATCTCCTTCAATCACACTCCAGCGACTTCCCGGTTGTGTGTTGGCCACGCCTGAGGCTGACTGGTCCGCAAGGTTGGATCTATCTGCGCGCGAGTCGGTGGTAGCGTCGGTGTGCGCGGAGTGCAACACCTCATCCTCGCTGATTCCGTCTAATCCTACGCCGACAGTTGAGGGAGATGGAATGTCCTCAGGTTTAACTGTCATGTGTGTTGTCAGCATGGCTGCTGGTTGGCCGATGCAGATCACTAACCTTTCCTGAAGAACGGATGCATACCCCCTGGTGCAGTGCCATAGTCTAGCACTGTCGCCATTCACCCTGGTGTCATGCGTTGACGGAGCCGTCCCACCCTGCAGTTTGGACTCTGGCTCAGGCGGTCCATACGTTGTAAGCAAGTAGGCGAGAGAGAAGATAAGCGCCAGGTTCTTCAGTCTGAACTGTCGCCTGGTTGGTGTCGATGTGTGGTTGCAGTGAGACTGCGCGTGGTCATGTCGAAGTGAGTTCTGAACAAAACGCGTCAGTGACGCGATGGGCTTTGACATGCCCGGTCGATGGAGGCTCTGCAGTAGGCATCGCTGATAGGCTTCTTTAGGCGGAAGATCGACCGCTAAGCGGCCCTGGGATGGTGCCCAGATCTGGGAAGGTGTAAGCGAGGCTTAACTGTGCGTGGTCAGCACTCCGCATTTGTGTCTCTAACGAACTTTTTGCGCTTCCTGACTTTTTGGCGACGACAATATATGCGAAGTGCAACGCACGAACCTGCTAACACTCCATGTATTGCAATGGATGTTTCAGCTCCCACCTTTCTGGCTAGATTGCCGCGACCTAGCAGGCCAGATGGAATCTATTTTGGGGCGGTTCACGGTTTGCGCAACGGGCTGAAAAAGCGGAGGAAAGAAATTTGTGCAGCCGTTGATGGCGACTCTGTCGGCCTTTATGAGGTAACAATCCTCTGGTAGCGCTCATCTGGGACGGCACTAACAGTTTACCAGATTGAGAATGGCAATATCCTTGCTTCCTTCCCTGTGCCGCCTTCTTCACGTTTCCTGGGGCCACCGTGCTCAATCCGCGAGAAAACGGATGGACTAAACTCTCGGTGGACGTACTGCGCTATAAAGAGGGACTCGCTACGAGTCGAGGCTTTTCAGACATCAGGCGACGACTTAACACGCCCAACGTTCTTCGCGAGCGCACCCTTGCAACATCAAGATAGTCCTGTTACGCTTCTCGACGTTCATCAGGGAAGCAGAGGCAAACAGGTCCTAACCGTGCAGCAAAATGGCGATATCACAATCTTCTCCGGAGACCTGCAGACTATATCATCCGGGATGTCACTGGTTTCACAGCACGAAAAGAGTATCAGAGCCTTGGCTATCCAGAATGTCACACTTCCAGAGGCACAGAAAACCATTTTAAAGCAAAGACCCGATATCGCTACTACTGTTGCGCCGGATGCTTCATGTCTAGCAGTTGCTTACGTTCAGAGTGTACAAGGCGGCGCTGTCGATACCTGCTGCTATGGCGTTTGGGCTATCGACGCTGTTGAACAAAAACCTGCATCTAGTGGGAGGTTTTTACATCCATTGTTCGAGCATGAAATCTCTTTGGGGGTAAACAGACCTATTGTCCTCAAAGACAGCTCTTGCACATTTGACCCGAGAGCGACACACCTCTCTGTACGCGCAGGACATAAGTTCATATCATACGACTTGACAGGCTTGGTACCGTCGTTGGCTTCAACATTACACATTGGGTCCAACGGTCCTCACGGCATCATGGCCATCTCGCCAGCATTTGCTATTTGCTGGCGTGATGAGTCTTTGCAGCTCTACGACCTCAAGTACCAGTCAGTGCAGGCTCAGAAGGATACAAAGCAAGCTAATCTCAAGCGCAAACTCAATACTCCCCACGAAGGCGGTGGTCATCTCGAATTTGTGGCGTACTATCCCCAACTGGCGCGGGTTATTGGACGAAGACGCCATCAGCTTGTGGCGATTGATATTACTGCTAGTGGCTCGAGGCGGCTGCTCGAAAAGGGAAGCAATCTTTTTCACAACATCGGACGGGGGATGAATGGTCAAGACGTGACGTTAAAACAACCAGAGAAGAAACCATCGTCAGGGCACGATAAATCGATGGTGGTCTCCTTACCTAGCGCAGACTGGGATTCCCTACGGCAACGTCTCGATCAATTAACCCTCTCTGGTGATGTTGCCGGCTTCGAAACCGCTGTGGCCGATCACATTCGGAAAAGTCACTCCGTTGACGAATTGCACAAAGCCGGTATCACTGTTCCGGACTTCAAGGTTAATTACTTAATATCCAAGATTTTCCATACAACCGTCGGCTCCAACGCTACCCACAACGCCCGAAGTACCACTCAAAAGCGCGTGCAGATTCAGTTCTACTCGCCCAGACTTATCTCATGGATCTCGAGTCAAGGTTTGCTCTCCAGCCGACGTGTTGAAAGGGCACTTGAGAGCATCTCATTCGATGCCGGCCAAAACCTAGGTGCCCATGCCATAGCGCAGGCGCTCCTCGATGCGGATCCATCCTGTGACTTACTAATCAGTTGCATTGAGGACGGCTTTAGTCCGTATGTGGAGGAACAAGCAGCTGTAGTTCAGCTGTTGATTCAACGAGCTCTGGCCTCGTTGTCCGAAACAGCCACTGCAGAGGCGAAACCGCAAGCAAAGGACACAATGGATCTTGACTTAGTCTCTGATACCCCAGAGATCCAGGTGCAGTCGTTGTCCGCCACGTCCGCGGAGAACCCTTGGCTACCCATCCCGGTGCAAGGAGCGTTGATCGCGGCTCTGAACAGGTTCGGCACGGCGGCGGGCTCGACCATATCCACAAACCTGAAGGCCTTGCTCTCACAGAGAGAAGTCTTGGCCTTGATTCAATTCCTACGACAGCAGTTATTCAAAGCTGGCCACACTCGATCGCTTCAGAGCCTGCCAATGACTGAGGAGAACCCGCGCACCGTCAGACTTGACGCCACGATCAAGTTGTTGTCCGCTTGTGTCGACGCCATGGGACCACTTGGATTCTTTGCTGCTTTGGATAACGAGGACTTCGTCGACACCCTCATACCAGAGCTGGTTACCGAGGTCACGAATACGAAGCAGAGCCTAGATGACGTCGCAGAACTTCGAGGCATTCTGCGTGAGGCTTTGCGCTTTCAGGAAATTGTTCAAAAACAGCGGGCGGCTGGTGCGCGCACTCGGGCTCACACGGCAAGCAATGCCTCTCAGCAGCGGCCTGGTGCTATTGTGACCGTGTACTCGGAGGCTGTTGAGGGTGAAGAAAACCTTCAAGCAGGATCCATGCTGCCTCTCAGCTTGAAGGCTCAGGATGTTGTCACTGCTGGGAAGATCAGAAAGGGTGGAGGGCAGGTCAAGCCACGGAGTATCCGACAGAAAAGGATGTTAGAGAGGAGAGCCAAGGGCGGGTATTCTTTCGAGCGACTAGTATTGTGATGTCCACCACAGTAGTAGATAGCGGTGCAAGATGGGAAATTTCCAACGCTGGATCCGATCCACTTTGTCAATCATGATGGTAAAACATCTCAGCCCGATCTGGCTGGATCATGTAGAAGCGAGATATCAAGCATCCCAACCTGGACTCGGGGCAATGCAGGAGCCTCGGGCTGTGATTGGCTATTTGCGGGGGTTCACGAGGCTAGCCTCGTTCAGGCTCCGTCGCAACTCCGTGCATGCGACAGCGACTCCAGTTCCCACCTCAGCCCTTCGCTCGCTCAGAGTTTAAGCATGCACCTGCTGTACTGATTCTCGCTGTCGCCTCTATGCATTGAGCCTAACTCAGCGTCGTTCTTCCACGCTCTCCTGCGGCCCGCACGACGACGATAGCCCCTGAGAGACCCTTGACTCGATTGCAGACGAACCAGGCCATCGACTGGGTTGACGGGGACTCGAGAACCGTCAGCTAGGCATCGGCCTGGCCCCATTCACTCGGGAGCAGAGTTGGGTCGGTCTTCAAGCCACATCCTCCCAACAGAGTGGTGAGGTGTACTGCGGACACCACCCTTGCCGTGGCGGGGCTTCGCAGTGAACGTCCAAGCGGCGCATGTCAATCACGCAAACAATGGCCTACCCCAGCGGCACGACCTATCACGCCGATTCTGATGCCGACGACGAGTATGAAAGAAGTGTCATGACCTCGCCTACCCAGGTACATACCGACTCGGAAACTTCGTCTGACCCGCCCTCGAACGAACACACCCCCACGACCTTCGATGTACCAGGGGATGACTCAGGGCTACCGAGAACAATAATAACAGAATGGACTCCGGAGGAGTGTGCACAATTCGTGTCGAGTCTGAACTTGAGGCAGTATTGCCAGGCCTTTGTCGGTAAGGCACGCCCAGGAGATATGTGTGAGGCCTCGGTCAGCTAATTGGGGGTAGAACACGGCATTGAAGGAGAAGCGCTTGTTGCTCTCAAGCATGACGAACTCAAGGAGATGGGCATTGCCAGCGTGGGGCATCGTCTTACCATCCTGAAGAATGTCTACGACATGAAGGTCAATCAAGACATTCCATTCGAACCGGACGACTATGTCCCTCCGAGTAGGCCTACTCATCCTCCCCTTGTTTGGGCATGACTGATTCTTTCTTCAGCCGCCGAGCAGAACCCTCAGCATGAAATGGCGACCAAAGAAGACATCCAGCGACTTGCCAGATCCATCCTCCGACTAAGAGACGAGCGAATAGCCCAAGCGGAAGCGCAGTTAACCAGACTGGCGGATGATTACCGCAAACTGCGGCAGGAGTTACTCCCAGTTTTCAAGATGTCCAAGGAACGCTCAGAACCGCTACCCTATGCCCCTTACCAGAACAATGCCCTCAGTCCTGAGATATACCAGCAGGACATCGTGTCTCCTCCTGTCACCACCCAACCGCCCCCCGAAAAGACCAGCCTCACACGCACGTTCTCCAAGAAACTAGGCCTCAGCTCCACGCCCAAGAACAGCTCTCCAACACACATCCCCAGTACCATACACGAGGGTAGGACTTTCAACACGGAGAACGGAGGCCTCGACCCCTCCGCCGCCGCAAGCCTTGCCTCAAACTCACTAACCGCCCAAATGTCAGGTGGCGCTTTACCTCATCCCTCTCCCGGAGTCCCTTCACCAACGTCTCCTCTACCTTACCAGCATCAACCTCTCGCCGCGCGCTCGTACCAACGAGAGGGAAGTAGTGGCATAAGTGCCATCCCGCGCTACGACGGAACAGACGACCGCGCTGTGACCATCGAGCGGGACCGTGACCCTCCCACATCTGCGAAATCAGTCTCCGCGAAGTTAAACCCCTCCAATTCCACTATATCGGGCGCGACGACTCTTGTGCCTTCGCGCGAAATGTCCGCCAGTGTGCCACCACAACTTCCATCAAGCGCAGCTGTAGGCCACACCCCTCACAACCGCGACAAAGATCCCCCTTCTGGTGGCGGAGGTGATGCTCCCTCCGTCGAGATTTTCAAATCCTTCCGGGTGGGCCTCGAAGATCCATGTTACAAAGTCCTCCCTGCCGCACTACGGAAGTACAATATACAAGCTGATTGGCGGCAATACGCGTTATACATTGTATACGGCGACCAGGAGAGATGTGTGGGGCTGGAGGAGAAACCGTTGGCGTTGTTCAAGGATCTCGATAGAGAGGGCAAGAAGCCAATGTTCATGTTGAGGAAGCTTGCCAATCCGATGGTCGGAGAGCCGGTGACGGCTGGGATCGGCATGAAGCCGCCGATACAAGCGGTTGCGCAAGGAGCTGGTGTTGGGTTAGGTGGCGGTAGTGCCGCAGCCGGGATGAGGCCGCTACCAGGTGGTGTACTATAACATTGAAAGGCGCAAGGGTTCTATTTGGATATACATTGCCGAATTAGCGACTGGGGCGAATTTAAGAATGTTAAGGGTTTTTGGTCGAAGTCAACGAGTCTCTGTTAGTGGGTGGAATTTCTGCGCCCGGGTATACTCATGCATGAACACCTGTGACACTATCTTCTGTGTACCCTTTGTCTTGATGAAGGAACTTGCCATCAGTGCCCCAAGATGCATCCTTCACCGATGTTCTTAACCCAACCGAAACGCCCAAGGATCGAGGTCCAGTTCCCGCCTGCAACGCCGTCGCTATGGTCATGATTGCTGCTCAAAGAACCCATGAATCCTCCCCAGGTTCCATCTTCTTTATTCTCGATAAGCGCCGCTTTTTCTTCTCGCCCGCCTGGAACCTTCCGGCTTTACGATTCGCCCGCCGACCTCATCGTGACGAGGCTCGTTCTGTACTGCCCCTTCCTCAACGTACACCCAACCACCCTTCTTCTTCTTCAGCGCCTTCTTTTCCGGGCTGTTATGTGCACTGGCTGCATTCTCCGTAGACTCCTAATCACTCTCGTCATCGTCATCTCGCACGGGCTCGATTACCTCGGCGATCTGCTCTTGTAGGAACTCAATGGCGAGCTCCACGGTGGCCAGCGGCACTCTCACATCTGGAAGGCCATCCGGCCCTCCGGACCATTCCTTGGACAAGGCGATGGCATTATTGCCATTATTTGCCCCACCCGATAGTGCCCCCGCTGTTGACGCATCACCTGTCCCTGCCGCAGTCGTGGCCGTGGTGGCCGTGCCATTCACCTCCTTGGTTTTGTCGGTACTGTTGGCGGACGTAGCGCTACCGCTGCCGCTCTCCTCCTTGGGTGTCTTGGCCCGACGCATGACTTCCGCCATCAACTCGGGGAACGTGTCGCATTTTCCGTTGCGGAGGAGTTCCAGCGCCAGAGCTTTGACCCGGTCGGTCCAGCCTGTGCGATTCAGAGAATCGGAGAGGAGGTTTGACAGTTCGGGAATGGCGTTGGTGTTGGCCCGCAGGTGGGCTATGAGGGCTTGGGATGTCGCTGGGGGCAGTTTGGGCGCTGAGGCTGTCAGGGAGGGTGGGCAAGGGATGGTCTTCTCGGTGGGTTCTTCCATCGTGACGGTGGTGGTGGCTGCTGACTACTAGAGTCTGAACGAGATGTGAGTTAGGTCACAAGGCTCGTGACGGAGGTGTTTTGTAGCCAGACAGGTCGGATCGGCGACAGCTACTGTCCAGCAGTGCTGAAGCGCTTGGCCAAGTGTGACAAATTAGTGTACGTAGTTAATACAGTCTGGAGATGCTGAAGGAGAGTGGTGGACTTTCTGGTAGCCGTGCTTGAACGGAGTACGTGAAGGCAGTAGGACGGAACACAATCTTGTATTTATCCCGCTGTCCACAAGTGGCACGTGCGGAGAAATATTGGACAGCGGAGCAAAAAGACTCTGGGTAGCGAACCCATGCACCGAGCCACGGGCAATGGGCCCGAGCACTGAGTATTGCTGGCTGAGTTCGACTGTATGCTCATTGACCGTCATGGTCGTGGTCATGGCGGACTCCAATAGCGTCATACACGGTAAGCGGCAAACATAAAGTGAACCGCAAAACACGGTCAGTACTGTACGTGGATCACGCAAGGCTTTATTTCAGCCTCGCCACGCTTGCACAGAGAAGACAAGCAACGGGAAGTTGCACCTTGTATGTGTCAGGGGCGAGGTCAAGGAAGGAAAAACGTGGCTTCGTGTTGCCACTTGGGTAAACCGGTGTGCGTACTCCGTACTGAGTAGCCATAGAGGACAGCGACTACAAATTGAGTGGTTCTTACCACAAGCTTCGATATCGTTCTTTGGACGCAGGCTGCAGGCGGCGACGTATGTGACGAATGACCGTCATTTGAAATTGGCCAAGACTGTTGTTTCTCCTGCGCTTCACGTTGACTTCACCATCACTGTCGTCGAGGACCTTCACTTTCCATTGCCATCTCTCACCGTCTCGAGGTTCTCGCTCCTATAAGAGAAGTCCTTGTTCATTGATTTGTCCCCTCTCCATTTAATTTATCCCTCTCTTCCCAAACCCGCGCGTCTACCCGCAACTACATCAACGCTGCAGACACTCTTCAAATCCCAATCTTGAGCTACACCTTCGATCAGTTTCAACAGGCCGCCAAGATGTCTGCAGAACCCGATCACGTCCAAGAGAAGAAGAAGGTCAATCTACAGTATGTGCGGATATCTCAAACTTGCAGAATTCGTGGCTAACTCAAGCTATAGTGATGCCTCTGGCGCAGAAAAGAAAGAGGTGACGACGGCCTCCCAGGATCTGCATGGCGAAGAGCGCGAAACTGACTTTCCATGTAGGAGCTCGATACCTCAACAGCCATCCTGAAAAAGAAGAAGAAGCCCAACTCCTTGATGTAAGATGCAAAGCGCTCAGATGATTCTGATTCGAAGCTGACAAATGATCACAGCGTTACCGATGCCACCAACGATGACAACTCCATTATTGCTCTATCAAACAACACCATGGAGACGTTACAGCTCTTCAGGGGCGATACCGTGCTCGTCAAGGGGAAGAAGCGCAAAGATACCGTCTTGATCGTGCTCGCCGATGACGATCTTGACGATGGCAGCGCCCGCATCAACAGAGTGGTTCGCCACAACCTCAGAGTCAAGCATGGCGACATCATCACCGTCCACCCTTGCCCTGACATCAAATATGTGAGTCTTTCTCCGCTCCTAGGTGTTTGACAAGATCTGACGACAAGTCCGCAGGCCAAACGCATTGCCGTGCTACCAATCGCAGACACTGTTGAAGGCTTGACCGGGTCTCTCTTTGACGTCTTCCTTGCTCCCTACTTCCGCGAGGCCTACCGACCGGTTCGACAAGGCGATCTGTTCACAGTCCGGGCCAGCATGAGACAAGTCGAGTTCAAAGTCGTCGAGGTCGACCCTCCTGAATATGGCATTGTGGCACAAGACACCGTCATCCACTGTGAAGGCGACCCTATTCAGCGTGAAGATGAGGAGGGAAACCTCAACGAGGTCGGATACGATGATATTGGTGGCTGCAGAAAACAGATGGCTCAGATTCGAGAACTGGTCGAATTGCCACTGCGACATCCTCAGCTCTTTAAGTCTATCGGTATTAAGCCCCCTCGTGGCATCCTTATGTTCGGTCCTCCTGGTACTGGTAAGACACTCATGGCTCGAGCCGTTGCCAACGAAACCGGGGCCTTCTTCTTCCTGATCAATGGTCCCGAGATCATGTCCAAAATGGCAGGTGAATCAGAGTCCAACCTTCGAAAGGCTTTTGAGGAGGCCGAGAAGAACTCGCCGGCCATCATCTTCATCGACGAAATTGATTCTATTGCACCCAAGCGAGAGAAGACCAATGGCGAGGTTGAACGACGTGTCGTCTCCCAGCTGCTTACTCTCATGGACGGCATGAAGGCTCGCTCCAATGTCGTTGTTATGGCCGCCACCAACCGACCCAACTCCATCGATCCAGCCCTGCGACGATTTGGTCGTTTTGATCGAGAAGTCGACATTGGCATTCCAGATCCGACCGGCCGTCTTGAGATTCTTCAGATTCACACCAAGAACATGAAACTGGCAGAAGACGTCGATCTTGAATCCATCGCTGCCGAGACTCACGGCTATGTTGGCTCCGATATTGCATCTCTCTGCTCCGAGGCTGCCATGCAGCAGATTCGGGAGAAGATGGATCTGATTGATCTTGACGAAGACACCATCGATGCCGAAGTCTTGGATTCACTGGGTGTTACCATGGAAAACTTCCGGTTCGCTCTGGGCGTTTCCAACCCGTCTGCGCTCCGCGAAGTTGCAGTTGTGGAGGTTCCCAACGTCCGCTGGGACGATATTGGCGGTCTCGAGAATGTCAAGCGCGAACTTATCGAATCCGTCCAATATCCTGTCGACCACCCGGAGAAGTTCCTCAAATTCGGCCTTTCACCCTCCAGAGGTGTCTTGTTCTATGGACCCCCTGGTACTGGTAAGACTATGCTTGCCAAGGCTGTGGCCAACGAGTGTGCAGCAAACTTCATCTCTGTCAAGGGTCCTGAGCTTCTGAGCATGTGGTTCGGCGAATCTGAGTCCAACATTCGAGATATCTTTGACAAGGCCCGTGCCGCTGCACCTTGCGTGGTCTTCCTTGACGAACTTGATTCTATCGCCAAATCTCGTGGTGGCTCTGTCGGTGATGCTGGTGGTGCATCTGACCGTGTCGTCAACCAGCTTCTCACAGAAATGGACGGTATGACCTCGAAGAAGAACGTGTTCGTCATCGGCGCCACCAACCGACCTGAGCAGCTCGACAACGCTCTTTGCCGACCTGGTCGTCTCGACACCTTGGTCTATGTACCACTCCCAGATGAAGCTTCGCGTGAAGGCATCTTGAAGGCACAGCTTCGCAAGACGCCTGTCGCTGCAGACGTTGATCTCAAGTTTATCGCCAGCAAAACCCACGGCTTCTCCGGCGCCGATTTGGGCTTTGTCACCCAACGCGCTGTCAAATTGGCCATCAAGGAGTCGATCGCTGCCGACATTGAGAGACAGAAAGAGCGAGAAGCAGCTGGTGAAGGTGCCATGGACATGGATGACGCTGCTGAAGACCCTGTGCCTGAGTTGACACGACGACATTTCGAAGAGGCCATGTCCGCTGCGCGACGATCAGTCAGCGACGTGGAGATTCGACGCTACGAAGCCTTTGCTCAGGCGATGAAGCAGAGTGGTGGCAGCGCGTTCTTCAAGTTCCCCCAGGCTGGCCAGGATGCCGAAAGTGCCAATGGCAATGGTTTCGGTGATGCTGGCAATGACGACAGCTTGTACGATTAAACGGGGGGACTTGAGATTGGCTGGTGGATGGACATACGGCTGCTTGAACAAGAAGCATTGTCCCACATGATGAACGGCGTTGAGAATCACATGGACACGGAGGCAGCAAGGAAGCTATGGTTTGAACAACCGGAACGGCGACTGTAGTGGCGAGGCCCTGAAATGTCCCTCAGACCATCGGCCAGCCGTGCAGATTTGTATTCTACCTTCTACTTAGAGACATGATGCTGCAAGGGGAAATAATAGAATGGTTGACTTGAGACTTGCCCACCGATCACAGTATCACAGTAATTTTCTTTTACCTAGTCGTACTCGTATGGAGGGATGGTATGAGTCGCCACTGTTTGCTTACGCAGCATGGTGGATGCGTTGCAGCCTTGTGCAAGATGATGCAAACACTAGAGAGTCGCTGTTCCGGGCCTGCCGCCGCCCCGTTCATCTCTCTTTCTCCATCGTGTTTAATTTCCGATTCCACCGCCGTCAAAGATTCCTTTGTTCTCCCTCTTGTTCTGAAAGTATTTCCTCCCTGACGAGCAACTGTATTGATTATGGCGAACTATGGGATATCGGCGCGTCTGCTGCGCCTGGCGTGGCCGAAGGTAAGATAATACTGTCACATCCCCATTGCTCCTTGATGTTGACTTGAGCACCAGCGATTTTTGTACACCATGACCCTTTCGACGGGCGCCAGCCTGATCACCCTCTCGATGCTGGTCAACAAGCTCGCCGGGCTCTACGGCATCCTCGCCCTCTTCACCGGCTACCACCTCTCGCCCTTTCAGCTGAGCATGTACATCTACTCGACCCTTGCCCTCATCCTAACCGCCTACCTCGCACGTCACATCCGCAAGCAATCGCCGCTCCAATGCCTCGCACTCGCTTGGTTCTACGTCCTCGACAGTATCATCAACGCGGCATATACCGCCATCTTTGCCGCGACGTGGTTTTTGGTCCTTGCGCAGCACGATGCAGGGACGTCAGACAAGAAAGGGCCCGGCGCATCTACAATGGACGATACAAGCGGCTTTACGGATCCTCAACTCAACGTCTCCAGAGTTGAAGTCGTGGCTACACCACAGCCTCCCCTGGCAGGATCGGGACAAGATGCCGTTGCGGCAGGTGTTGCGGCGGGCGGCCCAGCGGGAAGCGGCAGCAATGGCGCCCTTCAGTCAGCCATCCTGGACAGCCAGAATATGAACTCCATTGGCGTAATTATTGCCATGTGGACGATTCGCGCCTATTTCTGCCTCATCATGCTTGCTTGGGCGCGCATGGTGATCCGACAGCACATTGCCTACTCTGGCTCCAAGACCGGCGTCGACTACACTGCTGCCTCGGCGGACCCTCAAATTGCCGAGAACCCCTTTGCCGAGTCCAAACCCCAGGGTCAGGGCTGGCAAGGCAAACTAGGCAGGATCCTGATCGCCATCGGAAGAAGCTACTGGCTAGGCAGTGACGAGGACGATAGCTGGATGTACGGCATGGGCGGCAAATTCAGAAAGAGTGGTGTTGCGGGCGAGGAGGGCGGGTTCATGCTCAACAATATTGAGAGCGGACCGACGGAACGGGAGAGGCGACGACGGTCGGGCACCGGACCACCTGTGCCAGCCGCGGGGGTTGTCCCTGGGGTGCCGGTCGTGGGAGGGGACAAGATGACCTTGCAGATTCCACAGGCGAATAACTTGTGAGGAGAGAGATGGGGAGCTGCTGGGCAGACGGAGAAGTCACGAGGGCTGCGCTTTGTGGAAAGACCCGGACTGTGAGGTCTACATTACGGAGTAGAGGCTGGGAAGAGCACGATCACGAGACAAGCATTCACATCGGTATCGGCGTTGTAGGTTATGCGAAGGATGGATAGCATTATCCTTGGCCGGAAGCGGGTTTCGTTACGATCCCAGGGAAGAGCCTAGTACCGAAGGAAGCATATATGGAATTACTCTATGGAGTGTAAGAGAATATAATGATGATTGAACGCTAGCAGAAGTGGTTTGTCAAGTCTGCGAGGCCTCAGATGTTTCGGTTCTGCTATGCTCAGTACTCTCCTGCATCTTCACCCAACTTGGACGTACATCAGCTTGGACAGTCTCTACACACAGCGGATTTAAAAGGGTATTATCCTATACTAGTCATTCGTAGATCGAAGGGCTGGATAGCACCCACGGGCTGGACCAGTTAGAAGACTGTACCGTGTGCCTCGCCATCACGTGCCTCTCGGCCCAGCTGGCCAATTAGCTCCCCGGAATAGAATACAAGCATATATTTTTTTTGAGCCGGAGAAATGCAGACAAAACGCACAGAACTGACAGTTTGGCCGAGTGGTTAAGGCGGCAGACTCGAATTGGCCTTTCCCAAGGCCTCGCTCGTCATCTGCTGGGTTCGCCCGCACAGGTTCAAATCCTGTAGCTGTCGTGAGTACCCCTGAAAATCTGTATCAGTACCACCAGACCTCGTCGTTGACTGGGTGGGGTTGGCGTTGATCCGACCAGAGGAATAATTTTTGTGTGTGAACTCTAATATCGTGGGCTCCCAATTTTACTTCGTTTTTTAGCCGTCTCACTTTCGCTCACTTTCTTTAGCGTCTCAGTGCACTTCACCCCTGGGCTATTCACGTACTCGACCATAGCATGTGAGTGCCTCAGGTATATTCTGTGTACGTATGTGACTGATATACGTTGTGTGCTGTGCATTATATAAGTACCTCGTACTGGCACTGATTCTCGAACTCGTTCGGATGCTCGATCTCGATTTCGAGCAGCGCATGTCATTCTCTTACACTTGGCGTACTAGATTAGAACTATTGAACTGGACTGTACTGTAGATGGTTCGAATTTGTACGCGTCCCTGCCAATAGTGTAAGGACAATAATTATCTCCCGTGCGTCGACTGGGATGCTACATTTTTTTTCGAAAAGGCTACAGTATATAATGTACAACGCTCAGCTGCTTATCTGCTCGTGCGCGCATCTCGTGGAGCCGACCAGTGCAGGGCCATGCAGAGCATTGCAGTTGAGTGCCGGGTAGAGAAGGGAAGAAGCGAAAGTGGGCAGGACAGCAGATGTTACATTCAGCCTGGGTACATACATACATACATATACTGGACTCTCTGAGCCGTTGACCAAACCGCTTCCCGCTATGCTATGTGTCTGTGCCTGGTACCTGGAGGGGTAGGGGCAGGGGGACGTGAAAAATGTCTCGCGACAATCTGTAGGTATAAAATGGGTTGTAGAGAAGTGAAAGGGGAGGTGAAAGGACCAAAGGGGGTATCCGCAGTGCAGTGCAACGCTACGGCAGCAGCATGCAATCAACCTTTCCCCGCTGGAACCATGGCCGTGTTGCCAAACAAACAGTCGGGCCCCGGTGTTGCGCCAGGCAAGATACGAGGCGGACTGTGTTGTGCGAGGTTGTGGCTTTCTTCAGCGGTCATGGCGCGAAGGCGTCTCGAAAATGACAGCCTCGCCTGTCTTTGGCGCCGGCGTCTGTGGACAGGGGGAGGGTGTCATGTTCTCGGTTGATATTGGCATGGACGTGTTGCTCGTCGTCGTGGTTGTGGTTGTAAAGCTTGTTACATGACCACACAGGCATATAGTTGGGCAGACATGGTGAGTCTTGTGGGTTTTGGTTCGTGATGGACCAGGTGCTTCTGGTTGTTGTATTGGGATGTTTTTATGTTTTGATGATTGCTGCGGGTGTAGAAGCTGTTTACATAACCACGCAGGCGTACAATTGAGCAGACATGTTGAAGCTTTGAAAAGAGTGACTTGTGGTGAGGACTGGAATGAATGTGGATGGGAAGCCGGTCAAGGCTCGGGGAACATGGGAAACTGTATATAAACACTGGCTTACCCACTGGCTTCGGATTGAATGGACTCGGTATCAATAGCGATAATGGTTCCAGGATTGAAAGCAAATCCAAACAAGAAAGAGCAGACCTTGTCCATTTCTAGAATTGGTTGGAGGATGGGTGAGGGGGTTTCACAGACAAAGAGATGCTCGCAAGGCTGAGTCGAAGGGGACGAGGCTTCATATTATTCTCGAGTCTTAGTATTGTTCTTTCCCACAAAAAGCACAGTCCGGTCCGCGCTTCATGTCAGCAAGCAGGATCTGCAACCAGAAAAGCCTGTCACGAGAACCAATGGTCGATTCCAACATCGTCGCATTCTGAACCCCGTTGACTGTACATAGCCCTTAATGTGTCCGGCTATTTCATGTGCATTTCGTGCCAGTCACCTAGAAACGACTGTATGGCAGCCATTTTCCTCGCAGGGTGATTTTCGCCTATCTCGGGTCAGTTCAGAAAATAAAGCGCTCGGCAACCAGTTTCTTACCCATGTAGCCCCATCCTTGTCCACCTCTTTCTCAACATGAGTAGAGAAGGAAATGGCGCTCATGATGCCGTCGCCAAACTTCTCGTTCAATACAGCCTTGTATGCATACCCGTAGTTCTGCACAATCTCATACAATCGGTAGATCAGTGGTTCCCTGGGCGGCATCTCGATGCTTTTGCCGCGGTCGGGAAATCCACTCATTTGCGTCTCGAGGGTGGCATGGTCGATGCCGAAGTAGTCTGATAGCTTCTTGATGTCTTCTGCAGAGGCTTTCGCTTGTCCATAGAAGAGGGCGGCTATGGCGACCTCATCGCGACCAATCTCTTTTGAGATCTCCTCAAAGGATACCTTCTTCTTTGCCTTTGCTTCGAACAGGGTTATGGAGGACTTTGGTAGGCTGGGGTGTTGCAGCACCTAGACTCGTTAGCGTTCGTCTTGTACCAACGAGGACAGCACATACATCCAGACTTGCTAGCGACATGTTGGACGTCGGTCGAGCGAGCTGTAGTGGACTTGATCTGAATGGACGGAGAGCTGTAGGGGGTCTTGACCTGCAAGCTGTGACGGCGAAACGCTGGAGAGAAAGCACACGAGAGGACATGGTAAAGTACGGGCACGAGCACAAGCACGGTTAATATATATGGCCAATCCAAGAAGCTGATAGCACTACCGTGGAGAAGTGCACCTCAATATTTGTACTTCAACTGTCTTGGTGGAGGGGGGTCGAAGAGGAGCTCCCCGCATTGTCATCATTCCGGGCGTCATCACGCCGGCCGAGAAGAATAGCAGGGGCTTATTTACGAGGATCTGAGCCTCTAAGTCAAATGCAGTTGCGGTAGAGATAGCGCGTATCTATCTTGGGAGTATATGTGTGCCAATACGATGAGGTGGATGGCTCTAACTGATAAGGAGTGTGGCAGCTTCAGGAAATTCAGCTGGAGGCGGGTTCCAGCTCCAGGCTGTTATATTTCGCGGGGCACCCCTAATAGCGGCAGTGAGGCGCAGCAGCTGGCTCCCCACGCCCTATTGGGTAGCACCACAGCGGGGAGGAGCCTAACTGCCCCCCCTAAACACTGACTGGCAGCTGTTTGGTTGGCTGCGCCAGACGCCTCCATACAGCTTGGTGATGCTTCCCTTGACGGATGCTGCATGAATCAGCTGAACATCACTCATGGATGAAACAGTCACTACGTCGTGCGTTTGCCCAGCTCTCTGTTGCCAAATCTGAGCACGGTGCTCCTCTCTCTTCGATCACCTCGTACCTCTGCACGTCAGATCGGGGTCACAATAATTTCCTCCAATGTCTTACCAGCAGCAACCGGAAGATGACGGACTAGCATATGGGGACGACTACTCTCACTCTCGCGGAGGCGGTGGCACAGACCGCTCGCTACTGGGAGACATTGGCAAAAAGTTCAAGACCGAATTCGACAAGTACAAGACTGGATCTCCAGCCTCTCAGAACTATGGCTACAGCAGCACCGGCGGGTCAAATCAAGGATACTACGGCCAACAAGGCCCAACGACGGGGTACCCGGCCACAGGACAATCGCCATACCCAGGTGGTCCACCTACTCAGCAGCCTCAAGGTCGACCCGATATCGCCTCCAAACTTCTGAGTGGCCTCCACGGCACTCTTCACAATATTGGGTCGGATGTTGCAAACCTGCTAGGACCAGACAACAAACCATCTCAGCAGTATGCTTCACAAGCTCCTGGCCAGGCTGGGCATTCGCACTACGCCGCTGCGCCAGGTCAACCTACAATAGTGTCAGGCCCGAATCGATACGATAGCTTTGCGTCAGAGAAACCCGGAAACGATGTAAAATGGTACGTGGATGGATGTGGTTACTTCTGGGCTGTGAGTCAAGCTCTTGAGGGAGCTAGACATTCGATTTGGATCTTGGACTGGTGGCTGTCCCCTGAGGTATATCTTCGTCGGCCTCCTTCCCAAAACGAGCAATGGAGACTCGATCGCACTCTTCAACGAGCGGCGCAGCGTGGAGTCAAGGTCAAGATCATCGTCTACAAAGAAGTCACCCAGGCTCTGACCTTGTCTTCGGCCCACACCAAGCACGAGCTCGAAAAGCTACACCCCAACATCGCTGTCTTTCGGCATCCAGACCATCTCCCAGATGCACAAACGGCTCAGTCATCGCTCATATCCTCTTTTCAGAGCCTGAAGTTGGACGCGGCAGCGGTTTCTAAGCTGGGCCACGACGCTCTGAAAGGTATCTATGGTGTCACTGACGACATCATCCTCTACTGGGCGCACCATGAGAAACTCTGTCTCATTGACGACAAGATTGCCTTCATGGGTGGTCTTGATCTCTGCTTTGGCCGCTGGGATACCAATCAGCATTCGATCGCCGATGCTCACCCTTCCGACCTGAACCAAATCATATTCCCTGGGCAAGACATGAACAATGCAAGGTGGGCGGATTTTAACGATGTCGCCAATCCTTTCCAGAACAAGCTTGACCGAACCAAGAGCTCGAGGATGGGTTGGTCCGATATCGCTATCTGTGTACAAGGGACCGTCGTGCAAGACCTGCGACATCACTTCGTCGACAGGTGGAATTTCATTTATGATGAGAAGTATAATGTCCGAAAAGACCAACGATACTACAGACTCCTGGACGATCTGCCTCATACAGCAAGTGGACCAGGTCAACGCCCTCAGTCACGACCACCGTCTCAGTCCGGACCACAGCCCCAAGGAAGTCTACAACCTTCTGCCGCTGCAGGAGGGTATGCACCACCACCTGGGAGCCAGCCATACACTGAACCTGCGTGGCATACAACGAGCAGACCGCACACGCCAGGAGGTACGTATGGTACCGCGCCACACTCGACAGCCCACGGTGTACAGCATCAGCCACCGCAAACTCAATCACCCTACGGTCAGGTTCCAAGCCCTCCGCCCCAGGTCGTTCAGTCCCCACCCCCTCCGCCTGGTATCTACGGCCAGGTCCCGGGTGGGTCTCCACCCCAAGCAACTCACCAGCCGATCACTGGTGCTTACGACCACCATGCAACTCCAATGCAAGCGCCGCCACAAGGTTCTATGGACCCATATAACCAGTTTGCCAGCCCTCCTCCTCAGACTGCACCCGTTCAAGGACCGGCCAATACAGCCAGCGGTTATCAACAACCTACGGGACAAAGCCTGCACCAAAATTACCCTCCTCCCCCTCCAGGACCGCCGCCTCAAACGTCCCCAAGCCCAGCCACAACCTACCCAGGTTACCCGCCGCCACCAAGTGCATCGCCACCTTATACTCCGTACCAGCAAGGTGCCACCGAGTTGCCGTCTCAGCAATCACCTGGTCTACCATATCAACATCAAAGCTACCAGCCCTATCAACAGCCTGGGTCAGAGCAATCTAGGGGCTTTGACGACTACGGTCAGGAGTCTAGCAGAGGCTTTGAGGACTATGGCCCTGGTAACGAGAACGAAAGGGGCTTCGGAGGGGAGCGAGGTATGCGAGGGAGATTTGACCATTACAAGCAAGAAGGTAGACTCTTGGGTCAAGAACTGTCGTCGATCGGCAGCGTTGTCTCAGGCGGACTGGGAGACCGAGCCCACCAACTTCAAGGCAAGTACCTTGGCGGGACTGACTCTTATGGTCGTCCGTACAATCGGCCTCGGGGGGTTATGACTTGTCAACTTCTTCGAAGCTGCACAACATGGAGTAATGGAACCCCTCTTGAGCATTCCATCCAGAATGCGTACATCGAGGTGATTCGGAACAGTCAGCATTTCGTTTACATTGAAAACCAGTTCTTCATTACGGCCACGGGCGACCAACAAAAGCCGGTCAAGAATTTGATCGGTCAGGCTATCGTGGAAAGAATCCTACGAGCGGCCCGGAACAATGAGAAGTACAAAATCATCGTCGTGATCCCCGCAGTACCAGCCTTTGCCGGTGACCTCCGAGATGATGCGTCGTTGGGGACTCGAGCCATCATGGAATTCCAGTACAACAGCATCAATCGTGGTGGGCATAGTATCATGGAGAAGATTGCTCAGGCTGGGTTCAATCCCATGGACTACATCCGGTTCTACAATCTCCGGAACTACGATCGAATCAATGCCGGGGGCACAATGCAACGGGTTGAGCAGCAAAGTGGAGTCAGCTATGAAGATGCTCGGAAACAACACGATGACGCTGTGGGAGCTGGATATGGTCCGCTCGGCGAGCGCACCAACACGGCGCAGCTATCACAAGCATCGCAATATCAACAATACCAAACCACGGCGCAGAACATGGGACAACCAGGAAGTGGCCGTTGGGACAGCGTGGCAGAGTGCTACATGCTAGGAGGACAAGATATCCGTACCGTGCCTTGGGATGGTCCACCCGAGGCAGAGCTGGACGCGTTTGTCAGCGAAGAGCTGTACATTCATTCAAAGGTATGCGGAAATAGCCTGAGTGCTATACATACTGACTTCATGTAGACCCTCATCGCAGACGATCGTATTGTCATCTGCGGATCGGCAAATCTGAACGACCGGAGCCAGCTCGGCTCGCATGACAGTGAGATTGCGCTGCTTATCGAGGATCCGACGAAAGTGCAGAGCTACATGAATGGCCAGCCTTACCAAGCCAGCAGTTTTCCAGCTTCCCTGAGGCGCCAGCTCACCCGGAAGCATCTTGGACTGATTCGGCCACAATATTTCTTCCGACCCGATCCCAATTTTGAGCCCGTCGGAGTGCCCAATGCCTATGATTGGAATTCGCCGGAAGACAATGTCGTGATGGATCCTCTCAGCGACACCTTCCAAGCTTTGTGGAACAGCCGTGCAAGGACTAATACCGAAGTCTTCCGTAAGGCATTCCGAGCCGTACCAGATGACTACGTGCACTCGTGGTCCGAGTACAAGGAGTTCTATGAGTACTTCTATCGGCCCGCCGAGACAGATGCTCAAGGCAAACCGAGCAAGCTGCCACCAAGAGTCGAGTACGGACATGTAGTGAGAGCGGACTTCCCTGGTGGCGTACGCGAGCTCAAGGAACTGCTGAGCCAAGTGAAAGGCACCTTGGTAGAGATGCCATTGTGCTTCCTGCAGAGTAAGTGAAGCCTGCATTGACCTAGATACCGTGACTGACGTTTCACAGATGAAGACATTGCCAAGGAAGGGCTGACATTGAATGCTCTGACGGAAGAGGTATACACGTGAAGTCAGTGTGAGCCCAGCCATGTTCCCCATGTAGCGTAGTCGGTCAATGATTGAATGACATACAAATGAATAGTCCGATCAAGCGACATAGTACCATCTCTTTATTGCCTGTTTGTGCTTTAGAGTGTAGACTGTATTCATGTGACTCTTCGCATATGTCGTCCTACAGAACTGTAGATAACCACCGGCAGCACCGACTCTGCTTGGGTCAAATTGTGTCCCATTCCAAGTCACCGACCTCACAGTCACCCAGTGACATACTTGTTCAGAAGCAGCGACACCATGGTTCAGGTATCGGATTGAAGCGGCTCTCGCCTCTGAGTCGTGCTTTACCTTTCCCTCTCTTTCGCAGGTCCTCAGCCACAGAAAGTCACTTTGTTCCCCACTTGACTCTTCATCCGTGCTTTACACAGTACTTCCCTTCGCCTGTCCATTTCTTTAATTGAACAATACCGCCCCTCTACTCTCCTTTCCTCATGATCCGCTCTTACTTGTGACTCCCTCCTGTCTATGTCCCTCGATTTGAAGGCATAACGTCAGTTTGAAGTCGACGGCGCAACCATTATCTGACCCCTTCTTCTTCCACTCACCTTCCATCCACAACCCTCACCTCCAAGATGGGCAAAATCAAGTGTACCTACGAGGACTGCTTCAGGCACTTTGACGACCAGCAGTCAATGATTCGCCACAAGGTCAAAGACCCCGCTCACTCTTACTGCAAGATCTGCGATGTCGACTGTGCCGACGACATGTACTTCTTCATCCACCAGTTGGCAAGTCCAAACCACAGTGAGTTTGGCCCAACATCGGATTGATACAAAGCTCAATTGCTAACCTTGGCTCTAGTCTGCTGCCCAATCTGCGCTCTTGAAGTAGGGAGATCGAGAATGCAACCACCCTTTCAGAGCTAATGTTCGCAGTTCAAAAGCGCCTCTGCTCGAGATACTCATGTGTCCTCCGTATGCTGCCCTCGACATCTTCAAAGTACCAAACTGACTATCTACAGCAACACAAGGCCAGTTCCAATATCGAGTGCGCAGGTTGTCAGGAGAAGTTCACCTCAGGCCACGCCTTAATGCGCCACATCGAGCAAGATGAGTGTCAAGTGATTTCAATCCAGGACTTTCAAATGCAGCGCGCCGAGCGCCAGGTCCAAAAAGACGCCTGGGAAACAGAGACCGAGCCGTTCGGCATCAACCGGTCAGCACGACACCATAGGTCTACCACCAAGACGAACGCGATGCAGGATCTTCTCGACGCAGACCCAACCAATATACGACGCCATACCCAGGGCAACTTGTCACATGGTCCTGGTTCCATTACCTCGCAAACACATTACCCACCTCTCACGCAGCCTCAAGTTGCTGGAGCCGTCGGCCCCGCTGGTCAATTATCTCAGCCGCCCAACGTTAACACGAAACCGTCAAGCAACCTCATTGACCTGAACGGAACCGAGAGAGCCATGTCAAATCTGAACCTCAACCAACCGACCTGGGCCTTTGACCGACCTTCCGCTCCCCCACCACCACAGCAATATGTCAACGACCCGCGGATCAAGAACTGGGTCACCTCGGTGCAAACCGCCGCGGCGACCCCTCCGGCCGACAACGCCAGCGAAGTTGCCTCCATGTACGACAAGCCCGCGGCGTCCGACCTGGCCTCCAGCGTCGTACCGCCCAGCACGCAAGCCCTCCCCAACACCGACGCCCCCCACCAGCACGTTATCAGAATGCCCGCCCACACCGTCGTCAGCACGAACGCGCCGCTCGACATCGAGAAGTACTGGGATCCGATCCGCCAGATCTACGGCTGTCCGACCATCAAATGCAGACGCGAGTTCCGCACGGCCGACCAGTTCCGCAGGCACCTCCTCTCGAGCGCGCACATCGGCGGCCAAGTCACCTGCCCGTCGTGTTTGAAGAGGTTCGCCACCACGGCCGCGTGGGTGGCGCACACGGAGAGCGCGAGCAAGAAGTGCAACATCCGCACGAGCTTCAGTTATAACCATGTGATGCGGGAGATTACGGGCGGAGTGCTCGGCACGCAGGGCTTCAATGACGACGGGAGTGTCAAGTTTGTGGCGCCGAAGATCGACCAATGGAATGAGGATGGGTGGTAGACTGTCAACGAGATAGAGAGGGAGGGGGATGCAAAGATATGGGATGGAGAGATGGTGGCGATTGGCTCGGAGACTATCACCTACCTACCTGCCTATCTATTTATCTGCCTATCTACCTTTTCTCCCGGCTTACAGCTTGCCTATCTGTATGAGATAGGAGGATCAGGCGAGGAAGGACGGCTCAGCGTGAAGGGCTTCAGAGAGCGATGAGTCCTGGCGATATGGCTGGAGGGATTCTTCTGGCGCCGGAATTATGTATGATACCACAGGCACAACAGAGAAATGGCCCTTTTCATTTGATCTGCGTCATCACCACAATTAGGGCCATCAACCGTCCAAAAGTGCTATTACTACGGAAGATACCAACTCAGTTACAAGGCAAGAAAGCGCACGCTAGACAAGCGTGCTGGATGGCTATGAACGATATGAACGATATGGACGATATGAATGACACCAAGCACAGCGCTAAATGCTAGTTTACTTTTCACTTTCACTTACAGTTTACAAGCGACTGGCAAACCCGTCGCGATCGACCTTGCACAGATAACTCCGATCGATCTCGCTGACCTTTGTCACGCCCGCGAGGCCCATACACAGGCGGAACTCGTCAGTCAGCAACCTCAGACACAACTCTACGCCCTCTTGGCCTTTATACGCCAGCCCCCATAGGATAGGCCTTCCGACCCAACAGAAGTCCGCTCCTAGTGCCAGAGCCTTGAATATGTCGGTGCCGTGTCGGATACCGCCATCCACGTGGACGGGCACGCGCTTCTCCACCGCGGCAGCTACCTCGGGCAAAGCGTCGAGAGTGGCGAGGGCGCCGTTGAGTTGTCGGCCGCCGTGGTTGGAGACGATGATGCCGTCGACATTGTGTTCGACAGCGAGCAGGGCGTCCTCTGCCGTGGCGATGCCCTTGACCCAGACCTGCATGTCTGAGCCGCACACGTCCTTCAGCCAAGGGATCGTGTCCTCCCAGCTTAGCGTCGGGTTCGCGGCGTGCGTGTGGAACGTGATAGGTCCCGTGGGGGGCACTCGTTTCTCCCCGTCGTGGTAGCCTGCCGTGGAGGGTCGACGCTGGCGCGGCATCTTGGGACGTTGTTTCGAGGACGTCTTCTTCTCGTCCGTGGCGGTGGTGGGCCGAGAGTGGTCTTTGCCGACGGCAGTGTCGGTGTCGTCGTCTTGCTCGGCAAAGTTGGCAATGCTGAGGTGCGCGGGGAGTTTGAACTGGTTTCGTATTTCGAGGTTGCGGCGGCCGAGCATCGGCGTGTCGACTGTGAGGAGGACGGCCTTGTAGCCTGCTTGTTTGGCACGCGCGATGAGTTTGAGGCTGTGCTCGCGTTCTTCGAACAGGTAGAGTTGCAGGACGTTTGGGTTGGGGCCGCTTGCCTCGGCGACGTCTTCGAGCGTAGACGTCGCGAACGAGGACAGGCCCATCACGATCCCGCGTGCGCGGCAGGCTCGTGCGGTTGCGATTTCTCCATCGCTGTGTGCCAGGCGTTGCATGGCCGTGGGGGCCACGCCAAAGGGCGCACTGTTTGTGTGTCCGAATATCTTGACCGTGGTGTCGATTCGGGATATGTTTCGTAGGACCCGTGGTCGGATGCGGTACTTCGCGTAGGCCGATATGTTCTCGGCGAGGGTGGTGCCGCAATCGGCGCCCTCGTTGTAATAGTCCCGTGTCTGCTTGTCCATGCGTTCGTAGGCGAGTTGTTCCAGCTCCGTGATCGTCAGGCAGTTTAGATCGTGGGGTTCGGCTTGAGGAGCGCGCGGTGCGGCTCGGGACGGCGACGAAGAGGATTTGGAGGGCGCCATGATGACGGGATGGTGGTTGTGTAGATGGGAAGGGGACAGACGAGGGGAGGAAGCTATGGAAGGGTAGCCGATTCGAGATGTACTCCGTACTTACAGTATGACTATCTGTGACCTACCTCTTCCAAAGTTCGGGGACTCGTACTGAATGGGGAGGTGTCGATCATGCCAACGTAAGATTGAGCCAGATGCCGATGACGCCGTGCATCTGGGGAACGCTCTTATCTGGCAAATCGAGCCAGGATCGAGAGGCTGGAAGTAATTGGGAGGCACCTGGGAGGCACCTTGGAGGCCAGCCGCTGAAGCATGACGTCGTGGATGCGGAAAAGGAAGAGAAGTGAACGAGCGAACGGAAGCTGAAAGTGTGGGGAAGCAATTGCCCACAATGATCATGGGGAAACAGGCCACGTCGCGTTCGACTTGGAGAAAATAGCCTGAAATGTGAAGGAAGCGTGATGGCATTTTGCGCGTCGTTCCTATAACAGAAGTGAGGCTGTTGTAGCGATGATGGCAATTATATGACTTTATGGTTCCCTCACTGGAGTCGACGATTCCCTCCTTGTTCCAATTCCCTTCCTCACCTGCACGCGCTGACCGACGACCATGGACCTCTCCACAAATACCATCCGCGATTTCCTCACGAACCCTATACACACACGATGGGTAGCGCCGTTGTTACTAGCTGGCGAGGCCTTGCTGTGTGCTCTGATCATATGGAGGGTGCCGTATACCGAGATTGATTGGGAGACATACATGGTTCAAGTGCGGTTGTTCCTCGACGGTGAAAGAAGCTATCTGAAAATTTCCGGGCCTACTGGTCCGCTGGTCTACCCTGCTCTTCATGTCTATATCTACTCGATCCTCTACACCCTCACCAATGCGGGCACAGACATCCTGCGAGCCCAGATCATCTTTGCGGCCTTGTACCTCGTCACGCTGGCTCTGGTATTCGCGTGCTATAGACGAGTGGGAGCTCCGCCTTGGCTTCTGATCCCGCTGGTACTGAGCAAGAGGATGCATTCTATATTCTTGCTGAGGTTATTCAACGACTGCTGGGCCACACTCTTCCTCTGGGCAGCTATTTACCTTCTGCAACGTCGAAAATTTGAGGGCGGGGGGTTCGTCTGGGGATTGGGCCTAGGTGTAAAGATGACTTTACTTCTAGCTGCCCCCGCGGTGGGAGTTGTTTTGTTGCAAGCTGTCGGAAGAGGTGACGCAGTGTTCACTGGGCTCTACATCGCGGCTGTGCACATCCTCATGGCCCTGCCCTTCTTCGGCCAGGACCAAGACACCGGCTTGTCGTACTTCTCTCGCTCATTTGATCTGAGCAGGCAGTTCTTGTACAAGTGGACTGTCAACTGGAGATTCGTCGACGAGGAGACATTTCTGTCTCGCCCCTTCGCCATTAGCCTCTTGGTTATCCACGTCTCCCTGCTGCTCCTGTTCTTCCAGACGAAATGGGTCAGACCGAGCGCCTCGAGTCTGGTCGAATTTGTGAGGAAGTATGTCGGCGGTATGAGGGAGGTGGAAGAGAGGAGCATTGCGAAAAAGATTACGCCAACTTTCGCGACGGACGTCGTTCTCAGCGGTATGGTCATAGGTCTGCTGTGTGCGCGGAGTCTGCATTACCAGTTCTTCGCGTATCTTGGATGGGCTACGCCGTATCTGTTGTGGAGGCCCGGTGGACATCCGGCCTTGGTACTGATGATGTGGGCGCTCCAGGAATATGCTTGGTTGGTGTACCCGAGCACGACTGTGAGCTCCATACTGGTGGTGTCGCAGCTGGCTATTCAAGCCATGTTTTCTCTGATCGCACCACCAGTTGACCACATCAGTGTTCCACCAACGAAGGCGGAAGAACTGCGAAGTTGAAAAAACAGATATCACCAATCTCAATCCTCCTCGTCATCAGATGGTGGCATCTTGCCCACCAGTGATTCCTCCTCTTCGCTGTCTTCTGCTGCCGCCTTCTTGACGAATTCTTGTGGCCAGAAGGGCCGCTTCCTCCATGCTTTCTCGTCGCGGACAATGTTCACGATTTCTCCTTGGATCTTGTTTTCACGAGCAGCTGTGGTGGTGGTGTCGACAAGGACATATCCGCCGCGTCTGACAAAGATGGTCCCTCGAAATCGAGCTTCGAGTTCGGCAAGGAGTTCGGATGAGGCTGGTGTTTGCACGGTGTACAGGTCTTTTCCATGAGCCTTGACCACGCGTGCGATCAGTTGACCCGAGGCCAACGTGTCAGGAGGAGTGAGGGTCTCTTCTGCGGCATTCCGGATCTTGCGGCGAGACATGGCACGTACTGGAGCAGATTTGGCCGTGGTGAATCCGGTTCGCGGGCGGGTGCAAGTTGCGGTGACCTGAACTTCGACTGCGGGAAAATCTGAGCGGGGATGCGATGCCGCTTGGGGGCGGTGCCGCATGCGGAAATCTTGCCGCCGGCTTCTGTTGAGAATCTGGAATCTTTCCCACTCAACATCACGCATTCTATGAAGCCGGCTTTATCAGCTGCTCTGCATTGCAGCGGAGTCGGCGATACGATGCGCTCGAATCATGAATTCATGTTGCTCCAGCATGTGGGCTCCGAGCAATGATCAGCAGTATTCCAGCCCCGCAATGTCCAAAATGCCCTCCTGCAGCAAAGCAATGGCTATTTCAAATTTCTGCATCGCAGCTCACGACCTCAAACCTGCACCACTTGCTACATAGGCTGATGAAATCAGGCCACAACAGAGAGGCGTGATATTGACTCTGTAGGTATATGAACGTCCTCTCCTACCGATCGAGACTCTGCTGCCTTTTGCTGTGGCTCCCTCGTTTACCGTTGCCGATCGTCGCGCACATAATCTCAGCCCACGATGTCTGTCCAAGCCTTTGGCGCCTTCATCACCCACGAAAGCGGTCCTGCTCCCGGCCTCACGGGACCGGCGGCCGTTGTACACAAAGACAGTATTACCAGCGTAACACCTACCGAGCATGAGCTTGACGAGCTACAATGGGGCAGTCGACTCAATGGACCACGGACTGCATCCTCACGAAATGCGTCACCGACAGGACGGGCAGTTCCTCTGACACCTGACGAACTCGAGCGCAGTCAGCCACCTACACCGAAGCGAGATCAAGCCGTCGACGCCATCGTGCACTCTGTCTCGAATCCACCACGAAATCGATGGCGGCTGGCAGCTTCCTGTGTCATGTTCTTCGTCATGGGGCTCAATGACGCCGCCACTGGTGCATTGATTCCTTACCTGGAGGAGGAATACAGCATTGGTTATGCCATTGTCTCGTTGATCTTCATCACAAACGCTCTAGGATTCATTTCGGTGACACCCTTCATCCAGCTTATCGAAGCTCGGCTCGGCCGTTCTCGCTCTTACCTGATCGCGACAGCACTGATGAGCGCCGGTTACATAGCCATTGTCTGTACTCCACCCTTTCCCGTCGTTGTTCTCAGCTTCTACTTTCTCGGCTGCGGAATGGGGGTGTTCTTGGCCATGACCAACACATTTATTGTGAACTTGCTTAATGGCACTGTCATTCTGGGCTTCTGTCACGGTCTTTACGGAGTAAGCACGTCCTTTCCAGTACCGCATCCTTCGAAGCTAATCCATGGCAGTTGGGCGGCATCGTCTCTCCGCTGATAGCCACAAACATGGTCTCCAGCGGTATCCATTGGGCTTATTTCTACTTCATTCCCCTTAGCCTCGCCGTGTTCTCGTTCTTCTTCATGGGGTGGTCGTTCTTGGGTTTTGAGAAGGACGCTGCGGTCCAGCTACTCTCATCCCTACAACGCACTGCTTCACGGCAAGCTACTGCGCTGGGGGAGCCTACCAAGAAACTGGTCCTCAGAAAGGCTGTCAGAAACAAGACAACTCTTCTTGGTGCAATTTTCATATTGTGAGTGAGTGCCTTCTATCTGATGATCAATTGCCTGACGTCTCGTAGCTTCTACCAAGGAGCTGAGGTGGCCATCTCTGGATGGGTTATCTCTTACCTCATCCACTATCGGCGTGGCGATCCGTCGCATGTCGGTAATGTCACATCGGGTTTCTGGGGAGGCATCACTTTGGGCAGATTCATCCTGACTCACTTTGCTCAGAAGATCGGCGAGAAAGTGGCCGTGATTGTCCTGATCACCGGAGCAGCCGTCTGTCAACTCCTGGTCTGGCTGGTACCAAATATTATAGGGAACGCCGTGGCCGAGTCTGTTGTCGGCCTGTTCTTGGGACCAATCTACCCATGTGCTACTGCTGTCTTTGCCAGATTATTGCCCAGGGACATTCAGATCAGCAGCCTGTCAGTCGTGACGTCGATGGGCAGCTCTGGTGGCGCCCTAGTACCTTTCATCACTGGTATATTGGCGCAGAAACTGAGCACGGTTGTCCTTCATCCGGTGGTTCTGATCTCATTTGGCGGAATGACAATGACGTGGCTCATGCTGCCACGCATCGGAAAGAGGGCGGAATAGTGCACGTTCTCTTGACTTGATCTCACTGATCATTCACTTCACGTGGCTCGACATATGCCCGCCAAGACCGCCTCTTCCGACTCCACTCCCATTGTATCGATTTCACCTCGGATCGAACAGCTGCACGCACAAGATTTATCTCGTGGACGACCAAAACTCCGGCACGGTCTCGACCCAAACGCTTCTGAAACAAGTCCTGAAAGTCCGAACCGCAGCTTGACTGGCTCGGCCTGAGCTGGGGAACGCCACCTGCTCTAGTGACATGATACCGTGGTGGGACGAAATTCCATCTCGTCACACATGTGTGTACCAAATTCTAGCAAGGGTACAAGTCGCTTGTCATGGATCAACCCAGTGACGGTTCCAAACAACCTCGGAGCCTGCGCAAACAGCTGTACCAATGGGCCCGTCGAGCGATCAAGCAATGCTTCGATGAGGGTGCTGAGCAGTCTGTTTCCTCTTTCTCGCCCCATCCAGCACATGGTTGCCCTACAACTCCTCCACATCACGACGCGGACAGTCGCTATGGCGGTCTGGGTTCACCGGCGCCAGTCGACATTTACCGCTTGCGGTTCAAGGTGTGTGATCTTCCTCAAAACTCTCTGCCTCACCCTGTCATGTCGCTTTGATACGTAAGCAACAGCATCCCATTGTTCGATAGCCACCATTCATTCCCATATTACATCATTCTGTCACTTGCTATTGTGAACAACCGGGAACCTGCAACCGACTGCAGACTGTCACTCTCTCCATGTCATCGTCAGTGCAGATGCATTCGCAATGCACAATACCTTATCAGCTCCCAGATCCCTCCTACCTGTACAGAGGGACTTAGTCCTTATGAAACAGACAACATAAGGATGCCCTAGTCTCTCTTCATCTACACATGGACTTCCATCTACTCTTAACCGTGCATATATTGTCATATCTAACAATCTTGCTCCAGGCGTCACCACTGCCAGCCACCAATTTGACCCTCACCACGAATGCCACTAGCTCAACAACCGTCTGCAAGCAATATCCTCCCGTCATCAACATTGTCTGCGCTGATATCCTTGGAGACGTTCACAGCGCCACAACCTACGTCAAGCGGGATCTGGGGTTTCAGGGTCAGATCGGAGAGTATGTGCTGCTCAGCTACGGCGACACCCTATACAGCGATCCCCGTTACAGCGATACATGGCGAGGGATGACGAGCGACTCGGTGGCTGTAGCTACGCACAACCCTCTCGTGGTTGTCGATCCCGTTCTGAACTCGGACGGCTATCCTCCACAATTTTGCCCGCTGATATCCTCCTTTGGGGAAGATCCAGCCGAGTGTGCCTTGGGCATCACTAATGTCGTTGAGACCACCGTCTGGAATGAAGGAATCATGTTCTTTCTCCTCAACCACCGTCCAAATGGGACGAACAATCTCATGGGCGCAGGCGTTGCCTCCGTCACGCTCGATACATCCTCCTACCCTCCGGTTCCGCAGATCAGCCGTCTACCTCCCCAATACTGGTGGGATGCCACATGCGAGCCCTGGTATGGTGACGTCTGCGCTTTGCGGTGGGACGACCACATCTACGCATACGGCCATGGCATCGAGGGCAATCCGTGGGTGTACCTCGCAAGAGTCCGTGCAGATGAAGCAACAAATGTCAACTGCTACGAATACTGGAATGGAGCAACATGGCAGAGCGAGAGACTCAATGGAATTGCGATCGGGGAGAAAGAGAGCGTATTCTGGCAGATCAACCAGGGTCAAGTCATCTGGTCGAGCTACTTTGGCTGTTTTCTCTTCGTGTACTGTGGTATGTTACTGGCCGCCCCTCTTGTCAGAATCCAGAAATTTACGATCGAACAGACAACTGGATGAACTCGAAGGTGCTTCTGAAGAGCGCTCAGCGCCCTGAAGGACCGTGGTCGGACCCGATTACATTGTATCAAGCGAGACCTCTGACGGACGGCAGCTCGATCTACGCCGCTGTGCCACATCCGTATTTCGACGAGAGCGGGAAGACCTTGGTGGTTACCTTTACCAATCACCCAAACACCATTCAGGCTGTGCGGATCGTGTTCGGTTAGGTGTGTTGGTGAGGGAAGGATTGCCCCAAGTCATTCTTAAGGAGCCCGCGTAGGCGCAGGCAGACTGCCATGATCCGAGCACATGTTGTGGAGAGACTGCGAGGGAAGTGATGTGGTGGCCGCTTAATCCCCTCTAGGTAGACTCCTTCAATTCATGACCACAATCTTGTTCTCAAAATGGGTATCTTCTTTGTCAATTCGTCACCTTTCCATTTTCTGCTCGCAAGTAATTCCGACACACGCATGTTGTATGTGGCACACCTGCGGTGGCCGCGACGCACTACACCTCAAACACGACCCGTGATCTCGTCCTCATACCTGCCTCATCTCCAGTCCATTTCCTACCACTTCGAAATTGATTTTTACTCGGCACCGATATCTCTCTCTTATCTCCTCCACCAGAATGAATTGGAACGCCCTGGCTCGATGAGAACCGACCAGAAGTTGTCAGTTACTTTTCGCCTGAGTGTGATGAAAGAATGGCGCCTGGTTTGCAGACGACTCGCCGAGGGAAGAGGTGGACATAGCGGCAAGCAAGCGGCAGCAAGGCCCGCCAGCAATAGGACAATCGGTTGGAGAAGTGATATGCGCAAGTGGACGACGAGCTTGATTGTTCATGGTCTATCTGGTGCTAATTACACCGCGCAGCCCAGGGCCATTACCGACAAGGAGCAGGAGCAAGAAGAGGAGTAGCGGCAGGAATGAGGCAACACGGCTCAGCTGGGATTTCACAAGGTAGGAGGTAAGGTCTCCATTCCGTCCTCTGACTGTTTGGCCGTCTTGACGGCGTTGACTGTCATTATTTCAGGCTTTTGCCGGCGCTCGAAACCCTGTGTTCTACTGAAGGACGAATACCTGCATCTCGATATGTCTCGATGATTCGGATACTTGGCCTAAGATAATGGTTACCCCCTCTATCCACATCTCTTGGGACCTTCAAGCTTGTCAGAAGAATTTAGTACATCATTTTTATGGTACCTCCACCCTGCTCGATCCAACCCAACCTGCTTCCAATGGCCTGTCGGTCACCGGTTAGCCATCTAGGCGCAGATCTCGCATTTATACATGAGCGTTCCAGCTGCATGACTCGGCTACTCAGTTGGCTCTATCTCGCCCTACCCCTTCCACACGAAATTCTGGTTGACGGTCCCCGCACACAAAGGCCTCAACGCCATGCCATAGTCGCCTCCATTCGGTGTCCTCAACAGTGTGTGGATATGAAACTTCGCAGGCTCCTTGTTGGTCAAGAATACACCCGAGTGGTGGTCAAACTCGACAATCACGACCGGGGACTGAATCCGGAAGTAGAAAGGGGAGTCGTTGTCGAAGCCGCCGATCCACGAGAAATACGTCTCCGAGTAGAAGGCCTGGTATTCGGCCAGGCGGATGCCACGGGCCTTCTCCGGCAAGTAGAGGAGGTATTGAGTCAGGATGGCGGTGACGAGGTCTTGTTGGTGCTGGCCCAGCGTCGAGACGACGACACCCTCGTACGGCACGACGCGGTTGTCGCGGTACGCGCCGCACAGGTGGCGTTGGTCGTCGTGGTTCCAGCGGCCCTCGGGCATGGCGGGGTCGCGCATCGCCTTGTAGGTCTGGACTTTGGCCTGCACATCCGGGGTCGCAGAGAGGGACTGCATGAGCTGGAGGCCCAGTTTCTCCTCCTCGTGCAGGATGCGCGTGCCCTTGTAGGGACCATGGTCTATGATGTTGGGTTCTGCGCCTGTGAACCACGGCGAGACCACGATCTGGGCACGATACAGGAACACGTTCAGGCACAGGTGGTGGCCGTAGAAGCTGAATCCCCACGGCGCGGTCGTGGACGGCGTGCCGAACACCACGAAGTTGTACGAGTATTCGTTCATCACGGCCGTCCCGTTCACCAGCTCGCCCAGGAATCCGTTGATGCGCATGGCGGAGATGGCTTTCTCGTACCCCTCCGGAGAGAGCGTCGCGCTCAGGACGGCGAGCACGTCGTCCCGCACCAGCGGATCGAGTTCGTCCAGCCGGATGCCCTTGTCGCTTAGGAGGAATTCGGGGTTCGACCACGTCCGCCACTCGGGGCTGTCGATGTGGTATTGGAGTCTTGCGGTCTGGGCGGGCGAGAGGTGCGACACGAGCGTCTCTGTCTTGGAGACGATGTCCGCCATGGGGATGCCTTCGTCCTGGATCTTGAACAGGTCATGTCGCACCGTGCCGTCGCTGGTCACGCCCTTGAACGGCTCTTTGAGCAGTTCGAGCCAGTGCTTGTAAAGGGCGTGGATCCAGGGCGGGATGCCGGATTCTTTGAACGCATCGGCGTAGACGTGGGCGTCTTGTTTGGCCATGGTGGTGAAGCGCGGGATGGAAAGGTCGGGGAGGTATTCGCGGTATGCGCTGGCAGGTGTTGAGTCGGCCATCTTGGGGACGTCCTTTAGGAGGAAGATGTGAGTAGAGGGGAGTGATGTCTGCTGTATGATGTTGTCCGGTCGAGATTGCGTTTGCCGGGATTTTGGCTTCCAGCTTCCAGCTTCCAACCCTGTTGATACGATCTCCTCGCTCGAGCTGTGCTTTTCTCTGCCTCTCAGTGACGAGCTTGAAGCTTGAAGAATGACGCAGCGAGTGTGCGCTGGCTTATCCGGTGTGCGCTTGGAATCGCTTGTGAGGTCAGTCGCAAGCGTGTCGAAGGCTTCGATCTGGGCCGACTTGACCTATCCTACCTCTTTACAATATTGACTACAGTTCGTTAACATCAAGTCGATTCAATGCGAGATGTTTCAACCAGACCAAGAAGACGTCGTCCCCGCGAAGCACATGTGGGGCAATCAATGGTGGCCAGCCGCCGTCTTCGGAAGAGGCACCCATTAATTACACACACTGCGGTAATAAGCCACACCCAGTTCTGCTCAGTTCTGGAGTACTTGGACGCCCTCGGGACGTCGATGATCCGATCCGACATGTCCCGACTACTTCTCGTTTGCACCGTTTCCTCCTTGCACATAATTAACATATCAAGCTGAGATCAACCACGAAGCCTCAGAAGTCAGCATGCTCAGGAAGGCGGCAACTCCTGCACCATGGAAGCGTAAGATGGTCCGTCTTCCCCCTCCTTGCGCCAAAGCTCACTTTGAATTTGAGGATTGGTCCGCTTCGTTCCTCGGCGGGATTCGTCCAAAATCCTCGTGGGACAGCCTCGAGACGATAACATCGACGTCGGACTTGCTGTGCGGAAAGGCCAGGATGTCGCTGTCGACATCTTCTCGGGGATGTCCGTTTTGTCGCCCGGTCAAGAGACTGGGACTAGCGCGATCATCGACAGGGTGCTTTCTCCCCTGGCAGGGACTGAGGTCGGCACCATCCGGTGTATTGGCTTGAATGTGAGGATGTTTTGCCTCTGAAAGCCAACGCAAATCAGCTGATCAGCTTCACCAACTGCCAGTACAAGCAACATGCCGCAGAGGTCAATATGGCCTTGCCGACCGTGCCGACCGTGTTCATGTGAGTGGAGTTGATCGCGCTACAAAAATCCATCCAGTTATCTAAACACGAAACCCGGCCAGGAAACCAGATACATCTCTCGGTGATCCTTGGCCCGCTCCCACTGTTCTACCAAAGATCACACAGCTCGACGACTGTGGCGACTATGAGGCCGAGCTCGCGGTCGTGATTGGCAAAACGGCCAAGAACGTCTCGGAAGCTGACGCCATGTCTTGCGTGTTAGGATACACTGCCTGCAATGACGTCTCCAGCCGCACACCGCAGTTCGCGCAGAGCCAATGGAGCTTTTCGAAAGGGTTTGATGGCGCCTGTCCCATTGGGCCGGCACTGGTGTCGCCGTTGATGATTCCTGATCCGTCGAAACTTCGCGTCCGTGGGCGGAAGAACGGAGCCGTGCTGCAAGATTGCGGGACGGACGATTTGATCTTCTCGATCGCGAAGCTGATCAGCTTCTTGTCCCAGGGCACCACGTTACCGCCTGGCACGTTGATCATCACGGGCACGCCGGCGGGGGTGGGCATCGTGAGGAAGCCGAAGGTCACAATTATGCAGGGCGACGAGTTCCACGTCGAGATCTTGCCCCACATTGGCACATTGGTGAATGTGTTTGCAAACGAGCAGTGAGGGCGTGCCGAGAGCTTTGTCTGGTCTGAGCTTCTCGTGACGAGTGGCTTGCATTCCTCAGTTGCCTCGTCGCACAGACATCCAATCCAAGAGACTGCGCTTCCTGGCTGCAATGCTTCGTGGCCGCTCGACCCCCCGCGACACCTTCTCACTGCGTACTTGGCCCTAAGCACCGTTCCTTGTCGGGTAACATTAGCTCGCACGGTACAAGAGGTGGATAGTTCATGCTTTGAAATGCATGAGCGGGTCGAAAAGATGGCTTTGTTGGACGAGCGCAAAGACGTCCGAAACAACCGCATCCAGACCGAGACATCCGCAAGTGGAAGTCAATAGTCGCAGCGAGCGTCCTTATATCTGGGCTTAGAGGGGAAGCAGTCCATTAGATCAGACAGCGTCGCCCACACGGTGCTCCTTCTTGGTCAAAAATTCGCCGATCTCGCCGCGGCGTTCTATACGAGCCAGGATGCACATCTCTGCCGGAAACACCCTCTCGACGGTCGTTGTCGCTGTCTTCGCCTTCGGAGTACTCGGTGTGGCGCAGGAAATTCCTCAAATCACCCCACCCGCCATGCCCCCAATGAGCGACAATCAAACGTGGATGATCACACCTCCGTTGACACCAGATGACGCGGACTACGTCGACGAGTCGGATTTCGCAAGGCTCGCGAAGAGATCACCCCCCGCTGGCTCCTACATATGCGACGGTACAAACTGGGCAGGCAACTGCAAATGGACGGCAGTGAGGGACTACCAATGCTTCGACTATCCCGCCAACGCTGCTTCTTCGTTCGGGGTAAGCTCCTCCTATCTCGCGGATCTTTGACTCTTGGGCTCACCCTATTCTGGATGAAAGCCCCTCCGCTAAGACTCTACTGACGTCCCTTTTCTGTCCTAGCCTCCTCAAGCCTGGCAATGCAAGATCTTCTACAGTAAAGGATGCGCACCCGGCACCGGCACCGACGGAAAGCTCACATACCCGGGCACCGCAAATCTGCGAGCCACGTACAACAGAATCGACAAGCCAGGGTCGTACATGTGCAGGATGTGCAATACCGTGCCTGGGGATCATCCCTGGTAAGTACAAAGCCCAACTCAGGCCGAGGTTCTAGTGCTGTCGCCCATTCGGGTTGTCAGGCTACAGAATGGATCCATACATGCCGTACGGGATTGTTTGTATTTTGACTGACGAGGATGTTTCTTTGGTAGTGTCAACAACAATGCGCCGGACTTTTATTTCGCACAAGTCAAGTACGGATATGGAGGTGACGGGAATACGTGCACGTCTTGGGATACCAACATAGGGACGACCACGAAGTATACCTGTTTACCGCAGGCGACTGTTGATCCTCACTTCGTATAGGGTGGTGAAGGGAGGATGAGGGGGTGATGGGAGAAAATCGCATTGCTTCTCTACCTGCGTCTGCCGCCTCCGTTGGGGAGGGAAAGGCATCGGTGGCGGTAGGGATCTTCGGGTGCAGGCGGCATGCCAGTTGGGGAGGCAGTCAGACTTCACTGACTACTACTACCAGGTGGTACTCGTCTCGGCAGAACCAGAATGCGCACTCCTCGAGGCCGTCACGCTGAAGGGATGAGAGAGCGAAGTCAATCGACACATCGCCATGGAATCGGCGTTTTGGTAACATCGTAGCAGAAGCAGTTGGCGGTACGGTCGAGAAAACACACATTTCGACCACGAGTGACTGGTGACTGCTCGCTTTGCCGTGCCGTGATACGTAAATACAGTAGCATTGCCTGCCCGCCCAATTCTGAGTGCCGCCAACCCTATACTGTGCACGTGGCACTATCCCCTTGCTTCGATGTTCGATACTGCAGTCTGCAGTTCCAACGAGAAAGCAGCCCCGAGGCGGAGGGAGCAGAGGGAGCGCGCAAAATCCTCTGCTGTAGATCAATCAATTCTACAGAACCCCTTGTGCTGTCGGGGCTTGTAATTAACGATGAACCGCGTCCAGCCGTCGGGACGCTGTCAAGTGTGCACCCCCGGCACCATAAGCCCAAAGATTTGGTCTGGAGCAGAGAACCGTGGGGAAGAAAAAGCCGTGCGCAATTTCTTACGATGGGAATTCCCCCATGTGCTTTACTTGTACTGTTCTAACTACCAACCAGATTGCGCCGACGGTCGACCGTCGGACGTCTCGGATTGGCCGGGTCCAACTACTAACTAAATTGCGCCGACAGTCGACCATCGGATGTCTCAGAGCACCAGCTACCAAGTCAACGCGTCTAGGACGACAACAACCTACACACCTTAAGCACTCAACGTGAATAACACCCGAGAGACAGTACCCCAGCAAGGCAGTTACGAACGAACTTAGTATAGAGAGTCTCGAGCAGGACCGTGTCATTACTTAGGCAACGAGAATCGAGCCTAATAATAGCTACTCTACTATCGACAGATCCGTAATCAGCGGCTCCTCTTTCCCGAAAATTTGCCATTATTATCTCTTGGCCGCACCTCAGCTAGGCTTCCTAGATAAACGTGTTAAAAAGGGAGACTTTAAGCTCCATGCCGTCTAATTCTCTACAGTACCAATCCGGCGGTGGTGGGCAAAAAGGAGGGAGGAAATGTTCCAAACGATAAGACCGCGTACAGTCGCCCACTGTGGACGGAAATTACTTACTGCACTGCACATCCCTGAGATGCCCAGGCGTGCGAATGCGAATGCGAATGCGAATGTGAATATTTTGGCGGGTTGAGTGCGGAGTACTAATTATGCGACGTTTTCAGAGGGCGATGTTGACATGTTAGGTCATATTGAGATGGCATCGGTGGGTGTTCAGGTGCTATCTTTGGCGTGGAGTGATCAGAGGGCATCGGATAAAAGTATTGCTAATGATTAATATCCAACGGCATCCAACGAGATTGCACTTTATCGAAAGTGCTTAGTCCTCCAACGAGGTCCAACAGTGTCTACTAGTACTGTGTAGGAGGAAACCGAGTCAGGTTGCGTTAGGTGCCTCTCCTGTTGATACTGTAGATGCTGTCAGGAAGAGGTCCATAGCCTCTGGGACTTGCCCAAAAAGACTGAGAATCAAGGCAATCCATACCTACCTAAGATCTTGGACCCCTTAGCTTATATGCTGCCTAAACCCGGTTCATACCACATACATCCTGTATCGCCAGCAATTCCAGCCCAAGACAGACAACGACATCGCACTTTACAAAAGGTGCCTAGTCTCCAACGAGATCTAACAACGTCTAACAATGTCCACGAGTAAACTGTATCAGGTTGCGTAGGGGACTTCTCCTCAGATCGCCTGCAAAAATCCACCAGGCGAAACGTAGAAAACAGCATCACACTTTACCGAAAGTGCTTAGTTCTCCAACGAGATCTAACACGATCTAACGCTACCCAACGACACTGCAGGAAATGTTGCAAAGAGAAGCTCCGACGCACTTCACAGGAAATGCTCTAAAGGGAAGCTCACTTCCCGCGCAGATCAAACGGATGGCGGGCAGATCTGAGCGGAATGTGTCTCCGCTGCTTGACGTCACGGCTATTGAACCACCTGATGCGCAGTGCTTGGTAGGTCCGAAGCACGTATCCTGGTGGTCACTTGTATATTTGCTCTGTGTGATTCGGTTACAACAGGTCTTGAAAACACAGGAAGAAGCAGAATGCCCGCTACTACGAGAAGCAAGACCAATCTACAGCAAACCCACCTGGAGGATTTCGAGAACAAGCCGAAGAAAGAGAAAGCTACCACGTCCAAGTCACGACGCCAGGATACATCGAAATCCAAAGACACCACAGCACGCGCCAAGCGCAAACAACCGGAGCACGAGGAAAAGCCTCAGAAAACTTTCCGGCCGACGAAGAAGCAAAAGGAGACGCACGACGAGGCTTCCATCAAACCCGAGGAAGGTGTAGAAGACAACAAGCCCGTCATCATAAATCGCGCGCCAGTGTTACAGCTATGGGCCGCTTGTGTTGCCCAGAAGCTCTACCCCAACCTGTCCTGGAGCACGCATTTGAGCATCGGCTCCGCCGTGTCCGCGCTATGTGCCATTTCAAAGGGTCGTGCCATCGGCACGATTGACCAGCCGAATGACGATCCGGACAAGAAAGCCGAGAAGGAAAAGAAGAAGCGGTCCGCTGAGAAGGGAGCCGACGACGAGGTCGACGTCATGTCCTTCAAGCTCTTGTTGGAGGATGGCAGTGCGATCGTTTCTGGGACGCCACAGAAGGCCAACGAGGCGGCTTTGATTAAAAAGTATGGAGAAGCCGAGTACGCGAGGACGAAGAAAACGATGGAGGAAGCAATTGATATGTTCGAGGCCAGGGCTAAGAAAGGCGAGTTGAACAGAACCGCGTTTCACATGTATGAGGAGTTTCGTCCGAGCGTGCAGCATGGGCAGGGCGGATGGGGTAAGAAGGGAGAACTGAGGTTGGAGAAAATCAGGGAGCTTGCGGAGAAGCGGTGAGTTCAGTGTTAGGAGCAGCTTTGCGGTTCGGAAGCATGTTTGAATATGTGTTGGATGCTGGAGGTGGGCACGAAGTTGCGTCTGGGACCGGTGCATACCAACTCAGCAATGCGCCCGCATTTCACCAAGGACAAGCTCATCCACGGCAGGGAGTCGCCATGGAAAGCTCCGCTGCTTGACGCATAATGATCAGTGCCCGCGCGGGTTCACAGGTGTCCTGCTTGATTTGTTCTTTCATGACGATAACGGACACGGCCTGGTTGCAGACCGCTTTGGCTGGTCGATCTGTTCCCGCCCCGTGCCAGCCGAAGCGCGAATGCTTTGACGCGAGAGCAGCACTGCGCACAGAGTGTCGTTTTCTCAGTCCCTGGAATTGGGGCGTAAATTTGCTGAGCACCGCTGGGTGGATGTGTGGAGACGCGTGGACGCTTTTGAAGACGAGTCACTGTGTGATTGCGCAAATGTGCCTTTCGTGTCAACGCGAGTGCTCTTGGACTTTTGCCGATATCATGAGACTCTCGCGCAAAGTGTGGGACAAGTGACGCCTTCACGGAAATATGTAATTACTGTACTATTATTTGTGCCTGCCCAGCCGAGCGGAGTAAAGAAATTCCGAGTTCCAGTTGGGACCGAGGAAATTATCGGCATCCTCCCGATTTCCTCTCATGCCTTTCTGTAGTCGAGTTACAGAGCAGTACCTGCACGGCGATACAGTCACTTTGTTAAGGCTCTCGACGGTGAGCAGGCTCCCGCATGATGGTGGCGCCTCAGGAGTCAATCCCAGGCAAGCGGCCAAATTTCCTTATCATCGTGGCCGACGACTTGGGGTTCTCGGATGTTGGCGCATTTGGGGGGGAGATCAACACCCCTAACATTGACGGCCTGGCACGCGATGGCCTCAGATTTACGGATTTCCATGCAGCAGCCGCCTGCTCGCCAACTCGATCAATGCTGCTAAGCGGCACGGACAACCGCAAGTGCTGTCCCTGGACTGCCTGTATTTTCTTTTCCAAATCTGTTGTGCTGATACGCTGTTCTAGACATTGCCGGCTTGGGCACGATGATAGAAGCCATAAAAGAGTTCCAGAAGGGTCAGCCAGGCTATGAAGGATATTTGAACGACCGAGTGGCGGCGTTGCCCGAACTTCTTCGAGATGCCGGCTATTTCACCCTCATGTCGGGAAAGTGGCACTTGGGCATGACGCCAGATCGATACCCTTCGAAGAGAGGATTCGACCGCTCGTTCAGCTTGCTTCCAGTATAGTGCTCCTCACGGTGCCACTCTTCCTTTCTGACCATCATAGGGCGGAGCGAACCACTATGGCTGGGAGCCACAAGTGCAAGAAGAGGTGCCAAGTCTCCTGAAGCGGAACGGTACTTTCTATGCTGAAGGCGATTCGTCTGTGTCCGTGGCCGACTTGGGCTCAGATTTCTATTCTTCACAGTCATTCACGACAAAGTTGTTGCAGTACTTCGAGGAACGGGACGAGGACGAGAAGCAGAAGCCTTTCTTTGCGTACCTACCGTTCTCAGCGCCCCACTGGCCATTACAGGCTCCGGAAGAGGACCGCCGCGATTATCGAGGCCTATATGACGATGGTCCCGACGTGTTGCGACAACGGCGCCTCAGGAGTCTCGAAGAACTCGGCATCATCACTCCCCAAACAAAAGCCCACGAGGTCTTTGCACTACCACTCGACAAACCGTTGAGCAAAGACTGGAGCGAGTTGACCGCGGACGAGAAGAAGTTCTCATCCCGGACGATGGAGGTTTTCGCGGCAATGGTACAGAATATGGACAAGAATATCGGCCGTGTGCTGTCTTACCTCAAATCGACTGGGGAGTACGATAACACCCTAATCATATTTATGTCCGACAATGGCGCGGAGGGTTTGCTGCTGGAGGCGTATCCCGTTGTGAACGAGAACATCTTCGACTATATTGACCGGTATTATGACAACAGTTACGAGAACATGGGCCGGAAGAACTCCTATATCTGGTACGGCCCGCGGTGGGCGTCGGCAGGTATGGCGCCACTCCGACTCTACAAGTCCTTTTCATCAGAGGGCGGTATTAGAGTCCCGTTTATCCTGAGGTACCCACCGTTGACCGATTCGCGGGCTGGTGAGCTTGATCGGTCTTTTGCAACCGTAATGGACATTGCGCCTACCCTTCTCGCGCTCGCAGGCACACAGCATCCAGGAGCAACTTACAAGGGCCGGCCTGTTGTCCCAGTTCGAGGGAAATCGTGGTTGCCATATCTGTCCGATCCCGCAAGGCAGCGGTTGATCCACGGTGACGACTCAGTTGTCGGATGGGAGCTCTTCGATCGGCAAGCTCTGCGAAAGGGAAAGTGGAAAGCCGTCATGATACCCAAGCCCTTTGGACCTGGGGAATGGCAATTATACGACCTGGAGCACGACCCTGGAGAAACGGTCGACTTGCGAGCAGCTCATCCCGAAAAACTACAGGAACTGTTAAAACATTGGGACCAATATTGCAAAGATGTGGGAGTCGTCGGTGCAGCGCCGCAGTTTGGAACCCTCCGAGTAGATGAAGGCTGATAGGGACGTGCCGACCTCATCACCGGTACGGAGCACATCCAGAATGCTATGCTCTGGCCTTCTGCCCAGCTCAACGAATCTAGGCCACATCCTTTCCACCACAATAAGCTCCGGCTTCGTGCTTATCGCCGAGCCGGACTTCCCAACTTGGCTTTCCGGTATTTGAACGAGGGGGCCATGGGAAGTACCCACAGGATTCGGATCGGTGAGGGGCGTCCATTCCACTTCCCCCCCGGTTTCGCTGAGCCCCACGCCTCTCGGTCACCAAATGCTGATAGAGGCGCGATCCATTTCCTCGTCGACCGCCAGTAATTATGCCTGCCGTGCGGGAAGCTTTGCAAACGGCATCCACACGGCCGTTCTACGCTCCGCACTATTCCCACGAGCTTTCGAGATAAGGTTCACATCTCAACCATGGCCGACGGGGTCCCACTTTCTTAGTCCGCCCTGGCTGAACTCGGCAGTGATGTTCTGAAGACTGTTGGACCCATGGCAGGCTATTTCGAGAGCGATAAAAGAGTTTGCGTATTTGGTGGTATTCCAACACTGGCGTGACTCTGCTCGTTCAGATATCGATATTGGCATCGTTGAACCGCTGTTCGAGTGGGTTGTTAGCACCGCGCGCCGGTTGCTCACCTCGGTCGCCATGACGCAGCCAACGACTGGTGTTCAAGGCCTGCCACACTTTGCCCGTCACATCACGACGCACAATGCAGAGGGCATAGCGATATTCCAGACGTCTGATCCCGCAAACTCGACGCCGTCGAACTCATCTGGCCCAGGATCACTGCCACTTGAACCGTCATGGTTCAACTTCCCCACCTCGGCCTTCGGCCTGGGATATGCGACGGACGACATGCCGCCTGACTTCAACGGCAATGCCGATCTAGCGACCTACAATAAATACCAGGAGCAGCATCCGGGCGTTGTCATCAAAGGAGGCACGGTTTTCCGTGTTGTCGACATGGCACCCGGCGCCGAATCGCCCATGCATCGCACGGTGAGTCTGCCCATGCTAGCCACACCGACATTATGTAAACGACGTTCGAAGCTCCTGCTACGCTATTCCAGGCCACTTGTGCTAAAAGGCGGAACAGGTCTCAATCGATTACGGTGTCATTCTCGAGGGCGAGATCGAACTGGAGCTGGACTCTGGAGAGAAGAGGGTCTTGAAGAGAGGGGACCTGTTTGTGCAGAGAGGGACCATGCACAAGTGGAAGAATCCGAGCGAGTCGCAACCGGCGAGGCTTGTCGTGGTGCAGCTGGAGAGCAAGGAGGTGGAAGTTGAAGGGAAGGGAGCCTTGAAGGAAGAATTTCGATCATAGTCGCTGTTGGCTGTACGGGGAGACCTACCTAGCAGTTCCATGACATGCCATTCCTCCTGTACTCGTACCCCGCGGTATTGTTGCAATTTCTCGAAGACGGGATACACAGTAGATGCATTGAACCCACCACGGCATTGGCGCCGAGACAGGAGCGCATGTTCACAATATCGGCCGCACCGCTCCCACAGCCGACTGCGTCCCTTGCAGTGGTGGCAATGTTCAATCCGGCAACGAGACGAATAGCGTCATGACCGGCATCATCATTCAGCGGTTGCTGTTTACTCTCCGGTCTCGGCAAATCGCCCGCGACAACGTCCGGCCAATTAGTAATTGATCGCAGGCGGCGGCCAATCTCCGGACTCTCGCCTGCTGTTTCGAGGAAATGCTCTCCAAACAAAACCTCCCCCCATGGTGGAGTCACTGATAGCTCATAAATGGCGTCGAGGGGTTGATTGAGAAAGGTCAAGAGTTGTTGGAGTCAGTCGTCGCCGTGGCTGAGCCAATCTAAACGTCATTTGAGGCGCAACCCCGCCATACACTGATTTTTTCTGCCTCACTTCCACCTCACTTCCATTTCATGCAATCGTTGTCCAGAGCGACTTCTGCAAAATTCATACGCCGTCTTCCACGAAGCGCACTCCTCTACCAACCTCACATCCGACCCAGAACATACGCAGACATGGCTGTCCGATCCGCTTTCGATCCCAAGGACATGGTATGTGGTCGCGATGCGCCTGGCCTCCTGCTCGTTGAACCGTTCGCTGACAATGCCATCAGGTGTTCCGTCACCTTGGTCCTACTGGACTGAAGGTCTCGGTATTCTCCCTCGGTAGGGCTGATGTCAAATGCTCACAGTTGATCTGCGACTAACGTGTTGGTCGGACAGGTGGCTGGCTCACCTACGGGGGAACTCAGAAAGGCAACATTGTCAAAGAGTACGTTGCGCATCTGGGTTCTGCGAGATCTTGCTAACAGCACGTCACAGATGTCTGCAGACTGCCTGGGACCACGGCATCAACTTCTTCGACACGGCTGAGACGTACGCCAACGGTCAGTCCGAGATTGAGATGGGCAATGCCCTGAAGGAGCTCAACTGGCCCCGAGACGAATATGTCTTGTCCACCAAGATCTTCTTCGGTACAGGTCGCAAAGAGCCCAACACGCGTGGTCTCTCCCGCAAACACGTCGTCGAAGGCCTCAAGAGCTCCCTTGAACGCCTTCAACAACCGTACGTCGACATTGTCCTCGCTCACCGACCCGACTACGCCACTCCAATGAAGGAGATTGTCGAGGGTTTCACGCAAGTTATCCGAAATCTTAACCTGGCTTATTACTGGGGTACTTCTGAGTGGTCCGCCGCTCAGATCACGGAGGCCACCCTGATTGCCGAGAAGTACAATCTGATTGCCCCTATCGCCGAGCAGCCGCAGTACAATGCCTTCCACCGCCAGCGCTTCGAGGTCGAATACGCACCACTCTATCAAGAATACAAATACGGCACGACAATCTGGTCACCGCTGGCCTCCGGTCTCTTGACCGGCAAGTACAACGACGGTATCCCGGAAGGCTCTCGGTTCGCGAACCACAAGGACTTCTTTGGAAGCACCGTCGAACAGCTCCAGAAGCCCGAAGGCAAGGCCAAGATTGAAAAGGTCAAGAAGTTGACCAAGATCGCCGAGCGACTGGGTGGCAACACGACCCAGCTGGCGTTGGCGTGGGCTGCGAAGAACCCGAACGTCAGCACTGTCATTCTCGGTGCCACCAAGGTCGAACAGATCGTGGACAACTGCAAGGCGCTCAAGATTCTAGAGAAGCTAGACGACAAGGTCATGGAGGAGATCGAGGAGATCCTCGACAACAAGCCTGCCGCACCCGCCAACTTTGGCAGATCGAGGTAGGCTGGTCTCTTTCCAGATTCTGCACTCGGTTTGCCGCCTGGGCAGGACCGTGTATTTGTGCCTTGCCAGACAGTTGGCGAGGGATCCATGTCCGTCGGCTGATTCGACACACATAGACGCGACTGGCGCCAGAGATCGGCCAAGCTGTAGAGCATGGCCACACACAAAAGTCAAGCTAGGTAGACAGACGGTCGCTTAAAATCAAGATCTAGGACGTCCATGCGTTTCTCAGCCACCACGGCAATGGCGACCGGGATCATGTGTGTGTGTTCATGGCTGTGAAATGATATATTCCCCCTACTTTCCATTTCTTTTGGTCTGCCGCGTCTGTCCTGCCTACTTCAATGAAAATACGATATAGAAATTCGGTGCAGCACGTCGGAAGACACAAGCGAGTTCGTTTCTGGGCTAGCAGCGTCGGGCCAGGCACTCTGTCGGAAGGGAAGGTTAAGCCACCACAGGCTGAGTATACAGAGCTACTGTAGCCTTGTTAGACAGGATATGTTATTTGGCGCTCTTCCCGCACGAGGAGACTCGAAGCTCCAAAGGTCTGAAATCTACTGTATCTGCATACAAAGCCATCAACCGTACGGTGGTCCCTACTGACCTTGTGTGCTCCTGCGAGAAGCTCCATTGTGATGGTGCCTTTTCTGCCCACACGCCCTAAGCGCTCCTCACGAATTGCACGATCCGGCTGTCACAGCCTCGTCCACGCTGCTGCCCGCTCACGCTTTGGGTCGTCCCTGCGGATGGTCATATAGTGGATCTGTGCTTCCACCATTTTCTCCAGTAGTGGACTCACTCTATTTGTGTCTTTGAATTTGGCAGAAAGAGATATCCGAAGGCTGACTGACGTATGTTTGCTCCTCTGTACTACTCATTCAAAGTGCAATGCAATCGTGACCATGTTCGAATACTAAGCTAGTCAATATAGTTGAAATCCACATAAATTATTGATGAGAAGGATCTCCGAAAAATATATATTCATCACATCTCTCTCTCTCTCTCTCGCGGCGACTTCCGTTTCCTCGACTACCAGCCACTGATCAGTCAAGTTTAGGCTTGTCAAATACACAAGGCTTGCATCGAGAAAAGCTCGGAGCTTTCACCTAATTTTGCTGCCGCCTCGTGCGCGTCTGCTGCCATGGAAGAACTTTGGAAATCGGTCGCCCTCGAAAATGCCCCAGAGAAGCAAAGCAATTCGATGCCTCCTACCACACCAAGGATGAGTTTCGCACACTTTGGAGAGCCAGAGATCGAGAAAACCATCAGATCCGGAGCTAAACGCCAAGTCAGCGTATGTGGAGAAGCCATTCCCTCAGCACGCGATCAACCCTCCGTCGCGTAAGCAGGTACCGATACTCTCCACTCGGAGCCAGGCAAATCAGGAGATTACGACTGATCGGGGCCGACAACCGTGACAACCCGTTGCGTGGAGTCATTGAGACTGTACCCTCTTCGGCCTGCAATCCTTACACTGCGGTTTCCTACGTTTGGGGAGACAAGTCACAGCCCTTCCGGCTGCTGGTCGGTGAAGGCCAGTACATACCATTGACAACTTCGCTGGACTCTATGCCGCAGGATTTCCAAGAATCCCTTGCAAAATCGGAGAAGCGTGCCGGCCGTTGGGTTGTTGTTACTTAGGTAGATAAATTCTGCATCGACCAGGACGATGACGAAGAGGAAGGTAGACAGGTAAAGATGATGAGTGAGATTTACAAGGCCGCTCAGAGGGTGGTAGCCTACATTGGAGCCGAGAAGCCAGCCGACATTGCTGTGCCGAGTTTCATAGTGAAGTTCGTCGATCTATGGACGCGCCGCAGCCCTGAAGGTCGGGAGCGGAGTAGATCTGAATGGTCTGAACTTTTTGCTTTCTTTCGGCGGCTTATCTCGCGACCATGATCCAATCTGGAACGCCGTACTGGATCTTCTGTCCGGACAATGGATCCTGCGATCCTGGATTGTCCCAGAAGTCACTCTGAACGAAGAGACATATGTCATTTGCGGAACGCATACGTACAGTATTCTTGTCTTGGTTGTCTTTGGTTCTCGCCTTGCCTACGAATCAGACTTCCCACTCAGGAAGCTCCTGAGGGGTTACAGCCTTTCCTGTACCGTGGAGCATTGGACTTCTGGCCCAGCATTGTGGAAGAATTTTCAGCAGCTACACGCTGTTGGTGTTGCGCGGACACGCCTTGCCGATCATCCAGAAAAGGTCACCACATTCTCTCTCCTGCAGCAAACCATGAATCTACGAGCATCGCTACCTAGGGATAGGATATATTCCTTGCTCGTTGTGGCTTGCGAGGGTGGTTCTTTAGGGATCGTCTCAGATTACTCCATGCCAGATATCCAGGTTTTCACCGATTTTGCGCGCCTGCTTTTCCTGCTGGAGAAGGATCTTCGGATTCCAGAATATGTTCTTGACGCTCCCATATCTTCGCCTGATCCGTGGCCATCCTGGCTCCCAAATTGGTCGTACACAGGGCAGTCCGATCGCACGTTTGGCGGAGGAACCAATGTGTTCAAGGCAGCAGACGCCGTCTCCCCTACTCTCAGCTTCTCCGAGAATGGTAAATCTCTGATCGTAAAAGAAATCCTCGTTGACACCGTCACAGAGGCTCTCGGGGTGCCCTGCAATGGATATTTTATGAAAGGTCGTGTGGTCCATGTCGAACCGGCCATTTTCAGTCGGTACCTGGCGTTTCACCAAGTTTACATGAAGGCCATGAGAGCTATATCTGTGTCGCCCACGTCATCATCCGTGGATGAACTAAAAAGATTCATCCTTGTAAACACGTCGGGTACTGACATGAGACATCCACCGGTCGACCTGGACCGGCTGTCGGAGCCATTCATCGTCTGGATGGACTCTTGTTGTTTCGGTGGTTGAAAACACCCATTCCAGCGACAGGCGAGGGCCCCACGGAGCAACAGGTGATGAACTTGTATGCGGCTTTCGTGGCAGCTACGATAGCCGCGAATGAGTACTGGGCCCCCTTGTGGCTTCTGTTTCGGACGAGCAATGTGCGTTACCGGCAACGGACATCTTTGCATGGGTCCAGAAAGAGCCCCCAAGCGGAGACCAAATCGCAGTTCTTCTTCGAGGCCGGATGTGCTATCTGCTCCGGCTCGTGCCAGGCGTAGGTGGTCAGTACGAGTTCCCTGGAGATGGTTATCGCGAGGGGCTAATGCAAGGCGAGGCCCTAGCAGATCTGAAGCTGGCTGATGAAGCGCACAATCTCATCATTGTATGAAGTGGCGAGTTACAGGTAGAAGGCAAGCAATTGGAATAGACCCGTCTCGCGAAGTGTGAGGAACTCCACTAGGTGTTCCCAGTTTCTTTAGGGGTCATTGTTTGTCTGGCAGACTTAGTCAATGAGGTACAGCCATGGCCGTGTTTTGGGCGATTCGCGTGCCCTAGAATAATATGCCCTAAGACACCCATAAGTATGTCCATGTAGACATCTAGAGCCGAGTCTTCCCTTCTACACAGCCAGCCTTCTGCGTGATCCAACATGCTTCAAAAAACGAATTCTTCACATCCATCTACACAGATCTTATCATGAAAACATAACAATATCCTAGTCTTTGATTCTTCTAGAACACGACACGTGGAACATATTACCACCAAACACAGAGCCCCGTCTGCTTCAGCCGAAAACATTGTCCTCGCGATATTTTAGTAACTAGCCTTGACCACTTTAGTAGCGGTGCATCTCGTGCCTGCCAGTATTTCGCCTTGACGGAGCCATTCACCATGTATTTCTGCGTTTGGCAACAAAACTAATGTAATGGGGCTGATGAGGTTGTGGTTGGCAAGGCTGCCGTTTCTCGGAACAATGTTTTTGCGAAACAACGGAGTGTTCTGATTGGTGGAGGTTGAGCGCAAGGCTGTGCTCCTTTGCTTTCTGGTTTGTCTTTGCTTTGGATGGTTCATATAGAGGGGACATACACGGACAGTCAATACACTCTACTCAACTACAGACATCGTGTCAATCCTTTAAGATGTATGGTGGTTGGATGTGAGAGGGGCAGAGCAAGCCGCCGCAGAGACGCACCCAACCCTCACCCCAGTTTTCACTAACAGCGGACGTTTCAAGCAGGAGATTTGTACTGCAATGTTTCCTTGCTTCGGGTTAAAGGACTTACTCTCCTGGAAGAGTTGGTCATCACTGGTTGCAGATTTCATGCAGTTCACTGCTTCACTGCACTTCATGCGGGTTTCAAACGGTCATATCAATGTGGATATCTCGCCTGTCTAATCCCTTCCAAATGAGAACTTTTTTTTTACAAAACCCACAAAACGCCAGGCAAAGACCTCTCAAGCACGGTGACAGAATGGACTTTTGGACGCCTCAGGTCTCTATATCCTCAGTATGATCCAGCTCTTCAACATTGCCACCGTAGGGGTGGTCCGGCCTAAGAGCATGGTTGCCTTTTACTTCGTCGATCCAGTGGGGGATAGGGGTTCCCCTCTACCATGTTGTCAGTGTCTGCATTACACATACCCTCAGGGATACATACCGCTGGAGTTGTGACTCAGGTAAGAGTGCGGACCATATTGACGAAGGTCTCCCAGACCCGCATCAATATCCCAAGTATCCACCTGGGGGCTGCTGGAGGCTGTGCCTCGCCCATCAAGCCGTCGACAGGCAAATTCCTGTGGTCTTCACATCCGACTTAGCAGGTGACCACAGATTGCTGGGGTTGAAGGCAGTAGCGTACCTTGAGTCGGTCTCTCTTCAACATGAAAAAAATGGTCGATTCTTCTTTGTCCCCTTTCTCTGCCTGCCATGATACCGAGTTTACGGAACAGAAGATGCACAGAGAGACGGGTTATGTGGAGGCCTGACTTGTGTACGAGGGAAACTTGGATGTAAATGATGGGCAGGAAGTTCAAAGTGGAATGAAGGCGAAGACTGCGTCCTTTTGAAGGTGGAAAAGAAGATGAGAATGAGGAGACGCCGGGAATGAATGGCAGTGTCTACAGCCACGTATCTCATTAGATTTGCACACCGCTCTTGTATAATCTTGTGAGTCAATCTTCTAGCTACTGTAGCTTCTGCGGTAGGGGGGTCTGGGCGTGCGTCTTGTAGTTTCAGACGCTGGGCGCGGGCGGAAATGACAGGATCTCTGCTGCCCTATGTGGAAGAAACGCCGTCAGTCACAGATTGGCAATGCAAGAGAACAGTTGTTGGTCAACATAAGAGCACTTGGAGCTGCAAGCATCTGCAAGTCGAAGAGATGACGGGATCCAATAGGTTGGTTTCCTCAGAGCAATGCCTTACTCAAGCTGCAACTAAATGCAGCGCACCGACGTCGTGGCGTAGACCAGGGTCAAGACGGGACCGCGAGCAGGCAGCCGTCTCGCGTCAAAGGACTTTTGGATCCTGGCATTGAGGGAAGGTGGGCAGCTTCTCCGGTAATGGATGAGACCATTTCCCGCCTCGAAGTCTTTGGATTCTATGGGCTCCTGAATTTCTTTTCGGATGATGCATTTGGAAACTGAACATTGCTCCTAGCCATTGTCCGTACGTATTAATACGAAGCTATGCCCTCAAGAATGCCCTTCCCCTTAGGAAAAGCAACGAAGGTGATATGATTGGGCGGCGTGATGTCGACGTGCTATACTTCGTATAGTTGTCGGAATCCCCGTTCGGTCCGCACCTCTCTTCGCCTATTTGGAACAGACTTTGTGGGTCAAAGCGGCCCTCCACAACCAATAAGGTTATGCTGTCATACTGTGGTGGAGATATATTCATCGTGATTGGTGTCATTTTTGACCCCCGGCTTGTTCAGCCAAACACGGGAACGCGGGACGCTTTGAGACTTTTAGCGCCTGCTGTCATAAAGTGAAGCATCAATCACAAAGAACATTTTCATCACTGCCAGGAAAACCCAGCTTGGAGCTTAATAACACCATGATGGGAGACAAAAAGAGCGCTGCTGTCGGTGGCTTATATTGGAAATGTAGATTCTTTCTTGGACGGTCTCAAGGCCAGAAATTTACCTGTTCTTGCGCAATAAGGCTGAGAGCATTCCGGTGCGAGATCATCAGCCTGACGACCTCGAGAGAAATCCGTCACACCGCTACGGAAGCCCACAATGGCACTATTGGTTGCGCCTACTGCACAGCATGTGACTATTGAACCATGACCCCTGGACAATATGCAGAAAGCCTTGGCGGCGACCGGGCAAGCCCCCCTTGGCGCTCTAGGTTTATCTAAAATGGCAGCATCGACCGGCATCCACACTGTCCCGGTGCAGGAAGACCCATCCCTCGACCTCTTCTTCTTCAGCTTCGACTCTGATCGCACTACACGGCATTTTTGCGCCCCTTACTTTCTCCTCGACATGCCTGAGCCTACAATCAGATACTGCTTGACTTCGCTGGGGTTCCACTACCCTTCGACACTCTACAAGACCGTCAAGCGTGATATATCTGCCTTTCTTAGAGCCTCTGTCGACCTCCCATGTGCATCAGACGAACTGCTCCGTCACACGGCGGACAGATATCTGACCCACACGCAAAGTCACCAGACTTCTGCGTCCTGGAATTCAACCATCACCAAGCTACTTCACTGGGCGACCGAGGAAAAGCGGACTGAAAAGCAAGACCTCATCTGCGACGTCATGAAGCTGATGCAGAGGAATGCTCTCGAGACTATGCACAAGAAAGAATGTACCGGTTGCAGGTTCCATCCACAGCCCAACACATCGGCCTCTTCCACGACCACGGGCGCAGCCACGACCTCAGTTCGCCAGAGCCCCCTCTCAAACATGTCAGCCCCGTTGCCGTGGCCGCAGAGCGTTGTAGAACGCGACAGCATCGCGTCTGGCTTGCCATTACCAGAAGAACGTCTGTCCTCCCACGGTAAGTAATGGCCCCGGTGCATTTCTCGCGAGTTTGGATGCATCTGGCCTGACGAGTTCGAAGAATCAACCAGGTCCCCGCATTCTCCATCACGTCGTTCGGACAGTATCTCGTCTGTGCTCCCATGGACTGACGATCCCTATGACCCGGACTACACGGACGCCAGACCACCTCGAAAACGGAAGCGCGTCCCTGCCACGTCACACGTGCGTAGCAGTCTACCTCAACCTCCTGCCGGTAAGAGAGAAGCGGCAGCACCTGACGTGCAAGGCACCATCCTGGTAGCGCCGAGCCCTCGAGCAACCGCCACCCCAGGTCTTGATCAGCAACCACGACGACCCTCTGAAGTCGAAGATCCTCAGCCACAGGCCTCTAAAGCCGAGGATACCCAGCAAGAGCAACAAACCTCCGTCCAAGCCAATGATCCTGAGGAACCACAACAAACCCCCGTTCAAGCCAAGGTCCGTCAAGCATCGATTAGCCCCGACGTATTGGCTTCGGCGTCGGCGCCGGCGTCGACGTCTGCATCTTCCTCACCAAGCTCCCTCGAGCTTCGAGGCAGAAGATGGGTATTCGAGACGGCGGCCGAGAAAATCAAAGGACTCGAGGCCGCCCGAGCTCGACAGCACGCGCTGTTGGAGTCGTTTGTACAGGAAAGGGGCGACGACAATCAAGTCAAATCTCTGGCAACCATGCTTTCCCACCATTCCAAGACTCTGGACACGTGGTTGACAGAGACGGCGGGCCGTGGCTGGGAGGCCGAAACACTCGTGTCGGTGCTCACCCGTCAGTTGGACATAGGAGAGTGGCTGTTGAGTGAGATATGTGGGGATGACAAGGCCTTGCTCCGCAAGCGCATCTGGGAGCTCGACTCGCTGACGGAAAAGTGCTTTGTCGAGAACGGAGGCGATCCTGTTCGGTGAAAAAAGAAACTTAGGTAACCTACCTACCTACCTACCTACATGCATGCGTGGATGTTCGATCCCTGCATGTGCACCGTATCTCTTTGGCGACGGCGTAATGGGTTTAATGTCCGGAGGTGGTATTAAATATGAATGAGAATAAGAGTGCAGTGATTATACTAAATTTTTACAAGCCCACTTAGGCGACCATGCGCCGCTACAGGAAAGGAGACTATGACGAACGGACCCGACAGCCTCGCTTAGTGTGCTCAGTCCTGAGCGGCGCCGAGCGAGACTGAGCACAACTAAGGACACTGAGTAAAACCTATATAGGTATAGGTATATAGTACTAGGCTAGCCTCCGTTCTAGGAGACGCCCAGTAGTCAACTTGGTTAATACTCTTACCCCTACCTTTGGACTAAGAGCGTTGTTCCACTGAAACGCCGTTACAAGTAACCGCGTACCCTTATCCTCGTGCAGACATACAGTTGTTACTCCCTCCAAGTAAACCTACTTGGACCGCACACCGCCTCACGTGGAGCGATTCATAACAGTTTGGCTCGATTGCGAGGTGATGATTTCAGAGGTACTGGAAATATTTCCTCCTTGAATATTGCACATGTATTCTAGGGGACTACAGTATTTCACTTATGATGTCTCTGGAGCTTGTACCTGGAGACACAACAAGGACCAAGCGGACCCTCCATTTCAATTTCTCCCCTTTCTGGCCAGCCCCTGGAGTCTGAGCGCGGCACTCTCATGACCCAGCAGCCTCAAGCGCTGTGATAGATCGACTCCCAATTTGGGCGCCTGGTCTGGTTCCCGAGCTTGAGAAATGCGCGGGTTGCTGACAGCGTCCGCGAGATCGATACGCTGAGCAGCCGGAAATCCTCGCGGAGGGCTCAAATCGTACGGAGAGACAGTATCTGTCGGGCTGACCTCCACGCCTTCAAAGACATGCATTGGACCAGCGCTCTGCTGGAATACCTCCGTCTCAATTAGTCTTGAGACTTGCACAGGTCGTAGGACCGGGGTCCGCGGGAGGTAACCGACGACTGGATGGTGCTGGCTTTGCATCTGCACCTGCATCTGCGTCTCCAAAGGACCCGCACCTAACGCTGGAGTTGGCGGTTGTAGTATGTGTAACGGTGTCGATGCCGACCAGTCATGCCTGCGTGGAGCGCTGGCGAGACGTTCAGGGTAGGCATTCTCAGGGCCGTAGAGTTGTGGAGCGGTGTGTCGCCACTGGCGTTGCCGGAGGGCTTGCATCTGCACGGTTATAGCCGCCAGACGATCCTCGAACGCTGCCAAGTTCCTTGCGCACCGGTTGAGACGTGACCGTTGCTTGCGGATGCCTTTCTTGAGCGAGGTAATCGAGACGGCGGTGTTAGGCTCGTCTGACCAGTTATCTTGTCGAGCCTTGTCGAGCCTCCTTTCAACCCTGCGGATCTCGGACGACAGCTTTCTGTGAAGCGCCGTTGCGGCATTGATCCGTTCATGTATATAGTCTGCTTCCTGGCGGATGTGCGAGTGCTGCGCCGTGGCAAGGGTGGGTACGCCAACACCGCATGGCATGAGATCTCGGTGAGGGATCATTTTGGCGACGAGCAGGAATTACCGTCAGCGGAAGAGGAGGACTGTATGCCGCCATCGTCTTCCGGGTACGGTTCTGGCCAGTTTTGTGCATTGTCGGTCTTGGTGTCTTTGTTCTGGTACAGAGGGAAGGGCTGATCAATTATAGATGGTTCAACAAAGGTATTGTAGTAATTCGTATTCCGGTGGAAACAAACCACCTTGGCTTGGCACCGTTTTTGGACATGGCCGTTGCCATATAAATGGGAAGGTTACCCGACAGTTGGCCAGACTGCGCTCAGGGGTATCATGGACTGTAAACCCCCTGTGTTGAAGCGAGCGGCAGACGCTGGCTGCGAGCTGTGTGCACTGTTCAAAGACGCTCTCCAACTGTGTTTCCATGATCCATGGGAGCAGCTGAGGAGACAGCCGCAACTCTGCGCCACCGGACTTGTCGTTGAACCCAGCCATGGCAACCCTCAATCGATGACCCTTAGCTTTGGGCTCTACTCTCATTATGATCTGAATGTTCGCATTTCGGTCGAACGCGACGGGCAGGACCCTGAGATGCTCTTCCCAAGCTGGCTTGGAAAGCCCGGATCCTATCCCATCGAAACGGAAAGAAAAGTGGTGATATGGCCAGGATTTGGCAGCTGGGACGACGGCCTAAAAGGCCCATTCCAATCTCGCATCTGGGTACTTCAGGAGCGACACCCGTCGCCCAGGGTTCTACATTACATTACACCAGAAAACGCATGCTTTGAGAGTGTAGAAGAAGCAGATCATCTGAAGGTTCACAGGAAATGAAACCAGCGCGCGAACATTGCTTTCTAGACGGACGATCTGGAGCACTCCGGAAAACCGCGAGCATCATTTCAGACCACAACCCTTTCCATGAGCGCCATCGACGATGGTACAATCATCTAACACGGCAGGATAGGCATGGAGTTTAACTCGCCGCCGAGCAACTCAAGAGGCCGAAGGTAGCAATATGGGGCACTGGATTCCCCTGTCAAGGACAAACATAGCCGTCAAAGGCTTGCACAGGACAAGTGGAGCAGGTGAAGCACCGGCGAAAATTCATCCCAGGGGGTAGCTGATCTATCGCTTGATTTACATGCCACAGTACTTAGGGCACGGTCAGGTTCATGAGGCTTTCCGCAGACCGCTCTTACACTTGGGCGCCCTCGGGGCCCGAAAGGGCTCATTCTGTCGTGCGCCAAATTCCATGTTCTTCGTGCGTCAGGCTTCGACGTTCTTCCGGAGTTCACTGGTGTCATCACTGCATCCACGTTACAGCGCTCTACCGTGCTGGATATTTGCGACGACAACGCTCCGAGTCTTGGCACCTCTTTTGGACTGTGCCAGCTACTCTAGTTGAGTACTCTGTATCAGGTGACCTAGTTCTATTTCGGACCGGCCTCCGTGTCAATGAATCAAGTTAATTGTGTCCAACCCCTGGTTGTGATTCAAGCGCGGTGCAAATGGCACTAGATCTTCGCTTACGACGAGATTTCCGTAACCCTCGTCGTCGTTACTACGCCGTTGCCTCGTGGAAAGCGGGACGTTTCGATAATGGGACACAGAAATTGAATTGGCGCGGAAACCGCATGTTTCTACGCTGCTCCCAGGACCACTGACCGAGACGGTAGTTTCCGGATGCAGGTCTGGGTTCACTGTCAGAGCACATAGTTCACCACAGGACCTTGAAGAGAACAGGGTATGTATTGCCTGAAATCCTACGACAACTTTTTGCTTAGAGAGAAACGGGTCGGGGACGGTTTAATTAACCTTTTGCATAAGTAGCAGTTACAAAGCCGGTCGTCGTTAGTCGCCGTTCGCGCGTCTTAGTGCCCACCAAATAAGCCCGGTGGTCGTAGCGTGATCTTCGTCTTTTCCAAGTAACTCTAACCCCCAAAGGTCCTGGTCGAAGGACTACTGAGACCCACCTTTATATGCGAGTATTCGACTTGGAGACTTTCAGCTAGCGATCAGGTCCACCAGGCTTCCCTGACGAAACAGACCCAATGAACGCCCTCGACATATAGCTTTGGTGGGATGACCCTGCACCATCCATATGGATCCATCCTTGTCTACGAGTACACAGTAAAGAGAGTTCCCGTTGTGAGGGAACAGCGCCTAGCGAAAGATGTACCCTGCTTCAACTGAGCCCTGATTCCGGTGAGACTCTTGACAACCCTTTCGTGGCGGGTTTTCTGTTGTGTCGTGCAGCAATGCTCTGGAGTTGATGCTAGCTCAATAGCGAGAGGCTACACCAGAACCGGACTGTAATGTTGACAAGGTTGAAAGGTAGGAAATCAGTAAGCAAGCCTGCCAGAAAGTCTCTTCGCTACACATACACTGGGACCTCTTCAGATATTAAAGCCACCATGTCTGGCCGCCTCTGCAAATCTCCAGAGTCCGGCGTCCTTTGCTGCCTTCTGCACAACACCGACCTCGTCGAGCTTGATCGGTCGATTAATCTCACTGTATCGTTTCTCACCACCCCGCTCACCCTTTGCCCCTCTCCTCTCTTTCCCGACATGAGCACTCGGGAAATATTGCTCCATGATGTTCACAAAGACATCCTTGCCCAAAGCGCCAGCGAGCCAGTTCATGATCTGAACACCCTCGTCTTCCTTACCCGGCATCACAAGATGCCGCACAAGAACACCCTTTTGGGCAATCCCATCTGCCGTAAAGCACAAATCGCCCACCTGCCTATACATCTCGGTGATACTTTCCCGTGCCGCATCTGCATACGCATCTGCCTTCAAAAGCCTCCTACCCGTGTCATTGTTCCAAACCTTGAAGTCCGGCAGATAGATATCCACCAGCCCGTCCATGAGCTTCAAACTCTCGAGGCTGTCGAATGCGCTCGTATTATAGACGATCGGCAAGTTCAAGCCCATCTCTCGCGCGTGCAATATCGAGAGCGCGACCTGCGGAACCACATGCTCAGGAGTGACAAAGTTGATGTTATGGACACCGCCCACATCCTGGAGTTTTACCATCCAGTCGGCCAGTTCCTCCGGTGTCAAATCGAAGCCCACCTTTTGATGCGCGATGTCGTGATTCTGACAGAAGACACAGCGCAGATTGCAACCACTGAAGAACACGCTACCGCTGCCGTTGTGGCCTTGAAGGCAGGGTTCCTCGCCGAAGTGAGGTGCAATGGTAGATACCTTGACGGTTTCTGCGCCGATCAGGCAGTGGCCGGTGGTTTCGTAGCGGTTGACGTTGCACAGGCGGGGGCAGAGATTGCATTGTCGGAGATGCGCGTAGGCCGCCGAGCGCTTTTTCGCAGCATCGGCGGCGGAGAGGAGGTGGTAGCGGGGAATATAGCTGTCGAGGAGGAAGGGAGGGGCGAGATGTAGAGCTCGTCGAGTTGCATCCAAGCCCCGCCGCACGACTGCGGGCTTAACGAGGAAGGATTTGAACATCTTCAAGAGACGGAAAGTACCCTCCCATTCTCGATTTCCGACTGCGATGAATAGTATATCTGCGGTGGTCAACGATAGGGACAAACGGACGGAGGGAAAGTTCAGAGGAAAAGCAGTTTTCTGGCTAGCGAAACCGTTGTACTAAGTCACAAAACAGTATGACATCATACTCCCTAAACGGGCAACGGGTTGCACTGCGGGCACTTTCACCAAGTCAACTCTCATTACGGGCTTCAGAAGTCCACATAATCTGCATACTGTACTCGTACAGCTCAACTTTGTGCTTGATTGCACGCGACGGGCCAGGAGCTCGAGGCCATATTACATGAGCCCCTCCGCTGTCCGTGTTTCCTTTGCTCTTCTTCCACCACCACACGCCTCACGATGCGGCCCATCGTCGCCGTCCCTATCACCCTCCTCCTCATTATCCGCTCCTACACTCGCCGGTCGCTCACCATCCCTGGCATCCTCTCTGCAGCCCTCACGGCAACGATCCACGCCTTGCATCCCTCGGCCCTCCCCTTCACTCTCCTCTGCGTCTTCTTCCTCCTCGGCACCACCGCTACAAAAGTAAAGCATGAGGTAAAGGCCAAGCTCACACTATCGAGTAGCGGCAGCTCCGGCGGAGAGGGGCCACGGACAAGCATCCAGGTATTGGCGAACAGTGGGTGTGCGAGTTTCCTGTGCGCCGTGCATCTTTGGCTTTACGGACACGGCAGCCTGCCGGCGTGGTCCAATGGCGGCAGCAAGCAAGATAGTGTACCCGATGTTTTGTTATTGGGGATTATGGCCAACTATGCCGCGGTCACGGCGGACACTCTGTCGAGTGAATTGGGGATCTTGTCGACCTCTCACCCGGTTTTGATCACGCATCCGTGGCGAGTCGTTCCCAAAGGGACAAACGGCGGCGTCACGCTGGCAGGATTGCTTGCAGGCGTGGCTGGTGGTGCTGCTATTGCAGCGACGAGCGTGTTGATCCTTACCTTTTCCACGGCGTCGACTTTGAATATTGTCGGGACATTTCTGGCGCTTACGGTCCTAGGTGCGATGGGCACTCTCCTCGACTCGCTCTTGGGTGCTATACTGCAAGCATCAGTTGTGGACCGCCGAACGGGCAAAATCATTGAAGGTCCTGGCGGAGCGAGGGTCCTCGTCAAATCAAAGTCGAAGCCTCAAACTCAGTCGCAAGAGCATGCTAGGAACGACAGTGGTGAAGAGAGCCGGCTTGTCAACTCCGGCACCGACATCCTGGACAACAACCAGATCAACCTGCTCATGGCATCCATCGTGAGTGTTACAGGCATGGCGGTGAGAAATCTATTATAGACTTAGAATAGAGCTGTGAAATGCGGACAAGAAGTTGACTGATCAGTCATGATGATATTAGATTGGTCCCATTTTCGTCAACCAGGGCGTCATGCCTATATTGTAACCATTATTCGCCGGATATCTGTAGTCCGGGTAGATGTCCTCCGTGTATCCCATCCATCCAGGGAGAGCTCTTTTCCGTTCGAGCAAACTCCATCTAACCAAGTCGTAAGTTTTGTGCGGGTATCATGATCGTAGCAGAATCCAAGCCCAAATACTCTCCCATTGAAGCGCAGATTTTCCAACAACTCCAGTTCTTCCAGCGACATTTGCTTTGAGTCTTAGATAACAAGCAAGAGAAGAAGCATGGCCAGCAAAGGCCAGCCAAAGAGGCCAGAGACAGAGACACGAGCCTGGGTTGATGCACCACTGCCCAGAGCCGCCGACTGCGTTGCAGAGGTTGTGGGGGATGTTGCCTTTGACCCAGTCTTCGCCGTCTGTGTCGAGTGCGACACGGCCGTGGTAGGATGGATTGTGGTAGACTTCAGGCCAACTCCGCCGGGACCAAATGAAACAGACGCGTGACCGGAGCCCAGGCTCGTCGTCACTTGAGGAGCATTCGACCCTATGCGGTAAGTCGTGCCGCTGATAACTGCTTCAGTGCCATCAATGGAGAATGTCAAGCCTTCTGCAGTAACAACCACAAACGGTGAACCGCCTGGCGCCAGGGTAGTGCTGGTCAGCCCGACTCCCAAGGGACCGAACGACACTGTTACATGATCGGCGCCGAGGGTAGCAGTCACTTCAGGAGCATTTGAGCCAATGCGGTAGGTCGTCCCACCAACAATAGCCACAGTACTCCCGACAGAAAACGTCAAACCCTCCGTCGTGTACACCACAAAAGGCGTACCAGTGACGCCACCAGGAGCGACAGTTGTGCTAGGTAGTCCAACCCCGCCAGCGCCGACCGAGATGCGCGTCCCATCGACAACGACGGTAGTGGCCGGCGCACCTGATCCAATCCTGTACGTCGTTCCCGATATGATCGCAGCTGTGGGTCCAACGGTAAGTGTCAAGTCACCCACGGTCGTGGTAATCGTGCCCGTGGCCACCGGGGTCAGCAGTTGCTCCCGTTGAGGCTGGACGAACGTGATTGTGGCGGAAGGAGCCACGATTTGAGAGGGCTGAAGGGTGAAAACGACACCAGAGACCTGGACCGTAGTGGAGGCCAGATTGGGTATTGCGAAGGTCTGACTCCCGATTGCCACACTGTTTGACGGCAATACGACAACAGGTACGCCCCCGACCGAGGTTGTCAGAGGAGCGGCTGCGGGCACTGGGGCGCGAGTAGCTGGCGAGGGAGCTACAAAGGGTGAATTGATGATCGAAGCAATGATGTTACCAAGCCCTAATGTCGTTGGTGTGCCGGTATTGACGAAGTGTGACCCTCCAGTCGACCCCTGACTTTTGATAGAAGCAAAGACATCAGGCAATGAAGATGCAGTGTTCCCACTGCCACCATTGCTCGCACCACTACCGCCGCCAGTATTACCATTGCTCCCCTCATTGCCGGGCTGATCATTGTCACTGCCACCACTGCTCTCCCCGTTGTTGTTGTTGTTATTGTTGCTCCCACCATTGTTACCGCCGGAGCCATCGTTAATTCCACCGCCACTATTCGGGGAGGGAGTCGGGGTCTGAGACGGGAAATTGAAATTGATGTCCAGGGAGGTCGTCGGTGGCACAACCACAGTCACTGGAGTCTTTTTGGTGACAACAACAGTGCTGGTATAATCGACACTAGAATAGACTTCGGAGGAAGCTGCAGGCGCCGGGGCCCCGAACGGAGAGTCTGGAGGAGCCGGAGCAATGGCAGGTGTCGCGTTAGGTGGAAGAGGAGGTGCATTGAAGGGGCTCGATGCGGTTGCGACGAGCGGAACCTTAGGATTGGTGTTGGTTGAAGGGACAGTGCTCATGAGTGGAACGAACGACTGGTCTAAGGGCATGATCGTTGCTGAGCAGGCCGGTAAAGGAGTGACCAGCGTCGGGGTATCGGTCACGGAAACATTACTGGCGGTCACAGTGACATCAAAACCTTCCGTGACAGTAACATAGACGGTAGGAGGAACCGAACCATAGTAAGTGACCGAGCCAGTACAGGTGGTTGAGGGCGTCGTGGCGTTCAGATCGACGGATGTCGAATAGTTCGTGAAAATGCCTGTAAACGAAGGTAATCTTGGTGGAGTCTTCAATGGGGGTCTGCTCGAAATGGTAAATTCCGACAAGTTGGTCGTGATGCTGGAGTCGCTGAAGGTTGGTGCAGATATGAAGGGAATGGAAATGCTGAGGGAGCTTGGGGAACAGTCTGGGTCGTGCGAATCGCAATGCGATGAAGGCAGTGGTGGAGGGGTGATTCGAGGACCGAAGTCTGTGCTAGGCGCAGCTATTGTTGGTACGTAGCTGGAGAAAGTCGAACCAGAGTCACCTGAGTCGACATCCACTGGGGGAAGCGGTGGAGAAATCGCCGAAGGACTCAAAACTGAGCTGAAGGAAGCTGGATCGTACGTATGGCCTGGGTCGTAGTCTGGTGGCAGAACTTGAGAAGGAACGTTTGGAGGGCCCGAGGCAGAAGTGACTGTATCTGTGAAAGGCGTGGTGCTGGAAGTGACTGTTGGTACCGTGGAGGACCATGTTGTGCTGGAGAGGATTGTATCGCTTGGATTACTGGGACCGAATAGTGATGGGGGGATTGGTGGTGGCAATATTGAAGGACTCGGAGTTGTGCTCAGTGGCACGGCTGATGAGGCAGTTGGATCAATGCTGGACGAAGCGCCCGTTGAGACTGCTGAGGTCGATGTGGGACTAGTCGACTCGGTCGTTGTCAATGAGGTGACGTCCAACTGAGAAATTGTTCCATTCGAGTAGGGCAGATCTCTGCGCATGAATCTGAGCGGCACCAGCTTGTCTGAGGCCAACTTTGTATCCAGACCCAAGGCAGTCGACAGTCGAGCAGCTAGCAGAACGAGCGACAAAAGTGTATGCATCTTGCCCGGGAACAATCTGCCTCCTCTTGCACTCCCTCAAATCTTAAGCGAATGTTATCCCAATGCTGGATAGTAACGAATGACTGTGCGGAAATATAGCTGAATAGGAGCCTCTCAACTCCTCATAGCAGCGAATAGCGAGTGTCAGAGACTGGCGAAGTCACCGCCGGTCTGGTCTTCAAAGCCCAATCGTGGTGGTGGGCTTGGTCGCGAACGTCCGAGATTCGACAGGCATGGAGGGAGATTTGAAGTTGGCGGATACACAAGCCCTCATGTATACGGCGCCTTCAGCATGACTCCACTGCCAGACACGGTTGACAGGTGCTGTGCAACGATCGAAACGAAGGACAAGGCCAGCGACTGCGGACGTTGGCGACTGATGCGGACGAGTGCAGAGGGCTGAAGTCTGTGGAAAGGAAGCCGGAGGCGTGGCCGAAGACAGAGGCACAAGGTGGAGATGGAGAAACAAGGGAACTGCAAGGGTCAAGACCAGCGACAGGCTCTTGCAGCCAGTCGTTTGTAGCCTCGAACAAGCTCAGTGGCTCCGTTCCAGGCTTTCGAAGCTTGGAGACCTGGGACCGCTGGGCGTCGTTGGCCCTCCCAGCCTGGTTAGCCTTCGGGCTCTTCGTCATTCAACCTGATGCGACTTGGGTAGTTCGGCCCCAGCCATCATGCAATGGCATGCCCAAGTACTTTATAGACGCGATGATTGGCTGGAGCGCCGGATTGAAAGGCAGCCACAATCGCCAGGTTCGGTGCCTATCGATGGGGAAGCGACAAGGCCCTCCCAGCTAGCTTGGGCCAGGAGATTTCTCTGAGCAAATGGACCCTGCAAGGAACAGCATCCCCGGCCCGCCAAGGAAGGATGCCCGCTAGCCCTTCCTTGTTCGGGGAAGGGGCCTTTCGGAGCTCGCTGTACAACAGTCTTGCTGATGGCTGCTCACTGGCGATGAGCTCCAGCGCCATCAAATCATACTCATCTGCAGGCTTACTTAACGAAAGATCTGTAGAGCCTTAGTGCCTGGTGGGATCCTTCCCCAATGCTAATTTGCCGTGCATCATGACAATCCGGTCACATCCAGTGTGCGATCAGCATTTCCTGCACGCAACCCTATCCTGAGACACGCCGTTGTCCCATTAATCTTTCATATACGAGAGGTACATTCCTCGCTGTCCTTCTGCCATTGCAATTATTCCCGCTCAGAGGTCTTCGGTTCTTCATCCAGTGTTACACAACGTCCAATAACAACGGAGGTGGCTAGGAATCTGGACCTTTTGTCTATGCCGACCAGAAGGGAAGTGCCACATGTTCCTGGATGAAAAGAGACGTGGATCTCCACTCTGTTCGCCTTGTGGCATCACCACTTAATCATCCTGCTCGTGTTCGGGGTCGGGATGTAGGCACAAAGTCAATATTGTCGCACCAGGTCCTCGTCGTGCGACAGAGACATGACCATATGGCTCTCTTGGACATCAGCGTCGAAATTATGTCGGCGACGCAGCTAGCCCGTCTAGAGGTCCCCGAGAGAGGGCTACTTTTTGTGTTACGAACAATGCCATCCTCTCTGCTTGGGGGCCGAATCGGCCATAGCACCAGAGGAGGAAAGTTGCCCATACTGTAGTACGAGTACTTGCGTGCATCGTCCAGGCACGTCGAACATCACATCAGGGTTGCGGAATATTTGTGTGCAAGAAGATAATCGCGTCGCCGATGTGACGTGCTGTGCACAGCACACCTGACTTTGAACTCGGAACGTGGGATCGAGAACAGTTGAGCGGGAGAAGAACTTTCGAGGTACTCCTCACCACACGTGTCAAACGATTGAAAGGAGGAGCAGAAGCAGTTTGCACGAGCCAAGACCACCGTCTCAGATGGCTTTGACTTTTCTTAGCTTACCGAAAGTGCTGCGGAACGTTGCATTTGGTGGCACAGTGTCCAAAGTTGCACTTACACCGTCATCAGGAGTTCTGTTGCTTTGACGGGGGAAAGGATACTCGGGGTTTACAGAGCTCCATGGCTACTGTTATGTTCTACTGCAGGCTCGAGCTTTCCAAAGAGAGTAATATACCCGGGTAGCAATCAGGGGTTTTCGATGCTGCCCCAGCCAGAGGGAACGTCACGGTTGGATGGAGCACGAGGCACTCTCGTGCGAGGTGCATCCCGAGTCCGGAGTGCCCTTTCTCCGCCCTAAAGGAAGTGGACACGCTTGAAACGTCTCCATCAGAGACACTAACAGGCGAAAAAGGTTCAGCTCGCTCATTGATTTGCGGGCAGCCAAAGCTACTCCAGTTAAACTTGGGGCCTTTCGGGCTTGGTCTCAAATTTGTTCGGCTTCCAAGGCTTCCTCCGCCCGCGACTGTGCAGTCGCAGCAGGCTCTCAGGGAGTGTCTCTTCGCTGCGTCGTTGCCGCAGACGTCGTGGTTCACAATCACACCCAGTGCACGGCCTTGTCAAGTCTATCGCTCAGTTGCATTTGCAGTCCATTCGTTCAATAACCCTCTCTGACTCGTACCAGCCTCTATCGGCATCACCGGCTCACAGCATATCCTTCGAACGCCGTCGAGTCTATCTCTAGACGTCCATTAAACTAGACCTCGAATAACTATGCCCGCATTCCGAACATCTGATTCCCTGGCATGACGCGCTCGACACAACACGGCGGCATCATGCCTGCCTCACACTCTTTGGGCAGCAATCATCTGATAGCGCTGGTCGTCCTATTGTCTCTCTCTTCGATGGGGGCTGGAGAGCCTGCACCCATCGTTGCGACAACCAGCACGGATTTCTTTGGTTACGATGGTCTGTGGTCGGCTATCAGCATCAGAGTTGGATCGCCCGAACAATATGTTTATGTTCTTCCGAGTACACTGAGTCAGGAGACATGGGTGGTAGGGCTGGCTGGCTGTGACGGAACCACAATCTGTGAGAACAAAAGAGGAGGCTTGTTTGCCGCGAATGAATCAGTGTCGTTCATACCTGAGGGCTTATACGAACTCAACTTCAATCCTCAACTGGGCAATACCGGGCTTGGATACTATGGTCTGGATGTGGTGTCCCTGGACGATACCGCTTCGGTGCCTGACCAAATCGTGGCCGTGGTCAATTCTACAGCATATTGGGTAGGAAGCCTGGGCCTTGGTGTCCAAAACACTCGCTTCAGTGGCTCCGAGAACATCTCGCCACTCTTGTCAAGCCTGATCGAGAAGCGGAACGACATTCCCAGCCGTAGTTATGGCTATACTGCAGGGGCGTCCTACCGTAAGTGCTCCATATCAATGAGCGACAGTCTGCTGATGAAGATGCTTAGGTCTGAAGGGTGTGCCGGCTTCTTTGACATTGGGAGGAGTTGATGCAAATCGATTCGTGCCCAATGGAATGAGCTTCTCATTGAGTCAGGATTACGCGCCCATCGTTGCTGTTAATTCGATATCACTCTCGTCAAGCGCAGAGTCTTTGCCCTCAAATTGGAATTCTAACCCCCAGACGCTCCTGGACTCCTCTCAAGCCGACCTGTTCACCATCGACTCCTCCACTCCATTTCTCTGGCTTCCCGAAGCAGCCTGTGACGCCTTTGCGAGTGCCTTGAACCTCACCTACGACGAAACCCTTCAGACCTACCTCTTTCCGTCCGATCGTTCCTCTTCACCTGAAGCGCTCAGTGCATGGAATCTGACTTTCACATTCACACTCAGCAACTTACCTGGTTCCTCAAGCCAGATTGAACTCAGTTTACCTTACGATGCCTTCAACCTTCAACTGACATATCCGTTCCCTAACCTGGCCGCCAATTTCACTTCGGCGCCCACAAACTATTTCCCGCTGCGAAAAGCGGCTAATTCGACACAATATACGATTGGCCGAGCTTTCCTGCAAGAGGCCTACCTCATAGTTGATTACGAACGAAGTAATTTCTCGGTTTCGCAAGCAGTGTTTACCATGGATGCTGTTAGCAACGTCAATCTCCTTTCGATATCCCGTCCAGCAGGAAGCACATGGCCCGGACCAGAAGGATCTGGATCTGGAATCTCGACAGGCGCGAAGATTGGAATCGGGGTCGCAGCTGGACTGGGGGCATTGGTGACATTGGCCCTCATCTGGTTCTTCTGTGTCCGCAAGAAGCGTTCCTCGGCCAGCCCCGGGGCAGAGAAGGAGAAGGCAAAACGGCGGACATTGCTGGGTCGATCCGAGCGCAATCCGGATTCTCAGACGACAGTTTCTGAGCTGCTTGGCGACAAACGCCAACCGACCGAAGTGCCCGCGGATTCATCAGCCAGCCGCTTCGAGTTGTCAGGCCATACGCCGATCGAGATGCCAGCTGGCCCGGTGTCACCGAGTTTCTTCCAAGGCAGTGACGGCACTCCAAGAGCGTCGGCTTTGATGAGGAACGATCCGAGGCGACCAGCAGAGCTTGAGCAACAGAATGCGGCTGATAAGGCGGCAGAGGCAGCAGCCAGCGAGCGGTCTGGATCGCCCGTTCCTCCATATTCTCCTGCGGAAATCAATCACCGTTTCAGCAACAGTGTCAGCCCATACAGCGTCCGGAACAGCCGGGCTTTCGGAACTGTGTCTTCTGATGAGCAGGGCATCAGCCCGGTGGGTCATTCCAGGCAATCTAGCAACAGCAACAGTCGAAGCATGCCCAGTCCAGTATCACCAGAAATGGCTTCACGATCACGCAATCATCTCTCGTCCGGCGAAGGCAGCTTGACGAGTCCTGTGGCAAGCGCCAGCCATAACAGCCTGCTAGTACCGCAACTGGGGGCACGTCCACCATCGAGGTCGCCGAGTACTGGAAGCAGGTTCGTCGAAGAGGGCTTGAGTACGGTGGCAGAAGAGCGAGCTACCAGCCCACCTCCGCCTGCGCGGTTGAAGACAAATGGTCCCAGGTTCAGCTGGGAACAATGAGCCTCGTTGCTGGAATGCCTGTGTTTGACGAGATGATGACTGAAATGCCTGTAATGATAGCCGCCGGTGTGTGCTTGAGATACTCTGGGATTGGGAAAAGCTAAAGACCGACGTTAGCTGTATAATACTTGGTTGGATACCAGTCCATGATATGGTATAGGACGTAAATAATTCCTTGGAATCGATACCTTCCTGTTCGTGCCACTTGAGTGAAGTGTGAACTCTTCGCGCCCCGTAGATGCGGCCCTAACTCGCTTCTCGCATCTCCAACTTTTCGACGTCACTGAGACCTGCATCGCTACAGCGTTACGGATAGACCGCGACGACCAAATGCTGCTAGAGCCCGAGCTGTTGGGCTATTAGCATGGGCACTCGCCATTGTCGAGACGAGTATCTCAGGTGAGCGGCGATGGCGCTCACCAGCTGGAAAGCCTTCCCTTTCTTCAGTGTCTCTCAGGTTCCAGTGCCCGCAGACGAAGACGGCTCATATTTATTCGACGTAAGTCATACAGCTTCTTTGATCGTGCTATGGGCTCATCCTTCATGGCAGGACGTGGTGTCTCTCACTACAGGGGCCGACTCTCTCTTTCTTGGATCCTCCGATGGATCAGTGCGCGTTCTCTCGCGTGGCTTGAAGGTGATCCGCACCTTTCAAGCTTCTGACGCCGCAGACGCTTCGGTCACCCACCTGAGACAGATTCCTGATACGTCCTTCCTCGTCACCATTTCGGAGAACCTCTCATCGGACCCGTCGCTCAAAGTTTGGGCATTGGACAAGCAGGAAAAGAAGACGGGCGCACCGCGTTGTTTGTGTACGATCGCTGTGCAGAATGGCAGAAGGCAATTTCCCGTCTCGGCTCTCGTCGTCCTGGATGACTTGACGCAGGTGGCCGTTGGCTTTGCTAATGGCTCTGTCACGGTCATTCGAGGCGACTTCGTCCATGATCGCGGAACAAAGCAGCGGACAGTGTTCGAGTCGGAAGATCCGGTCACGGGATTGGAGGTACGCCAAAGCACGACCAAGGTGCTGTATATCGCGAACACATCGAAGATCTGCAGTCTCATAATATCTGGAAAGGGCCAGGGCCAGCCGGTCAGGACGGTAGATAACCGAGGGTGCAATGTTGGCTGTATGACCTACGACCGTGAGACCGGAGATGTCGTGATTGCTCGCGAGGATGCGATCTATTACTATGGCGCAAACGGACGCGGTCCGAGCTACGCGTTCGACGGTCCAAAGAAATGTGTCAAGATCTACAAGGAGTATGTCGGCGTTGTCTGTCCACCGCGAGTCGCGCAGGTCTCCAAATCCAAAACGTTCAGAAGGTTGGGTGGCGAAGAAATTGATGAGATGTTCAGCAGCTCATCATTCACGCTTCTCGATACCGACCTCAAATACGTTGCTCACACGGAATCACTGCCCTCTCAGGTCAAGGAGGTCTTCGCGCAATGGAACGAGCTCTTCTTGTTGAGTGTGGAGGGTAAGCTCTACAAATACCAGGAGAAGACACTCCAACAGAAACTGGAGATCCTGTATCAGCGTAACCTGTACATTTACGCCATCAACCTGGCACAAAAGTCTGGTGCGGACAAAATGCAGCAGAATATCATCTTCAGGAAATACGGCGACTACCTATACCAAAAGGGTGACTATGACACGGCCATGCAGCAGTACTTGCGGGCCATCGACAACACCGAGCCCTCGCAAGTGATAAGACGGGTTCTGGACACGCAAAGAATTCACAACCTGATCGACTATCTGGAAGAATTGCACGACCACGATCGAGCCACCGCAGACCACACGACTCTGTTGTTGAATTGTTATGCGAAACTCAAGGACACGGAGAAGCTAGACGCCTTCATTCGGACGCCAGGAACCGCGAAATTCGACGTGGATACAGCCATAGCAATGTGTCGCCAGGGCGGCTATTTCGACCAGGCTGCTTATCTGGCGACCAAGCATGGCGAGAACGAGTTGGTTATTGATATATTGGTGGAAGACTCAAAGAAATACGCCGAAGCCCTACAGTACATTTGGCGATTGGAGCCCGCCGCAGCATACCCAGTGCTGATGAAGTATTCCCGCAGCCTTCTCGAACATTGCCCAGAGGAGACTACAAAGCTCTTCATCGAATACTACACCGGTAAATATGCCCCCAGGAAAGATGTTCCGGCTGTATCGGACGTGCAGGCACAGACAGGTGGAGGAGCATTCCAGAGCCTCTCTGCACTCTGGACGTTACCTTTCATGAATAGATCTGCTACGGCCGACGCGCCGGAAGCTTCCGAACAAGACAATGCGTCTGCTGCCGACGAAGATCAGACGCCAAAGTACACTAAACCGCGACCGAGGAGCGCGTTCTCTTCCTTTCTTGCGCACCCGTCCGAGTTCATTACGTTTCTCGAGGCTTTGATCCTCCAGAAGAACCTTCCGAAGGAGGATCAAACAGACCTGTCCACGACATTGTTCGAGATGTACCTTGAGGCGGCGAACAATGCCACAGGCGCTGCGGAGAAGGAGAAATGGCAGCTCAAAGCGACCAGCTTGATTGCTGACAACACGACTGCATCTCTGGATTCCACTTCGATCGACACCTCAAACGTCTTGCTTCTGTCGTCGCTCTCCAAGTTTCCAGCTGGAACGACTTTGGTTCGAGAACGCGAAAATCTCTACGCCGACATCTTTCGTTCTTTCACTTCTGCAAAGGACACGTCAGGCGCAATTTCGGCACTGAGAAAGTATGGATCAAAGGATCCGTCTTTGTACCCTCTTGCGCTCGGCTATTTCTCGTCTTCGGAAGAGGTACTAAAAGCGCCCGGGGTCAAGGAGGAACTGCAGACCGTCCTGCGAAGGATCGATCAGGAGAATCTCATGGCACCTCTCCAGGTCGTCAAGGTGCTGTCGCAAGGAGGCGCAGTCACAATGGGTCTGGTCAAGGGGTATCTCTCCGACAATATCTCTCGAGAACGGAAAGAAATCCAGGCAAACCGGCGATTGATTGACTCATACCGTACTGAGACTGCTTCGAAGAAAGCCGAGCTGGCAGACCTTGGCACAAAGCCTGTCGTGTTTCAAGCCCGGCGGTGTTCGTCATGCAACCGTAACCTCACCCTGCCTATGGTTCACTTCATGTGCAAACACTCGTTTCATCAGGAGTGCTTGAACAAACCGGGAATCGGCATGGATGAGAATGACGCCAAGGTCGAATGCCCACTCTGCAAACCCGGGAATGACACGATTCGCGCAATTCGGCGGCAGCAGGTTGAAAGCACTGAACAGCACGAGTTGTTCAAGGCTGCGTTGTCTCGAAGCAATAATCGCTTTGGAACCGTGAGCGAGTTCTTCGGTAGGGGGGTTATGGCAACAGCTCCTGCCACGGATTGATAGAGTGGTCAGCAGAGACACGTCTTTCAAGTGCACAGCCTCGCATTGATAATCATAACCGCAGCGCTGCAGGGACACGATCCGCGTATATCAAATTACTTTTGGGCTGGATTCAGGAAGACCTACAGTATATCCGGGCTGTGGAGACGACAACCCGGAGAATTTCCAAGCCAGCGTGTCAGGCCACAAGGGTGTTGCACTTTTGTGCGATCGGGAAGCGCCAAATCCGAACCCTTGTCAGACAGTCTGAGACCCAACTTTCAGCCGCATCCCACAAGCCGTACTCCGTACGGGTACTGGTGGTACGTACTCGCATGATATGGTCACCGCAATCCTACCTCACCGCATGCATGAGATCACTGTGCCGGGACGTGGGTGACGGCACTTCCCGCTCATGCTTCGATTGCAGACTCCAAGCTCATGGACGAAGATGGTCGTTTCTATTTGTAGCTCGTAGCGTTTAGGGCTGCGTTGATGCGAGACTAGGCGTGTTGACGCCGCGTGGTGGGGATTCCAGGAGCGGGGAGGAAATAAATGAATGAGGGGTTGAATTATGACATGCGGCAGAGCAGCAGTTCAACTGCTCGAGTTGTGGCCGTTAGCCGAACAGAGTACCCGATACGAGCGACGAGCAGTACGCGGCCAGGCGTGAAGGAGATTCCATGGAGATAGAGGCGACGGTGAGAGAGAGTTGATGCGTTGCGCCGCCAAGTTATTCCGTGGCTCGCAGGTACTCTGAGTTTCGGCAGTGATGACGCGATAGTGCGCAAAGAGGAAGTGTGTCTTCTGCCTGGTCAAGCGCGTTACGCATGCCTGCTGTCCTCGTCCGAATTACCTTCTACGAGGTATGGGAGTAACCTCAGGGTGTTGTGATGTGCGCGGCCGGTTGCCTCTCACCACGAGCGATCAGCGTGTCGAGGATCGCCAGTGTCGGTGGCAGTTTCACCATTTCGGGTTGTTATTCCTCTACGTCACATTGACTCCTCGGCGGCTTAGACAAAACTTGAATCAGATCCTGATACTCATTGCTAAACCCGTTGTACTGCATAGACCATCGCGTTGGGTAGCAATGAGCGCTATACTCGTACGAGTACCATCGTAAGTGGCGGTACGGCATCTTGGGGGCATCAAAAATTGCAGGCAGTGGGCGCAGTCAAACGGCAGCGCAGGGCGAGTTTTTCCGGGTGAGAGTCCGCCGAGCAGCAACGCCCAACGAAGCCGCCCGGCGCCCCCCCAGGCAGCCGGAGCGCGGCGTTGGGTATCCACCATCCAACTGCACTTACTCACCACTGACTGCATGTTTTGCCCTCGCTAACACTACTACTACAAACTTAGCCATCATCACAAAGTCCGTGACGCTGCCTATCGCCATATTTTGCAGCGGCGTCAGAAACCTGCATTGACAGCTGTCGTCTTTGCTCAGCCTGCCATTGCCATATCCATCAGCATCTCTTCGAACACATTCTTCCTACTGATCTCCCTCCTCGCCAACCAATGCCCCTCCGGCCTCGACACGATCCCCTCCCACTTGGCCCATGACATTGCACGCCTGTTCAGTCTGAAGGCGCAGCCGGCATAATATCACTAGTCTCTCGCCCTCCCCTCCCACTGTCTCCCCATCGCAACCATGGCGGATGCCGACCAAGCCATCGCCGAGGTCTATCGCAAGATCGAGCGAGAGAAGGCCCTTATCAATGCCGCCACCCACATGCGACAGTCGACAAACAATGCCGCTGTTCAGGCACGTGTCGACAGTAATATCCGCGATAGCAGACGGAACATATCATACCTCGAGGAGAAGTTGTCAGAGTTACAGTTGAGACAACGCGGCCCTAACGAGAGTGTCGCTCCAGCCCCGCCTGCTCATGGCGGTTCCGGCTACCAGACGTCCCCAGATCCTCGTTTGCAGCAGTCACGATATCAGCATGGAGGCGCCCCAACTCCTCCCCCAAAAGATGAGAGAGGCTATTTCAACAACGAGAGAGGCGACTATGGTGATCCCGGCCCCGGCGGGTACAGTCAGGGCGGCGCTGGCATGATGCCCCCTCGAGCACCGTACGGCGATCCTCGTCCTTACAACGCTCCCGTCCCCAAGGCGCGGCCAAATTTCTCAAAACTAGGTATTTCGCTCCCGATGGCCGGTCGTGCCAAAGCGAATCATGCTGACCGATACTGCCAGACCTCATTAAATACGATACCCCGTACCTAGGACCCAAGATCCAGCTTATGCTTTCGCAGCTGGAGTTTAAACTGTCCGTCGAAAAGCAGTATAAAGCAGGCATCGAAAAGATGGTGCGGTTATATCAAGACGAGGGTGACAGGAAAAGCAGGCTGGATGCAGAGGGTCGGCGCATTGAGAGCAACCAGAAGGTGCAATTGCTCAAACAGGCTCTAAAGCGATATATGGACCTGCACGTCGACATTGAAACGTCTGATGCTGCGGATGGTGAGTGGATACCTAATGGGGCTCACAATGGTCATATGCCTGACTTAGTGTGCAGATGACAGTCTCAACGCTCCGAACATGCGGAAGCCCCTTACGGGTCACCTCGAAATGCGCATTCACGCCATCAAGGATGTTGATCACGCAGCCTCGTCACGGTTTTCGAGGGGACCCGAAACGTTTGTCATCATGAAAGTCGAGGACAACATCCGGGCCAAGACCCGGGCAACACGGACTGACAAATGGACTGAAGAAACGCATCACGTCGATATCGACAAAGCCAACGAGATCGAACTGACCGTCTACGATAAAGCAGGTGAACGGCCAACGCCCATTGGCTTCCTCTGGATCCGCATCTCGGACATCGCTGAAGAAATGCGCCGGAAAAAGATTGAATCGGAGTTCCAGCAGAACGGGTGGGTATCAGCAGATAAGATGGCGAATGGTGGAAGCCCGGGCAAACCAGGTCCTGATTTTCAGCAGCCTGCTCCGTTTATGCCTCCGGGGGATGCTGCTGGTGCTGGTTCCGCATCTGGATTTGCTCAAAATCCCCAGCAACACATCCAACCGGTTATGATCGATTCGTGGTTCTCTCTGGAACCTGCAGGGAGAATCCATCTCACCATGAGCTTTCAGAAACAGACGGGCGGCAAACGGCCTTTCGATATTGGCCTCAACCGACAAGGCGCTGTCCGCCAGAAGAAGGAAGAGGTGCACGAGAAACAAGGCCACAAATTCGTCAAGCAGCAATTCTACAACGTCATGAGGTGCGCACTTTGTGGGGATTTCCTCAAATACTCGGCGGGCATGCAGTGTGCGGACTGCAAGTACACCTGTCACACCAAATGCTACCCGAAGGTCGTCACGAAATGCATTAGCAAGGCAAACTATGAGACGGATCCAGACGAGGAGAAGATCAACCACCGCATTCCGCATCGCTTCGACAATTTCTCCAATATTGGTGCAAATTGGTGTTGTCATTGTGGTTATCTGCTGCCGCTGGGCAGGCGCAATGCAAAGAAATGCTCCGAGTGCGGTCTTACCTGCCATACCCAATGCCAACATCTAGTTCCAGACTTCTGCGGCATGTCCATGATCGTCGCCAATGAGATCCTGGAGACCATCCAAAGAACCAAGCACCACAACAAATCATCGTCTGTGAGCTCTGGTATGAGCAATAGGACACTGAGACCCCAGTCCGCGGCAAGGCCAGGACCGACGTCTCCCACACAGAGCTTTATCAGCGACAGTACCACACTGACGCCACAGGTGTCGAATCAATCGTATGATCAACATCAGGAACAACCCAAGCCGTCTGCCGCAGCCATGAGCGCGGCTCAAAATATGATGTACAGCCAACCTCAAGCAAATCAGTCACAGCAACAGCAGAGACCTCTACAGCAAAGAGCGGTATCTACCGCAGCGGTCCAGGCAGCGGCGGCTGCTACCAATCGACCACCATCTCAGCAATACAATCAGACCTTTGGTGATTACAGCCCTCAGAAAGCGCCCGCTGATCGGTACGCCAATGCCCGGCCGCCGGCGCCAGAGCAGACGCATGCCTCCTACGATCCCCGTGCTTATCAACAATACGACCGTCAACCAGCCCCATCACAGATACCTCAACATCAAGCACCCCAGCAAGCCATCATATCACCGCAAAGACCTCCGCCACAACAGCAAGCAGCGAGCTACGCACCTGCTCCTATCAAACCTGCCGCATCATCACAACAACAGGTGGCTTCGCCACCATCCGGTCGTGGGGCAGGACCCAGGATTGGTCTTGATCACTTCAACTTCCTCGCCGTGCTGGGGAAGGGCAACTTCGGTAAAGTCATGCTTGCAGAGGCTAAGAGCTCGAAGAAGCTGTATGCCATCAAGGTCTTGAAGAAGGAGTTCATCATCGAAAATGACGAGGTAGAGTCAACAAAATCCGAAAAGCGCGTCTTCCTGATCGCCAACAAGGAACGACATCCTTTCCTGCTCAACCTGCACGCTTGCTTCCAGACAGAGACGCGGGTCTATTTTGTCATGGAGTACATCTCGGGTGGAGATCTTATGTTACATATCCAGCGTGGACAATTTGGCCTTAAGCGTGCTCAGTTCTATGCTGCTGAGGTGTGCCTGGCGCTCAAGTATTTCCACGAGAACGGTGTCATTTATCGGGACTTGAAGTTGGACAATATCCTGCTGACACTGGACGGCCATATCAAGATTGCCGATTATGGTCTCTGCAAGGAGGACATGTGGTACGGTTCGACGACGTCCACCTTCTGCGGTACACCCGAATTCATGGCTCCTGAGATTCTTCTGGATAAGAAGTACGGGCGGGCGGTGGACTGGTGGGCCTTTGGCGTCCTGATCTACCAGATGTTGCTACAACAGTCGCCGTTCCGAGGAGAAGATGAAGATGAGATCTACGACGCCATCCTTGCGGATGAGCCGCTTTATCCGATTCATATGCCTCGAGACAGCGTGTCGATCTTGCAAAAGCTGCTGACGAGGGAGCCGGAGTTACGACTCGGCAGTGGACCGGGCGACGCGCAGGAGATCATGAGCCATGCGTTCTTCAAGGGTGTGAACTGGGACGACATCTACCACAAGCGGGTACCGACACCATTCAAGCCCTCGATTAAGAACGAAAAGGACACCAGCAACTTCGATCAGGAGTTCACGAGTGTGACACCGGTGTTAACCCCGGTTCAGAGTGGTAAGTCTAATCCCAAGGGTTTTTTGGTGGTTCGCGGCGTGCTGACGTGTCTGCTGCAGTGCTTTCGCCCGCTCACCAGGAAGAGTTCCGAGGCTTTTCTTACACGGCCGATTTCATCTAGGAGAGAATTGAAAGGAAAATTCTCCGACACTTGCCAAGCCATAGCAGCGCCATGGGCAAGCTTGAGTCCGGTGACGAGTTGTTTGAGGAGAATATCCATAGCCAACGGGCGGACGTCGAACTCTTTGGCGAAGACCTCGAATCCTCATTCCGGTTGGATGCATCCTTGCGCTCTGTGTTAGAGCTCAAGGGAGAGTGTCGGAAGACGTCGACCAAGCAGGCGGGAGGCGAGAGTGAGTGCGAGGTCGAGATCGGCACGGCACGGCCCATTTCCGTCGTCATGCCATGTCTGCCGAAAACAGTGGAATGCTCCAAGCTCTCTCCTGTACAGGTCAGCACCCGAGGTCTTGGTTGCGACCATGCTCCGGAACAGCCGCACTCCTGTCGGTGTCCTGCTGTTGAGAATGCCAAGTTCACGTGAGCACGACCGTCAAGCCGCTGGCGGGCTGAAGTGGGACGAGGTCAACTACCCGCGTGATGTTTGGCGTCAAGACGAAAATGACCGAAGTACATTGAGGCAAGGGCGCACGATGATGAATGGCAGCAGATGAAGAGAGCATTGGCATGAAAATTGGATGAAGCAAAAATTATGCCCGCACTAGTCCGTATGTGGGCTAGTCATGTGACCTGGCCGCAGGGTTGCTCTGTGGATAAAAATTCATTTCACTTGACCTTTGATCAAACCTCACGGCAATCTTTTGTGTCGTATCCAAATATCAATGGCTGGTGTTCATATCCGACGCAGAATACCTCGTACACACGACACCGCCGCCGCATGCACCAAACTAGTCAAACCCCTGCGGACCCTGCTGGGGCCAATTCTTGGATGGAGATATCGTGGATGGAGATATCGGTGAAATTCCCAGACCGGTCGCGGTCGTACTCGTGCTTGACCTTCTCATCCACCCACCACTACTCCTTGCAGCTTCCTTAATCGTCGAACGGACCCTGTTCCACTCCATTTCTCCCTGGTGGAAGATACCTGTGTCGGGGAACAGGGCGACTCCCATTTGAATCAGCTCCAGCTTAAAGCTGCCTGTGGCTTTCGCTTCTGATCCGATCTCCATCATCTCGCGAAAGATTTTTGGACTCACAAATAGTGCTTTCGGGTCCAAGTCCGAGCCCGGAGACGCCACAGACGGGTCAGCACCATCGCTGGTGTCATACTCCTCGCTCGAGCTGAGATATTCCTTCCAGCCGTTACTGTCCTTCAGTAGCGATGGACTGGTGTCGACGTAGACCGGTGATTGATCACGCTCCGCTTCTCGACCCAAAGCAATTGCATCGGTAAGCAATGCCTTCACATCATTTCTGAACGACTCAATGTGTGCGCGATCCAGCAATGACTTCAAGGGGTTCACAACTTTTCCTTCTACCGTCTCGGTTATCAAGTGGTCGACGTCAGCCTTTTCATCAAGACGACCCAACATCTTCAATGTGGAAACTTTCCAGTCATGTTGGAAATCTGGCCCCTCGGTAGCCAGGCCCGAGTATATCTCCTTGAGAGTTGCGTGGCTGTCTTTCGTACATTTCCACAGGTGCTGTGAGAACAAGGGCTGCCACACGGATTCGTGAATGGCCTTGAAGATGACATGCTGAGAGATCGCTAGCCGGAGCCACCGGGCGCAGGGAGAATTCGTAATAGGTACTCTCCTGAAACCAATCCGGTCCAGACTGTTCGACGTCGCGACTGGATCCTGTACACTCAAGGTATCAGCAGCTTGGTAAATACGGGAACGCGACAGGAAGGGTTCGGGGGAGGTTGGCTCCCAGCCAGACTGCTGCACTCACGTCGGATGCCGTTTCTGGAAGGTTCGCGAAGTATGCCGTCGCCATGTGGCTCACCCGCTCCGTCAAAGTCCCATATCGCTCCATACTGTTGATTGGCGATGAGTTAGTGCGAATGCCAAATGATCGGGGAGGAAGGGGCTTGGCCTACTAATATTCAGAAGGCCGCGTCTTCACTCGGTATTTCGCCTTCATGTCGGCAAGGTCCTTCTCCAGCTTTGTAACATCCCCCCGTAACTTGGTCTGCATCGTCTCACGGGTCTCCTTCTCCTCGTCACGTTCCCTTGTCCTTTCCTCCAAAACCCGTGTCAGATTTGCTTTGTCAAGCAGTAAGTTCTCCTTGTCGCTCTCCAGGCCCGCAATTTTCGCAGCATGCTCGGTTTCCAGCTGCTTCATCCTCTGCTGCAGCTTGGTCTCGATCTTCTGCCTCGCTCTGGCATTTTGTTCCTCGTGAAGCTCCACCAGGTCCTCGTATCTCTTTTTCTCCTCCTCGCCCGCCTTCGCTTGCGCTGCCAGTGCCTTCAATTTGGTTTCATATCCAGCGCACAAGTCGGATTTCTCCTTCTCGTGTTTGTCCTGATTCTCTCGTATCCGCTCCCAGAGAACCTCATTTGCGGCTTGTAGACTCTGGTTCTTCTCCTCGAGCACTCCTTCCTTCCCGTACCGTTCACCCACCGTCGTGACGATCTGGCCGTACTTGCCGAACGTGAGGTACAGGTTACCCACCGCGCCGTCGATCACGGCCCATCCATCTTGGAGTTTTCCTACCTGTTCTTCAATCTCGTCGTGGAAGAGGCCGAAATGGGCGGCGTTAGTGTCGGCGTTGGGGTGCTCGGTGCCAGCAGTACCATCACCAGCGCCCACGCTGCGACGAGCACTGCCACCGGCGCTACCGTCTACGCCATCCACAGTACTCACCCCGTTTGGCGTTCCGTGAGCTTCACCTTTCGGGCGGTCCTTTGGTTGTGCCGGACCAACGGATTGATGTGACATCCTAGCGGCTTGTTCCTGTCAGGACAAAATAACATTCAGTCAGTCTTGCTTTGGGCTAAGTAGCCATGGTCTTCAGCAGTATGTATGGAGCATTGGGCACCGGGTCCCTGAGACCACCGAGATGTTTCAGTAAGAATACAACACATACTCTACTCTTTTCTCGTCTTGTCCCGGTCAAGCTCCCTGTGCGGAGCAATCTGCTGAGCCGTGCCTCCGTCCTAGTGATTTCGCGGCCCTTTGGGATTGAAAACACGTGGTTTGGGAGTTTATGAGACATGGAGCACAGGATGCTTTCATGCAACAGTGCGGTGCCTCAGGAAGAGATACATATCCAAGTGAGCTTCCAGCGGGACTGGCACCGCAGGCCATTCATCATTTTGTGGCACAGGTCGATTGGTTTGCTCGCCCAATCTCAGCAGATCGACATATCTGCTCGTCCCGTCGCCCAGAAATCACATGCAGAGAGGCTGCAAGACGGTAGGTGCACCACGTTCACCCCCAGACCTGACCCCGCAGATGGACTGGATGGATAGAAGGGACAACAGCAACTTCCATGTCTCGAACCCCCCCCTCCTTCTGTATGTCTGCCACTTGTCATGCCCTGAGTGAAGGGACGGAGCTGCAGGCGGACGATTATGCAGTGCCGGGATGCACGCAAAGAGGCAAGCCAGTGCCTCTCGACCGTCGCGGCAAGATGTGGACAGCGGGGAGTAAGTGTCATGACGTTCTAATCAGTCACTCCTCCAGTTACATCACATCGAGTTTGCCGCGATTGGAAGCTTCAATTCCTCACAGCGGCAGTAGTCCAGCCGGCTTAGGCGCGAACGTATGGTCTGAGCACGCAGCACGCAGCATGCAGCATGCAGCACAAAGGACAAAGGACAACCTTGGGGGGAGACGCCACTGAGTTTCTAGGCCACGAACTATCCGTCCGCAACTAGGTAGCAGCCGGGCCGAGGACAAGCGAACCTATCACCCCAACCCGCTGGTGCGGTGGTGGTCAGTGTGCACCAGGCCAGATGAGGAGGGGTGAAGTGAGGCTGGCTTTTCTCGCTCTCCACGACTTCCCTCCCTTACGAGTCCGGTCCAGATGATGGGATAATGCAATGCAGGTGTGCGTTGTCACTCACACTGTCAGTCGTTCACTCGTATTATCGATACCATGGCTACAGCCTGAGGAAGGCCGGCCGGCGGGCTGGCAGTCGGGTATGTAGGCAGGCGGACAGGGATGCAGACAGGCCGGCCCGCTCAGACAAGACTGCATTTGCCTACCAGCGGTGCAATTATTCAGTCCCCACGGAATCCGATTGGTGGTAGGGAAGAGCAAACCCGAGAGAATTAACCAGATCGAATCAGTAATGTAGCATTTTTCAACGACCCCTGCAACTTTTCCAGCGAGTGCTGAGGAGGTCGATCAATGAAATGAACAGCACGGTGCCTTGGCGTCAGGCGGATACGATCCAGGCGAGCAGGCGGACGAATCGAGCTGGTGGAACTGCCGACAAGCGGGACGGGAAGGGGAAACCTACACAAGATCTCGTGCGTCGGTGGGGAAGAAACTTTGGGTGGGATGGACTTGCTTGACTTTATTTCTACAATGCATTGACTATTAGGTACACAGGACATCTGATATGTATCCGAGATCCCCATGATGGATGGAACTGTGCACAATATTACAGAGAGTCCGGTCGGTACTTGCTCTATCCTCAGGATTTAATGTGTTCGTACAGTGCCCACGAGGGAGTACTGTACTTGATTGGTAGCAGTGTTCTGCAAGCTGTGATACGACGAGCTGCTAACCTAGCTGTCTGTGCCTTATCTATCCACCCGTAGCGCGGATACATACATACTCCGTACACCCTTCGTAGCGCGTCTCGGCGATGTATCTGTTGGCGGCCGAAAATGTCACAGTCATCAGTGAGGCTACAGACAAGGGATGGGTCGGCGAGTCAGATGCGAGCGGCGCTTTGATTTGATCCGGTCGCCTTGTCGTCCCTCAGTGGTGTGGCAGCCTTGATGGTGACTGGTGTGTTAGTATTCGTTCCTTGGGAGACTGTCGGAACTGTCGAGACCGTCTGTTTACCTGCGTTGGTATGAGATTTGTTTGCTTCGGCTACGTACACTTCTCTCCTGTGGATCCATAGTAAGTACCGTCATATGTGTATACTGTAGATGGCGACTTTAAAGCGGAGTAACGTATCGATATCGTCAATTTACGGTAGACAATCTCTGAGAGCCCTGTCGAGCATGTGCACTGGCATGATTCAGGAGTTCAAGCTGCGAAACCAATGTACGAGTATGGTGTTGAGTACGTATGTACACGAGGGACCCCGCCATCAAACATGCGAGCTCATCTGCGGCCATTGAGATCTCGTCATCTAGCTGCGCCCGCGGCTGCCGAGTTCAAGTTCTTCCTCGGTCTAGAGTCTGCGGAATGAGGCCGGATTCCGACCGCTTCTGACCAATACGAGCATAACTCACCTCAACACGGTAACAATTGCACGAGTCGTGTGTCCGGTCAAACAGATTCAGACATGACTCGAGCATATTGTGGCGTTCGTGTCCCAGCCAGTCAGGGAGGCTTAATCGAGTAAGCGTGTATCAAGCCTGACGGAAAGGGCAAACAAAGTCCGGAGTGCAACATTCGGGCAGTGACACTTCCTCCGTCCACCTTCAATGTTGTCTCCAAGACCAGACCCGGGGATGGCGCGACCAGTTAGTTGTAGCTTCACGCACTCCGCACTCCGCTTTCCAGTATGTTACGAGCCTGTTGCGGCACTGGATTCAAGCAGCCACAAAGAGATTCAACTGCGAAGCCATCAACACTCGACGGAGTAAGTTCACCCGTAGGGTAGGTAGTATATATGGTAGGGACCCACAGCATATCCCGGCCACATTTGTATCGCCACTCTTCCAAGCATCTCTCAATGCAATCAAAAGTTCATGAGTACAGACGAACAGAACATGTGGACTCCAACAAAAATACAGCATACATTAGACTCTCGGGGCACTGAGTGTTCTCGTCGGTGTCACTTCTCCGGTTTCCAGCTTTGTCCTTACTCGCCACTAGCTTGAACTGGGAAAGATTCCATCTTGCTTTGGACCGACTACATACTTGCGTAGTTCCGCTCACTCCCATCGCCAGCTCGTGGTGCTTCGGCGCCAAGAGAATGACGCGTGCTTAACGGAATGTCGTCCCGAAAGTCAAACAGTCTCGGCCGGGCCCGTCCCATTGGCTGGAGAGGAACTGCTGCCTGGGGGAGCCTGGCGCCAACCCATCTGGATTAAGCCGACGTACCAAGTACAGTAAGTCAGTAAAGTATGTACGAGACACTTTGAGTGATGCAGCGGCGATGCTGAAAATTAAAACTGAGACGCCATGGTGAGGGAGGGACAGCTCGAAATTGAGGTATAAAGCTCCAACTTCAGCTCGGGGCGACGACTTGATTCATACAGTATACTCGCTTCCAAGTCCTTGTACACTGGCACATCACACGACTGCAACGTAAACTTCATGCCAGTTGCTTCCCCAACGGTTCTTTCCAAAACTTGAACTCAGCCAAACTCCCACCGAACAAATTTGCACGTCAAGACCCTGTAACTTGAAAATACAGCATGGCCGAAACACCCAGCCCCTACGGCCAGATCTGCTGGTTCGAAGTCCCCGTCACGGATGTCGCGCGCGCGTCTGCTTTCTACTCCAAAGTCCTCGGCTGGGATTGCAATGATCTAGAAGGCACGCCCTCGCCTAGCGGCCGTGAGAAGTCGGTTCATATGTTCAGCAAAGGGGCCCTGCACGGGGCGTTCCTCCTGGCGCGGGACGAGGACGGAGTGGCCAAACTCGACGACTTCCACAAGAAAGCCGCGCCCATCGTCACGTTCATGGTGGACAGCATTGAGGAGACAACGAAGAAGATTGAAGATGCTGGCGGTCGAGTGAATCTGTAAGTTACTCGGTGGACCGGAACGCCCAGTCCGCTGTACGTTCAGAGATCGAGCTTTCACTGACTCGAGACAGTCCAAAGACAGAGATCGGAGGAGGGATGGGGTTCTTTGCGCGGTTTATCGACACTGAAGGCAACCTTCATGGCATCTGGGCGAAAGAGTAGGAACGATGCACGCCTATGTATGTGCGAGGGTCTGAGTGGAAAATGCCGTTGCTGGATCAAAGGACAGCAGTATTTTTGCCTATTCAGGCGGGCCCCAGGAGTGCTTAATGAGGTTGATTGCTTTAGTAAATCGTGCATACACTGCACCGCCACCCCCAGTACATAGTTTAAATCTGAATCAGTACTGTTCTGATGCTGTTCTGATGCTGTTCTGATGCTGTTCTGATGCTGTTCTGATGCTGTTCTGATGCTGTTCTGATGCTGTTCTGATGCTGTTCT